TGGGAAGATTTGGTGCACGTGAGGGGGCAGACGCGCACGGCAGGCCTGTTGACGGTTGTCCAGGGCAGCATGGAGGGCATCAGGTGGGGACTGATACAGGAGAGCGTTGAAGTGCTGAAGAGGCTAAATGCCCCAAGAAAGAGTGTGTGATATGAATTTGGGGATATTCAAATCAAATCTCCGTAATAACATATTTCCTATGTAAAAATGGCGGCGGCTCCTGGTGTTCCGGCATTTGGGGAGGGTTTATTTGTAGCTGGTTTATTAGCCTTTTTGGCCCCGGTGGTACTTGTGCATTTTTGCGAAGTGTCGTTGTTTATTCTCGTTTAGCTTTGTAAATTTTGCTTTCTTTGGAAGTCTAGTAAATCTGACAGATTGAAATTAATCTTTTTGGTTTATTTTTCTTGGCCAATATTTTTTAAATTGTCCAAGTTGGTATTGATCATTTCCTTTGACTCACTCTCTCACTTTCAGTAGTAATGAGAAGTTTCCAGGCATGTATTGGAAGCCGGGAATAGATTGTACCCCGGCGGCTCTCAGAAATGAAATTTTTTGAGATTAAACCTTAAAGCGGCATCCATCCTAAAATCCAATCCTACCATAGTCTTGGCTGGATAAATTGGATTTATTGAGAGGCATACATGCGGGGAGGCGGTTACAAGCTTCTGTGATCCATGCTGCTCCCTGCGCCCCAGTGCCATGGGAGTTAGTTTGGTAAAGCGGACGCATAAGTGTGGATTATGCATTATGCACAATGCAGAATGGAACTCGAAGTTTAGTTTTGAATGAAGGACGTAAGCTCGAGTGTTTGTGCATTTTCAAGGGAATGGAACAGCGGCTCCGGATGTGATTCATCTCTTCGATGCAGTGTAGAGCTTACAGCCTCAGAAGCTTATTCAAAACTGGCGGACAATGCAGCAGCACCACTCGATTCCCAGTTACAACCGCTTAGTTTAGAGGCGTGCGCTGATGAAGTGGTGTGATGGCACATCTTTGTAAATAGAATGTTTTACATCATAATATAAGTGTTGGCACCCGTCGTCCTATGCCAGAGTGATTTGGCAGCTTGAATTTCATGTCTTAGGCCCGTTCATTTAGCGTATTGGATGGTTACTCTCTAGTGTGTATTTCTCCCATGATTCTTTTTGGTAGTGCCTAAGCTCCGATGGGGCGAGAAAAACCACCATTCAGCGAAAATTATCTGATTCCAGCGGTAAGAAATCAGTCAAAAATCTTTTGATCATACATGGATGTGAAGATCTGGTGGTCTTGGTAGTAGTCCCTGATTGGAGCAGATGTGATGCATACTGCACGCGGCACAAGACGATGTTTATTGTGGTAAAGATAACCTTTTTTCGCCAAAGATGGACTATTACGCCCAACTTGCTCCGGGTGGTTTCCTTGCTGAAATGAGTCCCTGGTAAGCGAAAGACCCAAGTACTGGAGTGTAATAAGGGCCTGCCCCGAGACTTGTCTCTATTAACGAAGGTTGATTGAAATCCATGCGCCTCCTTAAGATACAAACTGGATCTGAGGCCGGCCTAACACAGCTACATGATCAACAGAAGCATCAAGAAGTGCTGGGATTCCTTGACCTTGGGATAGTCTGCAATAAGCCTTGATATACAACTCGGTGTAATATGATGCGTAAAATGAGAGCATACATTTGCCTTCATTTCTATCGAAGATTAACGAGCTGTGATGCATATTAAGCAGCATGAACCCCAGGTTATTTGCCGCGTGGTTATTTGACCCACATGAAATTCAACGTATGTCCTTAAAAGGAGGATCCAATAATAGGCCTAATAAACGGGTGTGTTGTTAATGCTCGAATTTTAAACACTCGTATATTTGGAACTGACCCCGCTTCTTTCCTCATCGCTCCGTCTCTGTAACTTTTGTCGGCACAAAAAAATTTAGGCACAAGAAGATTTACCGTCGGCAGCCTGGAGATGGATTCGAAAAATTGCGGTAAGGGTAGGTTTCTCGTGTTTCATCATGAAAGTGTACTGATGTAGTTGAGTATTAGATAATTCTGCGGTCAGAGCGGTCTTCAGACGTCATGATGTACCCATAGGGTTAGGGTGCAAGATAATAACCACATCTCTCAAACCTGACGCTAAGCACCAATCGCCTCTACCATTCATTGTTGTGATCAGAGAACGCAGATGTTTTTTTATGGAATGAATCAGACTCCTGATATTATCGAGCATTGTGTCGCAATACTAAAGATCCCCAAAGTTCCAAGGCCGCTATCTAAACCTTTCCATTTATTATGATATAAAAGGCCGAGTAGACAATGTTGCTGACGGATTATGATAGGGTTTCAAACATCCCTCTTATGTGACCTCAAGAGAGCTCTCGAAAGGCAGATAATAGTTGGTACGCTCCTATAATATTCGAGTCTCCTTTAGTTTTTGCTCTCGACAATGAGAATCCGTTCTTGGAGGTTCTGCTGTATTCGAGGTTCATGATTTCACATATCCTCGATGCTGAAATCCAGATATCTTTCAATATAGAATGATATCCACGATGTCAGCCTGGGTGCGGCTAGGAGTTTGGTGGACGTTGCTGGCTGCGGTATGTGAAAGGATCAGACGTCAAAGGTGGATTAAGTCAAAATTCGGCGGAAGGGGGGGCAACCTCCTCCTTTTATTGACCCCTTCCTTCGGGTATGGTGGCAACCATAGATACTTGTGTAGTGTCTCCACTCATCATAAGTCAATTTGGGAAGACTACATGCGCACGTACCCGCGGCTAGGGCTACTGTTCCTTTCACCCCACTTTGATGAACAACTGCGCAATCTGCAGGACTCTTCTGCATGCAATGTGGTGATGCAACACCTTAATTAAGCGAGAGAGAAACAGAGGGCAATCTATCCTGAAGTAGCTTGAAGGTTGTGCCCCCACTCAGGAATGTTAAGGATCCGGAATGTCTCCAGCGGCAGGATCCAGGGGGTGCATATAAAAGCACTGCTGTTTGACGTCCCGATTTGAGGAAGCAAGTTGCCGAAGAGGAGGAGTGGAGCGGGCTAACGCGTGTACTCACATGTACACATATGTGTGGGAAACAAGCCCCACTTGTTTTACGGTGAGTTCCGTTGGGGACCTCAATGGTTACCATTGCCGTATTTAGGTTCGCTAATTTAAAGTATTGAGCACCCGCCCCGAGAATCAAGATTTGCAGATCAGTTTAGTGCAGCATTGCAAGGCTGGCATGCAAGACATTGCGTGTGTTCTGGCACAAATATCAAACCCAAATATACTTATCACCGCACTTATTTAATGTTTTTTTTTTTTTTGGGGGGGGGGGTTGGGGGGGGGGGGGGGGGGCGCCTCGTGATGAAGACAAATAATTCGAGTGATCTTAAGTTCTCGCCTCCTCTTGACTCCTAACTGGGGTTATTTTTCGTAGCTGATCTGATATATCCATTGCCAGGACGTTGTGTGTGTGCTGCTGTGCTTTGTGAAGGGATGGATCCCGGATCCCGAGCTGCAGATTTTGCGGGACCTGAGAATTGCGGCACAAATAAATATTATTTCACATCTCTTATCCTGAGGTTTACCAATCAAGTACATCGCTTCCAGGCCGGAAAAAAAAATCAATTATGGATAGACATGTACCTTACTGCACGCCTAGCTAACTCCGGCCCGTCTTTTCGCCGACCTTGCTATTTAAACTTGGCCTGGTCTCAGTTAAGAACCAAGTTGGAGACACAGCTGTTGATTCATGGACCCCACGTTTTTCCAATGTTTGGCGTATTGATCAGCTGGACAAACCGCGTAACAATCTCAACGTAGAGTGCACATTCTTGACTAGATAACCTCGAGGGTGTTTTTCGGCAGGCTTCTTTGTTCGAGCAATAGACCCGGCAGCATTCCAAGAATGTGAACAACGCGGACATCGACCCGCTCGGGAAAAGACAAGCCCGGTAGACATTCAGCCCAAGGAGACCTGATCTACAAATTGTATTCATATAATTGATCGGAGATATTTCTTCATCCGCGCAAAAGCATCCCTACTGCTGATCTTCGGGCTTGACCTCACCACACCTCCTCTGGACTGACGCCAAAATTATTACTGCTGGCTTCTTCTCGAAACGTTTGGATAAATGCTATCGGAAAAATAAAGAACTTTCTTGTCAAAGTATCTGGAAACCCCACGATTTTCTAAAATGAAAAGGAAAAAGAAAAAATACTCGCGGCATCTGAGCTGAAACTCAGCTTGCATATCATCCATGAAGTGGATACTGGGCAACATCAAAGCCCTCCAATAGGTAACCTTGTACGGACGGCCGTAAACTTCGCAAGGCCCTCAGCGAATTCAAACCAGAATGTCTTTTGAAACAATTAATATTATTTTTTGACCTCATTGTAGTAGAGGTTCTGTCTGGGGGCATCTTCTGACACAAGAGGAATACTAATTAGTGACGCGCATAGTCCAAAGGATCTTGTCAAAAGATGTCTTACAAACCAGGCCTTTACAGACGTCGAAGACTTTCACAGGTGCAAAGTACGCCATCTACTAAGTTCTCCGAAAGAAGTGTAGTGCATCCTTCCCAAAATAGTTACTTTGCATATGCCACCTCTGTCGTCCAATGGTTTCGAAGATTCTGAAACGAGGAAGAGGGGGAATCCCATGGGATCAAGTTATTTCGTGCCTGACTTGTATGCTGTCTCACTTCTGAATGTCACTAGGCCGCCCGGGGTTAGGGTGCTACTAAATCTCCTGAGCCTGTACTGTCAGTCACGTGGTCAGAGGACACACAAGAAGACATGTAACTATAGAGAACAACATGGCAGAAGGGCATTAGTATATATAGTGATAGATTGGGCGATCACTTGAATATAATCATCATCCTCCTTTCGATACAAAATCATCCTCCACTTTGGTTCACTTTGAAGAACTCGGGCCACAGTACCTACATGCACCACCAGTAGGTACTAGGTGACATCACAGCTTTCTCTATCTTGAGTTACAATACCACTCCGACACTGAAATGGCATCCATTCAAGAGGACCCGGTTCAAGACAGACCCACAGACGAGCGCCAGCGTTTGAAAGAACATTTTTCAATGTATCTAAGCCCTTACCGAGCCCATCTTACCCCGCAATGTTGCTGATTATCCTCGACTCTTAGCCCGCTGGAACAGCACGGAGACAAATGGTCTGAGCTTTGGAATAACGGCGAATTGCCCTGGGATAAGGGAGCAGCGAATCCGGCACTAGTCGATTTACTCGTACAATGGGAGGAGCACGATTTCTTTAGATCGCGAGATGCATTGAAGACAAGAAGGAGGGCGTTGGTTCCCGTAAGTTTGACCAGGTCATGATCTACTATTTTTCTGACTGTTCATTTGTCAATTAGGGGTGTGGTCGTGGTTATGATACAAGCTTGCTCTCAACATATGGTTACGACGCCTTCGGTCTCGACATCTCCGAAACCGCCGTAAAGGCAGCCAGTGAGTGGGTGTCCTCGCAGAGTGAGGAAGAGAAAAACACACAGTCGAAACATTCATTCGAGATGTGGGGACAATCTCATATAGTTTTGGGTGACTTTTTCAAAAATGATTGGGCCGAGAAATTGCACTTTGACCTAAAGGGAGGATTTGATCTTGTCTATGATTATACAGTGAGTCTATGTTAGCGATTGGTAGCACGCTTGTTTACTGATTACAGTGTAGTTCCTTTGCGCTCTACATCCAACACTTCGTGCCAAGTGGGCTGCGCGGATGGCAGAACTCATCGCGCCGCAACATGGATTGCTTATATGTCTTGAGTTCCCGCTCTACAAGCCTCTAGAGACTGGGGGCCCACCATGGGGCCTAACGAGCAAAATTTATGATGAACTCTTGGGAGATAATTTCAAGAAAGTCCTATTTTATAAGCCTGAGAGGACTCACAAGATTGGACAAGGTTCAGACTACGTGAGTGTTTGGAGGAGAAAATAATTCTAGAGGTTGAAGGTTAATACCCCGTAAATACTTGGTGCTACTTATGTGTATCTTTGGCTTAGCCTAGTGTGTACAAAGAGCTCGTTGATGTGGTTTAAATACTTTTAAATCACAATCAGGTCAATCAGGATTATTTAAACATACCAAACATTTTAGATATGAAGTATAGCTACATGTACCCAGGGGTACCCAAAAGTGATGCAACGGCTTGGAAATATAGGGTGAGGTCTTAGTGAATTCGCAACCACCTTACATGTAATTTCTTTCATTTTGATGTGATTGATGAATTCTTCATACTCTCTTTACTTTATATACTATATATCGCTGCTTCGTTAAAGTCAAAGTTTGGTTGCATGTGGTTGAAATCGTGAGTAGTAAATTGAGTCGTTGCATCACTTTCCGGCACCCCTGGGTACACGGGAACACCTATAGTTACATGTAGAAAGACTATGTTCGAACTTGCAGAGTCAATCATTTATACTAATCAACGTATGTAGATTTTAATGTTCTATACGCTCCTCGGTATTAAACTTTCCATAAGCACTGCACTAGAAGATCCTTGGGGAATTCTGAATAGTGTTAAATCCAACGGAGTTACAAGACTATGCCGTTGTTCCGTGCCATGCTGCATTAATTCGAATAGACGGCCGGTCACACAAGACGTTGAAATTCCCGTATTTGGTCATTTGTCTTAAATACGCCTCCTCATACTGGCTTGAAAAGGCAACCCCAATGTTTTGTGTGACCGGCCGCCTATTCGAATTAATGCAGCAGACTCTGACAAATTTACTGCTCATACAGACATAGGTTTTTGATTTCCTTCCCAGCTTGCAATGAGAGTACCACAAGAAATATTATCTCATCGGTACTACGTACGCGTACAAAACTCCTTTACAATATTTATACTAAACTTGACCGGCCATTTTAAGAACAAGTGCCTCCTTTGACTTAAACATACATAACCTAGTACCAACTCCATTATCTCTGTGAAATAGATTCACGGCATAAGTGTAGGTATGTCCTTACAACAGATGAGCTAAAGGTCTCGTATATTATACCCGATAAAACTATCTCCCAAAAACCACCAACCAATTCTGCTCCAAGCCCTCAATCAGCCATTCACCATGATGTACTCCAACATAAAACTTCAAAGCGTTATCATCCGGTACGACACATGCAACCATTGCAAGAATTGATGTAGCGAAAAAAGTGAATGCTGTGAATGAAACGAAGTCCCTAATTATAATGCGGCAGGGACGCTTGCAGCCATGCATCCTATATATTGTCCATAAACTTAGAGCTACTATTCCAAAGAGGAAGTAAAGAATCAAGTTCCATAACGAATGATATAACCAGGAAAAAAGAAATCCAGACATAGCTTCGAGAGAGGCGTATAAAGTCGTATGATCATCTTGATCATCAACGTAAATTCCAGGTGCGGTGTTATTTGAAACTTCGAGATTGAGGTTAATATTATGCAGAATATTGTAATCTGACGTATAGGATTGAATTATGAGAATGCCGATGATGACACAGAAGATTTCTTTTCCCAACTGACAGAGCTGAACAAGAACAAACATATAAATCACCGCGATGTTTGGTCTAAGACTGTCAATCATGGTTGACAGGGTGTGGGATCCAGCGCTGACTCTATGATTGGTTTCCATGCCTCAACACCCAATAAATAGTCTAAGGAGAGAGAATTTATGATTAATGAGATGTAGGGCGCCCGGGTGTGTCGAATAGGATGAAGTTTTGTAAATGTATCTGATACCTCCTAGCCTGTTGGTGGACTCTGTTAAAGGAAAAGTACACGTAGGATCGTGACGGTCACGAAGGGTCTGTACCTTAGAAATGAAAAATTAGGTACTAGGGCGTGTGGCATCCTTAATTTGCAACTACTAGCCCTTATTTCGCCCCAAAAACAAAGCTACATAGCCAGGCAAAAACCTTAACTCCCGGAGATTATATGTACGTATGTAGATCCAGCGAGTGATAAAGTATGAAGGTAATTGAAAACAGTGATGTGATATAAGTTTAGTATAGGTTAGCATGATTGGTATCGTCTATAACTCTTTCTACTATATTATAACAGAGAGAAGAACATACTGGCCCGAGTCTGGAGAATCCTCATTTTTCTTGACTGGAACAAATGAGGAACCCCAACCTTAACCACATACATTCTAGCTCTGGGTCAAACATACAGCACTTTCGGGGTCAGTGACGAACCTGGGTCAGTGGCGAATGAGCAGACCAAGGCACTCACCTCGCCTAGCTGTAACATTTTAACTCAGTTTAGCGATTTCCTACCAAGTTTTGCTTAATAAGCTGTACCGAAATCTGGCACTCGAATGGTGAGCCACAAACCGCCACAAGTCTTGAATAGGTCACGTCACAGCCCGCGCTGATCTGCCACGTCTGCTGCCCCACGACAACCCTCCCGCTAAATTATCTAACAATATACCCTAGCATAAAACCAAAAACATTTCACCAAACACAACTCCCCTAAACAATCGAATATCCGGTATAGATAATCATGGCAGCTGCAAGCATCGACGCAGATCTTGACCCCCTCGAACCCACTCTCCAGTCTATACTTGACCAAAAGTCACTACGGTGGATCTTTGTTGGAGGCAAGGGAGGTGTTGGAAAGACAACAACATCATGCTCGCTCGCCATCCAGCTTGCACAGGTGCGCGAAAGCGTCCTGCTGATCTCGACGGATCCCGCGCACAACTTGAGTGATGCGTTCAACCAGAAGTTTGGGAAAGAGGCGAGAAAGGTCGATGGATTCGACAATCTGAGTGCGATGGAGATTGATCCCAATGGAAGCATTCAGGAGCTTATAGAGAATGGTACGATATAATGCTGTGCCATATAAGTTTCTGCAACCTCCAGAGCCTGCAGATGAAGATAGAGCTGGTTCGGGACCTTTACTAACGAAGCCGGGGGTGTGTAGCTGAAGGAAATGCAGCAAATCCTTTGGGGAGCATGATGCAAGACTTGGCTTTTAGTGTATGTATTTCTTCAAACTCTACTTATATGCAAGAAATCGAGCTAAACATATAATTGTTTCTAGATCCCTGGTGTGGATGAGGCAATGTCCTTTGCCGAAGTTTTAAAACAAGTCAAATCCCTCTCATACTCTACCATCATCTTCGATACCGCCCCAACAGGTCACACACTACGTTTCCTTCAATTCCCAACCGTTCTCGAGAAGGCTCTCTCAAAGATCTCCCAGCTGAGTGGGCGATTCGGGCCAATGCTTAGCGGGATCCTAGGATCCCAGGCAGGTGGAGCTGGCGGAGTCGAGGAAATGATGGGGAAGATGGAGAGTATGAGAGAAGTTATCGGCGAGGTCTCAAAGCAGTTTAAAGACCCCGATCTTACAACGTGAGTCTTGTATTCCCAAGGGTTACTGTCTGTGACTAACCTGATAAACCAACAGCTTTATCTGCGTGTGCATTCCCGAGTTCCTTTCACTTTACGAAACCGAGCGCATGATTCAAGAACTCAACAACTACCAAATCGACACACACTGCATTGTCGTCAATCAGCTTCTTTTCCCACAGAAGGGCTCAACTTGCCCTCAGTGCAATGCTCGAAGGAAGATGCAGAGAAAATACCTGGAACAGATCGAGGAGCTATACGAGGATTTCAACGTTGTTAAATGCCCTCTACTGGTTGAGGAAGTGCGTGGCAGTGACAAGCTGAGGAGTTTCTCAAAGATGCTTGTCGAGCCATTCATTCCCCCAGAAGAGGATGTGGATGAAGAATAAGGGCAATAATGGGTCTGGGCGGTCATTTTTTCTGTTTTTGTGTTATTGTGCTACCTAGCCAAGGCGTCAGTACGAGATAGAAGGAGTCATACATGTGTTTGCTTCTGTAATCCCAATATAGCACATCTGTAGTTCAGTTCATCCATCCGGCATTCATACCTAGCCCATGTAAATAACCCGGAATTTGGGAACGAAGGATGCAAGCTCGATAATTCGTAAAGGAAGTAATTCTAGCCGTATCGGACTAATCTTCAAGGAAGTTTTTTTCTTTCTTTTGAGGGGTAATGAAAACTCCACGTTTTTGAAAATGACAGTGCCTGTGCCGAAATTCCGAGCGTGATGCGTGATGCGTGATGCGTGCGTGACAGGCAGCAATGAATTTTCGATCGAAGGTGGATTGGTCCATTCTGAGCAATTTGGCCGAAAGATTAAAGCCTGAATTCGATCGAGAAATTGTGTAGTGCCCAATTGTCGTTTTTTTTTAAAGATGATTGAAACTACATTAAACGGGTTCTAAAATATGAGTTTCATGCCCAGCTTGAGTATCAAGAGGTTTGTAGCTTATTATACTAGGATCGCAGTCTATATGTAATAAACGTTATCTTTGCTCAAGCGATTAGTAGCTTGAGACATGCACACCCTCTTTCAAAGGGCCAGGATTCACTGGCATGTAGATGCATGTATGTACTATATGTATTATCTACGCTACATGTATTCCACACTGGCACTGTCAATGATTATGTTAATATTAATGGGACCTTTAAAGCCAACTAGCGCATACCAGCTCAGTTGATACGCATATGTACGTCCAGATCATGGGACGGCCTCCCTTTCAGAGAATCATCTTCCTAGGCATCAATTCCAGGCCCTCCGCACACAAACACCCGCCCTGGCCGTGGATCAATCTGGGCACGATCAACCAAGGATTCGACCGGATCTGTTTGTGAAAGCTCCCTCCACACACGGAGGGTAGATACTCGAAATTGAGTTTCGGGTCACTGCCTGAGACAGGCGGCCGCGGGGGGGGGGGGGGGGGGGGGGGGGGGGGAACACTCGGCTTTTTTCTTCCTTTTGATCAATCGCGAGATTCTAACCATTCTAGAGCTTAGGCCAATGGAGTAGCAGATTGAAGGGTTGTTTGGACAACTCCGGCAATTCACGCGGCCGTTGACAAGACGTCTTAGGGCTCGGTTCGGTTCGGTAAAGCCGGGTAGATCGACGTTTGGGGTTGGGGTTGCTTCTTCCCGACGTTCCAGATCTAAGACAGGAAGTGAGTGAGTGACAACTTGTGGAGGACATGTACCTGGAGGGTACATACATTTGTATCTACTCTGTGCCGTGACACAATTGGGGCCAGAGTCGCCCATACATCTCGACTCTCTTGTTCCATGTTACTTGTGCTTGTGCTCCTTACAGTGAGTGACACAAAACACAGCTGGTCGAACAAAGAAGTGCTTTCATGAACGAAAGCTATTACTCACAAAGAGGAAGGGGGGTAATCGGCTTGCCGCCTTCCTCGCGGCAACTCTCAACCGAATGCCTTTTTTGCAATTCGGATATACCGGTCTTTTTTAAATCAGCCGAACAGCCGAGTTAAATAATCTGAACGACGTCACCTTGGTTAGACAAGCAGATCCTACATCTCGAGAGCTGTTATCATGAAATGATAACAAACCACTACCAATGGGGCATCGAGCTGTAGGTATCAGGTACATACCCGCATACTACAGTTGTAGTTAGGTGAGACTGTACCTGTCAATGCTACCTACCTGAAGTACAGGTTTGAGCACGAGATCACCGACCATTTAAGATTGAGCTATGGGACCTGGTTCCATATCACCCCCCACAAGCTCGACAATCGCACTCAAAAAAAAAAAAAAAATCCACTCTTCATGCACAAGCTCCATGACCCTGTGGCGTAGATTACCGGAAATGTACGGTTTACGCAGGTTATCTACTAGGGGGAGGTCTTCGGAAAAGACGGCACTGTGAAAGGCCAAGGATTTTTTTCGAGGTTATCAACTAGGGGCGGTCTCTTCCTCAGGATTTCCAATTTGTTACGGAGGAGTTATGTGACTATGAAGGGGTTACGGGAAACTACTTATATGGAGCTGTTTTTCTTCTCCTCTTGCTTCTTTTTTTTGGGTGGCCCATCATTAAGGAGAATTGGTTCTTGGTGCTTGGTCTTTTATTTTTGTGATTAATCACCAACTATCATTAAGCAGCCTAATTGAGACTATTCTATTCTCATGGAAAAGCGATAATAATACTTTATTGATATTATACTTCACGACCCTCTCAAGAGCGACCCCAGATTTTATACCGGCGAAACCAAACAATGGCGCCTGTCCACTCAGACGATATGGGCGAAAAGCCACCCCCAACCTCCAGACCAGCTTCTGACTACACCGAGTCCGTGATATCCTCATCCTCAATCTCCGAATCAACACCGCATGCGCAGGAGGGAGGGCAAACAGAAGCTCCTGTAGCTCGAACAGTCACGGGAAAATCCTCGATTGTCGTTCCCAGGAACGAAAGGAGAGGAATGCTCGGCAGGTTTGGGCTGGTGGCGGAGATTGAGAATCCAAAGGACTATGGCACAGGAACTAAGAACTTTATCACCATCCTTGTTGCTGCCGGAGGGGCCGCCGCCCCAATGGCTAGTACTATCCTGTTTCGTAAGTTTACATAATCTCTTTTCTAGCTTACCAATTGTTGTAATTCCTCAAAAGTTAGATATTTCTATTTGTTCTAGCTAGTTTTGATTTGCATGGAATTGAATTGGGTCAAGCTAACAATTAAATTGTAGCTGCCTTGACGGAAATTTCCGAGAAGCTTCATTCGACTCAATCCCTCACCAATCTCTCGGTGGCTCTCTATATGCTTGCCATGGCCATTTGCCCTCTCTGGTGGTCTGCACTCTCTGAGCGGAGCGGGCGTAGGACTGTCTATATAATATCCTTTGCCCTCTTTACGATTTTTGGAGTCTGTTCTGCTGTTTCGGTAAATATTGGGATGCTCATTGCATTCCGAGTAATGTCTGGGGTATCGGCCAGTAGTGTGCAAGCTGTTGGTGCTGGTACTATTGCCGACATCTGGGATGTGAAAGAGCGGGGGAAGGCTATGGGATGGTTTTATCTGGGACCTCTGTGTGTGATATCTACTCTACTTCCTTCAAGAATTGTTACTAATATTTGTGAATTTAAAAGATGCGGTCCACTTTTATCACCCGTTATCGGTGGTGCCTTGACAGGACGTTTCGGATGGAGATCAACCCAATGGTTCCTAGCCATTTACGGAGTGGTGCTATGGTTCATGATGCTATTTGGTCTCCCGGAGACACTCCGAAAGAAGCCAGTAGTACCAAAGGTTTCTTCGGAGAAGGAGGGCGATAATGCGTTGGAAAGAAGCATTTCTAGAGTTTCTATCAAGAAGGCCAAGGAGTGGACTGTGACTGCGAGACACATTTTCATTGATCCCCTCAAGGCTCTAAGATATCTGAAGTTCCCGCCGGTTCTTTTGACTGTTTTCTATGCCAGTATGACCTTTACCGTCTTAGTATGTCTCCCGATCCTTTCTGGGTTAGAAACTTTGCTAATTGGTTATTTGAACAGTACGTCCTCAACATATCCATTCAAACCACCTTCTCAAAATCACCTTACAACTTCCACGTCATCATCGTCGGTCTTCTATACATCCCCCCCTCACTCGGCTACGTCGCCGGCTCCCAAATCGGTGGTCGCTGGTCCGACACCATCATGAAGCGTGCCGCCCACAAACGGCGCGCAGCAGCCAGCCTAGAATCCGGCGTACCCGAAGACGCACCTCTGGAATACCGGCCCGAGGACCGAATGGGCATCAACGTTCTGATCGCGGGTATCCTGTATCCATGTGCAATTCTGTACTATGGGTGGATGGTAAACGCGGGATTATACTGGCTGGCGCCAATGGTCGGGACAACGTTCTTTGGGTTCGGCAGCATGCTGGTGTTTGGGTCGGCGACGACCATGTTGACGGAGTTTGTGCCGGGGCGGTCGAGCTCGGCGGTGGCGGTGAATAACTGTGAGTTTTACTTCCTCTGCCGGTGGTGGTGTGTATTGGTGCTGGTACTGATTGATGATTTGCATAGTTGTTCGGAACATTTTTGCGTGTATTGGAGGTGTGGTTGCGGAGCCACTTATTGCGGCCATTGGGAATGGGTGGTTGTTCACCATTCTGTCGCTGGCGGGGCTGTGCTCGCTGAGTATTGTGTGGATCATGCGAAAGGTAAGTCTCCCATTTCAGTCACGCATCCATTGCAGAAAATTAACCAACCACGTTCCTACAGTTTGGTCCCAAGTGGAGGGCCGAGGTACACAAGTACAACCTCAACTAATTGTCAGTGAGGGTTCTGAATATATAGTTTCCCTTTTTCGATTAATTAATAGATGGAGGGAGTACATGAGGGAAAGGATTGTTTGGTTATAGCGTTGCCTAAAAAGTCTTTTTATGATTATCTACGACTCTGTGGTTTTTCTCTCCTCGTTAGCGATTTATTCTTCATTTTTAATACCTTTTCTGTATGATAATTGCATGCTATGTCATGAAGTGTAGATGAGTGTTAACGCCTGACCCTGCCTGTCGTTCTGACTCTTCTTGTGACACCGCCTGCACTTTGCTGCAGAGTGAGAGCCGGTGATCAGCACCCAGGGTTAGGTGTGTGCGTGTGCCTGTGTGTGCCTGCAAGCCTCGGTACTCGGCTGCACCACAGCTCCCGAGTAAGTACCTCGAGTAGATAACATCCACAACCCCCAATCACAGCTATATTCAATCTCACTCCATTCACAATCCCAATTCCCCCCCCCCCCCCCCACAGCTTCAATTCTATCCACAACCCCCAATTCCCCCACAATCCCCAGATAACCTCCCCCACAATGGACATCCCCACCCTCTTCTCCGTCCGCAACAAAACCGTTCTCATCACCGGCGGCGGCAAAGGCATCGGCCTCATGATCTCGCGCGGCTTCATCGCCAACGGCGCAAAAGTGTACATCACCTCGCGCGACGCCACTGCGCTCTCTACCGCCTGCGACGAGCTCAACGCCATGGGACCCGGCACGGCGCACGCCATCCCGGCAGACCTGTACAAGCTGTCCGACTGCGAAGCGCTCGTCAAGGAGCTGGAGAAGCGCGAGGAGCGCCTGCACGTGCTGGTGAACAACTCGGGGAGCAACTGGGGCGAGGGGTATGACAGCTACCCCGAGTCCGCGTGGGACCGCGTGCTCACGCTGAATCTGAAGAGGGTGTTTACGGTCACGCAGATGTGTACGCCGCTGCTGGAGCGCGGGGCGGTGAAGGGGGTGGGGGAGGGAGTGGGGGATCCGGCGAGGATTATTAATATTGGGAGTGTGGATGGGATTGCGGTGCCGGCGTTGGAGACTTTGTGAGTTTCCTGCTTGTTGGCCGGGGGTGCCGGTGTGCGGTGTGCGGTGGAGGAAGTGCAGGAAATGTGCTAATACGTGAGGGACAGTGCATACTCCGCCAGCAAAGCGGGCCTCCACCACCTCTCCGAGGTCCTCGCACACCACCTCGGAAAACGAAACATCACGTACCCCCCCCCCCCCCCTCCTCCCTTCCCCTCCCTCCAATTCCAACCCGCTAACTAACTCCCCTCTCCCAGCGTCAACACCCTCGCCTGCGGCCCCTTCGAAAGCAAAATGATGGCGGCGACCCTAAAAAAGATGCGCAGCCACATCGAGGCCTCGATCCCGCTCGGCCGCATCGGCACCCCCGAGGACGTGGCCGGCTGCTGCCTCTTCCTTGCCAGTCGCGCGGGAGCATATGTCAATGGTGCGACGATTACGGTTGATGGTGGTGGGGTTGTGAGTCCGAAATTGTAGTTGGAAGGGGAGGGGGAAGGAGTGTATGATATCATGTAGTTTTTTTTTATTCTGTAGCAATTAGTAGCAGTAGCCACCCGGCCGCATGCGGGCAGGGACAATTGAAATCGACAATATATGACCCAAAGTAGACTAGTGCAAACCTTAAATCCAAAAGAATTATCAACCAAAAAATCATTTCCCTCCCGCGGACTGACTGTCTCGAGCCGTCCCGTCCCGTCCGCTACAGCTTGAAGACTCAACCGGGATCGGATCGTATGAAGAAGATGGAGGAAGGAAAAAATTTAGATATGATAATAACGACATCGGCAGGATTTGAACCTACGCTCGCGAACGAAACAGATTTCTAATCTGTCGCCTTAACCACTCGGCCACGATGTCTTGGAGATTTGTAGCTGGATTGTATAATTTGAAACTTTTCTTTTTTCCCCAGTGGAGAGGGTGGTAATGATTGAGTTGTGGTTTTTTGTTGTGGGGCGGTGTGGGCGGGTGATGGGTGCGGTTGTTGCTGTTGTCAGCTCGCTCGCTGATTGTGCGTGGCGAGCGCGGGAGAGGCGCGGGATCCTCCTCCGGGAATCGTAGGTTGCGAGGGGGGAAGCCCGTTGGAGAAATAATTGGTAGACCGGTCCAGTGATAGTTTCTATATCATACCGCAGCCACTGGCAGGGTTCTTTGCAACCCCTCCCCCACCCGGGGGCTAGCCGATAATACCATTCCCACTGTCTTCTTGCTCACAAGAAGGGCTTGGGGCCTCCCAGTTATTTGTAATTTGTTCCCTCGCCATCATTGACACCTCTTGGCACAAAGGAGATGGCCAGGAGGTTATGGCCAGGAGCAACCGGCGCAAGCAGCACTCGGGGGATTGGTATAACCAATGGTGGTATATATTCCGCAGTTTTTGAAGTCTCTATTCGTTCTGTGGCTCGACGAGATTCCGCACTCTACTCTGTGGCTATTACCTTATAGGGGCTATTACTAGAAACAGTGTCATGGGGGGGGGGGGGGGGATTAATTGGTACGGTTTCCGACGAGTGAGTTCTCATGAATGGGGCCCATGGCCCATTCAAGCCCAATAACCTCCTAGATTGAAATACAATCAATGAATTACCAATCAAATCAATCAATCAATCCTAGATTGAGACTAATCAACCACACACACCGGCCACGGGCCGCCGAGCTAGTGAGCGCCCATGAGCATGCAGGCCCATCTCCACGACGAAGGCCTCTCTGCTCTCCAATAAAACAGACTCGGGCCGCATTATAGGAAGTATGAACTATCAATCAATCAAGCATCATAGGAAGTGATGCGGTTACGTATGTATCGAGTGAGCGCCTATGAACGAGTCTACTCTTATCAATCAATCAAACAAGGCCGGCCGCCACCAGCCAACCAACCAACCCCCCGGGGGCCCCACACCACCGGATTGAAAACCGAAACTAAACCCACTAACCCAAGTATCCCCCACGCCCCACGCCCCATCGCAGGAACTGACCCGACCACCGAGTGAGCGCCCATGAACGGCCCAAACCATCCCCACAAAACACCTTCCCCCCCCACCCTCCCCAAAACCTCCCTCCTGTCCCTCCCGCCTATCTCTCATTCCTGCACGGAAATTACTAAAGTAACACACGCCCCAACACTCCCCACATCATCGCATCACGAGAAATAACACACCCCCCGAGTAAGTCGATCTGATCTCCCAGCCCCCACGCCGCATCATAGAAAATGATGCGGCTGCCGAGTGAGCACCCATGAATAGCTTTATTTTTTTTATTATTTTGCGAAGGGCTTTCCCTCTTAGATTGGGTGTGAAGCTAAGTTATTCACGTAGCACAGCCGTTGAAAAGGACACAAAGCTTAAAGAGTTTTTATCCTGGTCTTGTTCTGCGGGAGCTAGTGCTAGCCCCGACGTTAGTATAACCACCCACCATCACGAACCCGCACTCAAATGCCCCCATAAAGATTCAAGCATGTATCTTAATAGCAATAAGATTTAACTCAAAATGAATGAATAAAAGACTCTCAAATCTCAAATCCCGTTACAGCGCCGTAAATTTAAAATTTACCACCAAAACTCAACAAAAGTCAACAGCAGACCCCCGCTCACAAGCCCGCAATAGACTGTACTAGTAAGAGAGACCTGAATTGTCTACGACATCGGCAGGATTTGAACCTACGCTCGCGAACGAAACAGATTTCTAATCTGTCGCCTTAACCACTCGGCCACGATGTCCTGTTATTCGCCCTTCCTCATAACCCTTTTCCCTCTTCCCCACCCGCTGTCACTGAGAAAGAAGAAAAAAATATATTGCCTACTACTATCCCATACACGAGGACGAGTGAAAAGTATATCTGCCATCCTCCTCTTCTTCTTCGCCCGTGGGCGGCGGCGGTGGCGGCGTCGCCACTACAGCAGTACTGGCGGCCGTAGAGGAGGAGGAGGAGGAGGCCCCCAGCGCCGCCGCCGCCGTCGGCATGTCTTCCATGTCCTTGATGTCCTTTTTGCTCCACACCATCCCGTTGCACCACGTACATATCGTCCTTACCCATTTCTCCTATAAAAAAAACACAGTACACACTCTACATTAACACCTCCCGCCAAAAAAAAAGGTGAGGGTCGAAACGAAAAGAAAAAAAAGAAGAAGAAGAAGAAACTCACAACCGGGTGCAACCGATACAGCTTCTCCGTGGGCTTCTCGTGGCACAGCAGGCAGAGGGGGCCGCCAAAGTACCAGTTGACGTCGAAGGGGATGCGGCTGCTGCCGCCGCCGGCGTACGTGTAGGTGATGCAGTCCTTGCAGATCCATGTTGTGCTGTCGCAGGTGCAGCGCGCGGGGGTGGTGGGGTGCGGCGGGAGGGAGCCGCAGGGGCCGCAGAGGGGCACGGAGCGGCAGTTTAGTGTTGTCGTTGAGGGCTTGTGGATGCAGTTCTGGATCGGTGTTGTTGGTTAGTGGGTATTGGGTGGTTTGTGAATGGGTGAGTGGAGTGAGGAGGAACGGGGGGAGGGAGGGGGGAGGGGGAGGAGGGGGAGGAGGGGGGAGAGAAGGGTTGTGGGAGGTTGTGAGTTTTATATATACTCAGGTAATAAGTATAGATAGAGAGGTGGGGGCGGGGTGAGAGTGGTATATATATGGATATTATATATACTCAGATGAGTGTGTATATAGCCAGAGAGCAATCTCAAAAGAAAGCAGCATAAAGATATCAGAAAAGCAACCCACCCTACAATACGGCGTCCCACACCTCCTACACCCGGCCACCATATCCCTCACACACCTACTCCTCCTAAACGCCCTCCACTCCGGCCCCCGCCCCCGCATCGCCCCTCCCGACCCTCCTCCCCGTCCCCAACCGCACTCGCCCCGTCCTTATAATTAGAGCACCTCAAGCTCATCCGCAGCAGCCCACTGCGGTGCTGCCCCATGTTCTCGCGGAACTGCCAGCACGCCCCGCTCAGGCTCTCGAGATCCGTGTGGTCCAGCCACTGGGCCATCCCCGCCAGAATCGGGTACGCCGCCAGCAGCCGCGACAGCGGGTGCTCCCTGTTGAGCCTTTCCTGGGTCATTGCATTGGTGGTGGTAGTGCTGCTGGTGCCGTGCAGGATCTGAGCTGCGGTGGAGTGGCTGTGGTTGGCGGAGAGGTCGTAGAACAGCACCATTGCAATTGGGGTAGTACTATGACGGGGGTTTCTTTAGCTATAGTGGCTGAATATCAGTATGGAATGTGGAATAGCAGTGCTATATTTGTTCCATATACAGCAGGAATATCAATGGAGCAGCGGAGCAGCGGAGGCCCAGAGAGAGCTTGCTTGTTCCCTTGCATGTGCGCGGAGCGTTGCAGCAGGGTTAGGGTTGTGTCCGGTGGGGTGCAGCGGGGGTTTCCTGAATCTCGATATCCAACACCTCCACCCACAGCTTTCCGTCCATCTGCGATATATCATCTCCACAATACCCCAAAACACCGGCCAATTAGGAGAGAGAGATGCCGATACCGATACCAATGGACGACCTACTCGCCCGCCACCGCAAGGAGCTCCGCGACCTGACTTCGCGCACCACGCAGAAGAAGAAGGCCGCGACGAAAAAGACGCGCAAGGGCGTCAACGCCGAGTGCGAGGCCCTCGAGCGGGAGCTGAAGGAGCGCCACGCGCGCGAGGTGGCAGAGCTCGAGAACCCCGGTGGTGGTGCCGGGGACCTCGACGACGAAGAAGAAGAAGACGTAGAGGCACCTGCGACGGTAGAAGACGAGGTAGCAGCCCCAGCTGCTGCAGAGCAAGCGTCAGACCCACAACCCACCACCCCCACAGACCCCACCCCGACCCCATCCACACAACCCACCAAGAAGCCCCACCGCCGCAAAGCCGCCCTCGCCCGCCGCGCCGCGGCCCTCGCCACCGCCGCCTCCGAAGCCGCGTCCTCCGCCAGCACACAGCCAGACCTCCGCAGCCTCGAGCTCTCCCAGATGGCGTCGCAGCTGCAGTCACTGTCACTCACCGAGGTCGAGATCGCGCCCGACGGCCACTGCCTCTACAGCGCGTTCGCCGAGCAGGTGGATGCCGCGCGTGACTACCGCACCGCGCGGCGGCGCTGCGCAGAGTTCATGGGGGGGCATCCGGACGACTTTGCGCCGTTCATTGAGGGGGATTTCGGCGAGCATGTGCGGCGGGTGGGGGAGACGGCTGAGTGGGGGGGGCAGGCGGAGGTGTTGGCGCTGGCGAGGGCGTATGGGGTGCAGGTGAATGTGGTGCAGGCGGAGGGGAGGGGCGTGGAGAGGATGAATGAGGGGGCCGAGGGCGGCGAGGTGTGGTTGGGGTATTATAGGCATAGTTTTGGGCTCGGGGAGCATTATAATTCGCTCAGGAAGAATAAGGAGGGCGGGAGTTAGGGCTGGGCTAGGCTGTGGGTGGTTGGGGGGATGAGGGGTGGGTGGGTATATAGATATGCTACTGGGTGAGCTTAGATAGATAGATAGTAATGGGATAAAAGATCACTAGAACTATGTACTTTGTATTTAATAGAGGAATGGAGTTGATCATTGATATCGGATGATTGATTTCACAAATAAAAACAAAAATCAACCGATCATTGGCAGCACATATCCGGCAAGCAAACGCAATTTAATCATTGACCGCACATTATCCCACAAGCAAACACAATTTAAAAAAAATCATTGACACCTCCACGCTACAAAAGCTCCTCAACTCCGCCTAGGAAATCCCCTCTCCCATCCTCCCATCCTCCATCTACCCTCTCCCATCTACCTCTCTCCATCCACTCCCCTCCATCCAATCCCCTCCTACGACCCCCGATAAGTCGTATAACTATACGGCGCCAGCAGCAACGGAATATGATAATGCTGCGCCGCATCCTTCACCGTAAACACCACCTCCACATACGGGAAAAACGTCTCGCCGCCAAAATACTCCCACGTCTCAAAACGTATCTTGTACGTAAACCCCTCCTCAACGACTAGTCTCCCCGCGGCGCCCTTCTGCCGCGTCTCCCACTGCGCCACACGGCCGTCGTCGTTTGTGAGCGCGCGCGCAACCTCGAACGACGACGACGAGGGCGTGCCGTCGTCGAGCTTCAGGAAGCGTGAGAGCGTGCAGGGGATGCCTGGTGCGGGCTTGCCCGTGGCGGTGTTGAGGACGTGGCAGGTTACGGCGGGTTTGGGCGCGGGGGTGGGGGTGCTCATGATGTGTGTGGTGATGGAGGCGAGGCGTGACGATGCTGTGGTTTGTGCGGGTGAGGGGGTGGTGGTGGTGGGTTGTGCGGGAGGGGGCGTGTTTGTGGGTTCGGGGGAGTGGGGCATGGTGAGGGGCGGAGGAGATGCAGTGGGGGTGGGGGGAGGGGTTTATATGCTTGCTCTCCCCCAGGCCGTGTTTGATGGTGTGCTGGTGGAATCTACAATCTACCCGCCTGGCTGCATAGTGATAGATACTCCCACACACAGACTCTCTCACACACACTCTCTCTCTCTCCCCCCCCCCCCTCCCCAATCCACCCAATTCATTCACTGACCGACTGCATCATCGTTCCAGACAGCCCCATTTAAAGCCACCGCCCAATTCTCTTCCCCCGCCGCGTCTCGGCGGCTACCGAAGCCGACTCTTATCGGCACCGGCCATCACTACGTCATCGAGTGACTCCCGATGCAGCACCTCCGGCGCCACGGCTCAGAGCCAATCGGGCATCTGCAACATAACGTCTGACTCGGTGGTCAGTAATCATGACATCGTGGCCGAGTGGTTAAGGCGACAGATTAGAAATCTGTTTCGTTCGCGAGCGTAGGTTCAAATCCTGCCGATGTCGATACTTGTGCATTTCTTTTTGATCTTTGCAGGTAGGGCCTGGACTTGACATGGGTGTGCCTGGTTGTATTAGCGAGGCGACGAGTAGGGGGGTCTTCGGGTTCAGTGTTTGGCTAGGTGGCAAGGTTGCTGTGCTCATGATCTATCACTCGCTTGGTCCAGTAAAGTTGCGCGCCAGGTGCTTCCCCCGCCCACTTCCTCCCAGCTTGTTCTTCACAACCCCCCAGGGAAAAACATAACAAGGAACCTAATTCACTACCCCCCCCCCGCACTTGCATCTCGCCTTCAAAAGAAGTCTCGATAGCCAAAGAAGAGTCACCTGGTACCTGTAGGAGGAAAAGAAAAAAACTCAATCATGGACTATCCTAGCGGTATGGTTTATCCCTCTTCCACTTGAGCCATGGGGAGCCTAGATGAGATATCTACACACTATCTCAAGCACCCTCAGTAACTAGACAGCATCTACGAAGGTGGTAGACTGGGAGCCGGGGTAGTAGTGAATATGGTGTGGTAGAGGGGGGGGAAAGGTGGGGGGTGAAGACCAGAACGGTAACAACGCCTTGGTTGGGTCTCTGTTGATATCCATTCCAAGATGCGAGTGCACTAGATTCCCCTATAACGCACTTGATTTTATCGCTCTCACCACCCATCACTCGCCCTCCCTCCCCCGCCCTCCTTTCCCGATAGTGCCTGCGCTCGCGCTTACGAGGCAGCCAAGGACCCCCCCCCCCCCCCAAATCCCGCAGTTCTCCGTGGCGCAATTGGCTAGCGCGTTCGACTGTTACAGAGGGCCCCCCCCCCCCTTCCAACCAAGGGGGACCAGTTTCTTCTGCAATCGAGAGGTTGACAGTTCAAGCCTGTCCGGGGAAGCATCAATTTTTTTTTTCCTTTTCCCCCTGTCTGCTTGCTTGGTTGCCAAGAAAGAATTTTTTTTTTCACAACGACAAGGGCGATTTTGATCCAAAAACAAGATTTTTTATTGGATTTTTTGTTACGACAGATCTCTGGCGATTTAATTGAAGCTTTCTTTCCTTGCCTGTATGATACCTCATATCCAGAAGAGGGGGGGGGTTACATAATAATATACAACGTAAGGAAGGATTGGGAAGGGACTCAATTCGCACACGCAAAAAAGATCAAGCAGACATGCACGGAAGAGGAGAATGGAGATCGAAACGAAGAACAAAAAAAAAGAGGATACAGATATATCGAATCGACTCAGCCGACAAAAAAAAAAAAGGACTAACGTAACTTAACGGATAGGTATCTTGCCATATATGCCCGCCACAGTGAAAAACAGAACAGTAACAGTAACAATATGATGATGAATGATGAATGATGAATGATATGGGATATTGGTACAATGCAAAAGTACCCCCTCTGCTCCCTCCCCCCCCAAAAAAAATGGCCGAAACAACTCGAAACAGAAAAGACAACTCCTTCATGCTAGTATCCATGCATGTATGACCCATGCACCGACATTCCCGCTACTCTTGCTAAAAAAATAAATTCAAAAACCGAGAAGAGAATAATAAGAAAAAGAAGAAGAGAAAGAAAATGGAGATAGTAAATCACCCGTCCCCGAAAAAGAAAAGAAAAAATTGTAAGAAAAGACCCCCTTCAATTATCACGGCATTCATGGTCACCGACCCATCCCGTATTTTCCATCATTACTCAGAACAAAAGTAAAAACCCATAGCAACGTCGCAGCATTAATACCTCCTACGGGTTCTACCCAGATTCGTAGACCCGATGTTGATCATACTCATCTCCTGGCTCAACAAGTAATCCTCCCTACTCAGCTGGCCATTTCCGCCCGGGATTGGGATCTTCGCCGGGATTGGGGGTCCTGAGGTGGGGGCACGCGATGCCCTGGAGGTGGGTGCATATGAGGCAACCTCCATTCCAGTATATCTTGGCTCTTCGTACCCGTAATTTTCATAACCCTTTGAAGGGACAAGAGCCCGAGAGTCTCTGTTCCTGTCCCTATCCTGACGACGCTGTTCCCTCTCGCCCTGAGGGTTGTACATTACCATGGCTCCAGGAACCATGGAATGACGGTTCCTGCTGGTACCCTCCTGTCTCGAGCCCGAGCTGTTACTTGGCACAAGCGCCATGCTCAGCGAGTTCCTGTGCTTCTTCTTTCTCTCCCGCTCCCTGTCTCTGGGGGCCTCGACTGCGCTGTCGTTGGGGTTTACAAATTCTCTTTTTGGTACAGAAGGAGGTGGAGGAGGTAGAGCCAATCTCTCAGCCTTCTTTGGCGGGAGAGGACTCAAGCTACGGAGAACTCTCTCCTTCCTGTGATTAGCAGGAACTTGCGGAGGAGGACGCGGGCTACGCTTCTTGAGCTCTGGTTCTGGTGCAAAGCTCTCGGGTGGGAGAATATCAGTTCCATCAAGCACACGGTTTGTCCCAGGACTAATCATCTTCTTGGGCTTCTTGGACTCTGCTTCAACAGCTGGGCCAGGGTTGATAATATTGAAAGAGTCAGGTGAAAATGGAAGTCCCTCTAAGGGCTTTGGCGAAGGAGGTGGTACCGGCTTCCTCTCGGGGGCAACCATCATCGAATTCCTCTTATTGATACTAGTAGTCGCTTCAGCCATGGCCCCCACATTTCTTTCGCCATGAATTGGCATCGGCTTGACCATTGGTGCTGGCCGTTGTTTCTTCGTTCGTTCAATAACCTGGTCCTCTGGTAAGAGCTGTGGCTGATAAAGCGCAACATCCTGGACTTCCTCTACCTGAGGCCGATGGTAGTTCTTGCTGGGCACGTGCTGCATTTGCCCCCCCATTTGTGGCGTAGATGCATTGAGATGGAGCAGAGCAGCAACCTCAGCAGAAGCGGCTTCATTGAAGCTCAATCCCCTCCCCCTCGTAACTCTCTCTGTCTCTTCCTCCGGAACAAATCCAGGGACGAGACTGGGCGGAATTGGCACACCGTTCCTACTAGGCGGGATATCCCTGCCCCGAGACGGTGCTCTTTCTTCAAGACCAAAAGCAGCCATTTGCGCGTGTGCATCGTCGTAAGCAGCAATATTTTGCTCCGCGAAAGAACGTAGTGGCTTGACCTGCCAATCAGGCTCTTCCATACGCGTCGGGGCGGGCTTACGGGCATGTGGCGGCGGCGGCGGCGGTGGTGGGTCATCATTATTCCTAAGACTGGCCTGTGAGCTGGTAGATGTAGATCCAAACGAAAGACCAGGAATCTCGTCCTCGGGGCGTATCCCGTTGTATTCTTGGTGTCTTGAGCGCCTATTATGGTGCGTGTTTGGAGAAGGAGCGGGACGATCGTCGTACTCCTCAAACCCTTGCTGGGGAGGGAACTCGTTCTGGGGCCCGGGGTAAGAACCGCCATATTGGTCGAATTGCATTTCCGGCGAGTCGATTGGGTTATTCTGCTGGTAGAACTGCCAATCTGGCACACTTTGATAATGTCTTAGAAGAGACTTCTGTCTTCGATGACCCGAAGCATTTCCCTGCTGGCTTTGCTGCTGAGATGGAAGAACAAGCTGAGTAGCAATGTTTGTCGCCGAATGATGGCGGCCATCTCCCTGGTAACTTCTCGAGTGTAACGGTGGGGGAGGAGGGGGTGTCTGATGGCCGTTTCGGACATCTGGTTCGTCGTATTGGCCCAACATATCCATACCCGGAATATAGCTATCATGTTGACCATATGGGTCATAAATTTCATTCCCAGGGTTCACAGCAGCAGGAGTCATGGCGATTCCTCCTCTGTTGTTCGGGAAACTAATTGGTCTTGAACCCCTCATCTCTCTATGATGAGCTCGCGGGTCCGAATGGTGGCTTTGGTGAACCTGCGGGTGGTGGGGATGCCTTGACCTCCTCGTCACACGCGCAGGCTCTTGAGACTGTTGAGATGGCAAACTCAAGTCCTCTCTCGAGAGACTTGGGTCTGACGGTAGCGGTCTCCTTTTCGGTATCCTCTCCTTTGATCCCATGTCTCGCGCACCACCAAGCTTCCGCATCGGATCCCTTCTCCTCTCTTCAACTTCCCTCTGCTTCACGACCGACGTCTCGTCACTCCTCTTCTGCATTTCCGGCGTTGGCCTCATGTCCCAGAACGTCAATTCAACCAAGATTTCTCCTGCGTATTTGTCCTTGCACTTCAGCCCCCTCCAGCCATCGTCGGTTCCACCGCCGGTCACTAGAATCTTGTCGAGACGTATGCTGCACTCGCCAATTAGGTCGGTCTTCTTATCGTCGTTAAACACGGTGATCTTGAGCTTCCTATAATCCGGTGAGTTGCGCACAGGGAACCGGAGTTCCTTATCCCTACAAACACAGATAAACCCGTTAGAAACAAACACGGGCCCGAGTGAAGTCCTGTTGCGAGACACAAAAACTCACCACCGCGGTGTTTGACCGCCACGAACATCTGTATCCGTGCGCTTTCCCTCCTTCCCCAGACGTGCGACAGCGTACGGATCCTGCTTCCCAATTTTCTTCCGGTTTGGCAAGTTTTTCTATCGCAAAAAAATCTCGAGGTCAGCAGAGTTACCCAAGGCCCAAGGCGGCACCAACCAATGACAAAAAACGGGGTGGAGCACGACGACGACGGCAGCGGTTGGAATAACGGTCCGGGTACTTACGGCTTTGTCTAAAACCACAATGAGTGTACCAATTACCGGCCCATCTATTGAGAGATCAGACCAAATTCCGGCGGGATGCGCTTCTTTTATCCCGGCCCGAACCATCTTTGTTTTCTATACTTCTGTTTTTTCTTTTCTTTTCTTGTTTTCTTTCTTTCTTTGGTAAGCTGCTCAAACACGGGCAGCAAGTCTCTTTTCCAAACTCAAAACCACACACAGCTTCGAAAGGGTGTGTTCAAAGTTGGAGGTAGAGGAAAAGAGGGTTGCGAGGGTAAAAAGACGTATTTAAGTGAATCCCAGTTTTTCTTGAAAAAAGGCTCGAGATGTAAAAGGTAAAAATAAAAGAAAAAAGGTCGGAGGAATGATGCAGTAAAGAGTAAAGCGAGAAGGGTATACTAGGAGCGTAGAGCAAGTACAAACGGCGTGCAGCAACCAGCAGAGTGTTGTAATACCTAGTCTCTACTGCAAGATCTGTCTGGACGGATGACTTCCTGCAGGAAGGTGGTAAAGAAGGGGAAAAAAGAAGGGAAAGGCAATCAATGCGGTAAGAGTAGAATCGAGCAAGACTCGAGAAGGATGTATGTAAAGGGTAGGTGTGGGGGGGGGGGTATGTGCGATAGTTAGAGGAAGGATATGTAGTGAGTGGGTGGTTGTCTAGTGTTGACGTCGACAATTGGCTGCTAGAGGGAGCAGTAGCAACGGAAGCATTACATAGACAGACAGGCAGACAGAAAGAGAGACTACAGAGGAAAGAGAGAGCAAGCAGAACAGCGGTTGGGAGAGGGAAATAGTGTGGCGCGCTACTTTACCTACATTACTCTATTGTGAATTCAAGGGAGGCTGGGGTTATGTTGTCTCGGGCAACCGATCATTGCTAGGGGGAGGGATGGAGTGAGGGTGAGTGTTCGAATTCTACTTTGGCTCCGTAGCAGTTAGAGGTAACAGAACCCACCCCGCGTAGCCAACCACAACCAGGGCCAACAGCAGGGAAGAACCCCTCCACTGCATCCCCGCAAATGTGCCTGGCGCTGCGAGGCTGCAAACGTAGGTACCCCTGGACGGAACCCGAAACGGTGAAATGTAAACAACTGCTATCTACTGAGGAGATGCCCTCACAATTAATTACGCTTATCGCAACTCCCCCACCCCCCATCATCATCATCTTCTTGGTGTCTCGTCCATTCCTCACCCCCCCCCCCAAACCACTCAGCCTCGTGATTCGAGGGAGTAATTGAACGAGTGGAGATGGTGAATTCCACCATCAAATTAGACTCCAATAAGAAAGTATGTAGGGTACATATAATAACATAGCCCACTGCCCACCATTGCGAGTACCGACGTACTCTACAATACAAACAACAACACCTCGGCCCTCGACGACGACGACAACGACAACGACTGCAGCTGGACATGGCATAGACATCAAACCAAACAAACACTCCCTCCCTCGCTGTGGCAAGCAAGTGTAACGCCACACTGGACTGGAAAACACGCAATCCGATACAAGCCCGTCAATCAATCAATGTTGATCTCGGAAATTACTTTAGCGGCGCACCGCGCGGTGTGTTACTATTTTTGCAGCTCGAACCCGGTAAAAATCTCCATGACAGAGTATCATCATGCTGTATGAATGGATGCAGCAGCTGTTTGGATTGATGAGACGAACCTTTTCTTTTAAAAGGGGGAACAAAACAAAAAAAGAAGGGAAAAAAATGATTTATTTGAACACACGCGCCAAACTGCGATCCTTCCAAGGCATGCTCGTGGCACAATGCCACCGCGCAACCTGCAACTGACTGATTGACAGGTTTGTGCTGCTGCTGATACTCGTGCTACATGGATAGACATGGGACCCATAATTTAACGTCTCCCACGGCCATGGATCAATTGCGGTCCTCAACGCGCGAAGGAAAAGAAAGAAGACGAGAGAAAAAATAAATAGAAAGGCTGGGAAATTTGTTTATTTTCCTGCTTTCTTTCTTTCTTTCTTTTTTCCCCACGCGCTTGACTGTCACAAGGGGGTGGAAAAGAAACCACTACGGATCAATGCCGGATCTTCAACCCGACCCTATATATATTGAGGGGGGGGGGGGGGTTATCATCATGCAGCAGTTCTAATTCCGCCTTGACAAACCATCATTCCAAACAAAAGAGAAAATAAAAAATAAAAAATAAATTTAATATCGCTCGCTGGGTACAGCGACCGGAATGATCTATGGAAAAACAGGGGGGGGTGAAATTGTATGGCGAAATATATGTGCACCATATAACTGTTTTTTCCATAGATCATTCCTATCGCTGTACACGCGGTTCAAACGCGTCGAACCGTGCTTCGTAATCCAGGAAGGGGCTGGGGGCACAGATCATCTCGCGCACCGCCTCCTCCTCTGACTACCACAGTCCAAGATCTAAGGGTTTGATACACGCGCCCTACTATACTCCACTCCAGAGTACCTACGTATCCTCTACATGAGGCTCACACAGTAGGCCGTACATATATCACGGCATGTAAAAAAAGTTCCGAGATGCAGGGAATCACCAGGATTCCGGGGTGCTGATTTTTTTTTTGTTGCAAGGATGTGTGCTTCTCCGTCCTCTCTTACCTTCCTCCCATGATGTCATACATACATGTCTTCCAATCCCATCGCACGGAGTGAGGGGGCGGGGGTAATGATAGTCCCGGAAATTCTTTACTTTCGGGGCCGGGAGGATGTGTTAGACATGGTTGTGCTCTGGGTATGTACCTACAGGATTAGAGTACTGCGGGCGTGGTTAGGAGATAATAATCTGTAAAGTGATACCTGGTTAGATTACCTAGACTAGTGCTATTGTTTACAGTGTGTTTCTGCAGATGCTGTGGGAGAGTCTATTTTGTGTAAATGTTGTTTTGGGCGGGCGGGGTTTGTCCAACCTCACGCTTTTCGACCCCTGTGATCATTTCCAACACTTAGTTTTACCGAGTGATGGGTTGTGAATAGAAATTTGACTTTCTGATTTTAGCAACCTAAAACAAGCAATCATCTAGTCTTTCTAATCCATAGTCCATTTGGCGTATTTATATATTACTATAAAGACGGATACGTGTTCGGTTACACCCGTTACAGGAAAGGCTTGTATCGAGTCTTAGGATCAATTCATTCATTTTATCGGTAAGCCTTCATCTAGCAAAATTTCCATGTAAATGGCCAAAGCTGCCATCAGCCAATCATTACAGTCATTATCTAGGCTAAAAACGCCAAGAGAAGGAGAAAAAAGTACGAGATAAGTAGAGAAACGCTGAATGACACATAGACCAGTAAAAAGAACATTTCAGATGGATACTATGAGTAAAGAGAGAAAAAGGAGAGAAGACACAAATGTGATAGAGAAAAATGCAGTTTCTTGCCCTGCGGTGAATAAAATGGGCCTCCCATAGAGAAACATAAATCAGGAACAAGATCAAATAGATAGAAATGAGTTATGTTATACCAGGGAACAAACGGAAAGGGGGGTAAGAGTAAAAGCCAAAAGGAAATCCTCAACTTAGCGCCACCAAGGCCCCGGCGGGAAAAGTGCCGTCTGACTAGTATCAGACTTCTTGACCTCAACAAATCCCCTGTTCCTCTCAATCTCTGGCGGACTTCTCATAGGGCTAGTATTGACGGTATTCGACATGTCCATGAACATTTCCGTTTGATCATCTAGGGCCATGAGGCGGGGGATGCTCCCATCACCGGCGATCGTGTTATCAAGAAAATGTTTCTGTGCCCAATAATTTGGTGAAAAGCCTATGTTTCAGATAAAACTTTGGTTAGCGAAGAGTTTAAATAAGGTTTCTCATGTAACAACATTCCCGAACGAGGGAAGGGAAGTTCAAGCGAACTAGATAAAGAACAAAAACATCCAATACCAGATGGCAAGGGACTAGGTGTTTCATAGTTAACTGTGACGTGGTCTAAATGCTAACCAGAGGTAACAGAGAAAAATATATAGGGGCTGAATCAAGCTAGCGTACATGCATGTACCCCTCATTTCAAGCCGCCAATATGAAAGGGGGAATATATGTCTCAAAATAGCAATGAGGTTGCTGCTTCTGTTAAGGAAGATGTAGGGAAGTGATTATAATCATGCTAATAGGTGCGTGGGAATTATTTTTGCTACATACCCTCGTTTACTTTGTTCTCATTCTCTCGCACCGCTTCTTCTGCTACGATTCCCGCAGTCCACATAGGATCATCTCCATCAAATCCACCGCCGATTCCGCCCAACATATCCCCACTCATTGCCCTGGTTTTATATACCAGAGCGGTCTCTAGTCGACTGATATATTGTGGTGTTTCCCTCTCATCCTCCGGTGGTTGCCAAAAGTTAACTCTCAACTCCGTCGAAGGCAATTTTCCATTACCGCTAGCTGTGGGAGCCTGGGACCCATCGGTTTTTTGGGCTCTCGGTTCTTCAGCTTCTTCAAAAGGATCCTTTTCGACTGCATCGTGGCGCCAGGCAAATCCCATCCAAGCTCTCCAGGTTGGATCCTTCCCTAAAATCCAAGGGTTTCCAATGACAATCAAACCCTGCTTTGCCCTGGTCAATGCTACGCATGCCCTCCTGTTCTCAAAAACCACGCCTAATCCTCTCTCTAGATCACCTTCAAGGAATCGCTCTCGGGATCTAGTGGTGCAGATGATAACGAGCTTATGTTCACTTCCCTGGTAGATCTCAATGGGCCCCACATTGACATTTCTAAGGCCATAAGACGGTGAACGCAAGGCCTTTCTGAGACGTTTAATCTGTTCTCTGAATTGGGCCATGATGGCTATTTCATAAGGCTCAATAAGCCCAGATGCCACAAGGTCTTTGGCAATATTGCAAGCAATCTGAATTTCTCGAAGGTTGTAGAAGGACACTCCCTCTTCATGCCATTCATCCTGCCCACCATTCAAACAAAACTTAATTGGTATTCCTTTGCGACCTTTCCATCCAGCCCAGCATTCCATGCCCTCTGTACCTCTCGCTTCTGGTACCAAAGTGTCATTATAGAAAAGTGCACTTGGCACCGCTAGAATCGCCGGATGTGAACGGTAATTTCTAATCAAGTTTGTGAACGGTGGTCGGAGATATGGCTACATCCAAGTCAGCAGATGATAAACCCGTTTTTTTGAGGACATGATAATCCCACCAGTAAAGCCTTCTTCCTTTCGAGAATCCTCTCAGCACTCCAGCCCGTGGGGTTTTGCTCGACACCAAAGCTGTGCCTAGCCAGAGGATGCTGACTATATATCTCCCTCAGAAAGAGTCTTTCAAAAAGACTCATATCCAGTTGGGGTATTTTACTGGTTGTTCTCGGGCCCTAGGATTTCCGTCAGCAACTTAAAAGGAAAGAAAGAAAAAAAAACGAAAAAGAAAAAAACAAAAAGAAACTGTCAAGTGGAAGACCCACCAATTGCTTTTGATCTCCTGCCATTACAAAGATTGGCCTATCAAGACTGGCCTCCTCCGGTGGTGCCACAACAGAAAGCGCAACTGCAACTTCTGGTTCGATGCCTTGTGCCGCTTCATCCAAGAGGAGAGCTGTCCAATGAACATTGACACTCTGGCCCTTCTCGACCACTCCATGCCTACCGTTGTCATCCTTCTCGTCCCCAATTCCTCTCAACGAATCAACGACGCCTTTCTCCCACCTAGCTAAATCCCTGTTTGTGCACCTGGCTTCCACCAGAATCTCGGCATCTCGAGTGGAGCAGACAATTACTCTGAAGCCCATAAGTGTTTTCCATTCCGGAAGAGAAAACATGTCATTGGCTATGTAAGAATACGGCAATAATTCCCCTGGAACTTCAGGAAATGTTCGAGCGCTCGACTGTAAGCGGAATAGTACTTTCGGATTCAGGTACGGGATGAGACGTTTGGCCAATGTATCTGCTGCTTCATGCGATGGTGCACAGAGAAGGATATGATGTTTCGGACTAGACGGCGTGAAGATCAGTTGTAATACTGGATAGAAGAAAACCACACAACCCCAATTAGTTATCTATCATTCGTCCAATAGAAATGATTGAAGGGGCTGGGGTAAATTTTCCTCCTTACATACCTGCTTCTACTATCGTTTTTGTTTTGCCGGTTCCTGGGGGCCCAGAGATGAGATACGGGATATTCCCGTAATTTTGCTGGACAATTGCGTCGACTGCTTTCTGTATGTTCACTTAGCTTACCATCCATTACCCAAACCCCGCCAGATAGAGATAAAGAAGAAATTGATGCCCAAAGACGCGAAAGAAACCTTTCCGACACAAAGCCCAATAGGGAACAGTTTTTTAATAGCAAAAGGCCGCCTTGTTATGATACAGGATGACGAATATCTCAAGCACACCAAAAGAGCTAGCCTTACCTGTTGTTCATAGTTCAGCTCTCCGTCAAACCACCCTCGATTAAAAGCTCCTTTGCCCAAATTCCTTTGCAAAACACCGTCTGCTTTTTCTGGAAACAGCATTCTCCTCACGAACCCTCCTCCCCTAGGTATATCTTGGTTTACAGATCCATTAATACCGTTGCTGTTAACTCCATTTATTCCATTTATATTTAAACCATTTATTCCGTTGGTTATAACGAGCCTCTCCTTCGCGTCGACATTCTTCAGCTCCCCTCCAAGGTCTTCGACAGCCCTGGCAGGACCGGCCCACCGCTTTTCTTGAACGCAGAAGCAGACGTTAAAACGTCCACTTTCCATCATCAAATGATCCACCCTGAGAACAATGTACCCAACTGTCTTGTCCATGCCATAAACACAGGCATCGTATTGGAATCCGTTAAAGGACCCTCCCCCCATCGCCATGTAGCTAGCTGGGTGGATTCGGACCTGTCTAAGCCTCACAACATCTCCAAGTTGCACCAAAGGCGTGTTTTCCCGGATCCCAGGAACAATCAATCTATACAAGCTCTGTGACAGGTCTTGAACGTAAAGTGGTTCATTGTACATATCGTACTTCCGGAACCTTTCGTGCTGAGACGATACTTCATGGGAGAGAAGATTGAAGAAATAGTCGAAGTAGGTGGAAGGGTTGAGATCTGTTGATGGAGTGGGAGCTGGTTTTGCTGGTGTTGGTGGAATAGCTGGAGGAGGAGGGAGTAATCGAAGAAACGATGATCCACAAAAAGAAGATATAAAAGCATGGAATTGAATCGAAGGCGGGGGAAGAGATGTCACTGTTGCAGCAGGAAGTGTATTGATTACTTGCAAGTACTGCGGTATGAACGGGAGAGTATAAACATCCGGATACCATGGCTTTGGGGTTGAAAGGTTCGGGGCTTGCTGGCCTCCAGGAGTGAACGATGGCTGTGAAGGGTTTGGGCGAAATGGTTGGCCAGGATGGAATAAAATTGGGGATTGATGAGCAGGATGTTGCGGCGGGGGCGGAGGTAGCTGCTGCTGCTGCAGTTGCTGTTGCTTTTGTGGTTGCTGTTGCTGTTGCTGCTGCTGCACCGTAGCGGGAAAGGCCGGGGGCGCTGCCTTGAGAGTTGCAGCATACGACATTGGTGTTGATAAGAGTTGAGGATGAGGAGGAGGAGGAGGAGGAGGAGAATTGTTATGAGTAGGAGGAGAGGGTGAGAGGGGTGGGAATGAGCTCTGGGAAACTGGTGGGGGGAGCGGCGGCGGCGGTGGGGGCGGAGGAAGAGTATGGCGAGGAAGTACCATTTTTTTTTTGAAGGAAGCTTCTTCTATCGATGAAGGACGGGATATGGTGATGTATTCTTCTTTCTTTCTAGAAGATATGTTTATATCTCACTTACTCGCTCCCCTCTCTGTCCCACCCACTTTCACGTTGATAGAGAAAACAGAAAGAGAAAAAACGAGATGAGGGGAAGACCAAGGAAAAGAAATTAAGGCGGGCGAGCAACAATAATAGCAGCGAATGAATGAAGCTTGCGTCCCCGTCGCCGTCTATTTGTGGTCAGTGGACTAACGTTTTACCAAAACCTTCAACGAACTTTGCCCGAACAGTTGGCTACGAGTCCTTTGCGCGTGTGCGGGCGAGACACTGGAGCTCAAAACTAGAGCTCAAAACTGGACTGGCCTAGCCGCGCTGACCTGACGGGTCGACAGAAGAGGCCCGGGTCACCGCAAACTTGTTCATCAGCGTGATCCCACTTCTAAAGATAGAGAAGTCAGGATTATCAATTATTGGTGAGAGTTATACGGTACTCGGACCGGCGAGCAAGTGCGTCAAATCAATAACCCCCCGAGCTTCAGTTTGTGGGGTATGGGAGCTTAAAAGCTTGTCTCCTGACTTTGACCGCCGGGTAAGCGAGCTTTTTGTATTTGCTCTTGGTCTGATCGGGAGCTTCGAACGAGAACACCAAGATTCCATAGTCGCACAAGGCTTAACAAAGAATCGTGAGGTTCCTTTTTTTTCTTCTTGGGAGGAACTCAGGGATCATTCGAAAATTCTGCCTATATAAACATCTTATTGGGACCAGGTTTCGGAACTGGCAGGGGAAATGACCATTTTTGCAACAATTTCAACAGCTAACAAATCCTCCAATTCGAGTCATATTATATCGACATGAGTATAAAGTGGTTTGGAAAGGCCTTTTGAATGTTTGAATAGGTGTTTGTATATATGTATATAAATGAATATTATTTATTACAAGCTCAAGGAGCAGTACACCTAGTAAGGATGTAGTACATCGTAGTACTAAGTACATCTAGAAATAAGAGACATCCTGGCCAGAAAAACGTAGAATACCACAGCTGTAATCTGATATCACTCTCCCAGATGTAGTAGTGGTTTCGCTCGTATTATATCCGCAATTACATTACATATAGAGGGCGCCAGGAGCTAAAATTGACCACCCTATCGCCTAAACTTGCGACTCCAAAAATAAGGTCTACAATCTGCATATAGGCCGACAAAATGATATGCGAGTTCAGCGTTGATTGAATACTTCTACTTACACGAAACAGATATCTAGACCCCAGGAGTTTAACAGAAAGTGACTAAAATGAGAGATGAGGTATACGCCATCAAATGAAACGAAAAGGAACAAGAGCAGTTGAAGTAGTTGAATCGATGGAGACATAAACTTTCAGCAAGATATAACCTTGCCTCCTTAAAGTAAAAAAGAAAAGCGATGGATAAGGGTGATCATGGGTAAGTCTGTAGCCCGCAACTTCCATCAAGTATAGAACCTTTCAGCATGGTAACAATTTTATTTAGGAGGGGAACCAAAGAACAAGGGTTCTGCGGGGCTCTCTTCGGGGGTATCTGGAGGACTAGCACCCCATTTGAGGAGTAGGAGTTCCCTTTCGGAGTCTGTAGCGGAAAAGAAATCGGATGGAGCGACACAGGCGCCAAGGGCACGCCTCATATGGGAGTTGATAATGGTAAGTCCAAGTTGGTAGGAGGCATTCACCCAACCAAACCTGTAAACACACGGTGTTAGTAGTGCCGATAAGCGTGGTTTCGAATGACTACATACCCTTCTCTTGCAACACCTCTAAAATCCAGCCCTTGGTTTCCATACTCTGCGTCAACACGGTGCGGGTCGATAGGGCGGGTCACGTCATATTTCTCCACGACTACACCATTGTAATCTACGAAGGCTTTTGTAATCATGTAGAGCCAACGGTAAGCAAGACGCTCTGCTTCTTCCTTGTAGCCATAACGCTCAAGACCAACCCAAGCAAGAATCTGCTGAGGAGCCCATCCGCTACAATATACATTAATAGCCGCTCAGAAAACACCCTCAGGAGAAATAATAGGACTTACTAAGGATAATCCCATTGCCGGTTGGGCCTGTCTAAACCAATTCTACCCCTACTCTTCTCTGTACCACTTACTAAACCTCCGTGCTCCTCAAACAGTTTCATGGCAGTTTCTACCATTTTGGTAGCTTGCTTTGGAGAGCTGACTCCTGCCCACATGGCCCAAAATGTAGTGGCAGATTCATACTTGATCTGTTTCTTCGCTACCGTATCGTAATCAAAGTACATGCATTTTTCTTCGTTCCACAAGTACCTATCGATCAACATCTTGCGCCTCTTGGCCCTACGTTCCCAAGCACCAGATGTATGGACAGACCCTGTTTGAAGATCTGGGTGCCCCTTGGCTGAAAACTCCTGCGGAATAACCAAGCGTCCACCGAAGTATGTTTCAATCACCTTAGCGATGTCTGTCTCGTACTTATAAAGCAATGAATTAAGGTCAATCGTTGCCAAATTAGCGCAAACACCCTCCAGGCGATAGCTCGTATCATGCCCAGATTCACGAACAGCACGATCATGAAGGAAATATTCATCCAAAGCTGGCTCTTTGATGACGCCATCATTGTAGGCGACGATAAAATCCTCGATTGACATTCCGTGTTTCTTGGCATATGGTCCCAGATGAGAGTCAAAGTGGCTAGGTTCAGTCTCAGGAGGAACGCCAAGACCATCAGGGCGATACCTGCTCAATCCAGAAATCGGATCTAGTCGAGGTTCTGAAACCCATACAGTAAAATACTCCTTTATAGCTGCAAGGGTTGAGGTTTTAAGAAACTCGGTGGATCCTTCGAGGTGTTGGATCTTCTTGAATACACGGAGCGTCATGTCGGTTAGGAATGGTGGCTGCGAACGCGAAAGATAATATGAGCGATTCGCGTTCAAAATTTTGCCGTAATGCTCAATTTCGAAGCAAAAGTTGACGACCATAGCTTTAGCAAGGTCGGTACGATCATCAATCAGAAGGCCCAAGGCGATCATGTAACTATCCCAGCCTGTTTGGATATAATTAGAGATCTAACACTCAAAAGGTAATGCCGGGGAAAAAATACCGTATAGCTCATTGAATCTACCACCGGGGACCACAAATGGCCAGCCTCTCATTTGCTCTTTGCCATCATCGTCGACATACTTTTCCATGGCCAATGCGAGTAGTCCTGGCTTGTCGTTGATGCCTAAATAAAAAATGTCAAAACTCGTAATTCATAAAGACCGATAACCGCTGGAAGTTATTTACTCTTTGTGTATTCTGCCGTGATCTGCTCTGGAAGCTCCACAACGTCGAGATCTAATTCAGGTTGCTCCTTGGCTATCCGTTGGTAATATTTCAACTGGTCCGGTGCCCCTCTAGGAACGTAAATTCTTGGCCTAGGATCCTTCATCCTCTCGGCCTTTGGGTCTTTAGCAACGATATCAATAACACTTGCATCAATTCTCCGAGTCAGACCGTCCCAGAAGCTATGTTTTATCAACCGACGGAGGCGAGCAACTGGGTTCTCATTTAAGCGGGCCTCGTCAAGGACGATGTGTTTGCGTCCGTAGTCAATTGCCAATGTAAGCTCTTGTAGAAGGTTTGATAGCATGTAAGTCCCACGAACTTGACTGTGATTATAGCCATTGGAGTTTGCGGTTCCTAATGAGAGTACCTGATTTCATTAGATTTAATCGCGACTCGGTGAAAGAAGAGCTTTACCTTCGGCCCACCATCCTCAATTGTAATTTGAAAGTTGCCGTCCGTGTCTTCAGATGCAAGCAAGCTCCTGTAAGTAGATTCGACATTGATTAAAAATTTTCTAGGATTATGTGCGTTATAATCATCTAGTTAATTCCATCCGTTAGCTCGGGCTCATGACAGTTGGTCCCACGGTAGCATGCCAAAGCCTGCTGAGGTAGCTAAAGGGGTTGTGAAATCAAGGAGGACACAAAACCTACCTGCTGAAGATCTCCGGACTGGCTTTGATAGTGGTAGTGCCAGACCTCCAGATGTAGGAGCTAGTGTGTGCTTGTCATAAGTCTGTTTCCGAAGGTCAGTCGCTTGATGAGGCAAATGGAGTTATAGAAGTTCAGGGGACGAAAACACGAGGCTACAGAATCACTCCTAGAAAACATCAAGTAGGATACCTCTAAGCTAGATGGGATCTAGATGCGGAAATCCACAGTTTTCCAGAAAGGTCTTCTTGTCTTCCTCTCCTCCTCTCTTCCTCTCCCGCCAAAGCCTCTTTCTTGCCCCCATTTTTAATTGATGGGTTGATAAATGAAAACGGAAAACATTTCAACTTACCGCAGACAAGGTTCTTGGCCTACCACCTATGGCGTTGAGGTTCTGCTCCCCATAGTAGATATGAGGGGCAGAGAAAGGGTCATGATTATCATCATGATGCTTGGGCCAGTCTTTCCCAGTGCCGCTGCCGGATACAGTGGACATGGTGAGTAGATGTTGTTTCCGCGAATCTGAGTGTGTTTTTGAGAAGATGTTTGCTTAGGATTCTTTGAACAATATAGCTATGACAGTTATTGGGATGGAGGATTAACTGGGTAGATTTGGAAGATAGTGTATTTTAGAGATGGATTTTGGGAAGATTGTAATGGTTTACAATTCAGCGGCAAAGGAAGAAGGAGGGGGAGGGGGAGAATTAATGCTGGTCCCCTCAGTTCTGCTGTTACGATTACGGAGTGGGCAAGAAGGAACAAAGGCAGGTGTGATATGGACTCGGGAGGGATGGAGGGAGCTAAGAAACCCGGCACAGCTATGACGAAGGGCTAAAACAGGGATGGCTGCAGACCTGCAATGCAACCTGCGCAACGCACCCACTGTCTGCATGATATGGATATGAAAAAATGAAAAATAAAATGCATGGAAAAAATAAAAAGGCTTCAATCCGGAAGAACCGGTGGTGCCATGCATGTCACGATAAGGTTTTTGGACGTTGTAAGAACCGGCTATCATGATACATTGAAAGCTAAAAAGGAATGATTACCCAGGGTCTACATGACGTTTCCAGCTCCTTTCAATACAATTGCCCATCTACTCTATTCCAAAGCGCAGACCAGTCCTCGAAAGTTTCGTTACACAAACCCCTGTCTTGAATCTGGGAAACGGGTAATTTTCCGACTTAAAGAAACGAACAGAGTTTGATACGGCACATTCCACCCCACATTTTGGAGCCGCAACATGATCACAACATCATCGGATCCATCCCACTCAAGATTTTAGTTTCATCCTCTCCCCACGCGATATCCACATACTTGTGCTTTACTTGACCAAACATTTGGAACGTAACCACGCACACTTAGTTTCGATGGATCATTTCCTCCCTCCAATCTTTATCAATGGTTTCCACAAAGACCAGCAGTGTCTGTGAGCACCCCGATATACTCATCCCGTTCATCGCCTTTCACCCCTAAAATTGATCGCCCCCACGATGCTTCGCAACTTGGGATCTGGATGGCGCTCGAAGGCTCAATGCGGTTTAACATATTGTGGGGAATTCATTTGAAACCCTGCCTTCAGTTAGATCACCCACTGTCTGGGATGGACGGTCAAGCCCCTTGGGAATGTTTGTTCGCGCAATATGAAGTCTAGGACCCATGAATAGACTGGCTTGTTCCAAGGATCTCGTGATTGTTTCTGCCGGGAGGTTTGGATCGTGAGAGGGACCGACAGTCACGTGGTTTGTCGCTATTCGACCTGAATCTCCCAAACAACCCAGAGGGTACCGGCGAAACCCCGCTTTTGGATTTGTTTAGCGATTCTCCACCTGCTCTGGCTAGGACCCGTGTACTTTTGTGTGATCACCCGGTGCTGATATCCTTTGGGCGTATTTCGGTCTTAGCTGTTCTGAGTTGCTTTGTCTTTACGGGGCCGGGGAAGGGCGATTTGTGCGGTGCTTTCACTTGGTAAATGTATGTACAGCCACTCTACAAAAGTGTTCGTGATTCCGATTTCGGAGTGAGACATTTCTCCATATGTAACCGCGGCGGACCATCAAGAACCCCCCAAGAGAAGACTTTCCCAGTGACCAATGGCGCCCAAATTAATGAAGAATAAGATCAATGACCTATCTTCTATTTATATATAGTCACAAACTATATTATATATTTTTCGTTGTTTTGAACCTCAACTTTAATAAGATCAGTATAACGGGTGCGCCACACTGCGCACTGACATTAAAACCATATCACGAACACTTTTGCTGAGTGGCTGTATATAAATACCTACACACTGTTATTCAAGGCGAATGTACCTTGAGTACTCGGGCGTTCATTAAATGGTCGGATATCGTTGCAACTAAATCCTTACTAAGAATTCTGACTATTTAATAAACGCGTGAGTAGATCTGTTAGTACTCGTAGCTTTATAGCGTTTCCGAACACGACCAATATTGCATGACATACGAAAAAGCGCCAAATCTACCTTTTTGTATGTCATGCAATATTGGTCGTGTTCGGAAACGCTATAAAGCTACGAGTAAAGCCACACCAAATTTACTTTTTCTGAGGGGTCAGCATTTTACTGACTATGGGATAGCTCATCAACTATCCCTTCGTGTTAACAATTCTATTGTTAAACGTATCATGATTGTAAAGCTAGACGTGGTTCTATGCTATGTGTACTATTGTACTAGAGTATGTTGATAATATCTGAAGGCTTGTGCACTCATTGGGTTATTGGAATCAACAAACACCAATTGGAGGTCTGATGGTGCAGTACGCCACAGCGTACCTGACATAGTCATGGTTCGTGCTCCTAATTATGCCGGTAGTTTCGGCGAATGTAGAGTAACTATCCCCACGAACCAGAACTGCTTAGAGCTCTAGTTCCACCCATCGTTGATATGGAGCACTCTTCTCTATGGATGGATTGTAGGCAAAGGTTCACTGGAAAGGAGTGCCAGTGAAATGCTTCTATGAGACGTACTAGTTTTAAGGGAAGTACTCTAGCTCTACCTATGAGTTTATCACAAGTCACTTCTCCTTAGATTATTTCCATAGTGAGTACCGATATTTCTGGGATATACGCCCATGGGCTTAAAGCAAAGTACTGGTAGAAAAGTGCTTGCTGATTGGCTTAAGTCACGGGAATATGCATACACCACCAGTTTTCCTCCCACCACTTTGCTTTAAGCCCATGGGCGTATGGCGCGAGAAGGCATAGGGGGTGGGTGTGTCAACTTCAGAGGAACTTTTTTTGTATGGGAATTAGAGAAAATTCCACCGTCAGGCTAGGCGCTAGTACCATTATGGGGGTAGATCTCCCAATTCCTATAGATTGATTGGCTGCAAACGCCGAAGTTTACACACCTACCCACCATAGCTTCTCGAGCCATATATCCCAGAAATATCGGTACTCGCCGTTCTGTTCGTTGGCTTGACCGACCTTTGGCACCCGTCAGGAAAGAAATTCGCCTATTCAATTATTGGTGGTAAATGCTAGTAGCTTTGCTCCGTCTAAAATGATAAACACAAGGTGTGTACTCTACATAACTACAATAAGAAAAAGAAAAAATACGTACGGGGGCCACAGCATATGCATCTTACATGATGGATTCTTACCCCGCAGCGGTGTCGGTTTGATGGTTGGAACTTCATGTGTCATTTCAGCAACACAAGCAATAACAAAAAACACCCACAACACTGGTCACGATATTTATCAACCCTGCCAAACCCCACCATATCCCTGCTCATTAACGTGGGGATGTGAGGGACGAAAAAGAAAAGGTCAGGTAAATATATACCATCCGCTCTTCTCAAGCTAAGGAATACCTCCGGTTGCTCTTTGGATAGGTACCCCCCTACATGTCAAGGTCATTGTGGATCTGCTTGAACATGGTCTAGCCGGTTAGTCCAATTCAACATTTCATTCTTTACCGATATATATATCAATATATGATAAGCTTCAAACAACTTTGTTCTAGTGTAACACAGCTACAGGCACTGTAAGTAGGCTCATCAATTCTATTTAATTCTCAGCATAAATATTAAATTTTAAAGCAGCATTAGATTGTTATCCCTTAAACCTGATATAACATAAAATACCATACGACAGAATCACGCCGCTGGGGTCTTGTTATATAGGCTCGCCGCCTGGCAGAGTCGATATCTCCCATGCAATAGGATTCTCTTACTACAAATCTCTCGAGCAATTAGGGTATGAAACGATATCGTACATGTCCGCATTTGACCCCCGCCCTCCTTCGCTTTAATGTTATGCATATGCATGTAGGTACACACGGCCCTACATATTTTTGACTTGGGATTGCTACATAGTTACAATTCGAGGTATATATCCTGGCGTCGATATATATAACACTCCGTTCGGCAACACCTCAGTATCATGATATTCAGCCCAATATCGTGATATTGAGAAAATATGCAATATTTTTTCTAGCGGTAGTGTTCTGGCAACCACATAATGTCAATTTTCTCAACCTACTATCAGCTACCCAATATCACGATAAAAATATTCTGCTCCAACCTAAATATTTGAGATAGCACCACCAGAACTAGCGGCTCACCCCACCAAGTATACCCAAACTTGTGTTGTAGCCGAACACACCAATTGTAACCACAAATATGCTAGATCCCAAAAATCACATATTTGGTTGCAACCTCGCCATATTCATATCGCAGTTTTGCCGAACGGGGTATTATGTAGTTAACACGCATACGCATCCGGCCTAAATAATTTAAAAAAAAAACATCGAATAACAGGATAAAAAGATTTATTTCGTTTTCCAGCGCTGATAAACTACTGCCGTACACATTTAGCGACAACTCTCAGCTAAGGCAAAGCTTTATTTAAATGGAGTAGTGACTCTTTGGGAACTTGTGTTTCTTGGTTCTTTTACTGGCAGGTATGTGTTCACAGCAGGAAACTTCAACTAGATGTTTGCGGAACCTCGAGGGCTAAGCTGATTGCTAAAGAGAAAAGCCTATAATACGTACTTCGGGGGTGGAGACAAGTGAGAAGACACCTGTCTCAGGAGTCTGCGCGAAGGTGTCTTTTCAGTAGTACAATGACCAGTAGAATCATTGCGAAAGTGAGTTCCCCATAACCCGATAATCCTATTGGCCCTTAAAGGAATTTTTGCGCAATAATTCTACCAGACTGTGTACACCCGTGTCTAGAAAATTCCCGGATCCCGCACCAAAGCAACCAGACCACGACCAAACACCACCACGAAACCCATGGGGTTTGCTTAAATCTAAGTTGTGGAAAAGGTAGCATAAGAGGTAGAGAAGGCCTCATAGTATAGATGAGTTATGGAGAGCTTCCATTGAGGAGTGGGGATATTTCCCCCCAAGAGACCTTTGATGCGCCTTGAGCTCATAGTATGCCAAGGGCGAATCAGGCAAATGGGGGCCACACAAAATAGTAGCTTTTTTATATTTCATTTCTTTACTATCTAATTATGCCACAATTTCAATTTCATGTCTATTCAATCTGTAGTTGTCTAGATATTCGATGGGTCGCGGTTTGGTTGCTATGGAGTGGGATCCGGGAATTTTCTAGACACGGGTGTACCCAAAGTACATACACTCCATTCGACTAATAAAGCTTGCAAGAGGGCGAGTGATAGCATATGAACACTCTTACTAGTACTCGCACACCAGGTTTGTACTGGCTTCCAATGGCGTCAATACCTCGATGAGCGGTATCTAGCTGTCAATCCTGTAAGTCTATGTATGTACCGTTATACCGTTTTGACGTGACGCCAATCAAGAAATTTGAGCAAGGATTTCACGTGCCAAGACGATCAGCGTCAGGAAAATAGATACCAACCCCATGTAATCGGATACAATTTTCTAATTGAGTACCACGAGATTCATTTAAGATGTAGGCAGGAATAATACTACTCTGAGTCCGGTCATCAACTACATACAGTCTTTTACGAATACTGCCACTTGACGAACAGGGATTCCAAGTATGGAAAGAAACAGTCAAGCAACGAGATCTCCGGTCCTTTTAATTTCTATTGGCCCAAAGTCCCCTGTTCGTCAATTGGCAGTATTCGTCAAGACTGTACAGGCAATTGAGGCCATGATCAAATCTCTCTATGCATACGATCGAGATTCTGGGCCTTCAAGATATATTCTAATCCCGCGGGAGAGCTATAGAGACCCTCGATGTCGACATGAGTGCTTGTTTCTGATAAATTATCCGTGACGACAGGAGATTTGCATCGCCACCTAAGATAACCACTTCTGGAAGGCTGTAATAAGAACCGTCGGGGATGTATCACCAAATATCACTCGGTCGCTCAGGTTCATTAGAATGTAGTCGGCGGAGAGATTAGGCGAGATACGATTTAGAGGCGCTTTGAGCAATAGTTGATACATTTATGTACGTACATATAAGCATCAAAGAAATGAAGATTGTCCGGTTGCTATTAAACCCTAACCCACGAAAGACTTGGCGTATCCCACTTCACGCGTGCAATGGATAAACATGAGACCCAAGCACTTCATCCCCGCGCCATCAAACAGACCCCAAGATATTCAATGGCCGAAGGACGAAATCATCGCATCGACCACGCGCTCTCTTCGCTTATCGAAACATTTTTGCGCGCTGGACCAGATGAGGGCCAGGAGGCCTACCACGAGAGACATGATGCTGCGTTGGACAGAGCACAGCAGATTATCGATAGGTTGAGCTCTCTTAAGACCGAAGAATATATTGAGTTTTGCTGGCGATGCCCCGTGAATAAAATGGGAGGGCTGATAGTGACTCTAGCCAGGGAAAACCGAGTGTCGTGATGGATGTACAACATATTGTTGATTGTATCAAAAATAAACGTAATGATCTCTCATCTCAACCTTTCGATTGGATTAATCCAAAGCTGAACAAGAGTATAGTCGTTAGAGATCATAAATCGCCCGATCCAGCATTACGATTTTCACATCTGTGCGCCAAACTTCTAAACCAACGAGTCCTCTCACAAAAATGGGCTGTTCTCTACTTACTCCATGAGCTTGCCGATTCGCCACAATATGCCGCCCCCGTAGGTGATCAAACCTTTGTCATGGCTCCTAGCGCAGGGAACGCAGTGTTTTCAGAAGCCTTCAGCTATATGGGGTTACACAGATTACCAGGACGTGAAAAGGCTCGAGGGCCTGGGGGTGGTGGTTTAGTGGGCGGGGATCTTGGAGGACAATGGGGAAGTTTAGGAACTGGAGCTGACGAGGGGGCAATGAGGACCAAAGCGGAGCTATTAGCGGAGAGGGATGATGGAATTGGTGAGTTTCTTGAATCTTGGCGATTTTTGGGCGAGAGTCAAATCTAAGGTCTAGAAGAACCGAGTGAGCAGACTCTTCTTTCATGCTTGCCGTTTACACTTCTTGGTCTTTCATCAACCTCACTGCCATTTAACCCTGCAACTATCCCACCGAATGCGAAAGATACCACAATGCAGAAGTTTGTGATATCTATCCCGCCAAGCTTGCCGTTACCTCTAGTATCCTTGCTACACACATTAGCAGAACCGTCACTATTATATAGGTCACTCAATGAGTTTGTGGAGTCGTCATTCGAGGGTGAAGTCCATGGAGGGCTAGTTGGGCAATCTCTCAAGTCTGCCATGGGTTTAGAGCTTAGGGGATATATTAACCTTATTGGCGGGCTAGAAAGTGAGATCCGGAGGGCAGTTGCAACATCCGATACCAACAAAGGAGTGAGAGCGGCCGGAGTCACTCTGAAAAGATGTGTTGTCTGGACAAGAGAGGCGACTATGGGGCTGAGATTGATGAGCTTGATTGTTGAACAAACGAAAGGTACGTGTCAAAACCCTCGCTGTTGGGAGAATTTGGTATTGAATTGTCACTTTAATTAGATAAAAAGGGCGGACAACTTATTTCCACCATTCACACATTTGCATCATCACATGGTGACCCTTTTGTGCATTCATTTGCTGAACGTTTGTTGAGCCACGTTACTCGTCCTTTCTATGATATGCTCCGACACTGGATCTATGATGGCGAACTTACCGATCCTTACCTGGAGTTCTTTGTTATTGAACAAAACCCGAGTATCCCTGATATGGGCGGTGCCAAAGTTGGTGCCTCTTCCGTATGGGAGGATAAGTACACTATACACTCATCGCAAGTTCCAACAATAATCACAGAGTCCTTCGCAAAAAAGGTATTCCTCATCGGAAAATCACTCAACTTTATTCGTCATGGCTGTAGCGACGCAGAGTGGGTGATGAGCTACTCAAAATCTACCTCTAAAGAGCTTACGTATGGAGATACTGCCCGCTTAGAGATGAGCATCGACGAGGCCTACAAAACCACCATGGCCAGATTAATTGAACTCATGTCAACTAAATTTAAATTATTTGATCATCTTCGTGCTCTTAAGAAGTTCTTATTGCTAGGACAAGGGGACTTTATTGCATTACTCATGGAAGGATTATCAGGGAGTTTAGAAAGACCTGCAAACGCTCTCTACCGTCACAATCTTACTGCACAACTGGAGCACGCGATCCGTGGGTCCAATGCACAATTTACAAATACAGCGCAGCCAGACCTCCTAATCCGGGTAGACTAGAGTAGTTTAATTGAATGTAATGCGAAACAAACCAAGCGAACTTTCACTTGCACTTACCCCGTTTCGACATTACCAGAAGACCAGGAAAAATGACAAGAGTAAATCCGAATGTCACCAAACCCTCCGACTGTTGCCGCCGACTGATCAACTACATTTGCCGCCCGAGGAAAACAGAAACTCTTTAGAAAACAACAGCGTTAATCCTTTGTGAAATCAAAATAATTCGTCAATCCACCCTCAGCATTACAAAGAGTGTTAGATAAAAACGATCGAATACAAACAGAGGGACAAACTAAATTGAATACCGCTTCCTAATAGAACCTAAACCAAGTTATCCCTTCCACATCCGATATCATCCGGTGCGTTAACTCCAGAGTGTCGAAAATTCATATCTCCGACATGCCAACATCATGCGTGACCCTTTCCTTACTCTCCATAGGGGAGCATTTGAAAGCAGTGACTCAACTATAATTCTTTTGAGCTTCGAACAGAAATCATAAATCTATATTGACGTCACCACGTTACTCGTCCTTTCTGCCAAACCTTCAAACTGAGCATCGAAATATTCCGATAGCCGACACTATGGGTTACTCAAAAACTTAGCATAAAGCCAAATGGAAAGAGTACGCGACACGAACTTTACCTCCCATGATCATGCGCCCCTCCTCCCGGGTTCAATTCACCACATAATGAAACAACCTGGAGTTCTTTTCGGTCTTACTTTCGCAAACAAAACGGTTACCCCTCGACGCCTCTTTGACAGAACTGCAAAATCTCAACATCGCTACCCTCCCCGCAAACCCAGAAACCCAATGCGCCAAATGGCTGCACTTGGATTGGGCATGGGGGAAAAAACGCCGACTATGCACCATAAGTTAAGCGTGCGGGGCCTTTCCGTGATGAGAAAGAAGCGGAGCTGCGATCCAAGTACACCTATACCAACGGAAGATTGTTGACACGTACAACTGTGCGCAAGCGTGTACCAACAATATGAAACATCACAGCCAAAGTCAACCAAAGGACCACCCCTCGCCAAAAAGGTTATTCCTACATCGGAAAATCATGCGCACATCAAATTTGCGCTGGAGGTCTTTCTTTACTATTCGTGTCTACTACAGCCCACACCCATCCGCATGCTACTAGTTGCCAAGGTCCCTAGCGCACGCAGACCCACAAAGCAACAGAATAGCAACTGCCCATAACGAACAAAGATCCGAATCACAAACAGACTCGGACCCAGACACAAACCCAAGCCCGCTACCAATACCCATAGTTAATCCCGGGCCCAAGACCCACCCACAGGAAGATGCAGCATGGGGATAACTCCCAATGCAGTTTACAACAAAAGAAGACAACGGCCTATCGCGCCCACAGCAACTGAAACTGCTGCTGGGAAAAGTAGTGATGTGTACGACAACAAAGTCCTACGTTAGCAAAATTTGGTAGGCAAGACAGCCTCTAACAAGTACGCCTAACAACCTATTCATTGTTTACATTTGTCTGTTAACAGGAACCAGATACTGCCTGGAACAACTAAGGACGGCCCCAGCCCACTGGAACCGTCCCTTTCAGACCCCTTTTCTATCTATTCACAACTCGAGCATCGACTGAGGCCTACAAAAACCACCAGCAACTATGGGCAAGGGGCACTAAAAGCCGCCAAGAATTAATGAACTTCATACATTGCCAGAAAACTCACCAAAGCCAAACCTCATAAAAACTCACAAAAAACTCTACAATATTACACTGATCACAACAACTTCATCGTCTCCGTCTTAGCATCATCTTCCCTGCTCTTGAAAGAAGTATTCTATTGCTAGGACAAGGCGACTTGATATGTGGAAATCCAGATGACCAAAAAACACATTACATTACTGCGAACGTGCGAACATTTATATCTCAGCCGAGCCCAGGACGAACAGGCTTGTTAAGACACACTTCAGACACGACATACAATTACCGACTCGAACAATATCTCACTACCATCCAAAATTGTCACTCGTCATGGGAGACTCAACAGCGTCAACTCCCAGATCCTTATCTTTTGGTCATGGACCAGACTCCCACTACACAACTGCTACGAACGGCGCACAGACAGCGAATCCGTAGGGCTAGAGTCAGCACAAAACTGGTGGCATACCAAATATAAGCCTTGTGTGAGAGAAGATGGATAGACCGACAAAAGTTATCCCTACTCAACGAAAAGTCCGAGGCAGCGAGATATCACTATCATTTCTCCCCGAGGAAGGAGACGAACAAACAGATTCGGACGCCCCGCTACCATCATCGAATCTGACACTTATAAGAAGCAGACCGAAGTGTTTACGGAGAACCTGATCGAATGTGTCCAGCCTGGAACAATGGAGAGAATCTGTAGGATTGCCGAACACTCTGTTTCAGCAGGCCTACGCTGGAGTAGTATGAAAATTAGTCATTGACGTGCGAAACCAATTCCTGTGCAGAGCTAACGCAGATTATAAAGAGTAAACCTCGTTCCACCACATCATCTACCACCCAGGAGTCAATGGCAGCAGGCCAATTTTATGAAAGTCTTTAATTTCTGTGAGAGGCACGCTGAAGACGAGGAGATGGTGCAGTGAGATTGTGCAAATAGTGAGAGAGACGATCGGTACAGGCGCTTCTCCTTACTTGCCTGCACGCGCTTCCCATGACAGGCGCCACGTTGGCTGCTCCGACAGCATGGGAAAGCCGAACTGCCCTGCTAAACAGCTACAAAACAAGTTCGGTCGACTGTCATGAATCCCATCTTTAGTATGGCGACTAGTAGCAGAATTAGGCCTAATAGAATCAGTCACCCCAATGGAGCCAAGGACACCCCAAGTCCAAGAAGTAGTGGACCCCAGAGCTCAAAAAACTCAAATCCTCCCTCAACACACTAGAAAGGAAAGCCAGAAACACCCAAAAGAACGAAGACAGAGAAAACTTCAGGAAAACAAGCAGGAAATGGACCGCAGCGATCCGCAAAGCCAAGGCAGAACAAAGGGAGAAAGAACTCACAGAGGCTAAGGGAAGCGCCATCTGGAAACTAGTTAATAAAAGGGAAAAGAGGGATATTACAATCCCAACTATACAAGGTGAAGAAACGTTTGCGGGGAAGTGCCAAGCTCTAAGAGCCCAACTCTTCCCCACAAATTGGACGTCCCCCGACAACCCTCCACTCCAAATCAGACCCCCCTCTTTTGACCTTAGTGACGATTTTCAGGAAGTAACAACAGAAGAAATTACATCCGCAATCAGATCATGCCCAACACACTCGGCCACCGGACCAGACGGCATCCCATATCCATTCATACAGGCAACAATCAAGGCAAACACCCAACTCTTCCAAGATATGTTCTCGGCCATGCTCCGACATGGAGTCCAACCGGACCGATGGAAAGTGGCGAAATGCATACCAATCCCGAAACGAGGAAAACCCGACTACTCCTCGGCCAAAGCCTACCGACCCATCTCCCTGTTGCAATGCTTTAGCAAAGTACTGGAAAAGATAGTGGCAACAAGACTATGCACCGCCGGAACCATCCTGGAAACCCTTAGCAAAGACCAATTCGGAGGCAGACCAACAATCTCGGCAATCGATGCCTTACTCCGTACCCTCACGCCCATCCAACAGAACCTCCTGATCAAACGGACCACAGGAACCACCATCCCAGACAGACCAGCGCTCCTCACAAACGACATACAAGGAGCCTTCAACTGCGTCGACCACCTCCTACTCGCCGAGATCATGACCCAACAAAGATTCCCAACATACCTAACGACATGGTGTAAGGAATTCAACACCAACCGAAAACTCCAATTCCAATTCAACCACAAACTGGAACCGCCACAACCATATGCCTCAGGACTACCCCAAGGCTCCCCCCTCTCCCCAGTATTATTTATGATATACGCCGGGGTGATAACAGACCCCACCAACTCCCCCAAAGAAACCAATACCACCTACATCGACGATGATGCACTCGTACAACTCGCAAAGTCCCCCCTCTTCATCACTAAAAGACTCAACGAAAGAATGGCAGAAAGGGTCAAGAAAGCAACACCCCTCAATATCAAATTCGAACCTCAGAAATCCGACCTGGTCTTCTTCAAACCCACATCGTCGAACACTCCAACCCCCAGAAACTCAGTAACAATCGCAAAAGAAGAAATCCAACCCAAAGATAGACTCAAATACGTCGGAGTCTGGCTGGACTCAAACCTCTCCTTCCGACCCCACATCGAAGAAACCATTGCCAAAGGCCTTAAAGCCCTAAGCAGAATCAGAAATATCGCACACCTCCCCGGGACAACAGTAAAATCCATCCACCACCTCATCGTCCAAGGCTTCCTCCCCACCATTCTATGGGGTTCAGAGGCATGGTGGACGGGAGCCGACCACATCCTCCGATCACTATCCCCACTTTATAACGAAGCTGCCAGAATAGTAACAGGCCTACCCCGCTGGACAAAAACCGAAAGACTGCTGAAAGAGGCAGCACTCCCCCCACTTGAACATCTCCTCAACCACAAATCACGAAAATACGGGACGCGCATCCTTTGCCACCCCGCCAACCACCCACTCAACGAAGGACTTATCCAGCTCCTTCCCACCAGAATAAAAAACATAAAAGGCACAGGCCTACACTGGATAGCATCACTCATGCTACCCTTCCAAGAACCAGGCAACCGCAGAGAGCGATGGATCCAAAACGACACCCTCACCAAACGCATGCTGGAAGAATGGAATTCCATCCCATGCACCAATTACCACGAGATAGGAACCCTTAAAATTCACCCCAAACTAGCAAAACTCCCCCGATCCAAAGCGAAACTCATACACCGCATACGATCCCAAGTCACCAGAATAGACAGACACGCAGCATTCACGGAACCTGAACCCTGCCAATGTGGCTCGGAACAATCCTCCAAACATATTATGATCGACTGCCCGCGATGGGCTCAAATACGAAGGCCACTTATGGACAAAATCCCAGGACCGCACACCTGGGAAAACTGGTTATTCACCAACCTCAACGTAGACCTGATTCTACAATTCGCATCAAAAACCAACCTACTCGACTGGTACGAAATGGACGAGGAGGACCCGGAGGAATGACGAAAGGTTTCTTTGGCTTACTCTCTTTCCTTTTCTGTACCTTCCTTTGATCTTCGTTGCTTTCCGTCTTCTTTCCTTTTGTCTCCTTTGTTTTCCTATGTCTATGGCGGTGGATCCGGCGTGCGATAAGTCCTGTACTTCAAAGCAATATAAAACTATCTATCTATCTTCTGTATCAATCTACTATACACTTGTTCGTACCTGGCATACCATACCAGGTAGGACCACTTCTATATCTATGCTGGTTAGCAATATACACGCTGTTACTTCTCTTCTCCACGAAGACCTCTGCATCTCGCTTGACCTCGCTTGACTAATTCGACAGCTTCTACTGTCGCATATCGTACCCTGCGGAATACTCGCTATCGTCGCCCCTTGAGAGCGTGGAAGGCGGAAGCGATGTGTTGAAGGAGGTCATCTGTGGCAGAGGACTTATCCTCTAGGCCCATTTTGCTGAGGAGTTTATGCTTGTCCACTAGGTGAAGCAGGGGGGCGGCGAAGGCTGCCTTTGCTTGGAGGTATTCTGGGAGGGGGTGGCCTGCCAAAGGGGGGGGAGGGTTGGTGCTCATGGCTGCGGGGGGGTATTCTGGGCTGTGAAGCCTAATAGTTAAAGACTTTTCTGCCTGTGTAACGTGGTTGCAACGTAAAACTTGGAGGAGATTTCAAAAACTCGGTACAATAGCGGGAAGAAAGGTGTATAACTAGCTCGCTATCTCCCTGTCTATTATACACACATCTTGTTGCTCTCGTTTTGTCTTAATCGAAGTTTATTCATTCTACGTATTTTCGTCTCGAATTGTCGATTGAAACAGAGAGTGAACACAACAGCCGGCCAACACCGTCTAGGCCACATCCAAGCTCGCCTCTAAATTTATCCAATCCCCAATCCCATATGCAACGTCCCCATATGCATATAAAAAAAATATAAACAAAAAAATATAAACAAAATAACCCCCCAGCCACAAACTCCACCCAGCACCCCCACCCCCAAAAAAATACAAAAGACCCCCCTCAACTCCACCTAGACTCCGGTTTATATATCAAGTGATGTGACTATTGCTGCTTAAACACCTTCAGGTAGTTGATGGTCCAGTACGCCTTCTCAAACTCCTGCGGATTGTTGGCCACAAACTCTACACACGTCTTTGCTCTCGACCCACTATCACATCGTTAGCCACCTTATACAACACAACGCTACCGCCCCCTTCCCTCAAGGACAATACATACCACCCGCCATCCACCGCCGCAGTTCCCCACACGCCGCCCGCCCAGTCGCCGCAGAAAGTGGTATTGAAGATGATCTTGTGGTCCTTGAACTTCTTGTCGAACTCGCAGCCGCCCTCGAAGTTTGCGTTTGGCGTGCCCCAGCTAGCCGGGTTGGGCGTGTTGATGTCCTTTGGGATGGACCCGCGCGGGAAGAACCAGACCTTGATGTGCGTGGAGGTCCACTCCATGGCGAAGACGCCGCCTTTGGCCGCGTTGAAGGCGTCGCCGTAGGAGGCGGTGCCTTTGTCCTACCGTGGTGTTAGTTCACGTGCCCGGGGGGTTGGGCAAGGGGGAGCGGGGATAGAGGGAGGAGGCATACTTTCATGCTGCACCCCTGATTCGATGCCTGCCCGGGGGCCTTGACGTCGCAGTTGGGCGCCTCGACGAGCGCCTTTTGCTTTAGCCCTTTTACGGAGCACTGCGGGCCTGTGTGCAGCGCCATCATGTTTACCGAGTTTCTGTGCACGCCTGGTGTGTTGGGGGGTAATGATCAGTTTGTGGGTTTTTGGTGTAAATGAGAAGGGGAGGGTTAGGGTTGGGTTTGGGTTACATACCTTCGATGATATCGATTTCCCCCTTGTTTGGCCAGCCTCCACCGACGGTCCAGCTACATTGGCTTATTAATAACAATTTATTTGACTATGGGAAGGGCAGGAGGGCGGGCTTAAACTTACAAAGCAGGCCACGTTCCGCACGGCCCGCCAGGCATGTGCTCGATATCGAGGATGAAGAGGCCCTTTGTATAGAGGGTCTTGCTCTCGAGGCGGACGCTCTCGCGACCGCCGGTGCCCGTGCCGGTCTTATCGGCGGGGTTGAAGGGGATTTTGGATTTATGGTCGACACCGACGTGGATCTGGGCGCCGTTGGGGCGCACGTATTGTTTAGACTTGGCGGTCTGCTCGTCGACGTATTTGACGAAGCCGTGGGTCGGGTCGGAGCCCTAGATGGTGGGGAAAAAGAGGTTAGTTGGGTCAATGATCTTTTTCTCGGTTTTTGGTTACTCGTGCGTTGGTTAAGTCTTGAGAGTTCTTGGCCGCAACGGGGGGATCTCAAGACTTGGTTAATGCGCGAGTGTTGTATCGGAGTTTTAGGGGTGCTTACGGTGAAGTAGGTGAATTTGCTGAGGAAGTTTTGGGCATTGTAGTCGTCTTGAAGGACGTATGCTGCGTGCGCGAGATGCGGGAGGAGGAGTAATGAGAGTGGGGATAACGTGAGGATCTTCATGATCTACAACTAAAAAGGGTGAATAAAACAAAGAAATACAATAAAATGAATGTGAATAAAGAAATCAGGCCAAATGAGTGTGAATAAAAAAATGTAAAGACAGAAGAAAGGAACGATACGCCGCCGGGGCAAAAAAACTAACAAAAAGGAAACAAGAAAAGATTATACTGGTTCGATCTACGATGCTACTCGAAAAGGGAACAGAAAGTACAAAACAAAACTTCAGAGTCTTATAGCACGCCGTCTGAGCTTCTCGGTAGAGTTGAGACATGCAGCGCGTGCCGTCCATCCGCTATCTTGATCTTCAACATGGAGGGGTACTGCACGGTCACTGTTGGGCTAGCTAGCTAGCTAACTAGTCAAGTGTTTGGTCTATCTCACCGAAATATTTTGGGGCTCATCACATCATTAGCCAATAGCAGGGATAAACAGACTTTGACATTTTAATTTAATGCTAATAGAGATGACGTGACGTATAACTAGATAGCCGATTTCTTATGAAGAATGCTCTCGAGATGACAATCAGGCAATGGAGGGCTGCGATAAACTTCACGTTAGCTAGCTTAGCTAGATCTCCCTTTAAATATCAATACCATCAATACTAGAGGATACACTTACCGACCAAACACCCCAGCACTAAAGCCCAACTAATAATACACACACCCCAAGCTGCGGGGCTGCATAGATCAATAGATTAAATCCAAATGTAGCCCTAGTAATCCGATAAGATGGATACCGGTGCCGCCTTGCCGCGGTGCCCTGCGTGTAATTTTCGGGGATTCCCTGCGTAATTCTCAGGATGCAGGGTTAGCAATATACTAGTCAGCGGTACAGCGCCGTGCAGCTGAAGACAACGTTATATCCACACACGCCGCCTTTCTTCTGGAGAGATATATACTGTTCTATAAGTTTATAAATTTACCCCTTCCGCCGGGCTCTTATCATATCATGAATATACCCTTTTTTTTTTCCCAGCAGGAAAAAAAAGTAGCCGTATCCATGCACAACTGTTACCGGTACAACGCCTCCCCCTAGATCGGATGGAAACGGAGTTGGAGATTTGAAAGATACATAGGCCTTGTGGAGGTTTATCCGATATTCCTGGGTCGGCTCCTATCGACTTATAAATATGCCAAGAATGTAAGGGTTAGGGCTCACCACGTCGAGTGATGTAGTGTGATTATAAATCCGGGGGAGCTTCTGATACTTACGCGAGAACCCGACACCGAGGGTATAAACGCTAGATTAGGAGATTAGGTATACAGCCGCCTCTCGTTATAGTGATAGGGTCGGGACCGAAAAATGGTATCCTTATATCGAGGTTATCACTATACAGAATGAGGGTTAGGTTTTTTTTTTGATCGAGGCTGGAAAGAAAAATAATCTAAATTGACAGTGATTCTTAGGGTATAGACGTGTGACTGTTTAAGTACATGCACAGTCTCGTTCGTATTTTAGTCTTGTTTCCAGGCTTTTGTCACGTAAAATGCTTGAAAATGCTGGCCCTCCCCCCTTTCTGGGTCGCTCGCCACACCCAAATTTACTCTTGTTATAAGGATACCCATACAAATCTTCACTAAATACCTAGTGATATCCTTATATAAAAAAATCACTAAACCCCATACTAAAAAGCTGGGACCGGCGGGTGTCATCCTTATAACGAGAATATCACTATATGCAGTATCACTATAACGAGAGGCCTAAACTCGAGAAATTACCTATGTAGCTCCTGTGGGGCCAAAATTTCATCGATGGGAAGGAGACCTCTGACGCAGATCGATGCTATTCAAGCCCTAGTGTGGTCCACGGGGATTGCTACGTAGATGCGTATACGCAGTAACTATTATACGAAGCTGAAGTCGATACGTTTAGGGGCATTGTGGGGGCTACATGCATTTATAATGCCTTACCGGGCATAGGTGGCCGGTGCGCGTCCTACTGCCAACTAGCACCTGGCGGAGAACACCTATGCCCGGCGGGTATATGCGCCACAGTATTTACAGAGGATATCTTCAGCGCGACAGGCGTGGCCTCGAGCGTCCAGTTTGACCAGTCACCACGTCCACATTGCGTTCCGCTGATTACTCGAGACTCGAGAGGAGTGCTTTTTGCGGGATCTGTACAAGGGCCAGGGATGCGGATACCGGCATGAGGTTTTGCATCTTCCCCGTCCCGGCCCGTGTGTTTGCTTAAAATCTCTGCTGCTGCTGCCTGAATTCCACGATAGATGGAGGCAGAGATAGAGTTGAGGAGGTACGGCTGATCAATCACGGCTGGTTAATATAAAGGGCCTCACCCTCGCCCCATATGTCGACCATATAATTTGCGGGCCGATTGACCACATACTATTACTGTAAACATTAACTATATACCACTTCTTATATTACTACCATTAACACTTTCCATTACTACACTACATACGCTACCTACTATCACGATCACTATCATTTCCACACTATATATATATATACTAGACCACAGTGTCTCCACCTTCTAGAGCCGACCGCGACCCACCCCGAGGTTCCGCAATGTCAGCTACCAGACTGCCGCCCCACCGCCCATGTTCCTCTCTGCCGATGAGAATGATAGGATTAATCCGCACCTTCAGAAGCGAGCGATCTGGAAGGCTAAGAAACAGATATGGGTGCATTGTGCATGTGTCTCACAAACCTCTTTCGAGGTTCCACCGATCCCACCCCGCACGCCCGCCGCGGACCCCGTACTCGCAGCCCGCAGCTCCACTACGGCCTCTCCACGTCGACCCACATATATCATATATATATTGCTGGAACAGGGTTCGGGAAGATAAGAAGCTGACTAACAAGTCTGTTTTCCCGACAAATGAAAAATTCCATTGTTTAGGAAATTCTTTATTTCTTTTAGTCATTCTTTATCCCGTTCAGGAAATTTTTTATTTCTTTATCAAAATTATTTTCCTTTTTCTTTTCCGTTTATTTCACTAAAGGGCATGAGCATAATTTCACTTTGGGGAACTCTCTCTAGTAGTCTGAAGGAAAAGTTTCACTACTATAAATTAAATAGAAGGCCAAAGTAGAGGGTAGAGTAAGGGTCGTCCACCATAAAATATACAAGAGTCTTGTCACATAGTTCCACCCCCCTCTCCACAGTATATACCCCATCCGCTATATACTTGGCAGAAATTAAGCTGCTGGAAGGATGTAAGCAGCGCAGAGGAGAGCTAGCTGGGAACGAGCCGGTCTACTATAGGGTGGGTGTAATAACTGCTACTATAACAAGGTTCCAGGAAAACGAAAAGCTAACTTATCAGTCTAATATTCCCATAAGTGAGAACTTATTTCTTTCAGGAAATTCTTTATTCGTTTAGAGAAACTCTTTATTTCATTTCTTTATTATTATTTTTCCCTTATGGCCTACATGATTTCACTTTGTGGAACGTGATCTGATTCACTAGTACTATGGTTTCACTAAGTATGGACTACTTCAGTACTGTAATTATCCTAGTGAAGCCATAGATTGCAATGTTCATTTTCGGAGATATATATAGTAGGTCATGTACATGTACTATAGACTAAAATATCATTGATTTTCCAAAGTTGACAATACCTACCAAACCAATTAAACGTCCAATGGGAACTAAATCCAAAATTAAAACACAGATGCTCCGGGATGATTATCCGCATCGCGACGCATATCATGCGGAGTTTTGTCATGTCTGAATTGACATTTATCTACCCACACCCTCATATGTTTTTAATTCATATTGTCAATACCGACTCCAGGTGGTACTAACACACATTAAGTGACGGCCCGACGTTTATATTTAGGTAACACATAGCTAACTGTTATTACATGTAATTATGTAATAGTTAGGTCACATACACGCACATAGTTATGGTTCCCTCCCTAACCTGAAAATCGTTGCTTTATATGCATGTAATACAGCGCTGTAATATCACGGGGCTTCTCTAAGAATATGAATATACATATCCAGTGTGACACTAACTACATCCTACATATCCCCAATTGACATATATCAACGCGGATAAATTGAATCTAACCCGAATTTGGCCCTTAGGCTCTCTCGACTCCTCATCATCAGCGCTCGTTCGGTGATCAGAACATGAGGACCAGCCCCCGAGTGACATTCCGTGCGCCAAGCCACTACTTCTTTCTCACTGGCTCACTGGTTGGCCTTTTCAATGCACCCGATAACTCATTCTTTCACCTGAGCTTTTTGCACGATAAACATGTTTTTTTTTTTCCCCCTCAGGTATATTTAGAACACAGCGATGATGGTAGAGCGCAGTTCAGTGCACGGACCACTATGGACAATCCATATATACTCTAAATTCCAATTCGCCCGCGATACATATGTAGCTGTCTGCCCTGCCCTACAGACCCGATTCAAAGGTAAGAAATACGGGGGCGGGAACCGCAAATCACCATACGTCCACATAGGGCCAGCCAGAGCTAGAGACGTAGAGTAAGATCTCAAGAGACGTAAAAATGTCTCTACTTCTAGTTACCCTATTCTTAGGGATCAGAGGCGAAAAGTACCCAAAATAGCCCCCTGACATGATGGGTACCCGAGCGGAGCGGGCACACAACTCAGGCGGGCTCTCATAGGGCGAGACTCAGAGAACCAGAATATGTACATATGTACATGACTTGCTTAGTATGGGGGCCCGTGGCCATGGCCGGGTGGGACGTCACTAGAGTGACACTTAGAGTAGAGTAGGCACTTGCTCCCTCTAGCTCCCCGTTCCTGAGTTGAGTTACGCACACACTCACACATACACACACACCGCACGCATGTCACTGTGCAGGCCGTGGTGGTGTCTGTACCTGTACCTGTACCTGATGCACCAACCGACCGGCCTTGATATATATCGCCGGCACCTTCCCCAGAAAAGGCGCGTATCCATGTGGCTTTTTCTAACACCGCTCTGCTCTAGAGCGAGCGAGCGAGAGCGAGCAGCAAAGAGAGAAACTAAAACCAGCCCATGTCCAATGCAGGGTTGTCTTGTCTGCCGCCCGGATTCTGGGGTATTCTACTCTACTCTACTGTACCTACGTCGTCGTCGTGGGGTGTCATACTCTACGTGTCAGCTAGGCGTTCTGCTCTGCCTGACTAGAGCTGGGTAGTTAGTTTGCAACAACAACGACAGCCAAACCCCGCGGCGTGGAGGATGTTTGAGGTAAGAATGGGGGGGATTACTATGGGTACTTTAGTTGGTTGCATGTAGTTGGTGAGGGAACATCGCTGTGTAGACACTGCTGCATGTCAAAAGCCATCCATAGTTGGGCCTCGCGAACCCGTCTCCCACGTAGTAAGTATTTCCATACCCATACGTCGGGCAAGGCACCTCCTCTGTCTCTACTGCACTCTGCAACTGCAGCTCCGAACAAGATAGTCTGTACCCTACTCTGCCCTGCTCTACCTACTCTAGTGTACCTACTCTATCTCCATACTTACTCTACCTACGCTACCTACGCTCCTGGTCACACAGTCAGGTACCGATAATTGCATCTTCTCGGCACGCCTGATTGGCGGGCCCGCCGGGGGTGCGGCGTCCTATGTTTTACCCACGAAATATATTGATGAAAGAGGATGTTTGTTGTTATCCGGGGGTCCCAGCTATTAGCTGCATTTTGTTGAGTTCTGGTCTGGCTAGAGTAGCTAGTACTCTCGAGGTACCGGCAGACAGCCAGACTTGCATGTGAATGAAGGTTGATTAGCTCTCGCGATGCCCAACACAACCGCCCTAAACCAGACTGCACGATGTCTGCAGCACAGGCAGGCAGGCAAATGAACCATAGCCATAGCATCACCCCCACAACAATAACCCACAGCGATGGGATCTTGATGAGCTGCCAACAATATCCTTGCAGTTCGTTCGTGAGTACGCAGAGTCGTAGGGAAAAAAAGAGAGTAGGTATTGACAGGATAGAGCAGGAAAGCCAAGCCGCCGCGCCGTACACCCGGAGATAAATAAGTAGGTAGTGAGCAGCGCCGCGCGGGCGACACCGTACGAATGGGGAGCGGGAAGGGCCTAGATATGTGTGCGGTCAGCAGAAGACGCGTAGGTACAGAAAAGAGAGGTTCCATGACATCCGAAAGGAAAAAAGAAAAAAGATCCAAGACCAGTAGAAACAAGAAAGAAACAAACATGTTGAAACAAAAATATCAAATCAGAAATGCAAAACTGCTCTGCAACACATAGTATCTCATTACTATCTAAAAACGTCCCCATTGACCCCTTCCCCCCACCCCAGAACACCCAATCCCAACGTCTCCCCGCATCCCCGCCTTCCCTTCACAACTCCGGTACACCGTATTATTAACACCCCCTAATATTTTCTAATAATATATAATGAAAGCCAAACAAAGGCCATATCGTTATTGTCGTAAAAAGATGATAAAGAAAATCGTCATGACAGGTCGTAATCATAAGGAGGAGAGAAACGTGAAATAGAAGAGAAAAAAGAGAAGGAAAAACAGGCCAAACCGAAAATAAAAACAATTTAGACAGCCCATCCATATAAACAGATACCGACTGAAAGCCTGTGGATAAAAAAGGAGATATAATAAAAAAAAATGGTATAAAAAATAAAAAATAAAAAACTCCGGATGCCGACCGTCTCCCAAAAGGCACATTGATAATGAAACCGAATCCGACCGCTAAAATACAACCCAAAAGCAATTTTATAAAAATATGTTCCCAAAGTCTTTCTCTCTTCCATATGACTGAAAGGTTGTTTTTGTAAACCTTCCAAACGATGTCATGCCGATTTATAATCATCATAAAAACAAAAGAAATGTCCGCTTCACTGGCTTCTCCCCCTTCTCCAGGCCAACGCGCCCACACCCATAGGCGGTGCAAACACAGCCAACCCCATCTTCAGTACTTCTCCCCAACTGATCTCCTTCTCATCTCCAAAGTAACCCCCATCCGCGCTCGGTGAGTACCCTTGGCTCCCTTTCATGCTACTAGCCTCCTTGGCTCCCATATCCTCAGTAGATTGGAAGTACATGAAATCCATATCTGCCCAGGGATCCTGAGCCGCTGCGTCCACCTCGGTCTCTGTCCCAGTCGCGACCTCTATGGTGGGGGTACGCAGGGTGTTGAAATAATCCATTCCTACTGAAACTCCCTTGTTTATTCCCACCACTAAAGGGGGCACGACGATCTGTCCACCAAGGTATAAACCGCGCGTCCCAGCGGAAATGAGACAAAGTAATATAACCATCTTCATCCATTTATGGTTGAGTCTTCTCTTGAATGTTGTTGCCCGTCGGGATCCAATGATTTCAGCGAGGAGGCCTTGTTTCCTGAGCTTCTCCGCATCTGGATGGAATGCTCGGTTGGAGAAGACGGTGATCCATATGAAAAGTCCTAACCACACCGAAAGCGCAATATAGGGACTGAGATCTTCCAAAATCTTCCCTGGACCAAAAAGAGCAGCCGCAAGACCACGATCTCCAAAGAAGTATGTAAAACCTGTAGCCACCCCAATGCAGCATCCAAGCCCAAAAAAGAAGATTAAGAGGGAGAAAGCAAAGTTGTAGTAGTTTTGGCCTCGAAGGTAATACTTGTTGATAACTGTAAGAATATTTGTATCCAATTCGCTCGTTTTTGGATCTCCAGTTTTCTGCTCGGTGATCTCTATTTTTGGGATATCTGGTACGACTGTCCCCACCCTTGATTCTGAAGTTAGTTCCTCTATTGGTGAATCGGGTTCTTCGATTGGTTCGATTGGTTCGCCCGCCCGTCTCGTAAGCACAGAGTCGAAAAACCGCCCTATGTTATGCAGATCGTTCTCGGAAATGCTCCGGGATACAGGTCGCTGAGGAATCTCTTTTCTGAAATTTATTGCTGGCGCTAGAGGGTTTAGCAGCATAGAGGAATTGGCCGATGTCCCAACAGAAGATGCTATACTCGGTGGAGGCGGGTGGGGCATCCATGAACCCGACTCGGAGCCTTCCACAAAAGGGACTCTGTTACCCCCATAGCCAACGTCTGGAGTTGTAGGTCGACTCTGCAAATAACTGTAGTTCAGCCTGGACCCATCTGAAGAACCAGGGCGTCGGAATTCATCAGATGAACCGAGACGTCTGAAGCCGTCAGACGAGCCAGGACGCCTAAACCCATCTGAAGAACCCGGCCGCCTATAACCATCAGAAGAACCAGGGCGCTGGATGTAACTCTGTGATAGACGCGAGAGCTCCGGTGACGTGGAACGGCTATAGCCATATGGCATCCCCAAATACGAAGGGTCGGGGTTTCTGGGGAGACTAGATGAACGTCGTTGACTATGGATGTCTGATGCGCTGTATGAGTGTGACAAACGCCGTGATGATTCCGGTACATTAGGTTTGTTTGAATATGATTTGGTTTGGTGCATATCTCTGAAGATGCGGGCTCTGCTAACAAATGGACAGTTATCGTCATCTCCATCCCCATGGCTATGACTGTGACTGTGACTGTGACTGTGGCTATGACTTTCACTATGGCTTCGGCTATGACCACGTCCCTTTCTAATCTCACTCGCTGTTTGGACTTGGGTCTGGGGTTGGGGTTGGGTTTGAGTCTGGGTTTTGGTTTGAGTCTGGGCCTGCTCTTGATCTTGGGCTTGGGCGGGTTCTATGGCTGAGGATGGTTCCTCTTCCACTGGAGTTGGAAGGCTCAGATACGATTTTGAAAACTCGTGGGGTAAACTTTTTCTCCTTGCTGGTGTAGTTGGAGGAGTCGGTGGGATAGCTGGCAGCCGTTGTCTAGCAGGGGTACCTGGATTAAATAGTTTTTTCGTTGGTGATGACCGGTCGTGGGAAGGAGTTGACTGTGATTCTTTTGGCGGTGTTGGTATTGCTAGCTTCAAGCTCGCTTGATCCCGTGGAGGTGTAACGTCCGAAAAACTCCCCTGTGAATGCAAATCCCGTGAAGGCGTAAGCTCTCTAACGGGGAGACTTCCTTTCCTCCTCAACGCCGGAGTAGTATTCGGAGTTGCAGCTGGAGTCGGGGGAGCCTGACCGTCAAATGGCTGTTTCTGGGGTGTCGAGAAACTCGGATGACCGAGCGATTTATTCGGTGTTCCTGAGATGGCATTTTCTGGCTTAGGATCTATCGAGGGTGCGGCGGAATCACTGGATCCTATCGACTCGCTTGAAGTCCTCTTCAGGGAAGCTTCTAAAGAAGGCTGAGGAAAGGTAGCCCTTGCTGGTGGTGGAGACTGGACAGGAGCCCTTCCATGATGATGATCCTTTCCATTCACGATGCAATCCATACAAACTGGCGAAGTTGACCTCACAAAGGGTTCATCCTGTTTCTGCTCCTGCCTTTCGGGCAAGGGGGTCTTTACCCTCTGTGTAGTCAGTGGTCTTCCTAAGGGTTCGGCGGTGATGTCGGCAGCAGTGCTGGCAGAGCCCGCCGTTTCCTCAATAGGGGTTGCTACTGCTCCTGCTTGTTTCTTCGACGCCGTGTAATCGAAATAGCCATATGTCAACTTCTCCGCTGGAGCGTTCTCGACCAGATTAACTCGTTCTGTACGTTTGGGTTTCGGTGATCTCTCGTCGCTGGAATCCTCCTCTTTGATAGCTGCCAAAACCCCCAAGGTTGATCCTACGGGATTGCTATTCTTCTGCCAAGAAACAGCTCCTTCCTCTTCTTCTTCCTCATCCGTTTCTTCCTCTTCCTCCTCTTCCCCTTCCTCATAATCTTCATCTTCATCTCCACTCAAATCACCATCATCTCGGAAATCATCAGATCGAACCATGTCGTTCTGGGAAGTAGGTGTTGTTGCTCCAAAGATGGTCACGAACTGCTTTGTCTTCGTGGGTGACATAGGTAGAGACTCATCGCGGGAATTCATCTTGAATAGAAAAGTATGGCACACACCCACCCTTTCTCTTCCTCAGATCGAATCCAGGGAAGAAAAAAGGGGAGAAGGAGGGGAGCCAAAGCAATATGTATCTCGGACCCGGCGCCACAGACATCTGCAGCTGAAAGCTGTTGGCTGCAGCCCTTACGGCAGCCCTTACGCTGCCCGTCAACGACACCAAACCATACAAGACGTGGCTCCAGGGTTAGGGCGACCGTGCATCAACGTGGGCCAATGTCTTTGGCTATTTCCGTTTGATTTGTTTCGGTGATCGCCAAGGTGCACGGGAAACAAGTCATCTGTGTCCCCGCCCAAGGCCATTTAAGCCGACTATCTCGATGGGGGAAGAGGCACATATCATCGCAACCAGTTATGATTAAGTGCAGCTTCAGGAACGTAAAACTCTCACAATTACAGGCGACAACGCGGATATCTAGGTATGCAACGAAAAAACTTGGTCCCTTGATGGGTAACTGCTGGGGGGGTGGCTATGGATAACGGCAGTTCTGAAGAATGTGAGAAGAAGAAAAAAAAATCCTGCTTCATGAGCATGAGAGCGCCTATGATGATACGCGGTATTTTGTATCACATTCGTTCCCAGCATCGCCCCCAAATGCACACCAACATCCCCGCCATAGAGATTCCTTCGGCGATGTCTTAGCTCGCTTCTACCGCCTTGGGATCCGATCATCTCCACAAAAATAACCTGATACTAATTTAACACAGATCAATGTTATGAGGGTTATTACAAAGCTTGGGCCTCCAATCACAGAGGGGCTCGTGTCATCGAGTATCACTCGGAGGAGGTATGGGCGTTTAGGAGTATATATAAGTCACGAATATCTCTTCCCTGATCCTTTTCGAAACATTTTGTGACCTCTAACGTCGATGGGTGTAGGAGGAATGTAAAGATGAAAAGAAATCTCTGAAACAATTTTGCCAAGAAGAAAAAGGGGATAAACAAAATAGGTACGGCATGCACCTTAGAGGTTACGGACCGACGACAGCTGCAGCCTATAATAACCGAGAGGGTACCATTCCACTTGTAGTTATTCACAAAAGCTTATCAGCAAATGGAGCCCTAGTACCAAAAATTTATTACCTAAATTATTAGTCAATAAAGACCATGCTCGGGCTGGAGGATACTAGCTAGCAAAAGAACAGGGAACGTTCAGGGGATCGCTGCCGAGGGAAGAATTCGGGAAAACAGAAAAATTGACCGCCGGGTGTTATATCTTCCGACTCCGTTCCAATAGCTTCCGAATATATTCCTCTTAGCGACTAGTCTGGAAGATCGACTGCAAGGTACTGGCTGGGTTAATGACAGCAGGCCCTGAAGAACACTCTACGAGCACTGCGCAGTAGCTTAAATTCCAGAGGCGGCATGCCAATGGCGACATGCATACATACATCTTGTTTAACTACCGGCACCGGTATTAAACGCAGCTGAGCGGCGAGTTATCTGTGTTTACCTGGTCAACTTTCAGAGATTGCGCCAGCGAGGAGTTCAAAGACACGGGGTTGAACAGCGTGTGTTTGGTTTGATATGTTTCACATGTTTTGGGATTGTTTATCCCAAGGGTATCCAGTATATGCGTCAAATGTTATGGTCTGTCCCTAAAATTTCCCTATATCATCCATATATGTAGGTTTACTTGCTCAGACATGGTCTTGGGAATCCATGTACATACATGTAGTTGTTTAATCGAATTGAATTTAAATCTGTTAATTCTGTTTGGTACGTAGCCGCTCATCTGTAGGTACATGTAGTCGATTTAGAGTTCTCACTAGCCTATAAGTATGCCTAGGGTACTGCAATATACACTAGCTCAGCGGATATGACCGCTTCTTCCTTCTTTCCTTCTAACACCCCCGTCCGCCTCGTACTATACACTGACTGCAATCTCAGCCTGACCTCTCAACGACAGTGGGACTGGCGGCTTTTATCGGGCTCAATCACGCCGGCATGCGTGATAAGTTAAATCATTTCAGCGAGATTGAAGAACTGCCACTGAATCACACATTTCACGCTTATTCAACAAACCATCTAGTCCTACAGCCGAGGTATCACTCATGTCTCTTATTTCTCTAGTAGAAGCATTGAAAAATCGCTAATTACATATGTACTTTGTAGAATATTACTCCATGATATAGAAAACACTGGATATATACACATCTTTTGCACTACCTACTTCATGTCTTCAGATTCGTCCACAGTTCATGGCTTCAATATCATTGTTTACGCCCCTTGTTCCAGTAACGAGGGATACCGTGGGTTATGTTAATCAAGCGAATTGAACCCTTATATTAATTTAGATTTATTCAGTGATATTGACTTGGTGGGCACATGCATGCATGAATCCCCAAGCAGATACCTAACCTTAATGGCAAACTTTAAAGTGTGTTGTCGATTCTGAACACATGCAGACTGGTTACACAATTCTAGATTATTGAGCGTGGAGATCGATTTTGATGACCAAGAAACGTCTCCATCGCTGATTCTCGATAAAACTTACCACTCTAAAGATCCACTGACCAATCAGTCGAAAGTGAAGGTTCAAGATCTGCACGGCGCATCGACCCTGTAACCTGGGCTGCGGATTGCCTGCTTACACGGAAATACCCGGTAGACTGTGTAATGAAAATAACAGTTGACATTAACAGTGAATTTTTTGAAGCGAGAAGCCGTCCTTACTCGCGGCTATCCGATAATTCGGCTAGAAGCAAAGAAAAAAAAAGCCAGCTGATCCGCATGAACGGATTCAGGGTGAGGCTCCTGGGCATGGGTACCTTACGGTGCGGATTACACATGCCACTTGAGTACTCTCTCCGCCTTTTGAGGCTCTCCGATTTTGTACGACATGCCAGCGACAAACGCACATTGAATGCGATGCAACCGCATGACCTTCATCCGAGCTGCAGCTGTGCGGCGGGAGAGCCAGCACAACGAACGAATCCAGTCGTGTTGATCATTACCTTTCTCAGGCGAGGGGAAGCACATGCGTGAAGATAATGGCCATTTGCGGGGATACCTAGGCAAACCGATGAGAGTCTTTGTTTTGTGAGTGCTGTTGTCAGGCTGTTTTTTATTAGGCTGTTGACGATATTTGTCAGTAGATATTACGGTACCGTGACATATTCTGCGCTTGATGTCGTAGCTTAATGTGCTGGGGCTGAGTTTGAGCCATTACGCAGATAAGTATGTAGATATACATACATATAGATTGTGTGGATGTCTTTTTTATGAGGCAGTTTAAGCAGAACCGGAGCTGTGTGCAGCCAGGATAAAGCTGCACGCCCTCAGCGCTCTTAACAGTACAAATTAATCAACAGAGTCTTATCTTTATATCTCGCTAGGAGGGAAAACGTCCTCTACTAGATAAAGCACACAGTAAACTGATACGCCGGCATGAGCAGCATTCATCAGAGCACCTCTATCTGCCAGTGCCATACCTCCGAATAACCTTGTAATGAGTTCTACATGCATGTAAAACTCTGCCTGACAAAGATTACTATCTTGGCTTGTCAACAGATCTTCGGTCGGGCATACGCACTACCAGGATTTTTCCGCAGTTATCTTCCGTGGACGCCGGCGCGCCGTGTTCTTGGATGGATAAAGTGGTGCATGAGCAAAAAAACTGATGAAAAAAACTCGGCATCCTATCATCTATCAAAGTGGCTGGGCAGTGCCGCTGTATGCAACAATAATTATAATGAAAGCTGATTGCGATTGGTGGCTGGTGATTGTTGATGTCTTGCTTCAATAAAAAATACGAGTACGTATGTACTTAGTACCCGAAATTTCTAATAAAACCCGCTAATTACAATTGCAGCATGCATGTAGTCATGAAGAGACGAAACTTCTAAAATCAACTTGAATTTCTGAGTTGAATTTCTGAGTCGAATTTTCGTGATCCCAAGCTCTTTTCTAAAGTAAACCAGACAGGTTCATCTAGGAATGTTTTATTCTAGTGACCGTCGATCAAAGAAGACCTAAGAATTTTGAGAGCACACACGCCTTGATCCAACCCCTCAGATTTTACGTTCACAGTCCTAAGCCCCAACCATGATCGTACAAGCACAGCTGCGTATATCATGTACCAGTCTGATATATTCGCAATAATCTGTATTTCTGGTCATCAAATTGTGCTGATTTTTCCTTCACCCCATATGACCTTAATTTGTTTATTGGCTGGTACTGGCACATACCAGATTATCTATTTGCATGGCTAATTCAGTTCCACGATCTTCTCTTAGGGTTCTGCGAGGCTACCAGGATCCTTTATATAAAATTCAACCACTCCGCACCACAAGGATTATATAGGCGCTGTAGCTGACTCTGATTACAAGCCTATAATACATGTTCGTATACGTACTACTGAGTATCTATCCTAGTAGGACACTCAGAGCCAGGCTTTCTGTGAACTTAGAATTTAGAAAGTTGTGTTGAGTCTTACCATCATGATATCCTCAAAAAGAAGAGACCAAGTAGGTACGTTTCAGATACACTGTTTGTACAAAACGAATATAGAGGGATTGAAAGGATTTATCTATTGTGTCTGGTGGAGTGAGTTTGTTCGGATGGGCTATGAGGTCACAATGTCGTCCATTGCTCAATATAAAACTTGGTTTCCTACTAATAGATCGACATTTATGATAGAAAGTATATCATTAAAATCAATACTAATGTTCAGAGACTGAATCGAAACCTATAGCCGTATTTTACCTATTGAACTGGCTGAAAAAAGAAAGAAATGAACCATCTTTGTAGTTTAAGTAGACGATAGGCCACATAAGACGTCGAAGTTGCTTTCAAGTAATATGAGTGAAGATTAGGGGCTCGGAATATTAAAGTCTAATTACTGATAGTTTTCAAGAATAGAAATACTACCAACACTCGCCAAGCCCGCTTTCTACAAGTCCCAAAAACACATGTTCAAGCAAATTGATGGGGCTTTCGAGGTGTTTTGTCGGTTTTGACATTTCGTATTTTTACATTCTCTAGGCGCCGTTTGGTTAAGTGAATTAGATTATGGATAAATCCTTTTATTCTCTGCACATTCCAAAACAAATATAACGTACAACATTGCGTGACGTGAGTACAGGACCTATTTTGTGAGATGCCTGATTTCGTCTATTTCCTTTCTTTTTTATTTATTAATTTTTTTGTTCCAAACCATCACCGCATGATCCACCAGTGTAACTAAGTACTCTTCTCTGAAAATGCTTCCACCTATTCTTAGCCGTTTTTCTGTTCCAGCTGTATTCCGGGCTGGTTTGCTACTCCGAATTATGCTGATGTACCCCCGGCTCCGAACTCGAGTACACCGTCCTTTCCTTCTTCCCCGTTCTTTAATTCTTCAGAGTTCATGGGAACATCGCCCACCGGTGCATCCTTTTCAAACTCTTCAAGGAATGCCCACTCACTTGCCTGTTGGAGTCTGGTGCTGGACCTGGTGCTGTATTGCCTGACCCACATCGGATTGCTAGCGCTACTATCAACACGTGTATTATTGCCAGACTGAGTGTCATTTGGCTGCTTAGAATGATCCTTTATGCCCTTTCGGATGAGGTTCTTCTTAGCTCGAATAGCAACCTTGGAGAAGGAGTGTAGAAGTTCGGCGTCCCCTCCGCTACTATCATTTTGCTTCGAATTCTTTGTACGGAGACTGGAGGCGGTCCTAAAAGAAGCAATGGTCCTTCCATCAAGCTTTGGGAGCGAACCTGCACGGAATACTTTGTTTCCAGTAGCGGATGCGATCTTGGGAAAAGAACCCACAGGCGCCGCACGACCACCGCCGCCACTGATATCTTGTTTCAACTTCTTGGAAACGGGCTCCATAGCCGGGGTTCTAGCCGTCAGGGTGTCGATAAAATTTACATTCTGATAGCCCCTTTTTCCCAATTGTCGATTCAAACTGGAGAGACTCGAAACTCCTAGAACGGGATCGTCCTGAGAAATTAACCCTATTTTCTGGAGCGACTCTATGATTGTTATATTAGTATTTGGCCACTGAAGAAACAGAGTCTTAGGATCATCTTCTAAGCTTACTCTTTCCACGATACATAAAAATCATGGAGGCCCACGGATTTTCGATTCTATCAAGATAATCTACCTCCCAGTATATATCTTCTGAGGGCTTTGCCTCTCCGACTCTACACTTATTATTAGTTTTTTGAAAGTTCAATGAAGCTCATTTATTTTTTATCTAGCTTACCCTACAACGTGCGAGACATCATGGCCTACGCATCCAGGGTCTTCTGTGTTCGACATATAGCTGTCTGTCTGTTGGTCTGTGACTCTGCGTTGGAGAATACGGTGTAGGATAATTTTGATTTGGCCCATTTCGGTTTGGTGATTAGGACCTTCAACAGATTCTCCTCCATAGGCTTTTTCTAGCTTCTCGCCGGTTGAGAGGCCAGCCATTAGGTATTCCACCGGTATTTCACTAAACATCCATGGCTGTTCCATTGGGGTACCATCTTCACCTACGGCTGGGCGACCTTGTGCTATGGTATTCGCGGGGCGGACTCCTTTCTGCGGGAGCTTAATAATTACTTCCCTTTCTGTATTCTCGCTTTTGTCGATATAAATATGTGCCGCTAAATTCCAGTAGGGGTCGTGATATCCAACAGTCCTGTAGTCATCCAAGTGGGAGAAGAGAGATTGGATCGGTCTAAAGCAAATTTGGAACGAAGCACCGGTTTGAGAGAGGACGAAGGAGGTAGAAAGTGGACCCTTATTCGAGCGAGTAATCCCATACTCTTTGAGAACTTGCCCGTTTAAGGTCTCTATGCTAACGTCGAGAATACCTTTAATGGTGGGCATCTTTGTTACAACTTTCCTGCGAATTTGACTAAAGCCGAGAGAAAAGATCCGGATTTGGGGTGCGTTGGATGTGATAAGTCGCGCTTAGTCGTATAGGGATGAAAGAGTAACAGAGATGATGGTTAGGAGAAGTTGAAGGGATGGAGACGAGATAGGAATTGCGGTGGGGGGTTTAAGACTGAAGCCCAAACCACAACAACCTTAGCAGACTACCCCAAGTTACATATACTCTGATTAAAAGGCACGAACACTTAGATATATGTATATCATCTACTATAATGATTATCGGACCTGGTATTGCCATCACGAGACAGATACATGAAGTGCTTGTAGTCATGCATAATACTGTCAATATTTTTGGGAGGCATTTCGTCGTTGGGTGACCATGAAGAACACAGTCCATATCGTATATATGACAGACAAAACTAACAACCCAGCTTCTCCTCCTTCTTTTATAACCGTTTCCATCAAGACCTAAATACAACAACCTCTCCATGATCCCGTACGTACACAATGTGTAGAAAGTCCACGCGTTTGTTGACGTTGTTTTCACAGATTTCTTTATTTCTTAGCTTTATCCCATATATGGAACTTCTTCCCAGAGATCTACATTTTTAACGGGATAAACTTTTCCTTGTAAACGAGCACGACCTCTCTACAAATTAACTTCACCGTTATAGGGCTTCTTGTTTGGCCGCTGCCCGTTCTGCTGTATGCCAGAGCCGGAGAGACCAAGATCGATCGCGCATGCAGGTTCTCGGCCTTGTTTCAATATCTCTACCAACACTAAATGTTATGTAGGCAACCGTCGTTTAGGAACCTTTCTTATATTTAAATTCTTCATTATTATAGTTGATACATGTATATTACACCGAGAATCAAGGATCATTCATTCATCTTCACAGGATATCACTCACATTGTGTCAAAGGCTTGGCGTCTATCGAATCGGCACCCATGACATACACGTACGTACATCAGACCAGCTACATTAAATGTGTCTTTTTTGTCGAGAGTCTACAGAATGGCAGCACCCTTTGCTCTTACTACATGTGCGTTAGGACCGATTGGCCCCTCACAATAGGATGCAATGCCCATTATCCCAATGTATTGAACGTCATGAAACTATTACATCATGTAATTAATGCGCGCGTCTAGCCTATCATACATGATGTATATGATATATATTGAAGCACTTTGTTCGTGAATAAATCTTGAGCCCTCTATCGATATAACCCTAAGATAGGAAGTACATACGCTTACTAATTCCCATCTTTTATATTTCTCATTGCATATCATACTATTGAAGAATCTTATCTTCGTTATCAATAAATTTTAGAGAGTGTTGGCAGACAGAATCATATATGCATAGTCCACGCCCGTTAAAGTTCAGGTAGGGGTCGGGCTTTAGGAAGATGGTTTTTTTTATTCTTTTTCTCTGTAATCTATCTCGAGGAGGGGAAGTCAGGTAGGCGGGTGTTGGGCCTGAAAGTAGGAAGATCTGTAAGAAATACAGACGTAGAGAAGACAGGATAAAGATATTCCTACACCGCTTAATGTCTGTAAGAAATATAGACAGAGAGAAACAAGATAGAGATGTTTCTGTGCGTTTGACAGAGAACTTTGAGAATGCTTTCCGATTAAACTAATTTATCAGCCTAGTACCTGAGTAGACTGATAAATGATCATTGAAATGTAGGCAAAGATCCCACCTTTATCACATTAACCGTGGGGGATGGGTACCTATTAAACTAGCTTTCACATAGTTCGCCGGGTTACTGTGAGAACCCGCCTCCATTTCGTACCTACGCACCACCGCCGCCGCCATCACTACATTATACCGTAACTGCAACCACAACTACATAACAACAAATACTGCGCAGCACAGATATCCCAAATCCGTCTCCAGCAACTGGATATAAGGTTTCTAACCTACCATGTTCTCAGCACTTAAATCAGCGTACTATTCGAAAAAAAAGGGCAAGCGGAGTGATGAGGAGAAGAAAGCTTCAGAGAGTCCCCCTCCTCAACCTACCGATCAGTCGTCTTCGAAGGGCCGTTTAGATTCAACATCCGTGTACGTAATCTTTTCGCATCATATTTGTCCTCCAAGGTCTACGCCTACTTAATAATACTCCTTTACTGACAGTGATCAATGTTGAACAAATAAAGTCCGATGGGGGTCGTAATTCTCGCAACTGGTTCCCAGCAGTTTCAACGTAACTAAAGCTCCAAGAGACCAACACAATGATTGGAATCCGTGGATGTACTGACCTCTGTTAGTAAACACCACAGCGAAGCAGACATACCTGATCAGGCCAAGTCATCCACTGTATTTGCTCAACTTGGAAATTATGGGCCGGCGACGGAGAGCAGCACTCAGAAGAGCCCGACAGAAATGATTACGCAAAAGAGTCTAGCTCCCATCAAATGGTTTTCTCCACCGTCTAAGTGAGAAAACCTTCATTCATTTGCATCCTCCTCCAAGAATAAACTCTGACCTCATGCTAGTACCAATTACCAAGACGAAGACGACAAAGATGACGGAGACGACGAAGACGACGAAGACGACGAAGACGACGAAGATGCTTCTATTTCGTCTTCAGAATCTGGCAGCCATAGTCTAATAGACAATCAACAAGCTCAGCAAAATCCGATCCCAAAACCATCCAAGCCATTCTTCAAACCTAAAATTTCACCCTTTATACCTGCTCAAAATAAAAGTTGGGTCCCGGTGGAAAAGAAAGACCAAAATGGCTTTTTTCGTCCCAAAACCCCAAAGTATTCGAGACCCTAATTAATTGAGCGTTTTGTTTTTTATTTATCAATGCTAACATTTATATTAGCACCAGTAATCGCCAAACTACGGTTTCTAATTTTCCAAAAGCAGTTCCTAACCTTACTCCATCTAAAAGTCCTATCTCTCATGATAACAGCTCGAAATCGAGTCTTGATAGTCCTATGGAGAACACTTTCCATTTCTCCGCTCAGCCTACCAGTGCTACAAGATTCAATTCCCTTTGTTTCCTGTTACGACCGGCAGTATTCTCTCAGGGAAGGGCTCTCCGTTCTTTGGATCCAAAAATCGAGGTATTGTGAAAGAGCGAGAGATCAAGTATCCTGATTTAGATCTTCCTACAACTACAAAAATGCCAGGGGCTTTCCCGTAAGACAACCCTAAACTTATCGAGAACTACACCTCCCTCAATCAAGTACTAACACAAGTTGACTATAGTGCGAGGTCACCGAGTTCTAGTATTACAGATAGCCCACGTCAAGGCCTCTTGGCCGAAGGCTCCCAACGGCCTCCTACATCATCGCCAATACGATCAGTAGCGGCACCTATATTCAACTTCAATTCGCCATTTTCATTTAGTTCATCTCCGCGTGTTATCAGCCCCCATCGCGATCATATTGACATTCACTCATCTCCTCCTCCTCATTCTCCCCCTCCACCTCGTGCAGATTCGGCTCCTACTGCTCTTATCTTCGATCTACCTGTCGTGGCTCCGCTGTTTTCTCCGGCGGACTTGAGGACTATTCAACAAAAAACTCAATTTATGTCAGATACACGTCCTAAGGCAGGTCCTATAGACTCCAAACCACCTCAACATATTTCCAGTCAGACGGCCTCGAGCTCTTCTAAAGAACCTATCCCTGCCATGGCTCCGAAAGTGACAAGGTGAGAACTTAGATATGTTTCCGCATGCAGCCTGCTGATATTTCTTTCTAGTATCCCTAAAGCTAAGACTAGGTCTATATATCATCAAGACAATCCGCCCCCAGCCTTTTCTGCGGAAAATGTAGCCCGTCTTGCTGCTGTGAACCTCACGCCGTTCCATAAAAAGGCTCAGTTACTAGCTGAAAAGATTCAGTTTGAGAAGGATCGGCTTTCCGCTGCTGCAAAACCCCAGCCCTCTGCCGATCAAACCCAGTCTTCTAGTAAAGAATTGCAACCTTCTAATAAAGAATCTCAGCCTCTTCCTGAGGAAATTCAGCGTACAAACGAAAAAGAAAATGATTGTCTTGGGAAAGACGGGGAGAAGAAAGGAGAATCCACAGCTAGGTGAGTTTTAGCTACCGAATCCTAACCTTAATTGATGTAATGTCTTTACTAACAATGCCTGGCATTATTAGTGAGAAACCCGACAATATCAAAAACAAGTCCAAGGGTGGACCGATAGAACCGAAGACCAACAGGATGATAAAAATATCTGAGAGGGAAGGATGCACTCTACTCATGGAGCAAATTAAATCCTCTGTTAATCCTGCGCGATACCAAAGATTTGTCTCCATCATCGCTGAGCTATACTCTCATCAGTCATCCCTTGAGCTGTTTGAACTCAAAGCCCATGATCTCATGAAAAATATTCTGATCTGGTTCATCGAGCAGCCATCGCTCAGCCTTGTCAGTATAAACAGGATTCTCCCCATTGGTAATAGTTTTACAATCTTGGATTACTATGAGAAGGAATCACTGCGAATTATTCTGGCTGTCAGCTGCATTGACAGGGTATCGCATGTCGATGTATGGATGTTTGGAGATCTTGGGTTCAAAGACAAGCAACTCTTCAGAATCGCCGAATACCAACTAAAGGAACGCGGACCGCTGCAAGACGCGATGGTATGGAAGACATTGCTAAGCACCGAATCAATGATCATGACATCATGCGGGCTGTTTTATGGATGCATAGACTCCGAGTGCGAAACAGTCTTGGAAAAGGTCAACTCAAAGATTCGGAGAATGAATCTCTCCCAGGGACAAGCCCCACCAGACGATATCTTAATCGAGTTGTATTGTGAAAACTCACTGGCCGAGCAGGAAATTTTCGCTATGCAAGAAGCTTCTCTCCACCCAAAGGTAGAGCCTATCAAAGCGGACGGTGATGTTGAGTGGACAAAGTTCGTCAAGGCTAGAAGTAGGTATGAGGAGTCAATACTGGCCGAAAATTGTGTGGAGGAGGCCTTTACAGGTACTGCCGAAAGGGTTTACATGTCTAAGTCTACGTATATTGAGAATCTTAAGGGCGTAGTCCCATCCCTGTCTAGTGACGACCGTGCAGTAGAGGTAAGAAAAATCATTACCCCACTCAATTAATGTGCTCCTGCGCGTGCGTAGATTCGGATTTAAATCGGCCGTTATTTATGACACAAAGACGGGTTTCTACTCTTCAGAAGCAGAAACACTCCGAACCAGCATAACTATGATAGCCTATCAGCACGTAAATGAGACGTTCCATATCGCTAATCTGACGTAGGAGCTACTCAAGAAGATGCAGAAACCATGGAAACTGTCCGGGGCGTGCTCCAGGAGGGTCAAAAAAGACCTCGCTGCCGCAAGAGGCATCCATCGTGGGTGTGAGGCCACACTGGGCAAAATGGCGGTCATGATCAAGAAGACTGAGGCGGGAAATGTCGCAAAGTCTAAGGCAAGCAATCTCGCTGTGCCCAAGGAGAGCAATGTCGCCGTACCTAAGGATACCAGTGTCGCCGTACCTAAAATAAAGAACGTCGCCGTACCCGTCGCCATACCTAAGATAAACAATGTTGCCGTACCCGTCGCCGTACCTAAGATAAACAACGTCGCCCTGCCTAAGACAAACGTTGCTCTACCTAAGACAAACGTCGCCCTACCTAAGACAACCGTCGCCCTACCTAAGGAAAACAATCTTACTGTCTCTAAGGCCAACAATCTGGCCGTGCCGAAGGCAAACAATCAGCTCGCCGCACCTAAGTCAAACTATCCCGCCATACCTAAGGCCAACTTCCTCGCCGTACCCCAGTCAGATACAAGACCTGGACATGCTATAGATAACCGTATGAACACAGCTTTAGGAGCCAGGCGATTCACCGTGATCGAGGACGGAGTCGAGTTCATCATGGAGAAACCCGAGCATCCGAACGACCAACAGACCGAATCCGACTCTGAGTTTGGGGAGGAAATGGGCAAGAAGCCGGATGTCAAGGTGGGGAAGGAGAAGGCGAAAGCTGCTGTGGCCACTGCGGCGGCGACGGTGGTTCAGGAACAGGAGCAGCCAGAGGCGCCAAAGCAAGGAGCCAACGCGAATAAGGGCAAGGGCAAGAACAAGGGCAAGAAGGGCAAGAAGGGCAAGAACATTGGCTGGAAAAGGCTTTAGGGCCGAGTAGCCAGCTAGCTGTGTCTAAGTGCTGACAAGAGAGGTCGAGGAGAAAAAAGGTGTCAGTGGATTGGGGTCACGGTCCATCACTCGTCGGATGGTTGGGTGTACTAAGTAGCTACATATGATTGATTTGGTTGATAACTCATTGGTTGTATGAAGTAGCTACATTACACTCTGTTCGTAGAGAATACAAATTTGGATCGGAATTAATTGGAGCGCATTCCTGAAGTGAACAGTGTCTACATGGCAGTCGGTCAGTTGAAGGAGCAGGTACTTGGCACCCGGTAGTGAGACGATATTGGTATCTGTCTTTATATCGATCAGTTAAATGGCTACGAAGACTCTGTCCTTTGCGGTAGTTTGCTTCTTACCAGGTTACCGCAGAATCTCAGGGATAACGAATCGAACTGGGCTAGAATACCACTTACCCATTAGTCAAGACGACCAAAAGTTACGCTTTAGGTCTGTCGGATTGAGGCTCAACAAGCATTTGACCAATCCGAAGCACAATATTCCAGTCCAGTTCGATTCGTTATTCCTGAGATTTTGCGGTATTAGACTGAAGACTTATATTACTTTGTGAGGTCTACCCCCCCTGCACCCCACGCGAGATACGGGACCAGCTGCAGGTTCCAACCTTCCCCGCAACCACACAATATCTCTCTCCACCACAACCACACCCACACCCCCACCCCACAACCGCCATGCCCACCCCCAACTTCACCGAGATTCTCCCATCCTCCCTCAAGCCCTCCTCACACACGCACATCACCTCCCTCTGGTCCAACTACGGCCACATCTACCGCCTCACCTTCCCCTCTCACCCCCCTCTCATCCTCAAGCTCATCCAACCGCCACCAACCCCTCGCACCGCCTCCGAATCCCACATCCGCAAGCTCCTCTCCTACCGCGCCGAGCGCCACTTCTACACCCACCTCTCCCACCACCTCACCCCGCACTCCCCATCGCAACCCCGCACCCCATCTCCGCAGCCTACACCGACGCCGCCCTCCTCATCGACGACCTCACGAAGACATTCCCGCTCTCCCCCTCGCACCGCTACTCCCCCGCCCACACGTCCGCCGTCATCCGCTGGCTGGCAAACTTCCACGCTGCATACTGGGGCTGGGGCGAGGCGGCGGAACTGGAACTGATCCCCCCGCCGCTCCAAGCTGCAGCGCCAGATGAGGCGAGGGGCGTGTGGCAGCGGGGTGGGTACTGGTACTTGGATACCCGCGCCGAGGAGATGCAGTGTCTCCTCGACGATGACGGCGACGGCGGCTATGCGTTCCTGCTGCCGCATGTACAGGCTGTTGCGGAGCGGCTAAGGGTGCGCCCCGGTGATCTCGGCGCGACGCTGATGCACGGGGACTGCAAGGGTGCCAATATCGTTTTTGCACCCCCGGGGGGTGATGGGGAGGTGAGATGTGCGCTGTACGACTTCCAGTACGTGGGTGTCGGCCTGGGTGTGCAGGATCTAGCGTATTTCTTGGGGACATCGGTGGATGTGCGGTTGCTGGAGGGGGGCGGGGAGGATGCGCTGCTGAGGGGGTATTATGACGAGTTGGTGGCGGCGCTGGGGAGGAGAGGGGTGGAGGTGGGGGGGTATACGTGGGAGGTGTTGGTGGGGCAGTGGGAGTGGGCGCTGGTGGATTGGATGAGGTTTATGGCGGGCTGGGGGTGCTGGGGAATAGTAGGTGGGTGGAGGGGCGGGCGAGGAGGATCTGTGAGAGGTGGGTGAGGGAGGGGATGGAGTAGTTGGGCTTTGAGGGAAAAGGGGGGGGGGGGGGGGAGGTTTCGTAGATAGATGTCGTTGGTGCCAATGATCGTGATTCCTTAACCTGATTCCCGCCCGGCCTGGCCTATCAGTATTCGAAGAAAAAAAAACACTGGTATTGCTAAGTTTAAGAGGCCGCTTTGCTAACACTACACTCGAAAACGGATCAGAAAAACGGTTCTGTAGCAATCCATCATGTAGGAAGTAATGATTTTACCTCCATAAACCCTCCAAAAACTATGTCCATATAGCCCCACCATGAAGGGCATGCCCTCAACGAGTACTAATCTCATTGGGTAACACAATACAATCCCAACCACTCTTCCCCTACCACAAGCCCAACCAATACCTTCCTTACCCGTAGAGGTGGACGCTCATCAATCAATTAACCAAAACAGCCAACCTACAACACCCTACCAACCACCCACCAGCACCGACACCGAGAACAGAGTCTCGCCAGCCAATGATCATCCTAAACCCCGGATCGGATGCCTGTCGTTGGCTATCGGTGTGGGCGTAGAATAGTGCTTGCTTTGCAATCAGCTACCACCACCCATAGTTCACTTGAGTTCGGGTGTTTTATGAAGTTCTAACCAGTTGTATTCGAGGAACCTTGGTGTTTCAAAATAGGGATTATTCTCTTCCATCATGAGAGATAACTCGACCGGTTATTTGCGTTCTCCGTCATGAGGGCTCACTCGACACAACTCAACCTCATTTCTGGCTCAACTTCTCAACCATCAACTACAACACAACCATGGCCACTCCATCTGCCAAACACAGGAAACAGGGATCAAATATACAAAAGGTCTCAACAACTACATACACATCCGCCCATGCCAAAAGTATATACACCTGCCAACTACTCTACTTGCCCTCTACTCTACTTCCCCCACACCACACCGAGCCTATCAACCTCATCGCCCGACCTCCCCCAGAAGCCCACAACCCTCATCCCCGTCTCGGGCGGGCTCATAACCGTACACGCGCTCGTCGTCTTGCCCACCGACAGCTCCCTCCCCGCGCTCGTCTTAACACGAAGGTAAAACACCCTCGTGTTCCCGTCCTTCTCGCCCTGGCACGCCTCGACCTCCACCAGCGTCTCCCCGCTCGCCAGCGTAATGCTACTCGCCGTCCCGCCGCTGCCTCCATGCGCCAGCACCGTCCCCGTGGACCACGTAGTGCTGACACTATCGACCCTCTCGCCGCCGGCCAGCTTCAGCGTCGTAATAGTCGGCGCAGCACTGGTGAGCCCCGTGGCGTCGTTAAAGTAGTCCCCATGCGGGCCCCCCACAACCTCTGACAGCCGCAGGCCAGTAGTTGAATACGAGAGCGTCGCCGAGAGCGGGTAGTGATCACTCAGCGGGCCGCCATCCGTGGGATGTAGGAAGTTCCGATGCTCATTCGTGATGCTCCCCAGCGCCAACGTCAGCACCGGCGAGCTGCGGAACAGAATCTTATCCACGACCTCGCAGCTCAGCATCGTCGCCTGGTCCGTGACCGTGTCCGCAAACGGGAACGCGCACGTCAACGCATCCGTGCCCAGCGTCGGCGGGGTCCCGCCGCGCACACCAGCCACCCATGCGTCCGTGAAGCCGCCGCCAGAGATGAGAGCGCGGATGTTGTCGCCGGTCGTGGTGTAGCGCATGTTTGTGTCGCCCATGAGCACCACGGGCATGCCCGCGGAGAAGGTGTTGATGTAGTCGACTACCTGGGCCACGTTTCCGGCGCGCGCGGAGAGGTCGCCGCTTTCGCCGCCGGCGTCGGTGTGTAGGTTGTAGACGTCGATCCAGATGCCGCCGGCGATCTCGACGCGCATGGCGCTGAAGCCTTTGGGCGTGAGGCAGTCGCCCGAGTTGAGGTTGCAGTCGTCCCAGGCGGTGCGGGTGAAGTCGATGTAGGGGAAGTCGGAGAGGGTGTTGAGGCCGTCGCCGAAGGGGACGCCGCCGGAGGTGGGCGTGCGGTAGGCGTGGCTATCGGAGGCGTAGAGCGCGGCGTGGGAGTTGAAGTCTTCCTGCACGTTGATTATGGCATATGGGGAGAGGCGGGCGGAGATGTACGGCGTGTTTTCCTCGGGGTCGGAGGAGGAGAGCGCGGCTAGGGGTAATGATCAGTATTGCGGCCTTTTTCTCGTGAGTAAGGGCGTGGTGGAGACTTACAGGGTAGGCCAGCGACATTGTAGGTAAGAACCTTCAATGAGCCAGTGGTAGCGCTGGCACCGAGGATCGAGTTCAGCAGCAGTAGGCTGGAGCCTAGGAATTGGTATCGAGACTGGAACATCTTGCTTGGCTTGCAGTTAGTTGGGATGAGCTGTGTCCATGGGCTTCTCATGCGGTTTATATCAGTTCCTGAAGATCCTAGATGCACCTCCACCTCCTTCCTCCGGCACCGCTCCGAACCCCGAAGACTTGAGATCTGTATGGCACAGGCATACAATCATTGGGCATTGGGGGTAAAGTGTTGGTGTTGATATAAGGCTAGAATATTACTATATCAGCATTTTATATTATATTGCCCCACCCCTGGCAGGAGACCCGGAAACAGAAGGTGGCCAGGGTCAAAACCAACGGTGATATGCTTAATTCGGTACCTTTCCGGTGGTGCGTCTACATGTGCGAGAGAGCGATGACGATGCCTACGTACATAGTATCGAGTCGCTCTAATATCGTCCGAGGTGGAATTGTCTATCTCCACAGGAAAGTAACTGCTAATGTCCTGGTTTGGAAATTGTATATTATTAGTCGGATCCAGGGGAAGACACGTTCACAGGCAGGCCCGGCCGATTAGTTGGTTTCTGCTGGAGCCGCTAGATTCATGGAAAGAGTGTAGCTCGTCAGGTATCACGGACCCCAACGGTTGGTGTTTGCAAGGCCGAGACATCCTAATCCATGCAGTTGATACTATATATATTAACTGTGCAGATCCGGATCGAACTATACACTATATATATATATTAAATAACTAAGCAGTATCAATAGCAGGGGGGCCAAGTTAGTAGATGCACACGTAAGGCTACTAATAGATTAATAAGACCGGTGGTAATGTTGTCCAATGAATATTTCACGTGTGTCGAGTGAGCGCTGATGACTGGGTTTTGTAGTAGATTAGTACTTGCCCACTCACGTGTGCCGAGGCTACTTACCTTCTTGGCATATTTCTGGTCCCTAAGAGTGCAATCCAATCGATCAATCTGACAATCAATCTCTGATAGTGCAGTCGTATAGGTCATGGGACCAGACTTTGTATATTCTGCATCAACCGGTGTTGTATCTGTGTCGGACGGCCTCTATACCCACGGGACAATCCTTCTCGACGAGCTCTCCTCAAAGATTAAGGCATCCAGGGCTCGAGGAAGCCAGAAGCAACAGACGTGCACAGCAGAGCGCCGCTACCCAAGTCAAACAGACAAACAACCTAAAGCGACTCGTAACCCGGTACTCATAACTCCTTTCTACAGCAAGCCGCCTTATCCCCCTCCCTTCAACCACAGTATTAACCTAAACCCTAACCCATCCCAAAATCCAACCCTAACCCATACCACAACACTATCACAGCCAAGTCCACCCCCACGCCTTGCCCCACCACCCCCACAAGGCAAGCAACTCAAAAAAAAAAAATGAAGTCTTCCGTTGCGGGGAATTGAACCCCGATCTAGTCGGTTCTTGATGAGAGCGACTGATGCTAACCATTACACCACAACGGATTATGCGCAGGGTCTGAGTTTATGTTTGTTGAAATTTAAAAGTTAAGGTGTGATTGCTGAACGCTGAATGATGGCAAGAACTTGCTGAGAAAAGAATTCTCAAGCAAAAAAGACCATTTCCATGTGAAGAAACCCTCTCAAAGCTGCGACAGGGGCGCATAAAGCCAAACACAAAATCAACAACCTTCAAAAGCAAAAAAGCAAAAAAGAAACAACCCTGTTTCCGTTGCGGGGAATTGAACCCCGATCTAGTCGGTGAGAGCGACTGATGCTAACCATTACACCACAACGGATTGTTATGCGGTGCGTTTTTGTCTTACTTCAAGGATTTGTGCTTGTGGCGTTGACCTGGTTGAGTCATCGAATTACTTGACATGGGGTGTCACTCGGTTCCGTTCCGGGTTGCGTTGTGTGGTCGTGTACCAGCAGAGAGCGGGTGCTGGCTGTTAAAACATTTCTGGCGCAAAACACCGAATAAAGACAGGAATATTTAGAGATTAATTCCTGCTGAATTATCCCGACTGAACTATGAAAAGAGTAGTTTATGTGCTCAAATAATTTATGTATCTACATACTGTACTCATCATAGCCACAAATCCCCACCGCCATTTCTCAAGGCCACAAACTTCTCCTCGCAGCCATTCTACAAACCACACAAATCCACATGTATACAATAGTACTACTTGGTATTCAGCTCGTTATATTGCCACTACTTAGTATCGTCTAGTCATATCTACCCACTACGTCTGTAACTCTACGACCCGCAACAAAAAAAAACTGCAAAAAAAGAAACAAGAAAAGAAAGAGAGCCAACCCCCACTACCAACCACAAACTACCAACTACTCAACCCCGTCCTCCTATCAAAGCCCGCCCGAATCAGCCCACTATCACACACCTTCCCCTCCAGCACCGTATACCTCACAATCCCCTCCACATGCCTCGGCGTCACCTTCGCCAGCCACACCCCCTGCACCACCTCCCCCTTCCCCTTCCCGCCCTCCCCGTCCACCCCCTTCTCCCCCATCCCCATCCCCGCCCCAACACCAGACCCCTCCATCTCCACCCCGCCCTTCCGATACACAATCACGTTCGCGGAAAACTTGTGCCCGCCCACATGGTTAATAAACAGCACCTTCACGCCGCCCGGCCTCATATCGGCCATATCGCGCCAGAGCCCCAGCGGGCGCAGGTGGCGCTCAAACTCCTTTCGCAGGATGGGCGCGCTGATGCCGCAGCGGGCGTCGCGGCGCTTGTGCGAGCAGAGGAGGATGAGCGTGTCGTGCGGGTAGTGGGACGCCGTGACGGTGCTGTCGCACGAGTAGGGCACGTCGGAGAGGGAGAGGTTCTGCAGCGTGGACGTGTCGATGGGGGTGGACGGGGACATGAGCGGGCTGCCGGGGGCGCGGGTGGGGGAGCCGGCGGGGAGGGAGGGGTTGGTGGTGGTGGGGATCTGGAGGGTTAGGGGGGAGCGGGGGCGGGTGGGTTCGTCGAGGGGTGGGGAGAGGGTGGACGCGGCGGGGGAGGGGGGCGTGGGGGTGGAGGGAGTGGGGACGAGGGGGTCTAGGTTGGTGGGGGAGGGGTTGATGAAGCGGGAGACAAGCTCGGGGGTGGTGGCGGGTGTGACGTTCTCGATGAGTGTCCAGGAGGGGAGGAGGATCACGGATGTGGGTTGGGGCTTTGTGGCGTCGGTGTGGTGGTGGTGATCGGAGGGCGGCATGTTGGATGCAGAGACCATGAGCCTCTATTCATTTGATTAGCATTGATCCGTCTAGAATAATAAATTATAGAAGAATTTACCCCATCCCTATCCTCCACCGCCCCCTTCTCCACCCTCTCCTTCAGCGCCTCCATCACGCTCCCCCGAATCTCGTCCACATCCCTGATCCAGTCCGTCTCTCCCGTCGCCACAATGACATGCCTCGAGTACTTTTTGACACCCCCCCACAGCTCCTCATCGTGGTCAACGCCGATCTTGTCAAACGCCTTCCCATAGCCGCTTGTCCCGTCGGGCGCCACCTGTGGACACGCCGCGCAGTCGTGGTCGCACTCCTCTGCGGCGTCGGTCTTGTCGTGCTCGCAGGTGACGAGCGGGAACAGCGTGTCCTTGGTCACCTTGCCGGCGTCGGCGCTGGTGTCGACCTTTGTGGCGGCCGCGCTGAAGAAGGAGGTTCCGCGGCGAAGAAGGCCGGCGAAGGGCATCTTGGTTGTTGCTGTGTGGGTTGGTTGTTTCGTTATCTGATCGTGGGGATCGCTTTATCTGATTGAAGATTAGGGGATGACGAGGGAATATCGAAGAGAGGTGACAAGCTTTTTGAGTGTTTCTTTTTGGCTGGGGGGGGGGGGGGGGGATCGTTACCCGGTTGTGGGTTCTATTTGTCTGATGCTTGGGAGGTTGAGTGCTTGGGGGTGCCTGAGTGACTGACGACTGACCGACTGACTGACTGACTCGGGCTGTTCAGAGTTTATCATTCAGTAGAAGTACATTCAGTAGAAGTACACTCTGGCCAGTCCCCTTTCCCTCCTCTCTCTTTCCCCCCTGAGCGCCTTGGCAACCTCCCCAAAACGCAATTAGTGATGCTTACGCGGCTAGAGTACATGTACATGTAGGTATTATGACTTGCTACAGCCTACATGTACACACAGTATTACTTGAGCATCATATGTAGCATTCACAATCCCCTTATAATACTACACTACACCCCCTCTACATCCACCGCCTACATCTCCTCTATACGTATACGCACACGCAAGGCAAGTATCGGCCGAATACCAGACGAACGAAGACCGGCCCCAATCAATGCATGCGTGTCTTGTGTCTTATCTGATCGATGCTTGCCGTATCCGGCTTGGCAGCGCAGTAGAGAGAGAGGGAAATAAGGGCATGGAGATTAATGTCGACGTGCTACTTATCTCCGTTTGTAATCTCCTAGCTATGTAGCTACTGTGGAGTAATATCGGGGGGGTGGTGGGTGGTGGGGGAGGGAGGTTTCAGATAGGGGAAGCTTATCTAAATGGCAGTGTTATCTGATTAGATGAGGACAATATTGTACCTACATACTCTAAACAATTGATTTAGTAGACACGTATACTTATACCTAAAGTACTCATGGTGATTAGATGACCTTCATGTAGGTATGTCCCAATTTCAAGCTCATATGATTAGGGTTGGAATAAAGTATCGCCCAATACGGCGCCCGAATGGTCTATTCCACCGGAGACCATTCGTGTTCCATGATCTTATCAGATCGTGATTGGGGTTGGGGTAAAGTATCGCTCAATACGGCGCCCGAATGGTCTATTCCACCAAGGACCATTCCGGGATTCCACTATCTTATCAGATCGCAGCTGGTGATCAATGACCACGAAGACGTATTTAAACTTTATTATCCTCCTCCATCCGGCAATTAAGGGGAAGTGTAATTTTCATTTTCATATACGCGGCCAAGAGCCGTCTGTCTGTGTAAACCCTCTTGCAGTCATAGGGCCCAAACTTATCGTAACAATCCGCCCCGAAAACGTTATCGAAAGCCGGTCCAAAGTAACTCAAACAATCCACTTAGTAAGCCGAGCTCCTCATCCTCACTCCTACTCCTCCCCTCCCGCGTCCGCCGCTCCCCGCCCCCAAATTCTCCCAAAACGCCCGCTCCAGTCACCACTGCACCCCTGCACCTCATCCCCGCCCGTATCCCTCATACCAATCCATACCCTACAAAGTGGGGGGAAAAAATCAAAAATAAAGGGCCCGATTCCGGGATCGAACCGGAGACCTGTCACAATTGAGAAATAGAATTCCCGGGGGGCAACCCGAAGCGACAATCATACCACTAGACCAACCGGGCCATATGACATTCACTGTTTTATTAGTATTTAACGGCTAAACACTTTAGCTGTGACGCATCAAGTTAGGGTTGTGGCACGCTAGTAAACCTTGTCCTGCGACGACATGTCTGTGACAACTGCGAAAACTACGACAACTGCGATCGGAACTGCGATGGGAGACATTCAGATGTGAGAATACTGCAAGTTTGACAGTGACCGTTCGACCAATGGAAGATAAACCTTATTGTAGCACATTCACCAGTCAAAGAGAGCCTAGAAGTCCGGCCCCAGGAATTCGAATCACAGTTTAGCACTCATCAGCCAATTCTTTACAGCGAAAAACAATAACTATTATTACTATTACTATTTTTCCACTCCATACAAGTACACTCCCTCCCCCTCTCAGTCCCGTTGTCCGTCCCGTTGTTGCCCAGTTCACAAGTTTCCAAATACTACATGATCATACATCCATCATAAACAATTACATCCTCGTCCATTCCACAACCGCAGCTCTAAACGGGAACCGTCGTGGCACCGAGGGGGGTGTCAACTGAGGCTACATCAGCGCTAGTACCAGCGGTTTTCTTGAGATCAGCGGCAGCCCCACCAAGTTTCTTAACTGTCTCATCACGGGGGACAAAACCCGATGCCAAGCCAGAAACAGCATCCGCGCCGGTAACATCGCCCGTCGTGGGGGCCTTCGCATCCTTTGCGGGAGACTTGACATCTGTAGGAGAAGCAGTCACGCTATCCGCAGAAGGCACAAACTCAGAGCCCAAATCACTGCCAGTGACCGTTTCAGTGCCAGCCTTGGGTGCCTCCGTCTTGGGTGCCTCCGTCTCGCCGGAAGTGGCGCCCTTCGCGACACCGTTAACATCGTTGACCTTGTTGAGGTCGACCTTTCCAGTAATCTCGTCGGTGCACCCGGCGGCGTTGTGCGTCACGTCAAGGCCCTTCACACACTTCTTCTCCTCGCGTTTTGTGGGCGTATTAACACCCTCCAAAGTCTTCTTGACACCATCCACGGAAGGGACGTTGGCGTTTTCCCCAACATTGATGCCAGGAATAGGCTCCACAGGCGAGCGCTTGGAATTTCCGCTAGAGTGTGTAGCGGCACGGTTGATCTCATGAGTTATGCCTGCGTGATCAAGCGACGGAGGACCAGCGGAGCGCTTGCCGGTGAGACTGCCAGTGAGACTGCCAGTGAGACCAGTGGGATCGCTGCCAGTGATGCCGCCAGTGGGGTCGCTGCCAGTGATGCCGCCGGTGGGGTCGCTGCCGCCTAAGGGAGAGGTGTGACCACCTCCTTGGCGGGGATGAAGTTTCTTCGCCGGGCCAGCATCGCCCACCGCTGCGGCATCGGTTGCGTCAGCAAGGTGGTCAGGTTTTGCCTCTGGCTGCCCTACATCCCCCTGCAAGCCGGCATTGAGCTTGTCCGTGGTACCAGGTGCGAGTTTGTCAACAGGAGGACTACCGAGTGTAGGCGTGTTGCCGACGCCAGGAATACTACTGGCAGGAGGCACGGGGGCACCAAGGGCGCTGCTGGCGAGCATAAGGGAGAGGAAGAGGGTGGTGAGCTTCATGCCTGAGGTATGCATTGTGGATTAGGTATTAAGGTATTTTATAAAATAAAAAAAAAGTATTAACCCGTAAACAAGTAAATATGTTGTGTAGGGCAAGAGAGGTAATGTCGAAAGACTATGGTGATGCTGCTGCTGATGATGCTAGAAGAAGAGGTGGGATTGGGGGGCTTCTTTATACACCCAGTGAAGTCTCTTGCTTGCCCGGACTTGCAATTGGGGGCCCGCCTCTAGCCTGATGTGTGGGTGCAGTTCTACTTTTCCAAACTGAGCTATTGGCCCCGAGAGAGATGGAGGAGGAGGTGGTGGTGGTGGTGGAAGAAGAAAATAAAGTTGTGTGTATTGCACATCGCAATGAAATTCTTCTGTGCGCTACAGACGGCGATTGGAGGTGGTAGTCGTGGTGCTTCTCATTCACTCACTGCCTTGCCTGGGTGGCCGGATGCCAAGCAAAGTAGGAAAAGTAGCGCAAAACCAACGAATATGTAGAACATCTCAGAATATGTAGGACATCTCAGAGTACGTACTCTATGTGCCTAGAAGTATTCTATGTTCCGGGAGTAGAGACATACGGGCAGAAGAATACGTACAGTACTCCACGAGTCCTGAGATGATTCCTATTTTGCAGTTACTAGTAGCCCACGTAAAGCTCCAATCCTCAATTCAATTCACCTAGCAAATAACACTCACCTCCCCAATCCCCCCCAACATCTATCCTCACAATTCACACCAATTGCCCAGAGAAGAATACGGGCCTCCTGAAGATCTCCCGACCGACCGTCCGAGCCACCAAGACATCTCACCCCGAACAAATGCGGGGGGGGTTGTGGTGGTGACGAGGGCAAGAGGAGGCGTCCGTCTCGTCTCTCGGTGAATTGTTTAGTTTGTTTGATATTGACGAAACCTGAGCCCTGGCCCAGGCTCTTGGGCGCTGTCCGGTCCCAGGGCAATGTTTCTACGTCGTAGAGTAGATGGAGTGTAAACAATTCCAGATAGCTACTGTACCTTAGACAGAGTCTACTCTGGATGCAGTTGACGTTGTAGTACTGGTCTCTGTACGAAAGCAGCTATAAGAGAGCTATAAGATCGTCCCCCCGACCCGTCCCCCCGCCCAATTAGGACAACTACACTGTGAGTATCTCATCCCTGCTCTCGTGCAGCTGTTTGTCACACACACACAACCCGCCATGCCCAACTGGTAACGCAACCTCCGTCTTTATTGCAACATCATACGTACTCTAGGTACAAGTATTTCGCTGACGTTTTTGAACTGGGCCATTATTGCATACACCCAAAATCATGAGCTTGGCGTATTTTTGTATGGCATGCAACATCAGTCGCGTCCACAAACGTCAGAGAAATACGAGTACTCTCTAGAACCTTAGTAGGCTTGATATAATGATATCACTCAATCTTCATGAGCGCACATCGAAATTTCACAGACCGTTCCGTTGAGTACCATTGAATTAGAAAAGAACGCATAACAGCAATGAACACTTCCTTATGACGTCGACATACCGTGCTGAGGCTCCAACGTTACCGATTCCAATCCGTCGCTCTCCCCTTCATCTTCTTTTTCTCTTTCTCATTGGATTCCATGACTATCACTCAGGGGCGGACCGGGCAATCAAGAAAAGAGGAAAGAATACATACCAGATCCGGTGTTGTCTCCCTGAGATCTCAATGAACCCCTACCCCCCCCCCCCCCACATATGCATAACTCCGCAGTATTATACCAACAACCCTCCACCAAGCGACGTCAAAAGAAGCTTTGGTGCCTTGCGGGCTAGCCCACCCGGGCCTATCAATGGCTAATTACACTATTATCATTGGACGTTTCCAGGGTAACGCGAGTCCTGGAGTGTTGGGGCTTGAGTTGTCAGTTGTCATCCATCTCTAGAGCAGCATCTACGGGCTGGGTGAGACGTCTTGTCCTCCCCATGCATGCAGGCACGCAGTACGGAATAAACCGTCGGACGAAAGCGTACTGACACCGGCTACCACTGACTAGATTGGCGACTGATTCTGGTTGCTGTTGGCCAATGGAAACTTGTCAACGTCGAAATGGAGTTTGATCGCCCAAATAGGGGAAGCCGATTGAGACATGGGAATCTTGGCTATCATTTGAATTTGGTTGCCGCTCTTGATGTCGACGACTCCTTTGATCCCGACTACTACATGTACTTAGTTAGTGAACAGCAACTAGAAGGATCTATAAAGATGCAAAGTCCGGTAATAAGAATTTGTTTTGTATTGCAACACCGTTAATACCTGATTCAGACGATTCCAGATTGTCTCCCTGTGGCCGTTTTGAGTAAGATAAAACTTTGGGAAGATTGATAGACAATTATCTAACCCAAAGAGGCTGTCTGTGGCAAATTTGGCGGGTTATTGGCCTTTTTCAACATTAATTAGGAGGGTTGGACATTTTCTCGGAGTTGACTTTTCTATCCATAATTTTAAGAAACACATAGGCTTGGATGCTTTAAACAGTGTATGTCATGTGGTCACGATAGCCATGAAGGGTCTTTCAATCTACTATAAGATCTTCTGAGAAACCTGGATTTGACCCATCTCATGATATGAGGTGATAATTGCCGGATCCGATATATGTCGAAGAGATATCCATTTCCCGAGATTAACTAATTCGAACACTACGAGTTCACTCAAGCGAAACTCTAAGCTGCTAGCTATATCCACCGGGTGAAATAGCGGCCAGGTCAATTCAATCAATCGCAATAAACAAGAAAACGGTTTAATTCATTCATCTAGAATGAGTCTAGAAACAGTTTCCTTCTTTAAAAATCAGTTTGCTCTTTCAACCCCTCCGTTGAATGCTCCCTATCAACAGACTGTGTCCCTATACCAACTGAGGAGACTACAGAGACTCATGCGCAGCCCAGGACTATTCCACAAGATTTCTGGGGGTTGGTTTGGCTCCAGCCAGACACATCCAAGGAAGTGGCACCAATAACTGTCAAGGATGAAGAGGTTATATAGGTCTTTCTAGTCCTCGAGCGGGTTGCAAACCGCGCAATTACATGTTCCTTTCCCTTTATAATAAAACATCAGTCAACAACGATAAACATCGTCGGCCAGAATTGAGTGACTTACGTGAAGAGCTTAGTCAGATTATTAGAATCCAACGTCCTACCGGAAGCAGGAAGATATTTTCCTTGAGGAAACTAAACCGACATCGTTCCGATAACGTTCACACACTCATGGGGAGAAGGGGGAATGCAACAAACAAGCGATGGCCCGGCTCCTAACGGACAGCGATACAAGCCTACCGATCCGATTATAGCATTATCGACCGCCAAATACAATGGATTTTTGAAGCAAGTATGAGGACACTTTAATCGATCACGAACCCAGGGCCATATCCCAATTTACCGTTCCTAATCGGAAGATGGAAGCACGGTGCGGCCGAGAGACATTTTCGGTACTAGTATAAACGATGCTCCGATCAAGAAAGATCGATATGAGGACTTGTGGGGAATCGGGGGGGGGGGGGTGAGTTGCCCATTTATAATGGAATCAGATCACAATACATCAACGGAGAGGTAAAGAAGCCAAAGTGTCCAGAAAGGGCAATGGCCGTGCATGAAGCTTCTGTTTAGATGCGTTCTAAATGATTGGCCAGTTGACATGCATGCTTGTTTACAGATATCTATAACACAGTTGCTGTCAACAGGGATCACCACCTGCCTCTCGCTCACTCGCTCGCGCCCTGAGTGATTCCGTGTGACGCACCACGCTAGCTACATAGCCGGCCCCAGCCCGTTAAGCTCGGCTAAATGTGCCATTAAGCCGCAACCCCGGATTCACCTCACAGCAGATGTAGCTACAGTACTTTAGCATGTGAGAGCTCAGGCAGGCATCGAATCCACAACCTCAACCTTACAGTTGAATTCATAACCTTACAGTCGAATCCACAACATTATATACCTTACTATTGAACCTTACCTTATACAGAGACAATATTCACACCTGACCACCACCACCACAGGAATTACCACAAAATGGGCGATAAGGAAGCTCTGATGGATGCTCTCAAGCAATACAACGCTTGTGATGTGCGTTAGCTAGCTCTCCACTCATCCACACACACACACACACACCCGAAGTCCTAACACCCACCAGATATCCGACGCCCTCCTCAAGCTCAAAGTCCCCTACGCCGGCTTCCTCGTCGACATCCGTAAACCCCCCCCCCCCCGGCCCCTCCACACTGCCCCACTAACACCCGCTAGTACCCCGCACCTCCACCCCCGGCATCAACATCTCCGTCGCAACCACCGTCCTCTTCGCGCCCAAAGACACCACCGAGCCCAAGTGCTCCCTCCCCGCTGACACCCACTTTGCCGACTTCATCACTCCCTCCTGCACGGTAGTCGTCTCCCAGCCCCCCGACCAGCGGTGCGCCGTCGTCGGCGGCATCGTCGCAGAACGCATGTACCAGCTCGGGGCGCGCGCAATCATTGTGGACGGGCGGGTGCGCGATCTGGAGGAGCTGGGGAAGCGGGATGACCTGATGGTCTTTTCGAAGGGGGTTAGTACGGTTGGGGCGGGGGCGGAGGCGAGGGTGGTTGCGGTGGATGATGTGATTACGGTGCAGGGGGTGGATGTTGCTAGTGTATGTCCCCTCCATAGACCCAGTCCGGAGGTCTTTACTAATTTCTTATTATGCTCGTGTAGGGTGACATCGTCTTCGCCGATAGTAAGAACGGGGTAGTCATCATCCCCGCCGCACACCTCGTACAAGTAGTAGGGATGCTCCCGAAGATGGTAGCCGCAGACGCAAAGGCCATGGAGGATGTCCGCAGCGGTAAGAAGATTTATGATGCGTTCAAGAAGCACCGCGGGGGGTAGACAGAGGTAGAACTTAGTTTTATACCAATCCGATTTCCACTTCATGTGAGACTAAAAATAAATTGAATCACGAGTTATCACTCACTCCTTCGCTGAGCCCGACCAGATGACAAATCCTAAAAAAAAAAAAAAAAAGGACTGAAACTACGACTATTGAAGCCCGCTGTAGCCCTCAAAATCTAGCGGCCGCCCTCCTCCATCACGGTTCCATGGCTCAGTTGGTTAGCGCGTGGTGCTAATATCTCGACACTTCACAGTGTCTAAATGTTAACGCCAAGGTCGAGGGTTCGACCCCCTCTGGAACCATCAGATGTTGAAGATGATGGTGACGTGCTTGAACAAAGTACCCATCTCATCCGAGATTCTTTTCTTTTGCTTTGCGGGTGTCGGTTCTTTTGGCCGGTGGTGCTAATCCTTCAGGGTAAGGATTGTTTTATTTCTGTTGACCCTCAGATCTATCAGAGACCGGGCTGTGAAGTACGGAAGTCAGAAGTGGGTTTCTTGGTCCGTGCTTGCTGCAAAAATTCCTTTAAGGGCCAATAGGACTATCGGGTCACGGGGAACCCACTTTCGCAATAATTCTACCGGCCATTGTAGGTACAGGATCTGGTGACAGAGAAATTTAAGAATTGATCTTAGTCCAACTCTTTTTTAACTGTTACGTTTTACAAATACAGCCTCCACTTACATTCCATCCGCGTAAGATTGCAATGTCTACATGTCTTGTAGTTACTTAGATGTATTCAGATGGAAAAACAAAGTTGTTTATGTATGTACTTGGCCTATTTCAGGCCTCTCTAAGTCTTGTATTACGATTTTCTGTATGATAGTTTTGGATCTATCAATTAAAAAGTAAAGCGCTTCAACCGCGCGCTACTCCAAACCGAGTGACCACCCATGAGCCCACCTGCACCCATCACCACCCATCACCCGTCACATCACATCACCCCACCACCGACCGACCGGTAAGTACCCCTATGCACTCTACTCTACCTACGCACGCCAGGGGGGGGCACCCAAAACCAAACCAACTCCCACACGCGCCGATCGCGCTCTGAGACGACCAGAAACTTCGTTTTCTTCCTGATATCTATTCGCATCGCGACCAGCCGCTACGTCAGCCGCTGTCACGATTACACTCCGGATGAATACATACCTACTATACCTAGCCTACCTGCAGGGTTAGGGGTTGCTGGCTGTCACTGCTGCTGCGTGTGTTTGCCCCCCCAAACCCGGTTTTGTTTAGAAGCGAGACGAGACGAGACGAGACGGGCGTGGGTGATCGCCGCGGGTGGGAAATCGGGTTGGGTTCACAACATAGGGCCAATTTGCGAAAAATACGATCACCTTCCCCCGTTGCGCAGGAAAGAAATGAAAACGTGCGGCTTGACGGGTGTATCGGGCCTCGGCCAGTAGAGCGGTCATAGCTTTCCATTGACAATAGGAGCAGAGAGAGAGGGGGGGAAGAGTGAGGGAGTGAAGGGCGGAAAAGAGAGAGTGGAAATTTCTAGATCTGGTGGTGAACCGGTATGCTGGGCTCGATAGATTGCGGCGGGAGGTTCCTGCTACGTTTACACTCTAGTAGGGGGCAAATTTTTGTTTAAATTTTCACTCGGGAGGGAGGGATTGAGAGGGAGGGGGGTGGTGGTTGTGTCTTGGGCCTCCTTGTGTTTTGCAGCTCCTGTTTGTACTACTAGGTGCTGCGCTACTGGGTTTACCCATCGTTCTATGTGCTTACTGCCCAGAGTTTGATATTTGATATCACGGAGTTTATAGCAGGTTCCATGTAGGTACAGAATCCTTCTCTCGCGGTTGCGGCTTGGTAGCTAGGCAGTTAGAGTTGGTACTTAGGTATGTATATAGTTAGCTGGCGATCGCGCGGTCGCGAAATCGCATCGTATCGTATCGCCATCGTATCGTATCGTATCGTATCGTGGGGCAAGAAGGTCGCGTAGTATTCAGGAAGGAGCTCAGGAGGCTCAGGTACAGTACAGAAGACCGACAACGAAGCTTCAGAGCCCCACTTCACCCGCCGTCGAGGGTGGCAGGAGCGTGGCGCTAGCACTCAAAGGAGCCGAGTGTTTTCCTCTTTGGGGCGCCAAGGGGCAGGTATTGTGTTCGCATAGACGTCAGATGTCACGGCGCAGATAGGGCTAGGTAAGAGGGAGGGAGGGAGGGAGGGACTGCGGGGATGGTGAAGGAATGAACGAGACGGTAGATTTGTCATACATAGAGGTAGATGACAGTCGGCACATTGAACTGTGTGCCTGTCTGTGCATTTGCTTTTCTGATATGCTGGATGTAGAGAGCATGTAGAGTGGACAATAGAGGTATTAGAAGCCGGTGTATACCTACACTATGGGAAGCTCTCAAATTAATACCATGCAGAAATATAGGAGTTTAGGGGGAGTGGGAGCGGAGTAAACTAACTATGAACTCGTCGGAGACAGAGAGAGAAAGAACTTAGATTGGCCACTAGGATTCAACACAGGGCCACACGTCCTCGTTCTGAGTGGATGAAGACGAATAGAACAATGCCGATCGGAGAAGCTATCTGATCATCATCGGGGGTTAGGGGCAACAATCCGGTGCGTGCAGTAGCAGCAGATAGTCTAGCAGAATCTCAAAGAGGTCTGTTGTTTTACCAGTTGACAGGTGCAGAGGTTTTTTTTCCCTTTCACCCTGGGGCTTGGATGGTTTGTCAGGAAAGCAGCGACGCACTGGTAATACATAGCGCGACGGCACAAGTAGTTTAGTGGAGTGGGCGGGTAGTTTGGAGGAAGGAGGGAGGGTTGCAGACTTGCAGTAGTGTGTTTAACGCCCTCCCCCCCCCCCCCCCCCCCCCCGGTCCTCCCACCTTTCTTTCCACTCCTACAACACACACGACATCGTCTCAGCTACTTTCTCTTTCCTTCCATAACCCACTCACCCACCCCCCCTCCATAACAACCTTCGCCTTATCGCCCCCATCTTATATCCTTATTGACACGACTTTTTGCAACAGCATCCCACGGGGTATCCGCAAGTAGATATCCCCTATCTGCTTCCTTTTTCTGGGACAGCACAACTCCATATCACTTCTTGGTAAACCCAGCCTTACGATCAACCTCAACTTCGCACACCCCCCATCACCCATCTTGCTCCAATACCCAACAACTAAAGAGGGAAGTGAACATCACCAATCATGGCTTCCACGAGTCCACCAATATTCAACGTGGAGGATCTCGAAAATGCAGCAGCGGGAGTGGCTTCGCAGCGCCAACCACAGACAGGAGAGACGGCGGCGACGGCGACGCAACAGCCCCTGAGAACGTCGCAGAGCTTCCGGGTGGATGAAGGTTATAGCGGTGAGGAGACGCCCAGTGTGTACGAGGATCCGAACCAGAGAGAGGACTTGCGATCGATTAGAGAGAGTGCAGAGCTGAAGATTCCGGCTTGGGTGACAGGACTTGATGATGCGTTAAGAGAAGGTTTGTAAAAACACTTCCTTGCTCGATGCTTTTCTCTTCTTCTTCTACAGACTACATGCACTATTTCCTACAATACCACCGAGACTATCCTCCAATCCGTCAACATACTCGATGAATTCCCATCTTGGTTTGATGGCTCTTATCGCCGGTTGAAGGGTTGTTACCACTGTGTGTAACGGTTTGTTGTTGTGGTTTCAGTGGGGGGAAAGAGAAGGCTCTTTGACGGCCTGTCGCCTGTCGCCTGACATGTCCCCCTCCCCTCTTGTGGCACACATCTGCAATGACAGCTCATAATCATCTTTCACGAACTTGGTTTACTCAGCGATGCTTCTTTAGATTCGAATCACCTATTAGCTGTTCGTGATCGCTAATATCGGTCTTTTAGAATACGCTTATAAACTCGTCCGCACCCTACCGACATCCAACATCGCATCGCTGGTCGATAGATTGGTCCCAATTCTCCATCTCGACTTTATCCAACTGCTTCCTTCCGAGCTATCGCTTCAGATCCTATCGTACCTACCCGTGCGTTCGCTTCTCAATGCATCACTGGCTTCGCGCACATGGCGGCGATTCGCTATGGAGCCAAGGCTCTGGAGAGACCTGTATCACGGCGCCGGATGGGAGGAAAACAGCGCCGAAGTGCGACTGTTCGAGACCGAAATGCAGCAGCAGGTAGCGGCCAAACGGAAGGCCGAAGAGCAAAGAGACGAGGAAAAGAAACTTAGGGATCTAGCAAGGCGGAACATAGACCGATTTAGGTCGGGTCCCGGAAGCCAAGGTGAGAGCTCTACATCGGACTCGTCCGGTGGCCCTATGGATATCAGTGGGGATAGTTCCACCCAAGGAAGCTCTGGTGCATACGGCACTCCGAACCAGGATGCGGGATACTTTCCTTATATGGCCGATTCTTTAAGAACTATCCGCCAGTCATCGATGGCGGGAGTTTTTGGTGGCCCGAGTGCGGCAATGTCGGATGATGATGACATGTATCCAACCGGAATGAGTCGGCCTATAACATCACAGGCATATGAGGAGCCATCACTTCCGATCCACCCCACATTGACAATGCCTGGTTATAACCACCCCCGGCTGAATTGGGCGTTTCTCTACAAGAATCGTAAAAGACTTGAGGACAATTGGTTGCACAACCGATTCACAACATTCCAAATCCCCCATCCAAATTACCCTCATGAAGGTCATGCCGAATGTATCTACACCATTCAATACTCGCCCAATTTCCTCGTATCTGGGTCGCGTGACCGAACAGTTAGAATTTGGAACATGCGTACCCGGAGGTTAGTGGGGGAGCCATTGAAGGGTCATACCGGGAGTGTACTGTGTCTCCAGTTTGACGAAGAAGAGCAAGTTTTGGTCACTGGATCGTCAGATTCTAGTGTTATCATTTGGAAATTCCCCACTGGCGAAAGACTGAAAGTTATTGAGAAAGCTCATCAGGAATCTGTTCTTAACTTGAAGTTTTCAAAGAAATGGCTTGTGACATGTTCCAAGGACAAGTTAGTTAAGGTCTGGAATCGAGAGCAGCTAGAAACCACAAACAAGGACTATCCATGGGTATCAAAGGCCCTATGGGCCACCGGTACCAGCAACGCTGTCGATGTTCGGAGCCATCCGCACCACCCCGATAATATCGGCAACAATCAGCAAGCAGCCTGGGCGACTTGGACTGTCCAGGAGCCCTCCATGGGTTCTGGGCTCAATCTCCAAAACCCGTACAGCAGCAGTGATCCCAACCGCGCATTTGGCGCTAGCACTCGTGCGCCATCTAAAGGCGGCCCCAGAACTCTCCACCCATACACTGTGATCCAAAATCTCTCGGGCCACGCAGCCGCCGTAAATGCGATCCAACTACATGGCGACCAAATCGCATCAGCGTCTGGAGACCGTCTTATCAAGTTATGGAATCTCCGCACTGGAGCCTGTGAAAAGACCTTTGTTGGTCACACCAAAGGTATTGCATGCATCCAATTCGACGGCCGCACCATCGTCTCCGGCTCATCCGACCAAACCATCCGCGTCTTCGACTGCGACACCCAAGTCGAAATGGCCACTCTCCATGGCCACGGCGCCCTCGTCCGCACCGTGCAAGCCACAAGAAACAGGATTGTTTCCGGCTCCTACGACGAGACCGTCCGCATCTGGCACAAAGACCAAGAAGACCGCTGGTTTATCGGTGCCACCCTGCACCAGAGCCAGTGCCCCGCCGCTCTCCGCTCCGCTGCCGCCGCAGGCGCCGGAACACCCGCAAACGTGCCCGCTCAGATCGCCACGCTCTACCAGCAACAACAGCCCGCCGTGGTCCATATGCATCAGATCCAGCAGGTTGGGGACCAGGCAGGTCTTGCCGGTGCTGTCGCCGCCTCACAGCTGCTGCCGACGCACCACCACCACACTATGGTGGCGCGGCCGATACAGCCCCCGCAAGCTGCTCTTCCGCAGGGTCATGGCGGGAACTCGGGAACCCACAGGGTCTTCAAACTCCAGTTTGACGCTAGGTGGATCATTTGCTGTAGCCAGGACAGCAAGATCATAGGTTGGGACTATGCAGCAGATGAAGAGAGTGTCATGGAGGCCAGTCGCTTCTTCAAGGGCGGTTAATCGGCTGTGCCATGCGTTATGGTTATATTCGTGTTTGAATTATACCATAAACAAGAGAACTCCGGACACATACAAATTGGGCGGGTATGGCGTAGGGGATTGGGAGGGGGAGGGAGGCAGATTTTATTTTCTTTGCTTTCTACTTCTTGTGTAGTAGGGTAGTCAGTCAGGGCATGGTGCGTGTGGGTGTCATTTTGTTGTGGAGTGATGGAGTCCTTTTTTCTTTTTCCTTTTCCTCTTCTATTTCTGTTTCCGTTTCTGTCGTTTTTTCTTAAAAATTATTCTTTATTTTTTATATATCATATTTTTTATATTCATAGCGGTAGTCGCAGTGCAGTTCAGTTCAGTCGCTTGATATCAATTGCCTTGCTTAAGGGGACGGATTGGAGGGGGAGCTCTTGCCTTTATTATTCTTCAGTTCCGTTTTTTCTTTCTATGCATTGATTACGAGCTTCCAGGGCTGTTGTTGCTGTTTCTGTGTGAGCTGTGATGTTTATATTATTCAGAAGATCACGCTACGGACTTCTTCTTGTGTTGTACTACGGTGAGGAAAGAAAGAAAAAGAGAAAGAAAAGAGCGAAAGAAAGAAAGAAAGAAAGAATAGTAATACTTTGTGATGGAAAATCACCATGCGTTTTTTTCAATTTTTTTTTTTTCATTTTCCTTATATCTCGCGGTTTGCGGTTTGCAGTTTGTGGTTACGGTTTTGCTGTATTTGCTGTTTTTTGCTGTTTTCATATAATTCCCTTCGGCTTCGGGTCGGTATCACTATGTATATATCCGGTTTACATCTCTACATTTACTTCTCTTGAACCGCTTTCCTGGCGTTTATTTTAAAGCAGGTCTTTCGTGACGCGTGATTGCGGCGGGGAGGTTACATAAACCGTAGTAGGGGGCGAGTGATATCCTGTGAACATCGGCCAGGTGACCTAACTATCCCAAGGTCCAGCAGCTAGTCAATGCAATGACAGGGCCCGAATCTCTTCTTGCAAAAATGTGGTTCTAGCGCCAGATGTCTTCTACGTCAATCATTTCCGCAGTTCTTGGCATCACGACACCTAGCCCACATTACCTTAGCTCTACTCCAGCTATGTAGCTAGCTAATGACACTAACATGAGCTTGTGTAAGACGACACCATATTCTATATTGAATCTAGTATCTTTTACTTTAAACCCATGCCCCGAATGCTCAATAGGAGATACTATACCATCTGAGTGATAATCTATGAACATACTACATACCGCTCAAAGAATAGTATCCATACCCGATCGACCGATCGAACCGCCTCATTGAAGCCTTTTTTTTCCTATTAGGCACTCTATTGACAAGTGAGACATGCGATATGTAGTTCTGTCAGCCAATACGATGAACAAAGAACGAGTATTCCACGGAACCAAAAGCCTGGGCATTTCTTATCCTTAGGCCAGTTTTAGTGGTTAAACTACACAATACATACTTAGCTAGGAGCTTAGTATTTAGAGGCTTTTGTAAAAACAACTGAATAAAGAGAATCTAGAATATCGTCGCACGGGGGTGGTCGGGTGCACATTTTGCCAAGGCCACTAGTTATTGACCTCCCGCTGTAACTTCTAGCTTGCAACAGAACACCATGGTACCAGCGACTCCCCAAGTTTGCAAAGTTTTATTTTTCCCATTCCACAACCACCTTCGATCTAAAGTGAGAAAGGGAAAAAGTAAAAAGTAAAAGAAGAAAAAGGCATTGCGAAAAATAGATTGTTAACGACACAGGCGCAAATGAAACTACACAACGGAGAACTAATATGAGATAGGAAATAAACGGCGTCTGAAATCCGCACCCTGTATTCTGTCGTGAATATGTGAGAATACAGAAGGGCTTGTCTTGCAGGTGCTTCCCTTCAAACCCTACTACTAGCTGATAGCATTCAAACTGTGCGCAGCGCCTTCTTGAGATATTCTAGCACCAACATGAAGAGGCTTTGAGGCTTGAGTATTTTTTCGTCGTCTTGTTCCGCCTTAAACTTTGGTTTGATGGGTCCTCTCGAGAAGTATTTCTGGGCCTCGAGGTCTATGAGTGCCCACTCTTCAAATCTGGCTGACGGAGTGATCGGTTTTAGTGTGCTCATGACGGCAACGGCGGTGGTAAGTAAATGTGGTGTTGAGGTTGGAAAATTGGTAGAAGAGGGATTAGGGATCGTGAGGTATTAAAATAGAGGGAAGGAAGAGAGCAGGAGAGAATAATAGATATATGTATAGAATTGATACAGAGCCTGGGAGGGTTTCTTAGGTAACAAAGGAGTGAAACACGTGATTTATAAAAAAAAACACGTGGTGGGTGAGGGTGATGAGAAGACCAATACTGAGATTGAGCGGTGGATAGAGTTCCACTACCATTTGGGCTCATACATCAATAGGATAATAGCTTTTTTGCTTGAATAAACGTGGTATTTGTTGTTCAATGCTTCGACCTTCATATTCGCAAACCTACACTTGACCCATTTCTCCCCTTTCACGTATTGGAGATATCTTTGAGGCCTCGTTACAAGCTTTTTCATAGTAGTTGATTGTGGCGAGTAAAACGTTGATTTATGCTCAGTCAAAACGTCCATTCCGGGCTCCAGCTTCAGGTTAACGTGGAGAAGATTTACTTCGTTATCATGATCAAATGCTATTCTGCATACCGCTTTGGTTGTTGGGTTGATAGTTACATAAGGCCTTCTTCCGAAACCAAATGGCATAAGCTCGTTCATTTCTGTTTCGTGCTCGATTTGGAAGAAGTGATCAATATTGAAAACCTCAATTTTTTCAAGTAAAAGACTTGGGGCTCCCAAGATGTCTTTAATATCCTTCGTCTGAAGCTCTTCTTGAGACGGAAGTTTGAAAGTATAAATTGGCGCATGTTCCGGTATTGGGCAAGGGTACCGGCTACAAAACGGCACAAAATTATATTCGCGGATGTAAAAGTTTTCAAGAGCATCGGGATCTTTTGGAGCCGATTCCTCAAACATCACGCATCCGAATAATGAGTTGACTCGAAATGGCCCATGAGGAAGGATATTAGTGTTGAATCTGCTGGCGGGGCTATGACAAGTGGGGCATTCTCTCAATTGTGTCACGGGCAGCTCAGCTATGGCTACCCAATTGCCTGTGTCTGCACAGATAATTCCCATACGCTTTGGGGTTTGTTGTCCAAGTATGCAGAATATTAAATTTCGACGCGGATGGGCCCAAATACCAGCATGGGAATTGCAGGTGCGGTTTTCCGGGCCTCCTCTATGCACTATTGGCGCAAGCCCATCAACTTGCAGTAATATTTCTCCAGTCCGAATATCCCTTATCTCAAGCGATGAGACCTCGGGGTGCAGTGTTTTGTATGACCATACGAAGATATTAGCATTCAAGACGTACTGCCGCAGGGTGGGAATAGTATAAATCTGTGATGCATCTCGTGGTGTTTCGTGAGACCACAAGCGTTTCCCAGTAACCACATTGACGACAACTACCCTGTTGTTATAGTTAGAGAGGGGCGGAGGATCATTAATTCTTCTTCATGGATGTGTACGTACTTTCCACCTAGCTTCCATGCGGGGTAATTATCAGTGGACCTTTGATACACCATTAATGCAAGAAGAGGCTCTCCTTCACTCCCAATACCGCAGCTTTCAGGCCGTATTGCCTCTTGTGTATTCGAAGAAGTCGAAGAAGTCGAAGAAGTGAAGTATTTCTCTCGTAATCGATAGCTTCGTATAGGTTGTATATCATCGTCCCCCACATTGAAGATACGTTGGATATTAAGATCTACTGACTTTCAGCTAAGATACTCCCGAAAGACGACGCTTGAAAACACAAGAAGTGGGGAGCAATACGGTCTTCTCCCATCCAAACAAAATAGTCACCGCAAATCGCCCAGGATCGATAATACCACATATTATGGTAGAAAATCTTTGTAAACCTTCTGACGGAAGTTGCAATAGACTTAGTTCTCATCGTGTCGAGATAGACTAGAGAACGTTTTCAGTCGTAAGTATTTTTTCTCGCTACAAAAAAAAAAAGAGAAAAAGAAAAAGAAAAACGCAGGTAATGGATTGGTGGACAAACCATTTCTCCTAAACATTCTTGATAATTCATCTCTATTAGACAGAGTAGGGATAGTGGCTCTTCGAGCAGGTTCAGTTGCAGCAAACTCAGGAAAATATTTCCTCTGAAAGTAAAAATTGCCCAAACGCCAGTCTATGGAATCCCTCCACAGTCTACTCACACTTCTCATCTTAATCAGGTCTACTACTGGGGTGAGTGAGAAGAAAGCATCCAGACAATCATCAGTTAGTCGATCAATGGGGTCGTTCCCGTTGATTACATCATGAAGTAGTTTTGATGATTTCACCACTTTTTGAGTCGTTTTTCGGGTAATGCTCGGAGGAAGTCCACTTGCCGTTGACTTCGCTTTGTTTTTTGGGATCTTTGAAACCTTAGTAACTCTTACAGACGTTGGTAAAGTGTCCTTCATCTTGGTGGATTTTCTGGGCGCCGTGGCCTTTGTATTTGAACTACTCGGTGCCATAATTACAGATTGAGGGGTTTCAGAGTTCAGTTGATGAAGCCGTCAGATGGTTAATGTTGTTGATGAGCGGGGGATGTTTGATGGATGTTTGAGGGTTATGGTGGGGTTTTATGTTCGGGAAAAAGTGAGCCCCCCAAACTACTGATATCAGGAAGACGCGTTTAGACGCGTTAAGTGGTTCACGCGTGATGTGCCGGCGACTCGCGTGCTAGCGTGCCTAGTGCCAGGTGCAAAAAAAAAAAAAAAAAAAAAAAAAAAACTGTCTTGATTCAACAGCCTCCGAGGCTCGGCACACTATTAGGGTCACTGAGGATACATGCAGTTTTATTTACCGTAAAACCTGGGGATGTTGATTGTATCCCCAGTGGAAATGTGCTTTCTTCCAATTCTACGGAATCTTTGTAATCTAAGTTCTACACCTCCGGTAAAGAAATCACAGTCGCTATGCATATATATGATAGTATCTACTTTACATGTAGAGCTGTGGACTGGTCAGCGGTATCTAATGTCTGGCAATCAACCACTATCATGAGCGCTGGGGATATTATCACTACATTTAGTATATGGTTGTTGCTTATTGTTGAAGCCTATGCTGATGGATTAAATGCGATGAATAATCTTTATACAGAATACATGTATTGTGAAAGATCCAGTGAAAAGCATATCTTCACGTTACTTGGATCAATCAGGCGTTGAAGCAATTTTTTTTTGTTAGACATATCCTACCGAATGAGTTTTGGGAAGATACATGTATATACCGGGTCTAACTGTTTGAACATTAGATCGTGTGCCAAATTATGTATTCTGCAGTAACACCACAGGCACAGTAAGCATTCGAGTGAGAGACGGTGAGTTTCGCGTCAATGACTCTTAGATTTATATAGATCGGTCCATTGAACGAATACAGACCGCGCTCTGCTATAAAGATTTCATAACCGCTCGGAGATATATCATTCAATTGCGCCATGTCTGTACTTTGTTAGAGAAGTAACGGATCCGATGCCCAAGGGAAACTTACTTCCTTAGAACTCTTTCGATCCCATCTAAACCCATTATTAAACGATCCCATTTTGGCCCATAACTTAGTCTGACAAAGTGATGGCATGGGCTGTCAAACAAATCCCTCCGGCTGCTTGGATTAAGGTCAAAGAAAATGCCCGGTACCACAATTACCCTTTCTTTCAAACATTCTTCAAAAAAGCCAAGGCCAGTACGGATTTTCTCTGGGAGATGAGTGAGATCGAGCCAGATCTGTGATTGCGACAAGAAAATTAGTATCTATCGATTTAATCTATAGGAGCGGTTTGCTTGCATAGAACGTTGAGTCTGGTAAATTCTACTTGTCCACAGTGATATTAGAAAAGTTCCTCATCTTTCCAGTTGTATTAATTGTTCACTTACTGGGAACTTGAAACCCATCGACGTCAATCTCTGGATAACAAAATCCAATTTACCTTTGAAATGCTGTTGTAATGCTGCCATCTCCTTAACAACAAAGTTCGGCTCTAACATCGGTATTGATGCAAGTTGAAATGGCACGTTGGCACCGCCATCAAGGTAAGAACCACAGGAACCAACTGCTTTGATGAATTCCTTGGGACCGACGACCCAAGCAATGCGCCATCCGGGAAGACGAAAGCGCTTGGTCATGCCGTCGATAATGAGGACGTTATCATCATCCACATCTATGATAATCAATAAAAAAGTTGCCATAAAGCGGATGTGGTTCAGACCTTCAACATAGGACGCAGAACTGATAGTGGTACCATCACAATTATCGGCATAATTGTATCTGCAGAATCAAATCTAGTAAGCCTCATAACCTAGAGATGAATTCATGTCTATTTCGAAAGGAGAGATACCCGCTATAAAACTCGTCCATGATCAATGTGCATCTCTCTCTACAAATATCCAACACTTCCTTCAACTCTTCTCCCTTGAGCATATGGCCTGTAGGGTTCCTCGGATTACTAGTAAGAATCACGCTAACACCTCGCTTCACCTCTTCCCTAATTTTTTCCGGATGGATTCTATACCCATCCGATTCATCTAGCGGCGACGGAATAGCCGCAAAGTTCTTGAATAGACCAAGCATCTCATTATACGCCGTATAATCCGGGATGAAGAAGCTTAGATAAGCGTTTCCCAATACCGCAGAAATGCGCAGTAGTCCTGCACGCCCTCCCGGAACGATACACACGTTCTCCCATGTATACTTTGAAGGCTTATTAGCTCTGAATTGAGCGTTGTAAAGGTTTGCTACCGCCTCCCGGAGAGGAGTAATCCCGGCGGTGGGACCATATTCACGAGAAGAGACTGAAATATCAATGTTTGTGGGCTTGTGAAACGCATGTGGAATATCATCTTCAACTTCGGGAGCTCCCTGGCCGAGGTTACTCCATTCCTGAGGATTTTCGAGGAAGCCGTGTTCGTAAGCTCGCTCCGTAGTCCAAACAACACCACTATCAATTGGTCAATCGTTTTTATAGGTTAAGCAGGGTCGGTTAAGCTCATGAGATCTGCAACTTACGTAGAAGATCGACTCGGGTCTAATCCAGGATGCTTGTGTCCTGCGCCCTTTTGGCTCTCTCTGAACCTCTGATGAGGTGTAGACTGCCGCTCTGTTTCTTGGTTAGAGTGTATTTCCTTCTGGTCAGAGGTAGGCTTTGTATGCATGCGTCCATACCAGTTTCAATTGCAGACATTTTAGGTTAGAGATATATGCAGGAGTAGTATTCGATATTTGAGTGATTGACAAAGTAACTACTAATGATAGGAAAGTAAGTTCTTGGGGCCAAGCTTCCAGTGGGAAATCGGTTTCTTATGTGTCTGCTACACTATGCACCCCACATTATTACGATGGGGAGCCTCAAAAGCTTGGTTTTGAGGATTACGGGAATCATGACGCAATGCATATCTGCACAACACACCAACCCCTCTTTTAGAGTGACAGGCATCCACTCAATCATTGACCTAACTTGTCCCGTCACACAAAAAACAAATGTGAGGAACCACTGTTGACGCCTCCACCAAAGACGCGAATTAATTAATCCCCCTGAATATATCCCCACTCTCACAATAAGGAAAGAACTTTTAACTACTCGAGGACAATACACTCTTCAACTCACATGATAGACAAAGATAGATCGCGAATCCTCCGACATGAAGACCCTTATCTGATAGGATAACGCGCGAAAACGCCTTTGCTTCACCTCTCATTCCACGCGAATGTCAAGAAACAGTATTCAAGGAGAGTGCATAATCGCTCATCATACCACCAACACCCATGATCAAAACCCCAATGGCACTGATAATGCCTGAGCACCGCGGATCCCCTCATACACACATACCAAACCCAACTGCAGAAGTCAATCACCCGCAATCAACCAACAGAGCGTACAGCCCGCAAGTACTTTATTGGAGGGGCATGATACCTGGAAATATGCTTTGACGGTACCGTACTCAATTGGTTGACACTGGCCCTATCATACCAAAGAAGCACCGGCCTGATTTTCAGGTACACATTGTCACGAGTGGTTGAATGGGTGGATGTGAGTGAATGATAATGGATGATTATCAACCTGTTCCCTACTCCCTTACACCTCAATCCTTTCATCTTCACCAGGTACTTTGCCCCCACTAACCAACCAATTAACCACAACGCCCCACATCTGCAGTCAGCGGGTTGGGCTGCATTACATGGCTGCGGGCTAAAGTAGAGTATGTAGAGTACCTACAAAAAGGCCCTAATGCTAATAAAGAGCAAAAGCAAACCCCTGCATTTCGTGATCACCATCCATTGAGAATCCTACACGCTAGAAAAAAGTAAGCAAAAAGCAAATCTCAGGGGAAGTACATATAAAAACTAAGGCAAACATTAGAGTAGGTTTGTGAGCTGTTCAACTTCACGACATTCTATAGGAGTACTGGTATATTCCGTAGGCTTGGATTTGTTTAGGGTTCAGCGTTCTTGCGCACGTGGCTTTCATATAAACGGCTACTGGACAGGCGAAAATTTAGTCACTACATACTAGCCCTTCATAGGGAACTTTTTACTTCGGGAATCCTGGGATATGTACTCCTATTTTTTGATCTCTGACATGGCGCTTCTGGCACTTAAATCAATCCTACAAAAATCACGAAACAAGTCCTCGCGGACCCCACCCCAACTCTAACACAAAGAGGTAAAAGATAAGAAAAGAAAACAGAAAACAAAAGAAAGCTGTAAAAGTCGCAGATAAAAAAAGAAAAAATAAAGAATTTTCAATTAAACAAACTTGCTTCCGCTGAATCGAGAAAAATAATCCTTTGAATTCAACCTGGCTGAGAAAAAAAGAAAAAAGAGAGAGAGAAGAAAAAAAAGAAAAGAAAAAGGAAGGTATGGGAGAAGAAACCAGAAGAAATGCAACTGTACCAAGATCCACGCTGAGTCAATTCGTTATGTTGTCGTCTTCCTGCTTCCCCTTAAAACTATCACTTTTTGCACTATCATCCTAACCCATTGATATTGGTTGTTGACAAAATCTTGCCAAATAACGAAAGATGATACAACACTCACAATTGAACCCCCAATATTTTTCCAAAGATGTAAACATTTAAAAGAAAGAGGTGAGTGAAAACTCGAGCACATGGGGAATAACAACAAAGGAAAATGGTTTGAAAAAAAAAGAAAGATTCGTAACGCCACACCCACCCATCAATCGCCAAGAATGCACAAGCAAAACCCCGCAAAAAAATTCTTTCCGAATATGTAAAAAAAGAAAATTTTCGTATCGGTTTAAGCCGACACGTAAAGAGTGACAACACCGGTTATCCCTGCGCTGCCATCCTTCCCAGGATCGCCCGACACATCAAACGCCATCTGCACGTCGTCGTCCGAGTTCATCGAGATGAAGTCACCATCTTCATCCTGATATCTTATCCTGATGGGGTTTATAGGTACTTCTACACCAGTAGCACCGCACATCTTGACTTTATGTTCGATTCGGTCCAGCAGCTGGTTGTATGCAATGGTGGATGGTACGATGATGATAAACTTGTCATCGCCATAGTTGACCTTCAGCTTGACTTGTGGTTGTATTCCATTTATACCGTTAGTTTTCAGGCCGTTCTCTTGGATCGCCGGCGAGTTTCTTCCTGGCCCTCCTTGCATAGGTAAGTTGGGTGATGTGGGTGAATTATTCTGGCTACGGTTTATCACTGCAGGACCACCGCTATACGCAACATAGTTTGAAGGTACTGATGGTATGGGAGGGATTGCGGCGCCTGGCGATCGGGCAAGCTGTGCTTGACTGGGAAGATGGTGAATGTTAGGGCTACTCGCAGACCGCATCCTATTCTGTTGGAGCGAGCCGGCTGGCGGAGGGGCCATCCCTGGCAGTGAAGGTCGTTGTAGGCGGCTACTCGCTTGCTGTACCTGGTGATGATGTGCAAACTGAGCTTGACTGGCAGCAATCGCAGCGCCCTCCCTTGACGTCGATCTTGACATATTCGGAGGAGTGAATCCGCTCGGCGGCGTGTATCGTCGGTTATCTTCGGCATATCCTGGCGTCGAGGTTCTCGGGAATGGGAATTGGTTGGACGAGGAGCTTATACGAGTGCTCATTGGTGTTTCTGATACGGGCGAGAAATACGAAGCATCATGAGAAGCTGGAAGCATAGGACTAACACCGGTAACCAAAGTAAGTGGCGGTTGACCTGGGATTGTGGCTGAACTCGGGTACCTTTGTTGATTTGGCCGCGCTGCATATGTGCCAGGAAGCGCACCTGATGGTGTTTGTTGATGCAGTTGATGTTGATGCAGTTGATGCTGCATCTGCTGCTGCATTGCTTGCTGTTGAACACTCTCATTTGTGGCAGACCTAGATCGAATGCTTGCGCTAGAGGTATTTCGAGGCAGGTTGAAACCCTGTATCTGCGGTTCTGCAGGGTCTTCCAACTCATCGTCGTCATCCTCTGAAAGCTCTGCAGTTTGTCCTTGGTCTCCAGTATCAACATTAAGCATCCAAGCGAAATCTACAGCTGCTGTTGATCGTGCTCCTCCACTCGTCCTGGTTCCTCGACTGCTTGGTGTTCCAGCTCTGGCGAAAGCTTCTCGTTGCTTCTCGAGAGCCTTACACCACTGATCTAACCTTTCCTCATTTGTATGTTTGATGATAAAGTTCTCCACCCCCGGATCGCCTTTCCAAAAAATCTGCAATGTATACGACCCTACGGATAAATTCAGCATTGATTCCGATAACAATAAAAATGAATAGTGTAATAAAAAGGTATACAAACACGTACCACCCCGCGAAAGGGAGATGACATCAGTCACGTTCTGCATAAATATTCGACCCTTCAGTTGCAACATGGACTTCTTCTTTCCTGGTTTCGGCCTTGCCATCATGGCTTGTTTTTGCTTCTTACCTGTCCCCACTTCTTTACAGCACAACAGTATACGCTCAAAAAGATAGATATAATACTACAACATTAGTCAAAAACAGATTCTCATTCCACAGGAATTTGGATAGCAAACCTCTCTCTCTACATCGCCCTTCTGGTCGCCTTTGATCACCGAAAATTGCCCATGTAGTAATAATTCGCCAAAATGCTCAAGTTTATGCCCTTTCCAGTCCTCAACTCGACCCTCGAGATCCTTTACGCTCTCGATATTCTCGGCCTTTCTAATGGCCTCGTTAATCTTACGATTGATTTCCTCAATGGCTTCTAGACCTAGTTGGAGTTTTTGGTCCTCGGCTTCAGCTGGATCGGTGTGCTTGATCAAGTCCTGTGGTGAATTGTCAGATTTGTCTCCCCCGAACGCTCTCCGATTGGTCAACATACTCTCAGAAGAAGCGGATACTTCGTTACTCTTTGAATAGGCTTGATAAGGAATGCATTGAGTTGCTGGTATACAGGATGCGCCTTCCTCTCGAGCTTAGCCTTTTCTTCCATAGCTAAGTCCTGAGCATTCTTGAAGTTTGAAGCATAAGGCTGATAAATCGCAAACGTTTCCTGGTATGCCGGTCCTCCGATTGGGTCTCCGCTTCGTTGGACTCGCTCTTCAGGCTCGCGGCACTAATGGTTGACAGATGTTTCAGAGACTAGTTCATACCTGAAGAAGGGCTTAGAAAACTTACGTATTCCACAAAAAGCATTCCCCATTGCTGCTTCTCAAAAGGCTGGTCGTTTTGCGTTTCTACTCTGATCAAAAATCTCCGCTGGAAATCCACTAGCCCGTTCAAGTTCGCAAACAAAATGTGGATCTGATCCTTGCCAAGAACCTCATCCGCTTCCAGTTCCTTCATGTACTCTTGTAGCGTTTCCAAATCTTGCACATACTTGCGCTCCGTGTCCACCAGCTCCTGGACAACACGCGCGCGATTGTCCAGCGGCTTTCGTTCTGACGAACTCCGGTTGTCGCTGGGGCCCTTGTGGAGAAGAAGATTTTTTTGTGCTAAGACATCCAGGATTTTGCTGACAGTTCTGGTCACCTTATCGCGAAGAATATTTAGCCTCGTTCGAATAAATTTGACCGCGGAACCTAAAGAGTATTCCCCCAGATTACTGTGTCTCCACGGAAAAATCGACTCACCTTGACAAAACCATTCGTATCGTCGGTGTACAGGTTGTGAATCATAAAGGAGTCATCTCCACCAATCTCGAGCTCCTTCTTGATTCCTTGAATAAAATGGTAAGTTGCAGCCTTCATTTTAGATACGGCCCCAAGGTCGGGCCTGCAATGTTCTTCATCGATGAATTGAACCGGCCTGACTGCATTGAACAATACGCAAAGACTCGAACCCATACGGAAGCACCTCCACAGCTGGCTAACTGGATCTTCCCTTGTATCCGCCCCGGGAACGGGCTCTAAGAAACGTTCAAAGTCTGGTACTAGAAGCAATCTTTCCCGGAGAGCTACACATGTTTGATAGAGCCCCTGAGAAGGGTCCGCTTTCCTGTTGATTAACGAGTCGTTGCCGATTGGTGTGGAAAGGCTAATAGTTGGAGACGTTGTGCCAGCTCCACCTGCGCTCGCAATCGACAGTGAAGAGGACGAAACAATTGATGGTGTTCCCATAGGAACATGAACAGCACCGTTCATTGTGGCCGGGGCAGTCTGAGCTCTGAGGAGTGAACTCTGGTCGATTTCCACGGTCATTAACCGTGTCCTGGCAGGCTTGAGCCTCGCAGAAGGGAACTGGAGAGTGGAAGTAGAAGTCAGTTTGACGATTTGAAGCTAGTAGGACGCTATGTGGAAATTTGATTCTTGGGAGGAGGAGGAGGGGGGTTTCCAGCGCGGGAGGTATAGGTGAGGGGGTAGGGTAGGGTAGGGTAGGTATTCTTGTTGATTCCGTACAGAGGGTACACTTTGCGTTTTGCTATTTTTGCATCGATTTCAAGGCGACGCGGGAATGTAGGTATATGTGTGCGTATGCGCGCGTGTGGTTGTATGTATAATGGATGGATGGATACGTAGGTGAGTAAGGGAAATGGGGGGATGAAGAAAAAGGAGATAAGAAGAGGTTCGAGAAGAAACCGTGTTAGGGATAGAGTAGGTGCGATATTAGAGGGAGAGGGAAGGTGGGGGGGATGCGTGGTGGTAGCAGCAGCAGCGTGGTTGTCTGGGGGGGTTTGTGCTGTAGGGGGCTTGACTCCTGCAACGAACGGGGTCCAACCAGAAAGAGAACAAGGAGAAACTCACCACCGCCGCATCGGCGTACATATTTTCAGTTTACGTGAGCTTTCTGCCCTAACACTCGGTCAAAGTTATATGATGATGCTGATGGTTTGATGGATGAGGGGATATGACGAAGCCACTGACTTAAATTGGGCTGCGTCGGTGGGAATTATCTGATTTGACGAGAGGAATCTGGGTAATCCAAAGTTGCCCGTTGCGCGGGGAAGAACAGGCGAAGTTGGTCGAGTCCGGGCGCTTGGATAGTTGTGTGGACAATAAATCGAACTATTTGCTCCTCTTCTTCTTCTGGTTCTTTTTTCTCCTCCCAAGATATCTAAGTAGCTATGGTGCTGTTTGGTCAAGAATAGAATGTAGTTACAGGGCAAATAATCGTAAATGATGCGCTGCAGCAGCAGGTGATGTGACTTCAACAATATGAATCTGGAAAAAATAAAGAAGACTGCTGCCGTAGGGGTGTATTGGTAGCTCTATTCGTATAATTCTTCCTATTCCTCTTAAGCTTCTTATTGTGCCTCTTCTGGGAGCGGGTGGAGAGATGAGTGTGAGGGATGATGGCGAGAAATAGGATGGGTTGGAAGCAGCAGCAGGAGCAGTAGTAGTAGTAGGTAATGAAAGGTGGTGTCTAGTTGTCTGTATGGTTGGCCTGGCCTGTCCCTACTATCTTATGTATGATGTATCTCCTCTTCTTTTTTTGGTGGTCGCTGTTTCCCTTCGTTGCACCTCCTTCCTTCCTTCTCTTCCTTGCCTGTACTGTATTCAACCCTTCCTTCCTTCTCTCAGGCTGTTTTCGAGGAGTACACTCCCCGAGATCCCAAAAAGGTCAAAGCTGTCTGTCTGTCTGTATGTCTGTACAATCCTCTGACTTCTGTGTTTCTCTGACTGTCCTATGTATGCAATGTATGTATATGTAGCTAGCTACCTAGACTCGTACGTACTGTACTCGATCCTACGATGCTCGTTGCTTCCCTCCTGGCCCCTTTGGAAGATCCCACTGTTGCTTTGTGGTCCTTCTTGTGGTTTCAGACCGGCGGCAACCCTGCCTCGCGTTGCTGCTGTGCTTGGTTGGAACAGAACGACGGGCTGGAATCAACAGATGATGAACGCTGGGTTCGCCAGTGCGGTGAGTGATTAATGTTTCCCTCAGTCTGAGCGCGGCCAGGGGACGACAACTTGACGAGATAGAGAACAAGAAGGAAAAGAAAGAAGAAAAAAAAGACTGTTTGAGTTTCGCCTCTTGCTGCTCGAATTCTCTTCCCCTCACTGCCCGCAAGGAAGTAGTTTTCTTTCGCCTTTTTTGCAAAAGTCGAGAAATGCCGAGCTGTTGCCGAGTGTGACAACGACGGCTTCAGGGTGATGTCTCCGCCAGTCAACCACTCACTGATCGTGCAAATATAAAATATGAAGTTTTTATAAGAACAGCTCCACAAAACAAACAAAAAAGAAGCTACAGAGTTATCGTGAGCTGCTACAGTCAATCAATCAAATTCAAAAGCGGGGTGAAAGGAATCCTACAGCTTGCGCCAAAATTATTATTATTATTATTATTATTATTATTATTATTATTATTATTATTATTATTATTATTATTATTATTTTCTAAGGGAAAAGGAAAAGACAGAGCAGCAAGCTCGAAGGCCTGTGCTCTGTGCTCCACACAACCACGATTTATGCGATGCATGGTTATGATGGCTTGGCTACGCAAAACTGCAGGCTGCCCTTTGAAAGGGAAGATCTACGAAGGGTCGTCCCTTGATGGGGCATCCTTATTCCCATTTCTGGAAGTCCTCTCTCGCCCGATCTGGTGTGTAAACACCGCATGGAAACAAAATAAAAAAACCTCCGCATAAAAACGGTCGCGAAAGTCGGCTCTCCGGGCAGCTTTTGAGGGAATAAGCTCTGCCCCACATTAGCCCATCGCAACGACTCGTCTCCTTGGTCCCTACATGAGCAAGACGTTGCCAACCTCTTTTTTTAAATATCTATCCGTATTGTCTCCCCTCACTTGCGAAAAACTCTGCCCCCCTTCATTTGGACAAATACTACGCAGAGATATAGGTTACACATATCCAGAGGAAAATTAAAGTAGGGTTCATATCTAGGTACGGAACCACTCCACAGCACCTACTCTACTCACCTAGCTAGGTACTTGACTAGGTAGGTGTCAACTGCGTGGGATGGGAGAGTGAAACGTTTCTCCACAGTCCACACGCAGAAGAAACGCCGTGCGTGTTATTATGCAATGCAAAAGCGTCGTGAGTGAGAGGCAATTCCCACCATCGATAATATGCCCGCCTTAGTTGCATATTATAATTATTCCCATGCACCGAAGAGAACAATATATCGGCGAACAGACGGCTACTGGGATTGAGCTACCCGCCGCACATACGCAGGGCCGGCGGTCGGTCATCATCATCATCCACCTATTTCGGAAGTCTAGTAGGTACGGTACTGTAGAGTAGAGAATGGTGTAGGTACAGTGCTTCGGCGCTTCTGCGGCTCATGCTGTAGGGTAGGGGACCCTACATTTGACTGAGTGAGGCATGCATGGGGTAAGCCATTCAGTATTAGTGATTGGGTGGAGCGATAGGAGGCTCAAATAGGGCATTATAATAATAGGGATTCCCATATCGGTATATTCTTACCACCCAAACGAGTCTACCGGGTGGTACTACTACAACACTGGTACCATCGCGGGTATTTACCGTGACAAGACCAGCAAACTTCCCTATGGAAGTTTCTATTTGAATTTATCTTTTTTCTGCCTGGTTGAAAATAGTTTTTTTCTTTTCTTTTGCACCCATGCCCACTCATGCCACCCCACGGCCACGGGTTGGAACGTCCCGGTCACTTGATACAGCAGCGGGAATCATGTGTAGATATGGCAATAAGCTTCTCTACAAACCGCGTAAAGTTGTCTGTCATATCATAAACCATAGTTTCGCGCAAAAAACAAAAAACAAAACCACAACAAAATAATTTCTTTTGCCCATCATCTAAAGTAGAGTAACTAGCTTATCTCTCTCCATTCCTTAAGCCCTTTCGTGGTGGTGACAATTACCTACATCCCAACTTTACTTTTGCCCATGGCCCACCTACCAACCCAACCTCTCTGCTGCTGCTGCAATGTAGGCTCGGGAATTTTACGCACGCACGCACTCACTTGCAGCGCCACCAATCGCCTCTTCCTTTTGCTTCCGATGCAATTCTCTTTTTTCTGATGACCTCATAATATGTAGTCTCTTTTGCGGAGGTGGTTAGTTGTTGTGACATGATTATCATTATTTAAGGAGAAGGTCTCAGTCCAGTACCACCATCTTGGTACGCGGTTGCAAAAAGGGAGGACAGGAATGAAGGTACAGTCACTCACGGGGTGAAGGCGGATCCTGTCAGGGATTTGAGGCCAATAAAAGAGTTAGGTTTTGGACGCCAAGGGCAAATTACTGCAAACAGAACCATCAGACAGGATCCGCCGTCAGTAGGTGAGCGACTGTATCATCCATCCGTCTCTACCGCGCCGACACTGTCCAATCCCCCTATGACGTCTGATCACGATGCCCTCATCCTCCCCCGTTTGTTGTTGTTGCAATTGCGGGGTACAGTAGGGTACCTACATGCCCGGCCTATCTCTCTATCTCCATAGGTATAATTGCAGCCTGCAATTAAGGGCCCATGGGTCTTTTCTCTAGCTAGCTCTCTATCTTCAGCTGAGATATGGCCCGTGGGCGTTTGCGTTTGTTGTGTTTTCGATTCCCGTGTTCGAAAAAAAAGTGACATCGATCCCCCTCCCCAACAGGCGCCAATGTCTATTCACTCTACCCGTAGAGTGAGTAGTGGCCCTACCTACATGTAGGTACTTGCATAGGTCATAGGTAAGAGAAGCAAAAATAAAACATGTAGGAAAAACCTAACCTAACCCAAGAACACGGTTCTCCGTCTCCGAGATTTTGACATCTCGAAACGGCCCCTTGGAATACCTATCCGGTCTCTGCACGTGCATCCTCGCTCATGGTCAAAAAATAAAAAAGATAAAAAAAATAAAATATAGACTCGAGGGATTATCAGTCAGTCACGTAGTAGGGCACCAGCTAGCTAGCTAGGGAGCGCGGCAAGTATGTCACGCAGCCCGCCGCCCCCATCCCTCGACGGTAAGCGAGGGTTTCTGGCTCGCAGTAGGTGTTTCACATGGCGGGTTGATGATGTTGGTGGAATGATTTTGATAGGGTCCCCATTAATTACCTTCGCTAGTGGGGGCTAGAGGTTATGTAGCTAGGCAGAGTAGAGGCAGAGGTTGCGATAAGAAGGGTTCCTAGTGGTAGAAGGGTTTGTGTTGGTCATCTCATCAGATGAGACGGTGCAGAGATGGGATGGTTTTTTTTCTTGTGCACACTTTTTCCTTTCTTTGATTGTGCCTACTTTATCTCTGCGGCCAGCCAGTAGAAGACGTGGAATGGGAATTCGCCTTCTGGCTGGTCAGGCTGTCGGTCAGTCGGTCAGTCGGTCAGTCAGTCAATTGGGTGGTTGGTTTGGTGAAGAGATGGGATGGATTTCGTTCAAGTAATTAATTGATATCCTCACATCTCTTGATATCGATATCTTTGATACCCAAGCCCCCATTCGGCGGCTCCTACTAATAACTGCACCTCTACTAAGCTATATCCACTAGGTACTCTACCCTACCTCAGTCTACCAAGCTACTCTAATTTAACTACCAAACCACGCACACACACACCTGAAACAACTCTAATCCATCCCCCTCACCATCCACGTCGCCCCATCCCCCAAGTCCCCCCTCGCAACAAACCCACACCTCCCATAGAACCTCCCCGCCCTCACATTATCCTTCCCCATCGCCAGATGCACGCCCTTCACCCCCTCCTCCGCGCTCCTCAACCCCCCCAGAAAGCGCTCCATCAGCACCGTCCCCCACCCCTGACTCTGGTGCGACTCCAAAATATCAATATGCAGGTGCGCGGGAAACTCGTCGACCACATCCTCGCGAATCATGCCCTCAGGCCGCGCATAGCTCTCTTCCAGTGAGCGCCGCAGCTTGCTCGGCGGGTTGGTGGTGGGCGGCGGCAACGTGGTGTGCGGTAGGTAGGTGTCGCGGTAGCGGCGCACAAAGGCGCGCGTGTTGGGCGTGCCGATGATGTAGCCGACGACGGTGCCGGAGCCAGAGTCGAGGACGTGGGTATAAGTGGGGGAGAGGAGGAGGTAGGGGATGGCGTAGAGGTAGGGGACAAGTTCGAGGGCGGAGGCGTAGGAGGGGTCGGCTGTGGCTTTGCACTGGGTACGGTTAGCTATTGTGAATATGCGTGACTTTAATTGCAGCACATATAGGTATAGCTAAGGGAAAGTTCAAAAGGCAGGTAGGTAGGTAGGGAGAGAGGTAGGTGGGTAGCATACGATTTCCACGACCGCATCGTAGTCAGTCTCCGCGTTATAGGGCCTTATAAAAGCTCCCCCGGCATTCTTCTTCACGTCTGCAGCTGGTTCCGCCATGGTGTTTAAATTTTCCGTGATGTCCGATATATGTCTAAACTCCTGGAGGTCCCCGCATATTGATGGTTAATGGTTACTCACGCTCACTTTATAACAGAGATGGGTTATTACCCCTCATTACTTAGGCGCGACGTTTGCTTGGATGTCTATGTCCCACCTGCTGCTCTACTACTACATACCTAACCTACCTACCTACATTGGCGTCTAACTCTACACACATACCTAACCTAACCAACATACCTTCCTGGCCGGCCATTATGTACGGGCAGCTGCAGGTGGGGTAGAAGGGTGAACCGTGGTACTAAGAGCTTTGGTAACTGTTGGTGGTACTCTGCAGATCTGCCTAATTGATTGTTAATTGCATGTGGCGGTACCTACTACCTACATCCACATCTAGCTCCATGACCACGGCTTTAGCTATGGTTGTCAAGCTAAGCTTAAGCTCAGTCAGTGGCTGCATGTTATTGTTATTATTGGAGGTAGGCCTGCGCGTGTTCTAATAAGGGCTGGAACAAGGCCAATCAGTGAGAGTTGATGTGGGTGGTTATTAATTATGTTAGGAAGGCTGATCTACTATTTTGATCTAGCTAGGACGCACTGTTCTTCCGGGGTGTTCTATATTCAGCTGCTACTGGCCCTACTACACTGCAGTCAGTTATTGCAATAAAGTGCGTACAATATCTTAGAGCGTGTACTCCAGCGTATGCGTATAGCTACATATATGGCTAAATATTAGCAAATCTCTGCTGCATAATTATTAATGGCCTTCCTACAAATACTCCTCGTACATACATATACTTTTTAAATTCAAAATTCAACCTACTACGATAATAAGAGCACCACCCCAGTCCCGCAATCACAATACTCATATACATAAAAGAACGTCCCGCATGTACCTTTATGATCTACTAATAGTAGCCCAATCTTCACACATATATACATTTATATATATACCAAACTGCCAACGTAACATCCCATCCGGCCGCGCATATAATTCTCGTTGCGTGCATGGGCCAGCCAGCAGACGGGAGTTTCCTACTATTCCTGCCTACTTTACCTGTTTGACCTATAAGCAGGCCTATGCCTACCCTACTAATTGTTATTCCCTTGTCTGCGCATATATGTATGCACATGCCCGGGCCGGGTAGGGTGGGGGGTTGCGCATGTACCACCGCCCAAGGATATATGGTCGGGAGAGCCTGCATCCTAAGCACTCTATGGCTTCTGGCTTCGTTTGCATAACACACGCGGGATGTACGGGATGGTGTGCATATGTAATGGGCAGGCAGGGTGGGTAATGCGGTACAGGACTTGGTTTGTTCTGCGTACATCTAGATCTATGGGATCGGACTGGACTGGACTGGACCTGCATAACATGAGGTCTAACCAGTAGTAGATCAACACAGGATTGTATTACTTGTTTGGTCCATAGATTTCCTCTAAAGTACATATGTAGATTAATGGGCTAGAACATGGCTAACTACGTCTTATCAGAATATTAACAGCGCCCACAATGGAAATGATATAAAAGCGGGAAAATTGACAGTACATATATATCCTTTGATTTGATATGGAAAGAGTGCACTATAGAGCAGTGCACGCAGCCACAGATATTGTCTGGATCGCAAGGAGGATGGCCTATATGAACTGCCGACAGTGCTAAGGCGTTTATTTCTGCCTTCGCGAATTGGAAGGTTACGATGAAATGAGCGAACACGAACAGGCATCAAGTGTTGATCCTATTGTCTAAAAGACCGGCTGATACTGGCGGGAACTGCCGTGTACATTATGGATCTGGCTTTAGTATTTGGGCGTGGGGGCCCAGGAGGTACTGCATATGATGTACTAGTAACTAGGAGTGACAGTACTTATGTAAGTATTGTAATATGGGTTGACTCTGAATGTCTGGATACTTTATGTGGGGGATCAGACCATATTTACTGAAACCTATATATTGGTTTCAAACTGGCACACATAAGTGCTCCGGCCATTGTGGGGGGTTTGTGAGGTTTGATTTATCATTTATGTATCGTTCTAGTTAGTTCTGACTCGGGGTAAGTGATAGAACTGATAACTTTATCTAAACCGGAGATTCTGCAATTAGTCAAAGCCGACAAGCCACGGCCACGGTAGACAGCCATATCACTTACTTACACAGTATTCGGCACTCGGGAATCTTAAATCCCTTAAACCCAGCGTGACGAAACACAATTACAAAAGTTTCGATACCCCAAAGAAGAAAACAAACCCCCGCACATGCCCCCGCACTCATGAAACCAAACCAGAGAGAATGATTAATTGATTTCTGATTCCTGCAAACTACGGTTTTGCTGTTATTTTTTCGACCGGCCGGCCGGAAGGCGCACTGAGTTGAGAAGGAAATAATAATATCTCTACACGTTCGTCTCTCCCGGAGATCATCCGGAGATGCACGGCGAGTGATCTTTTGATTCAGGGGGAATACCTACCACCCGGCGCACACCACGACGGAGAACGCACGCATGGACCAGCGGGTGAAACTAACCCAATGATCATTGATGTCCAGTAATCTAACCAGTCTAGAGTAATTAGCATGCAAGTGGTTGCGTGGATATGCTGTACTCATCCCATATGTATATACTTCCGACGGTATACGAGCGGCCATGCGGTGTGCGGGATCACCCGGTGACAAAAGGTGAATATTAGTATGAAGTAGAGTGGTGTATGGAAGGGTGCCTTATTCCCACCGGGGAACATGCAGGTTGATTCGCGGGTTAGTAAGTTATCTAGATGTAGGCACCTATATATCCCACCTGGATCCGCCCACCGCCACCACTACCAGGAGGAGGTGCCCCTACTCCTCCGAACCGCCGTTACTATTGCATCGCATCATGCATCCCGAAGGAAATTATAAGGAGCTTTAGGGTTAATTCCGTCGAGTCGCCGGTCTTCCCCAGCCTTTGTTCCACCGAGGGACTTGACATCACAGAGAGATGGCTCTGCGTCTGCACGCGTTGCATAATTATTTCGGGGGTTCTGCGCCGGCCAACCAAATTTTCTTTAGGTTTGACCGGTTGGTTCTCGGTTTGCCGGTGCTCCAGCACAGCCCAATTGCAACCGAAGCTAGCCAGCCAGCTGTTGATCTGCTTTGGTTACCGGGATACACATATGTATATGTATGCACGCGCAAGTTCATGCATGAGCAGAGAAAATAAATAAAGTTATTTTTTCGTTCTTGGAACGTAATGATGGTAGGGCAGCTAGGTCTCGGTGGGCCAGGGCAGAGGATTGTCTCCAGCGTGCGTGCCCACGTGCTCCTGAGGCAACAAGATGGTCGTGTCGGCGGACCTCTGCATCAGCGGGAGTGTGTGTATGTGAGCTGGTAACTCTGTTGATGCATGGTATGTAGTGAGAGAGAGGGCCAGACCCGGGAGGTTATGCAGTGGGTGGTGGTGTTAGGTATGATCATGAGGTATCACTCGTGACTAACGAACGGGTTAGTAGGATTCGTACTCCTGCCTCAGCCCCCACGCTCATGTATAGGAAAAGAAAATAAAAGTATGGGGGTAGGATGATTCGTGTCGGTACCCTTTCTTGTGCTTAGGGGGAGGCCAGATGAGGGGTCTGAAGCTTATGTTAAATTTCGGAAAGTATCGTTTAAGATTTGGGTGAAACATGTAATGAATATCTGATGTGTGTTGCAGTTGATCTGAATGATCTCAAAAGAAGCTAGAGAACCGATATGTACGTATTTTGCATTGAATAATTGGATTAAAGAAAGAGGGAAGTAATAATCAAGTTAATCTTATAGTGTAAAGCAGAAGCTACGACAGCAGAGTACAACTAGAACCACAACTTATGTATACACGTAGGAAGCTGGCAACTAACAACACAACTTAAAGTTACATGTAGTTGTCCACAACGGTCAATGATTGACCACAAATAACTGTACTCGGTTTAGTATCGGGTCTCTAATGTCTAATATCAATAAGGCAATAAAGCTAATCTTAAAGTAACATCCGGCATCTCGTGTTGAAAATCTTCTCCATCGAAGGTATCTACGCCATAGCTACACGAATACATGTGCTATAGCTATCGCGATTGGAAAAACTCAACTGATTCCTTTACCGAATGTAATTCTCACTACAACTCGGTTTCCTATGTCCTATGGATCCAAGAAAAACGAGGTTAGGCGTCCTCTCTACTTTTATTATATTCCATACCATCCATTATTACCAACGATGCATTTACTTATGAGAGAACTGCCCTAGGGGAATCAAAAAGAACTATGAGCTCATCTTGTCTATCATTTCATGTGCCCTGCCTTCGAGCCAACCAAGATACCGAGACGAGTGATTTTGGGTGATCCGCAATGAACGGGACTGGCATAGATACCACACCTTCTTCCGTATTACCATCTAGTCTAGCGGCACGTTTTTCTATTCGAGTAATCAATGAGTTATCAACCAATCAATTCTTATTCCAGTGATGAGAGCGAGTGATATTTGGTGATTTCGAAGTAATTTTTTTTTTTGTTTAATTCATTAATTGCATGCAACCTTACAGTTATGGCAATGTCCCCTAAACTACCCGTTCTCGCCACTCACATAGAACCAGACAAATGAAAAGAAAATAGGAAATCATATGACAGCCCGAACTACTCCTCGTCCCTCGCATCTTTTAAAGTCCCCCACCCGTATCCTAGCTCTCTTCTTTCCTCTTCCGCACCATCGCTATATCCGTCTCTCTCGTGCCTTCATCTGGCAGTTATTTCGAAGTAAAAATGTTTTCTGTTTTTGTTTAACCCATTGGTCGTAGAGGAAAAATATTATATAATTGTAGCATAATAATATAGGACTCCTATCAGGATTCTACCCCCAAAGCGTCTCATATGTTGACAGAGGTAAAGAGTTTATAAAACATATTATCTCTCACCACCGACCGGGGGATTCGTTGTGGAGCCCGGATCCATATAATACTTACATTGCAGGCCAGCAAGATACCGAGCTTTCGGGTGTTTAAGGCTCTGTCTAGTATTTTGATTGTACCATAAAAGAATATTAGATAAATGAACGAATCATTATATAGAATATCGTGGTTATCTTTATGAACACCAAAATTTACGTCAGACTCAGGAGCCCGAGACTGACTGGTAAAAGGATCTATATGTACCAGGATGGTTCGAGGAGATCTTTGTTATACGAGTATATTAAGTTCAACTTAAAGATATCATTTCACAATGCCTTGACGGATGATGAGTGAATTCACTGCCCCGCACTTATACCAGAATATGTTCTGGGCTAAAAGCTGTGGGGATGTTTTGGCCGAGGCATTAGAGGAGGCGCGGTGGAGGGAAGGTATTTGATCTGTGAGAGATGGACAAACGTAAGAAGACTACTTTTAATCATTAGCACATATACAAAGACGCAAAATGCGTGTGATGGAAGATAATTGCGATACATAGGTATAGCAAGAACCGCTCCCACTAACCCACAAAATGTAAAATCATCTAAAGATTTGTTCACAATTGCTCGAAGTTCCGCGGAGGTGCTGTGGCCCACGAGGGCGAGCGGGTTTGTGGTTTTGCTTCATCGAGGCCACTAGTTGGCCCTATCTCGGGGTTGTTTGGTGCCAACAAACATTGCGTTTCTTTTTAATCCGTTATGACTATAAACTCGGCTATTTAACGGTTTATTGATTTGAATAGAAGCACCCGCCGTTCTTCTTAAGATATCAGCACTTCGGGGTCCGTGGGGGGTTTGGGGGGGGGGGGGGTGAATGAGGCTGAGCGGCCTCCTACGATCGTCCCGACGGCTTCGTAAACACTATCTGTAATAGTAAAGGCGGTGAAGATATGAGTGATGAACCTCATCTCATCTCAACGGCCGGATAAGAGTGGGTGTACTAGAGTAAGAGGCCATGCTAGCTACATTATATAGACATATCATGTAGTACGAGCCCCCCATGGAGGTAACAGCAGCAAAGGAAAGAAGGTGAACATGGGGTTGGACGTGGCCCAGCGGTATAGAGCTCACACTCTGTACCGAACTTGTGAGCGTTCAACCCCCCCTCCGGACGTAGAAAAGACGTAGCAACCGAGGCCTAGGCAGTGTTGTGAACTTTTTTGTTTTGTTTTGTAAATTATTGATGTCGAGCGGGTTTTTTTTATTATAATATTCGAGGTATGACCGGGTACTTCAAAATAGGACCGGAACCACCCCCCCTATATAAGATAGTAATTTTGCAGCTAGCACTACGTCTTTCAGAAGTGCCTTTGTTCACAATTGTCGGCCATAGTCACAAACCCATACGAACAATCCAATATGTTCTCACCAAGCCGAATTAACCATTGTTCCTACTCAGCATTGTTCCTACCCAGCTAGCCAAACCAATCAGCAACCCGCATTTGCGAAATTTTACTCGTCCTGACATTTTATATTATAGGAGATATTCAGTCAAAGCGCACTAAGCCTCATCTACTACCAAATATCTGGGAACTCCTTCTTCTTACGCAACCACCTGACCGGTACTTGATGCATCAAACAACTAATCAATTAATCAACTACAAGTACTTGACTGGGTATGATCACAATAGGGTGGATAAAATTAATGAATTAAACAAAAAAAAAAAAAAAAAAAATAGGGTGGATAAGGATGACTGAGCTTTTCGAGTGATGACTCATGAATATTATGTGCGTAGGATTGATTTTCAAAGTCAGATATTTCAACTGCTTTGACTAAATCCCTTTAGATTACATCGTTTACATCACATCATAATACAATACGCAGTCAACCCCCCATTGCTAAACATACACTACATAATCGTACAGGTTATTTAACACTTATAAAAGGCACATCATAGTACCAACGACCGCAATAGCTAACACACCCCACGAACCAGAGACCATCACCGCCGCGCTAGTATCACTTTCAATACCAGTCGCTGATGGGGAGGTTGAGCTATTTGTTGGCGTTGCAGAGGTTTCGTTGGTAGTGGAGATACGTCCATCGAGCTTGATATCGACGGGAGATTCCTTGGTGATGTACTGTCTCAGAACCTCGTCTTGGGTGTCGAGGGTAGCAAAGTCGGTTTTGATAGGCCTTTACATCAAATTAGCGTGCTATTAGGGCCTAATAGTAAATGAACATACCAAAAGTTATCACCCCTCCAGCCAAAAAGTCCAAAGTCACAATGGTGTACTCTTTGTCCATCTCCACGGGACTCTCCCCAATCTCCAACGAGATCAACTTGCTCCCGTTGTTGTTCGCCGGATTGTAAGTAAGCCTAATCTCTTTCGAGACCTGGACGAAGCTCGTTACCTTCTCGTTATCAAACAAGCTAACACCTCCAACAATCCCCTCGAACACCTTCCACAGCTCTTCTCCGGTAAAGGACACTTCAACAATGGCATTTCCGAATGGGAAAGAAGTAAGGACCTCGCCGCGGGTGATTGGGCCTTCATCAATAGTAGCTCTAATGCCGCCGGCATTGATGATAGCGCCCGCAACATCAGGGTTGCCCTCAATACGGTAATCAACCATTGCATCGGCCATGAAGTCACCAAGTGTACATTCACCCTTCTGGCAAGTGCCCTGTTCAAGGACGACTTTGCTGTCACCAATTTCTTCAGCAGCAAAGGCTTCGAATGGGACACGCCATTCCTCGATCTGAGCTTGAAGTTGGGCATCCTGTGCAGTGGCGTTGGTAAGATGAATGGGGGCACCAGTGTAAGCAACGATCTTGCCATCAGAGTCATAGGCGACATCGATATATCCCAGGTATTCACCCCATCGGTATCTATTCCACGATACTATTAGGATGACTTCTAGTATATAGGTTAAAAATGTACATACGCGGTAACAATAAAGACTTCGTCTCCGTCCTCGTTGGTTTCGATAGTAGGATACTTCCCCTCTGCACCCTCCATATCACCCAATAGCGTGTGCGAATGAGCGCCGATGATTAAATGAATCCCCTTCGTTTTCTTGGCCATCTCAATATCGGCCTCATAGCCAATATGAGTCAATGCCACAATCCTTGTAACGTTTTGAGTAGCTTTGACAAGATCGACGGTCCTTTGAATCGCTGTCACTGGGTCCTCGAATTTTGTCCCATCGCCGGGGTTCGAGATATGCGGTGTGGTGACAGTCGTGACAGAGACGACAGCGAGATTGTGCTTAGGAAAGAGAACATAGGGGACCAGAGTCTCATTGAGGGCCTTGTTATCGGTCTGGATGTTGCACGATGTGACAGGGAAGGTTAAGTTTTTGACCTGGAAATCTGTTAGAAATGCCGGAGCGGAGATTAATTTGAGTCGGCAGAATTTACAAATGCGGCCAGAACATCGTCTCCAGCGTCGAACTCATGGTTCCCAACTGTCATGGCATCAAAGCCGAGCTGATTGAGCGTATCCGCGATTTTTTCGCCGCCATAGAAGCTATAGAACAGAGTTCCCTAAGTGGAAGATTAACTTCTGGCTATAGAGGTATGCGGTATGCGGCCCATGCCCAATTTGAATACAATAACATATAACCCCCCTCCCGCGGATATGAGATAAACGGTAGAAATGCATAATGGGTACGAACCTGAAACTCATCACCCGCGTTCAAAAACAGGGAATCATTGTGCGACGGCCTTGTTTTGTCGACAACCTCTTTCACTCGTGCATACCCTCCATAGCATCCTTCAAATCAAATCGAAACAATTAGAAACAAAATCCAACGGAAATCACAGAGTTCCAATTTCTAACCTTTAGTAGGGTCTGTGCAGTCCGTTCCGCTAGATCGGAACTGATCAAGATGGCTAGGAACATCTCAAATCAACACCCGTATATGAGCGGGATCTTGAAAAACTTACGCGTGCACATCATTGATATGATAGAGTGAGATATTATAATTCCCGTCACCATCTACAAACCTCTTCTGCAATCGTCTCGAGATGAGGGTGTCAACGTGCACCCCCGCGCCACTAACGACTTGGAGACCGGCGGCGAGAGCCAGTGCTCCAGAGATGATATGTGATCTCATGGCAAGCTTGTGGTGGGGATTAAAAAAAAACGAAGAAGAAAACTTCAGGCACACGACAAGTGGTGGTGGAGAGAGAAAAACAAAAAATTAAAAGGGTGGAACAGCTTTTTATCTATTTGTATGTACCGCTCGTATACCACCAACTCAACTAACCACCGCAATTAGACCCTTTCACAAGCGAAGATAGGTTTTGTCGGTATCTGGAAGAATCAGGCGAATTGATAGGCGATTGTCCCTGTTGATCTCCTCGCCGCCGCCCAGTAGATAGGTAAAGACGATGCTCGTGTTCCGTAAAGCACCAATTGGGTAGGTGTGTTAATGATGATTCCTTCCTATATAGGTTGTTGTTTTATGGTTCTTTTCAACCCAGCTCAAACAGTTAGCTAATTGGCCAACAGAGAAAACACTAACCATCTTCAAAGCTCTTTAGTAAACATTGAAGTGCTAGCTTTCCGTTAACTAAACTCCAACTGATGATATCCAAGGGTTCAACTGCCAAGGACTCTATCTCAACAACACCTATTGATAACTGTGGCGCATTAGTCGTGCAGCGGCCCCTCCCCTGCCAAGGCTCTTCGGGTGCCTCCGGCCGACCTACATGTGCCAGATAAAATGATATAATTGGTAGAGAAATTGGAGGCCAATTGGATCACACGAACTTCATATGAAACGGCAAGCGACTTTGGAAAAGTGACGGGGCACGAGGCATGTAACTAGGCGCAAAGCACATACCGCCAAATCTCGAGTTATTCGGAGGGTTGCCAAGGGAAAAAGCTGAGGATCTTCACCTTAAAGAGAAGCGATCTTCAGGAAAACAGCCCTCTTCTGCAGGATCTAAACTAAATGTGGTTTAGCAGGTGGCCTTGGCAACCCTCCGAATAACTCGAGATTTGGCGGTACTCTACATACCTACGCTTCAACATGAGAGAGACCATATCATAGTCTACTCTATGATATGGGGTTTTACCTGAGTTTATAGCAATAGAGTCTGTCTATGTATGTATGCATACTGATTCCTCATCCATCCAGATGCTGCCTCTTGAACACAGCTGTCGAAGACGTTGAGCCCATCATCATCCCCCACCCTTGAAACTCCTTCTACCTGGCTAGCCTCACGTAGCACGGAACTCCAGTCCGCCCATCATCATCATCGATGCATCCCCCGCTACCTGATTTGTGCCTCATGTCATGCAAGCGGGAACACGTGGGTTCGCGACTCTGGATGGACCGCCACGAATTCACGTGCTTGCCTGACTTTTTCGTTCTTTCTTTCCTTCTTCTCTGGTAACGGGGATACGGCAGGTATCTCGATACAAGGCCTACCTAGCTATGTAGGTACCAGCTGTACATACATACATTCTCTCGTCTCCTTCGCTGGATCCCCCGCCTGGAATGATTCAGAAAAAGAGAGAAAAAGCAGAAAACAGAAAGCAGAGGCGGAGGTGAGATTGTAGAGGTGGATAGAAAATTAACATCGGGGGTGTCGCAGAGAGGAAAAAGGATTAGAGAATAAGAAAACCCAAGGAATTAAAAATATACAACAAAGAAATTCCCTACATACGTCGTCCGAAAATGTGGACCCGGTAAGCTAAAGTAGAGTAGATCAAGTACAGCAGATAGGTATTTTGCAGATGACAAAAGGAAGCAAAAAACGCCGAATTATTCAAGAGAAGAAAACCCACCATTCAGCAGCCTCAAGTACCAAACGTGTCCGTGCTCACTGGCCTCTAAAAAAAGGAAGCAGCAGCAGCAGCAGCAAAAAATAAAAATAAAAAAAACCGTGCATACAAAATAAGCTTCAAAAAGCAAAAAAAAAAGCAATGAAGCAAGCTAGCAAGCAGGCATGTGTTGTTGCTGGTAAGTGAGGTAGCAGGGGAAACTGGAGGGCATCTGAAAATACACGATAACTTTTAAAACCGGAAAGGAAAGAGACAAAAGAGATGCAAGTTTTTGGTTGGGGATCCGGTCAGTCGGTATGACTATGGATGTAGGTAGGAAGCCGCGGGTAAAGGAACGAGATGTAAAAAAGCAATTCGACGGTGACAAAAGAATAAAACCAAAGAATGAAGAAAGTAAAACGGAATTTTTGTATGGGGAGTTAGGGGGAAAACTTTTGGGGTTGTGCGTTTCGATCGTCGCCACGTATCTTTCGTCTGTTTTTTTTTTTTTTATGTTGCCTCTGTAACGTGGTGGTAGTAGAGGTAGTAGGATTATTCGTATAATAAAATGACGAAGCTTTTGTCAAGGAAAAGGAAGATGAAAGGAGAAAAAGTCGATCTAAGGTACGACCCCCCAAAGGACCAAACTTATGAAATATAGAACAACGGCTATAATAAAAGAAATTATTGAAGCCTTGGTTAACCCGGTTCTGCAAGGAGAAAAAACGGGTTGTTAGTTCATTTTCTTTTTACGGGATCTTTTTTGTCTTTTTTTTGCATGTAACGAATCAAATATTTCGCTTGGGGATCAGGAGCTGGTGCACAAACCTTGATGCTCCGCCGCCAAACCATTCCATAGTCGACCACCCTTTCTTTACAGCCAGTAGAAACAACACAAGGAACGAGGCCCACTGAAAGTGGCCATTGAAAACCAATGCTGGTGCCCATGCATAGATCAAGGCGTGGGAAATATGCCGTAGCAAGGCGGCAGTCCTCCAAAGTACGGGGAGGTGCAATGGGAGTGTATTGACGTTTGCTCCGTAGACTGTCTTGCTGCTACATCGCGGTTCCTTGGGGGGGTTGTTTATCGATTTCCGTTTCGGTGGAACAGAACGGTTGATCACCGCGGCAGTACCATAGCCCGCAGAAGGACCTGGTGCGGAAGTGGTGGCTGAAAAATGGGCGTGATTGCAGGCTGCAGAGTATGGAGGGTACGAAGGGTAGACCCTATCAATAGGGCTTCTCTGCGTCTTTGGGGTTGAATCTCTGCCGTGATCACTAAATCGGTTTTCATTGCTGCTGTTGTGGTTGTCGCAGTCATGCACGGTGACGACTTCGTCTTCGTTGTTGTCATCTGTTGGTTCCAGAGGCAGTGAGTTAGCAGTGGCCATGGTGTTATAGGTGATCTGTTGTCGTTGGTTCTGCAACAATGCCTGGCTCTCATGATGCGGATGCTGTTGGCTGGGGTCGTATGGGAGCGAGGAGCTCAACAGAGGTGTAACAGACTCAAACCTCGCACTATCGATAGAGCTCCGAGCAGAGTCGTTGTCTTCGGAGCCCGATGAAACAGACTCCTCGTCATCCCCGTAGCCATTGTCCGAATCGGCCTGTTCTTCCGCCTGTTCACGCCTAATCTCCCTCAGGCGTGATAAGAGCCCAGTCTCTAAATCCCCATCCATAGTATTCTTGCCTTTGACCAAGAGTGAGCTGTTCGTCGGCCTGATGGACTCATCGTAAGCTGTACGCGAGCTCTCGCTCTCAGCTGCCGTTGTATTGTTATCCACACAGTGAATGGACCTGTCTTCTATTTCTCTTGGTTTCACGGCGGTCGTATCCCGTTTTTTGCGGCCGAAAGGGTTGAAAACTGCTCTTGTTTCGTCACTGGCGCCTCCCATAATGGAGTCACTTATTGTCCTTTTTCCGAGAGGAGGACGCTGGTAGTGTGATGCATGGGTGAGGCCTTCAGAGTTTCGGCGGAAATGGGCTTGAATTCTCTTTGATGCTGATATTGGGGAAGACTGGGTATGATGCTTTCCGCAATCGTGGGGATTGGGGCGTACTCCGTACCATGAGTACTATGGTAGTGTTAGAGATGATCATGAGGTCCAGAAGAGATGGAAGGTCAGAGAAGATGGGGGGATAGAAAACCCAGAAATGATTATAATAAGGAACTAAGTGGTTCAAAAGGAGGCAGTATTGATGGTGAATTGAAGTATACTTCCGACTAGTAGAGATATAGCAAAGATCAAAGCTAGGAGAGAGAGAGGGAGAGAGGGAGAGAGAGAGGGAGAAACTGCTAGCAAAGGTAAAGTGGAAGTAATGGGGACAGCAATCGTGGTATACCAAAATCAAGACCAAAATCAAAATGAGAATTCCTACATACCAAACATTCGAAAATACTCCACACCCACGCCATAACATATAACCCTTCCCACAACGTCGGAGGCCCTTCAAAATCTCCTTCAAAATCCCCTTCATCTCTACTCATTACGGTGCTCCCCCTATACCCCCCATGGCCGCCCATATACCCCACCAACAACCTCACTAACCCATATCTCCATATTTCCTCCAGTACCCCAATCCCAAACAGCACACTGCTTTCCAGCCACATTGCCAGCAGCTTCCTCCGCGGGTCTTTTGGCAGTGGTATATTCCCCGCCAGCTGCTTCGATATCCAGACCCCAGCTATGCCCGCAAAACCAAACGGTACTGAATACCTCAAATGTAACCGCCTAAACCTCTGCTGCTGTGGTGTTGTTCCGTAAGCCGGCCATGGGTCGCCGCTGGCATCGGGGAAGTGTGGTGGCCGGAGGACTTTGGGTGGGAAGATTAACGGGAGGAGAAGGATGGCGTGAATGCCAATAAGGGTCGGAGCGAGGATATACCGGTGCGTTGAGGGCTTCATATGGATGATTTGTAGTGTTTTTGCTGTAAATATAGATAGTGGTTGAAAATAAGCCCCTCTCTGAGGATATTGTTGTAACTTAAATATTATCCTAGCCCCAATTCTAAAACTTTATAACCTCGACTCGGCTTTCCTCCTCGACCTTCGACCTTCCTCGAAGCCTTATGCTGTTCTCCCAAGGGTTAGGTTGAGTTGTATCAGAATAGAGCAGAAAAAGCTTCCTTTTCTCACTCGAGTCAATCGAGATGGCTGATACTACGAGTCTAATAACATCACCACCACTATTGAAGAAAATAAAAAGAAACTAAGTAAAAGGGAAAAAAAAGTAGTTGGTAGAGTAGATTATTAATAAAGTGAATAAACAAGCCAGGCCAATTAATGCCAATGCAATTTATTGGACGGAAGTAAATGCCAACGAGAGACAATGCAAGAAGGAAGGAAGGGGGAGGAGGAAAAGAAAGAAAAGAAAATAGGTCTGAGAAAGAGAACGTGGTCACCGACGGGGCTGGGCTGTAATGTTTGATCGCCCCGGGCCAGGCTAGGAACAGACTGGACTAAGGGTGGATTGATTTGTGGTAGTTGTGGTGACTTGACGAACGAACCAGAAGGGAGGGAATGAGGGCCTGTCGAGGAAGAGAACTGACCACTAGCTGCCAGAACCCTACAGTAGGCACAAAATGAAATACAATTCTTCAAAGGTATGTAGGGAAGCAGGGAGAGGGAAAAGGGAGTAATAAGATCGATAGAACGTTTATCGGTGCTTGCTGACGGAGCGATAGGTATGTAACGACACTTATGCAAGTGATGTGCGGCGAAGCGGTAGTGACATACAGGAGGGAAGGGTTGCTTGCTGCCCCAGCGCTTCTATTTTATTTTCCTTGGATCCTTCCCCCCAGACTTTTTCTTTGCTTTTTTTTGCATGGTCTGGACAGATGGGTGAACGGATGGAAATGATTCTTGCCCGCTCTCTGGGTACACTATGCAGTTCGGAGTCTACTACCTATGTTAATGTTTTATTCATTCTCTGATCCCCACACCTACTTCTGTGCAGCAGGCAGACATACGTTGGGAAATCCATTTATTGGTGAGCTCACTGAGGACAGGAATTGCCGATGCTCTTCTTTCCCCAACCAAATTATTTATTAGCTTTTTCGGTATGTACAGCGAGTGGGTCTTATTCTCTGAGCTTGCAGTGTGCACTTCTCCACAAACCCCACATAAGCGACCCCTGTGTGTTGCGTGGGTTGTTCTCTTGATAAAGGGAGGACGAGTGTCGCAATTCAGGGTGTGTGTGGGTGGACGGTGTAAAGAAAGTGGTTTAGCTAAGGGTTCGCGTCCTGCAGGGGAAGGGAAGGAATTCAAGGATCCAAGCAAAAACAGGCAGCAAACAGGCAAGCGAGGATTCTCTTCCTTAGACTCCATGTGTGTGTCGCAAGGTCAGCAAAGCCATAAGAAAAAACAGCCCGAGAAAACGCGTCCGAGTTCGTGCGTGCAGGTGAGAGCAACTTTGGTTGGGTGCATCCATCGCGACATTTTGTTTTTTGCGGGAAGTTGAGTTGCTTGCACATGGACTCTCTCGATCGTCCCTATCTTGTCTCTATTCTACCTAGACAAGTCGGTGTCATAAACTCTGCTTCTTAATCTTGACAGCAGGCGAACATGGCTCATGGCTCATTTCAGACCCCCACGTTGCTTTGATTTCTGTTCCTCAAGGCTTTATTGAACACTGGCCAGGCAGATAGCTGTCATGGGTTCGTATCCACAGTGTCGGAACACCATATCATCGATCTATGACATGTGGTGTTTCTTTTTCTTTTCTTTCTAGATCTGTCTTTCTGGTTTTCTTCCTGAGCGGTTAAATTCTTACCGAATCAATTTTCGTGATCCTGAGTACTAACTAGAATACTCTATCGTCCGTTCTTTTCTTCTTGTTCTTAGTCTATGACGGTTGTCGAGTTACTCCAATTAATGCACTCCAGGCCTGATCAAAATTATTCTCCCATCCGTTCCCCCTGCCATGCAACGCTGTATACGCCGAGCGAGCAAATAGGTAGGTATCTTGGCACCATGCCAGAGACTCCAGTGACCACGCCCCACCACTCCCCTCCTTTCCTTTCTTCTCGTTTGTTGCCTAGTGTGGGGAAGGCGCAAAAACGTCCACAAGGGTGTCTAGCGGGCTGTATGATACTCTATGTTTTTGAGCACATCAGACGTGATCCTTGACGTCGATTGTAACTAAACTAGCAAGTGTGTCTGGGGAATCAGAATAATTGCCTGTCTTGCCGGCTCGATTGCCGGCTTGGTTTTTCTAATTGCAGGATGCCGAGGCCCTATTGTTTATTAATTCTTGATATTAGATTCTTTTCAGATCTGGGATTTCGAATTTGCTTTTCTATCATGAGCAGGAAGGTTCCTATACAAGGTGCATGCAGGACTTCGATCTGGTAGCACACATGTATCGGCGGGAGAACTCGCGTCCTATGTTTTATCCGAATCACAAACAGACCGGTCCCACTGAGTACCTACTCTACAAGAGGGGTTGTGGTGAGCTAAAATTTGGTGAGAAATGTTTCACTTCTCTACCAATCACTTTTTTTCGTAGAGAAGAATTCAAGCCCACAAATGTTATCATCATGGGCTATCATCATCATAATCATGATATGTGCCAAAACATATATCATGTATTTCCCGGAAGGTACAACATACATGTATTCCCAAATTCCAGGAACTATCCTTTGTTCCAATTGGTCAAGTCCACAACCTAATTTGCCGAAGGAGGGATCTCCCCCCCCCCCCCCCCCGTACTAGCAGGCTCTAACCATGTAGGGGACAGTATATACGTAGTTCCCTTCTACTCTCTCGAAAGCTCTTTCCCCTGAGCAAAAGATCGGATGAACTTCGACTCGAAGCAATTTATTGTATGTCTGTCCACCAGCTGAAGAATGGCGAAAAGAAAAATTCTTCGGCTTCTGTGAAACCATCATTGGGTAATGATGCAGAGCACATACCCATCCACATAGCGAACGAATCGAGTGCCTCGTGTTCCTGTTACTTTCAGCGGCGAAGATAGGAGATATGAATTATTCACCTATTAATCCAAAAACTGCAAGTTCTCCGGGATCTAGAATTCTCATATTTCCGGCTTCACCACGCAATTTTCTCCTTTATCCAGGCAAGTGTCTAGTGCACAAAGCGGCGAAGTGCCTGGCCGTGCTAAAGGTAAAAGAACGTCTTAAGGATCTGCGGTAGATCAAACTCTCCACCGTATTTGGACTCACTTCGTAAAGCGAAACAGCATATGCACTGTCTCAGCAGCCACCAAACCTTACCTCACCGTGCACCTACTACATAGAGCACGCCCTTTGACCACACCTAGATTGCCGCATTTTTTTTTCTTGAGATCATTGGAATCATACTGTAGATATTTCTAAGCTTGATCAACCTCACATAATGAAATAAAAACGGGACAGATATGAGATACCTAGTACACAAATTTGCGATACCAGAAAACCCTTTTCCGCCCCCCGTTGCCACGGACAAGCTCGTCTAGTTTACCCGAAGCCACTCCTCACATGCGAGATGGGTGTCAAATGATCTCTCGCATACAACCTGGGGTGCATAATACAGGCTACACAAGATTTGTGGGGCAAGGATTGTAGGTGGGGTACTGTGGTGGGGAGGGAGAAAGATAACTACCCCCTTTCCACTACTAAATCGATATTCTTAATGCAGGGTGGTTTTGGGGATAGAGATGGGATGGGAATGTATTATGGTATGTATGCGTCTTCGATGGGTGCACCCACATACGTGTGCTTTTTGACTCTGTCAGAAGGTGGGAAGATTAGCCATCATTCTTCGCTTAGGCACGCACTAACGGGGTAGTTTCTCTATCTACTATGATATGATATGATATGATGATGATGGCCTGAGCTTTTTTTTTTTTTTTTTTCTTTTTTTTTTCTTTCTTTCATCTGGAGGTGTAACAATATCACCACTTCCAAGTATGACAATTTGCTCCGAGAGTGAGAGCTGTCAAACAACTACCTAGATATTAGCAACCCAGGAAACAGGGTCTGTAACTCAAAGTAAACAGGCGGCAGGGCAATACCAACGGAACCTAGCACATCCGGGATGAAATATTAGTCTCAAATAAACCTAGATAGAAACTTTATAAACCTTCAGTTTCATCACTATCAAACTACCGCGTGGCGGTGGCGGAAAGTGTCCAAGAGGCACATATAGATTGATATAGGTCTATAACTAGATGCATGTAGGTACAGTTTATAGTGGTAATAAGATACATGTATAAACACAGCCCAATGGGCATTTCTGCCTCGAGGAAACTATCTACCACCCGAGGGGAGAAGATATATGTATTACCTGGATTTCTTTGTCTCTTTTCATCTGGATAGAGTCGTATGTTTCTATATTTTGGGTGATGAGTAGTAGAATCATGATCAATCACTCGCGTACTGAAGCTCAACATGTTGGGAATTTACTTACTATAATATATGTATCTATCTCTATACTCTTAGAAGCTTCGTTTACTTATAGAAGCGAGAAAATTTTTTTCCCGTAGACTCAAGTTTCTTCTTTTGAAACAAAAGTTTGGTATCGCATAGGTATCCCTCCATGTGCACGTGTTCTCCACAGGGTTTTTTTGACTCAAAAATGCCTATTCAAGGTTATGTTTCCCGCGTTTCTGTCATCCATAGAATAGAGGTGTCTGTCTTCTCAGACCACTACTATTGATCGCACTTGAAAGCCTTAATTTTGGGCCTCAGTATGTCCTGCAGTTCCACTCGTAACGAGCTGCCTTTATTTCAAACCTCAATCATTGAATACCAATCAGAGCTAGTGATTCTCAATGACCTATCGATTAACCCAGGCTCTTTGAAACGTCGCTGTACCCTCAGGCGGAACATTCCCAACACATGTGCGACGCACAGCACGTGGGTTGACCGGCGCCTACAGCGGAGCCCACCCCGTAAGCCATTGATTTAGGTAACGGTTTTGATTGAAACTGGTGCTACACCAGTAGAGAGGCCCGGCTGTAACTATGACGGAATGCCGATCATGAAATTCGCACAAATATATTTTACGCTCACGGAGTTGTCTGACGGCAGTGCTCTAAGGTATGATGCCGCTGCAGTTAGCTTCATACTGCAGAGAGGGACGGAATGCTCCTCTGTCCGTGGCACCGATGCATTGTGTCTTCTGACAGATCGACCGAATAATCACAAGCCATCACTCGAGAACTGGACCACAGGAGTCAATGTGAATCAGATGATTCTTTAAATATCCATCAATTCGACCGGTGCGTATATTGCAGTTATAAGGGTTCCTTTCTCTATTGGGCCTCGATGTCTACCAAGGAGGGGGGTGGTGAAAAGAAGGATACTGTATTCAATTGCCAGTTTTGGTGTAGCTAACATGACTTTACCTATGTGTGGCCACACCTCTGTTGCCAATGTGTCCCGCTTGCGACGTACCACGTACCGGGTGTTGAGGGTAAGTGATCAGAATCTGATAAGTGAATGTTACGGTGAATAGGTGTATTTGTCTTATCAGATTCTGATCACTTTTCGCTACACCCTAGTACATGTGTTCTCTCAAAACTTTAAATCTAGCCACCTTATAGTTTGGAGGACAACGGTCCTAAACGTAACTGTCCTAACCGTAAACTACTTGAAGCACTCTTATCGGGAGTTATATCGTTTTCGAAAAAATACCGCAATCACATAGGTCGGAATAGGCCACTGCGTCCGAATAAAATGTTAGGCCTCTGTATAATCATATTCCTATCTGATTCTCGAAGATCATAAGCTCATTATTAATTTCGCTACTAGTGGTGGTGGTGATAAAAATTAAATTTGGTGTGGCCTACAAGGCCTGTTGATCAATTGAGTCAAACAGGGGCCGCGACCTTCAGGCACTTTCTTCTTATGGCGGGTATAACTTTCCCTACTCGATCAAAATTGAGTGATATCTTGGGGTTCTCGGTACGTACAGAGTAATTTCAATTTTAACTAGGTATATATCTTTACCATAAGAACTTTTTCTCTAAGCAGAACTCTAAATATATATCAGTTTGCACAGATGCTATATTTTGACCATAGAACATGTGTAGTCGCTTCCTTCTCGATTCGTACTAATGCCCAAATAACTTGTGTCGCCACGGCAATTTAATTAAAAGAACGTATAGACCTTGAGCTGCTGCTCAGGTAGGCTCTAGTGTGGTTCGCGAGGCAGCTCGGGGCAACTAGGTGGGAAGAACATATCGACTGCATGGTATCTTCCTCGAGAGGCGGGGAGGGTCAAGCCCAGAGTGTCTTAAGTTATGTGTCTAGCATAAGGTGCCAGGCCGAATATTTCATATATTAGGAATAATTTGGAGTAATATCTCTATATATATCCCTATTATACATGGCCCGATAACTCCCTGTTCAAAAAGAGGTAATATACATGTATGCTTATCTGGGATGTTCAAGACATTTGCGAAATCTCTCATGCATAAATATCATATGATCTTGCAAGTCTTGAGAGTACGCTGATATGCCATAAACTTCTCACGACACTGCTTTATTTGGGGTCAATCACTTCCTGGATAGACCACGCTAATGCAGGAGAGAGATTTCGCAAATGTCTTGAACATCCAAGGGCCGATAACCACATGTAACTTCCTTACCGCTGAAAAACCTCCGGCCGCGGTTGATTCGAGATGTACCAGCCTCGTAAGTTTAAGGGGGCCCCCCCGGGGGGGGGGGGGTATAACATAGACCGCCTTGACGCATATAACTCAATTCAAGACGCCTAATGCTTGTAGGTCATACTTCTGGAGCAGCCCGAGGTAGAACTAATCAGGAAGGCACTCTTCAAAGTCATTACCTTATAGGCCTCCGTACCTTGAATTGCCAACCTCAAACTAGTGGGGCATCAAGCTGCGATAACTCATGGGCTTCGGTATCAAGCACGCACATACATATTGGCAAAATTAAGGTAAACGATCTTGAGCCTTTACCGCGAGACCACAGCTGACACATATTAGAATAAATGAGGCCCAAAGCTATAGACTTTTGGAGGTCTTCCCCGAATGATAGCCTCACAACAACTAATTAAAACTTTGAAATACCTCAAATGTCCAAGTTCTTCTACCCACCACTCAGAACAATGAGATGAGGTTAGGATTTCGCGCAAGACGAGCCTAGTGTCTGCAGTCCGCAAGAATCTAACTTTTCGATGGTTAACGATTGCCCAGCTTACTTTATGGCTACATTTGCATAGATACCGCTAGGTTCTGTTGAATACATGTAGCTATTGAGCTTTTAAGCAACAGATATTACGGTAAGAAGGTCTCCAAAAGCGGTGATATCTATTGCAACCAAACCAGCGTGACTATTGCCTGGTGGGCCGAAACATGCTCAGAATCTGGTGCTCTGCAGCCTTGGCAAATTTAGACCAAAATTTACTGCTTGTGGGAGTTTCTTGTTTAAATCTTAACTATATCATTCCCCTATCTGGCAAGGCAAGCACCAGGTTTGTATAATATGCAAAGCACCAGATTCTGAGCATGTCTCAGCCCACAAGGCGATATACACTTTGCTCTAGAGAGGTCCCGCCAGAACACGTTTCATGTGTAATTATAATACTAACTCGGTCATATCCGTGAGCCGGCGAGATAAGCAGATACCACGGGTACTTCATATGGTGGCTGACGATTATCAATTGTTTGCAGCCCGGGCTTCCTGCGGCCGGCAGCCATTCCAGTAGCCAGCAAAGGAATTCATCCGGATCTTCGGTCACTAAATATAAACCACACCCTACTATCCAAAGAGACTCCAGGGAACAACTCTTCCTTTTAATCGAAGCCACAGGGGCCCAGGCACTGCTATGGTCACTTATTATACATGCAACATAATATATCTCCCGGTTCCTCGGATAGTTGTGTGGAACTGACACACTCAAACACCTCCTCAACCACCCACTCACCCACTCGCCTCCTCCCCACCTCTTCCCAATCCCGAGGGCCTACACTGCTATCAATGGCAGTAGCCTACATATATGTAGGTAATATTATGGGTTGTTAAAAATAACCCGAATTAGCTTTGAAACCAAGCAAATTGTCTATAACTATAACCGAGTTTTGAAAGCACTACCCTCGAGACCGTATCAAAATCGTAGACAATACACCTATAGAGGATTACAGAAACGAGGTTTGCTGTCTTATTCCTACTATGTTTGTGGTGTAAGACGATATTCAAGTTGCATTCCAATACAGGTTTTAGTTGCGGCGCAAATTTACAGTAGCAACGATATCGGGATCACAGGAAATCACTCGCTCCTACCCGGGCCCGGGGAGGGGGCGAAACAGCGCAATGGCCAGCCCTAGCTCTCCGCGGCGGCCGGTTTAGAGTTGATGGATGTGTCTCAGTTCACTAGTTTCCATTCCCGGGTTTCCGCTTCTGTTATCAATGTATTACATTGTCAGAAAATCCGGCCCTCTGGCTCCCGCACGGCTTTGGGCCGGGGGTGGTGGGGGGTGTTGATATCCGGGGGACATATAAGGAGAGGCGCTAAGTTGTACAGCGATCCGTCGCTATAAGGATATGATTGGGACCGGAAATGTGTATCCTTATAACGAATTATCACTATACAGTTGATTTCCGTACGTTGAGGGTTCCCAATTGCAACCCTTTAGTAAACATCGGTGTTTTTCTATTTTGCTGTCCCTGATTAATTTGATCTAGCATTTGAAGAAGATTTTGATGTCAAAACTACATACTACTTTCTATAAGGTCTACGCATATATACAAAACCTTGCACTTTTGGTAAGGATACTACATACAAAATGCACGGGGCGGGGACTGGCGACCCATATCCTTAAGCTTATATATAGGGCCTATATATATCCTTATAAATAAAAAAGCACCCTTACAGCGAGATCCGAGACTGCTGTATATATCGCCGCCGCTAGCTCCAGTTGCACTCCCACACCCCACAGCAGGCTTCAAAGACATAAGTATACACCCCAGCCCGCGACCCAGGAAGGCAGACGTGTGGTGCCTACAGACAGGTAGGCGTACAGATCCATTAAGCCAAGCACTCATGATCAATATCCTATGCACCCACCCACCCAGCACAGTAACATGCAGCCACATACATACATACATACATACAGCGAAAGCTTGCTATAACGGTACATACCTTCTATAAGGGTAATCCCCCCTATAACGATAGCACCTCTAGATCTCGGTCCCTTTTGCCTGGCTTGAAATTTCAGCACCAGCACATCTTATATAACGGTAATCTCTCTATAAATTCCGGTCCCGAGCGTACCGTTATAGCAAGCTTTCGCTACATGCATGTCACGCTATTACACCTCCCCCCCCCCCCCCCCCCCCCACAGTGCACCAAGTCCTTATTGACCTAGGCCTCAAGTACCAATGCACCAAGAGCCACGAGTGATAGACCATGACCGACCGACGCCAGGCCAGGTGGGAATGCATAGCATGGCTAAGTACTTGATAGCGTAAATACTACATAAAAGTACAGCAGCACAGATGAAACACCGCCCACCCACCATCCACCACCCTCATGCTCAGTCAGGCGAGGTGGGGTGAGGTGAGGTGAGTGCCTTTAAGGTAAGGATATGCCAACTGCACCTACACCGCAGAACAAACACAGCATCCACCCATCCACCCGCCCAAGCGGGGCAAAAAAATACAAAGAACGCCGTCACCCTACAACCCACCAACCCTGTCACAAACCGATAAAAATAATTAAAAAAAAACGAAAAAAAAATGGAGAAATTGGGATATAATTATACAGCACAACCTCCCCCCTTCCCCCCCCCCCCCCCTCCCGCTACCTGCCCCCCACCTTCCCCCCAAAACCACCACCTCAAAACCCGACCCTCCCCGCAACCCACCTCTCCGCCGCCTCCACACACTCCAACGGGATATTAAAGATCGGATGATGCGGCTTCAACCTATCGCCCACCGCGCCCTCCTCCGCGACGTCGTCGGGCCACGTCGGGATGTCCTCGACGACGGGCTCATACACGCCCTTCACGACGGACGGGATCTTCTCGCTGACGCGCCAGGTGAAGGCCGATCTGAGGGGGAGGTCCTCGTTCTCCCCCTCTTCGCCCGCGAGGGGCGCGGAGGCGGGGAGCGTCTCGGGGGAGGGGGTGTAGTAGGAGTAGTGCTGGGCACTGCTGAGGCCGAGCAGGACGTAGCAGGTGTGGTAAAAGTCCGGTGCTCTGTTTCTGTTAGGGGAAAGATGATCCCGGGGGATGTAATGTATATACTTACTTATTCGGCTTATCCCTCATCCCGCCCTTCATATTCTGGCAGCACGCAAGGATATACCTCGCGAGCCCCTCACGACTCCACAAGCTCCCCACCACGCCGCCCACCAGCTCCCCCGGCTTCTGCGGGCCATTACACGCCGCCTCGACCAGCGGCCAGCACCCGCCCACCCACGTGCTATAGCACCCATCCACCAGCTTATTCGTCCTCCCGGACAGCCCCCCCTCGGGCGCATACTGCCGCGCGCTCAGCCACGCAATCAGCCGGCCCATGTCCAGCGAGGAGGTCATGACCTCGCGCGGCTCACCGAGCATGCACAGCGCGGCCAGCGCACAGAAGGCGTATCCGCCGTGGGCCTCGTTTCCGTCGGGCGTGGCGCCGAAGCCGCCCTCGAACGTCTGGCAGCGCGAGAGGTAGCCGCGGGTCCCGCGCACGAGGCCGTTGGAGGTGGGCAGGCCGAGGAGCGTGATGATGACGAGGGCGCAGTAGCAGCCGCGCACGTCGGACTCGCCGTTGATGGCGACGCGGAAGCCGCCGGTTTCGGGGACCTTGACGCTGTGGAGGTATTTCAGCATTGCGCGGCGGTCGATGAGGTCCAGCGGGGTTTCCTCTGCTTCCTTGTCCTCTTCCTCCTCCCTGTCGTTGTCGTTGGGGGTGGTGGCGGCAGTGGGGCGCGGAGAGACAAGGCACAGCGCGAGAACGGCGGCGTACGTGGCCGTGATATGGCTCATCTGGCCATTCCCGCCGCCGAAGCCGCCCTCCGCGTTCTGCAGCGGGCGCAGCGTGTCCATGACGCGGGCGCGGTACTTTGCCAGGTCGACGCCGAGCGACGCAAGCCCCGAGAGACACCAGTAGACCAGCCAGGCGCGCGAGGCGTCGTAGGCGACCATGTAGTCCGGCAGCTTACTCGTGAGCCCGCTCTCGAGGAACGCGATGTGGTTCTCGCGGTCCAGGATCGGGAACGGGTCCTCGGGGTAGCCGAGGTAGCGGATGCACGAGTTGACGGTCGCATCCTGGTCCACCGACGAGCGGGTCGTGAGGGCGTCGCGCAGCAGCGGCAGGGTCGTGAACAGCGCTGGCGCGGGCGGCGCGGGGGGGATGTAGGGGTTGGAGGGGTTGTAGGGGTAGTAGCTCTCTGCGGCGGCGGGGGATGATGCTGGCTCTGAGGTGTCGGAGGAGGAGAGTTCCTGCACGCGGAGGTTGTCGAGGATGGTGTTGAGGTTCTCCACGGGGGTGGGGGGGTTGGTGGAGGAGGAGGGGGAGGAGGAGGAGGAGGCCATGGTGGTTGTGGAGGGGGTGGTTCGTCTTCTTGTGGTTGATGTTGAGGAGCGTGGGAAGAGGACCTTTTTTGGGCGACGGCGGATGTGAGGCGGGGGCATCAATTGAGTATCGGTGTCCTGGGCTGGCTTATGTAGATGTTTGTTGGTGGTGGTGGTGGTGGTGTTTTTTTCTCTTTCTTTGTGTTGGTGTGTGGGTTGAGATTGTGGTTGAGGTGGCGGGGTAGCGGGCGTGGGGTTAGGGTTGTGGGGTGAGGCGAGGTGAGGTCACAGCGTTACACGGGAGGAGTGAGTGAGAGGTGGTGATTGGGTGAAGGGTGGTGATTGGAGAGGGCGGGGTGAGGGGAGGGTGAGGGGAGGGTGAGGGGAGGGGCGATGGATGATGCTGCTGTGCTGGGGTTTGCGTTGAGGAGAGTGGATATAGTTCACACTGATGGGCGTAGGAAGGTCGAGTGCCTGTTGGTGCCTGTTCTTATCTCGACCATACCAAGTAGAGGCACTTGACTCTGCTGACCACACTAGCCCGAATTAACCATGTCGAAGTTGTAAGGGCTCGTAATCTGTTCTCAACTTGACGGTATGGAGTACTGGGTGCTGGTATGGCTGCATACACGTATCTCACACGCCGTTATCTGCCGCTGATATCATATTGTATGGCCGTTGTGCCCGTATTGCAACTATGTGCGCGTGCTCCCTCGGGCAGAGAGCTCACCATCGCAAGTATCCCCGCGGTAACCTCCATCCTCTTGACCTCTCAACAGTCATCACCACACATCACATCTGGTCAGCCCTCCCATCTCGAGCACAACACTGGTTCACCAAAGATCACTCGCCCGCCAAGATGGCAATGGATTCTTTCGAACGCCTCATGACGTTTAGTCCCTACAATCCCCGCACCACGGCCAGAGCCGCACACCGTCTCCCCCGTCTCTTGATTCTTCGTTTTGCAGACAGCAGGACACTCCTCACGCTGCGGCTCGTCTCTCGTATCTTTCGTGCATGGACTAAGACTCAGGAGTACCGCTTCTTCCGCGAGATTAATTTTAGGATTCGCCTTACCGACGACTATCGTCTCTTTGCGCCCGGGAGGCTCGCCGCGCTTGGACGGCTAGGCAAAAGTATCACTAACCGGTTGATAATCACATTCATCATCCCATGTAGGCTGGGGCAGAAAATCGTGTTTAGGGACAGGAAGACCGGGGAGATTCGCGCAGGAGGATACACATCAGCGCAAGATGGCACTCCAATGCTACCAGGAGTGTTCAAACATTTCGAAAGCGGTCTCTTCAGGAGGATCTTGGAGAGCATGCCTAACCTGACGTGCCTGTGGATCCGGGACCAGGGAATCTCCGCTAAAGACTCGGATCCCGAGGACAACTGGGGTCTCACGCTGGTGTGTCAGGCGCTCATCTTCCTGCGGGCACAGATTGAAGAGGCGCATACGAACCGCATTCAGCGGCGTATCAAGCTTGAAGAGGACCTGCTCATTCATGATACCATTATAAATCGCCCCTATGCGGAGATTGTCAAGTTTCCGCAGGCTCATTTGGAGGAGATTGCATTCCTCGCGCATGCTCTCAAACTTGAAGAGTTCTCACAATTGTTTAGGGATGTTTCGATTGCTGCGGAACAACGAGTATGCCGGCCACAGCTCCAGAAGTGGCTCATGTCCCTCCCACGTGTATTGCCTGAATTTCAGAGGCAACTTTCTGCATTAACTAGATCCACCAAGGAGCAATTAATATCATGTCTGGAGATCTCTGAATCTATCCTCAAGGAGGACATCATCCGTCTTTCCACAGGCGTAGCGAATATCGACCCCTTCACGCCCGCATGGCAGAGGTCAATAGACCAAATTAACAAGCTAAAAAGGCAGGAGCCACGCAGGAAGATCTTAAAAAGACTCGAGTTTCTCATAGATCTCGCCGAGTCACCCTCAAAGCGGGAACAGATCCTAAGCCACCTTGACGTCCCACTTCCAGAAGGCCCCCCACCACCACCAGTCGACCTCGACGAGCTCCGCCGCCTCTCAGAGCCCCCATGCCTCTTCTCCTTCCAGCTAGACCTCTCCACCCCACTCGCACTCTGGTACATCCGCTCCACCCCCCGCCGCGACGGCAGCATCGGAAACTGGAGCTCCACAATCACCAACCTGCACATCATGCTCCCCTCCCCCACACCCGGCTCGACGCGGGCGCAGCGCGGCTTCGTAAAACGCTCCTACCACACCCTCATCGCCGAGTTCGCCCCGTGGCTCGAAACGCTCTGCATAAAGTTCCACCCGCCCCACCCCAAGGACGCGCGCAAAAGGGCCGACGCAGACCCCTCCTTCCGCGGCCAGCGCGTGAGTCCCGAGTGCCCGCTCGTCTATTTTTGCGGTGATCTCGACTTTTGCAGCGCGGCGGGGGCGCCGGGGGATGGAGGTGGGGGTCCGTTGGGGTTTCCGAGGCTGAAGAGGCTGGGGCTGATTAATGTGACGCTGCGGTGGGAGGGGAGGGGCGGGATGAGGGAGTTCTTTGAGGCAAAGGCGAGGGGGTGTATCACGTTGCATTTGGTGGATGTGGTGTTTGGAGGTGGGGAGGCGACGGTGGGGTGGGAGGGGCTGTATCGGCTGTTTATGCTGGATAATCCGGGGCGGCCGAGTAAGTTTGGGTGGGAGTTGACGAGGAAGTTTGAGGAGACGCGTTGATGGGGTGGAGGGGTTTGATATCTAGTTGTTATGAGTTTGGGGGGGTGCTCTGTTAATTGCTGTGAAAGTGTTTTAAGCGCCTAATCTTATGGTTATCTTTTAATAGTTACTTCACTTTCTTATAGCTAGCCCCATGCTGTTAATGAGTTAAATGCTCTTCTTGTATGTAGGGCCTACTGATCCTGGAGATAATCCCCGCCCCGAGCAATGGTATAGCTAGAACACACACCCAAAGCCAATTAAAAGTATTCGAAAGCCCTTGTCGCATCCACCGCATGTACAAAGCCCGGCAAAGCAACCCATCCACTCCAGCAGAAAGAAACACACGAGTGATACCCCATGATCAGACACATCATAGCTTATCACTCGCTCGCTATATAACTGTCCTGGACGGGTATAAACAACATGCAGGCCTCATTCAAAGGCCCCTGAAACAGCGCCTAGAGATTTAATGCGATCGAGAATCCATCGGAGACTTGACGTAGCTCGGATCAATGAGAGCTGCTAGCGTTATCTATATCCAGGTTGAGGTATTGATTCAGTATACTCGCGCTTGCCTATAGCTATGGGCGTGGGTGTTGTTGCGTGGAAACGATACTTGGCACGACGCCGGGGTGCTGCAGACGGAGGGTGATAAGTGGGCGCTACATGTAGCATGAGCACCCCTTGGCACATTCTCAGGGCCGGACACTTGGTACTCTAGGTGGAGGACTTGGCTCGGTCTAGCAGATATATTTTCTTGCAAATCCTGGATTCAATGTATTATCCCTAGCCCTAGACTATTTGTGGCGAAAGTCACGTCTGTTGCCCCCCTACTCTGGGTTCTTTCTGATTCTACTTCTTTTGGCAGCGTTGCGGCCCCGCTAATAGCTAGCCTGTTGAATATCCCCTCGTGAGCAGGGGGGGGGGTCTTAAGCGGTCGGTCCAAATCGAAATCGTGGCCGAACCAGATATGGTAGTTATGCTCTGATAAACTCAGCTCCTGTTTATGAGTTTCTCCCCACATGCTAAACAGCCCCACCTGTTCCACTAGAGACAGGGAGGAGAATGAATAGCAATTGCGCTCAACTGAGCACACGATTTCGATTTGGACTGACCGCCGAAGGGGATAAAAAGCACCAAGTTACTTACGCTACACACACGCGCCCCCACTAGAAGCTCATGTGCTAGTATACTTCAACGGGCAGGTAGAGCGGATATCATATCATATAGAAAAAACTGCTGCCTTCAATCTCGGCGCTTGCGTCATGAGCTATCACTCGCTTGGATATGTGGACGCTTGGGTTCGCTTTACCCAAAGCAGACAAAACAAACAAAACAAAACAAAATCGAAATCAAAACGCATGATTACACGATCCCTGATCATGTTCATATTCAGCGGAGAGATAATTTCTTGCCAAAAGATTGAGAGGGAGGGGGGAGAGTGAAATACAAAAAAAAAAAAAAAAAAAAAAGAAAACGGTTGGAAAAGGAAAGAAAAAGAAAAAAAAAAGAAAACAAGTAATCACTCCAAGTTACACCCCAAGAAGAAGAGAAAGTCACACAAATCCAGTATCAAAGAAGGGAATCTCGAGAGAACAAACCTCGCGCGAAAGTAAGGAGAAAAAACAAAAACACAGAAATAAAAACCCAAACCAGTACACCAATGCCCCCCCAGTAACCCTAAATAACAACCCTGATCGCCTGCGCCAAACTGCTCTCTTTCGGACAATACGGACACTTTATTGTCACAGCGCTACCCTTCGCCAACCTCTGCAAGCTCTCCTGCGCAATGACGTGGCCACACGGTAGCATCATGGGAGGGTTTGACTCTGTTGTCTGGTCCTTTGATACTGGACACACAAAAATGCTATGGAATTGGTAGCCGGGGGGCAGTGCAATTTCGGCCTATCTTTGTCAGTAATGCGGGGAGCATACAGCGGGAGGGAAGAATAGGAGACGTACAGGAAGCTCATTAACCGTACTCCACCCCGTCTTCTTATCCTTCATAATCGCCGCCATCTTCATTAACGTTGGAAGCGCAATCGCTCCAGCCGTCGCCGCAATATACAAGGGACTCTCCGCGCTTAAGCCCAGCAGGCTGCAAAACTCCTTCGTAAATGCATTTGCTACATCATTAAAGCACTTCTCCGGGTCTGCAAACAGGGGCGCATACGGACTGCTTTTCAGTCTCGTCTGGAACGCGAACGCGCCCAGGAGCTTCTCGATCTCATCTAGGTGCTTTTCCTGAAACTGCTTAAGCTCCTTTCGCGCATAGTGAAACGCCCGCATTTGCCCGTCTTGCTCCAAGAAGAGCCATACGAACTGCAAGCGACAGAGATCAAACTCAAGGTTGCTGCCGCGGTGGTCTAGTTCCGTAGATTTGGAGCGCGCCCAGGCGATGGCGGGGCCGAGATTGCGGTGGATGCGCATGGCATTGAGGATTTCGTACATTTCGACAAACTCGGTGGTGAGGTGCGGGGGGATGTCGATTGGGCCAGCTTCCTCACGGAATGTTGAAGCCGCGGCGAATTGGCCCTCGCGGATTAGGTGCATGGCGATGGCGCGCTTGATGAGGTCGGACTGGGAGGAGAGTGCGTCATAGTCGTTGGTGGAGTAGGTAGTAGTTGCTTTGAAGGTCTGTGGGGGGGTTAACAAGTATCTACAGAAGGGAGGGGGGGGGGGGGAGAATAAAGAAGTAACCTTGTCGAGAGCACGGCCGTAGCGGCTGAGGCCAGAATAGATCTCCTTCTCGTCATCTTTGATCTTTTCAAGAGCTGCGGGGACAGTTTGCTGGAGCTTCGCAATGCTCACTCTTGCAGAGGATGGGTCTAGGAGCATCAGTATGGAGCTTATTATTGTTTTTCCGGCGATTGTTCAAAAAACTAAAGTAGCCGAAAGAAAGTTAAAAGCCCTACCATTAGCTATAGCTTGTCTAGCGTTCTGGAGGAGCTGGATGCACTTGTCGACATCTGAAATGCTCTTTGAGAGGTTGGATTTCTTGCGGAGCCTCTCATACTCCTTCTCTATGGATTCCATCTTGTAAGATTATTGTAAGAGTATTTATAAGTCCACTGACGACTGACGAGTTATATGGACAGTTGTGAAGTGGGGGCGGGAGAGGTTGGAAGCATTGCAGTGCGTCAATCGTATGTCGTTATCGCGATACAAGATGCCGGGTAACCCAATGCAACAGGGGAGCTCGCAGTCAGGGAAATACGACGGTGAGTCCTCCTCGCCTGGGAGGTGGACAGTCACAGACAGCCCTTTAATATTTACTAAACAGTCCAACAGATTATATATAACTACACGCCTCGAAGCCCTCCGATCATCACTCATACGATTGTCTGCCAATGCTCAAACGAAATTTCTTGGACGAGCCTGCCCCGGCGAACTACGTCGCTGGTCTTGGGCGTGGTGCTACAGGGTTCACAACACGGTCTGATATCGGTCCAGCGCGTGAAGGTCCCTCAGAAGAGGCCATCAAGGCTGCCCTTGCCAGGAGAGCAGAGGCCCTAGGACAGCCTGCTCCTACAGCTTATGTTAGTTATTCCCTCTGCTCCCCCCTAGCTACTCACCATCAGCTGGTTAACAATACCGCGATACTACAGGGTGCAGATAAAAAGAAAGACGACGATGATGACGACGATGACCGGTATCAAGACCCCGAGAACGAAGTTGGACTGTTTGCCGGCGGGGCCTATGATGAGGACGATGATGAGGCAGATAGGATATACCAAGCTGTAGACGAAAAGATGGAAAGGCGGCGAAAAACACGAAGGTATATAACCCCCCCGTCTTCTTATTCCTTGAAACTATGCCCATCATATTCTCTTCTTTCTTTATTTCTAGGACACATGGTTTATCGTCATGGTTTATATGAGATAGTTTTGCCGACCTCTCCGTCATCATATAGGGAAGCCCGCGAAAAGGCCGAGCGTGAGGAATACGAACGCAAGAACCCGAAGATCCAACACCAATTTGCGGACCTAAAACGAGGACTCGAAACACTCACAGATGACGACTGGGCGAACCTCCCCGAAGTCGGAGATCTAACAGGAAGAAACCGACGAGCACGACAAGCGATGCGCCAGAAGTTCTACCCAACCCCCGACTCGGTTCTCGCCAACGCCGCCGGAAGCGGACAATTTGAGACTTCAGTCCAGGATGATGGTAGTGCGAACGCTTCTTCCGACACTGCCGACGGCACGATGACGAACTTCATCGACATTGGTCGCGCAAAGACAAAGGTCCTTGAAGCCCGTCTTGATCGCTCCGGAGGCGACTCTGCAACCGGCGCGACAAACATTGACCCCAAGGGCTACCTGACATCCCTCAATCGCAGCACTACTCAGACCGCCGAACAGGTCGGTGACATCAAGCGAGTTCGCGAGCTCCTCCAATCCGTCATCAAGACCAACCCTAAGCATGGCCCCGGTTGGATCGCTGCAGCCCGTCTAGAGGAGGTCGCTGGAAAGATTGTCCAAGCCCGTAATCTCATCGCCAGAGGCTGTGAACATTGTCCCAAGAATGAAGACGTATGGCTAGAATCAATGCGACTAAATGACGCGCCGAATGCCAAGGTAATCGTCGCCGAAGCAGTCCGCCATAACCCAAAATCTGTCAAACTATGGGTCGAAGCAATGGAGCTTGAAGTAGATCTCCGTGCCAAAAAACGAGTAGTCCGTAAAGCCCTCGACATCATCCCACAGTCTGTAGTTCTCTGGAAAGAGGCCGTTAAACTAGAGGAGGACCCCAACGACGCCAAGATTCTTCTCGCCCGAGCTGTTGAGCTTGTCCCCCTATCTGTCGAGCTCTGGCTAGCCCTCGCCCGTCTCGAGACTTTTGAGAATGCGCAAGCTGTACTTAACAAAGCCCGTAAAGCCATCCCGACATCCCACGAGATTTGGCTTGCCGCAGCACGTCTTCAAGAGCAACAAGGTAATGCCGCAAAGATTAATGTCATGAAGCGTGCCGTGCAAGCCCTCGCCCGTGCAGAAGCGATGCCCTCCCGCGAGGACTGGATTAAGGAGGCAGAACGTTGTGAGGAAGAAGGCGCCGTCGAAACTTGCCAGGCCATTATCCGGGAAACGCTCGGGTGGCAACTTGAGGAAGACGACGACCGCAAAAAGATCTGGATGGACGACGCCGACGCTTCCATCTCACGCGGAAAGTACGAAACTGCCCGCGCAATCTACGCATATGCTCTCCGCGTCTTCTACACCAAAAAATCAATCTGGCGGTCTGCTGCCGATCTTGAGAAGAACCACGGCACAAAAGAAGCGCTCTGGGGCCTCCTCGAGAAGGCCGTCGAAGCCTGTCCTAAGAGTGAGGTTCTCTGGATGATGCTAGCGAAGGAAAAATGGCAATCTGGTGATATCGACGGCGCACGTATCGTGCTCGGAAAAGCCTTCAAGCAGAACCCCAACAACGAAGACATTTGGCTTGCTGCAGTCAAACTCGAAGCGGAGAACGAGCAGAATGCCGCTGCACGTGACCTCCTTGCCACGGCCCGCCGTGAGGCCGGTACAGACCGAGTCTGGATCAAATCAGTAGCATTCGAGCGGCAACAAGGCGACACGGACGCCGCCCTCTCCCTAGTAGGCGAAGCCCTCCAATTATACCCCAAGGCGGACAAACTCTGGATGATGAAGGGCCAAATCTACGAATACGAGCTCAACAAGATCCCCCCTGCGCGCGAGGCCTACAACGCCGGTACAAAGGCATGTCCAAAGTCAATACCACTATGGCTGCTTCTCTCCCGCCTCGAGGAAAAAGCGGGAGTGCTGGTCCGCGCTAGATCTGTCCTCGACAGGGCACGCCTCGCGGTACCCAAGTGTCCCGAGCTCTGGTGCGAGTCTGTCCGTGTCGAGCGCCGCGCCGGAAACATCACACAGGCCAAGAAGCTCATGTCGCAAGCGCTGCAAGAATGCGCACACTCCGGACTCCTCTGGGCTGAGTCCATCTGGCACCTCGAGGCACGTACACACAGGCGGCCGCGTCTCGTCGAGGCCATCGAGAAGGTGGGGAATGACGCAACACTGTATGTAGCTGTAGCACGTAATTTCTGGGCGGAGCGGAAGCTCTCAAAGGCGGGTAGTTGGTTTGAGAAGGCGATTCTGGTTGACCCCGATAGAGGTGATACCTGGGCGTGGTACTGGAAGTTCCTCAGCATGCATGGCGAGGATGACAAGAAGGGCGATGTGTTAGCGAAGCTGAGTATCACCGAACCAAGGCATGGTGAGGTGTGGCAGAAGGTGGCGAAAGACCCGAGGAGGAGATGGAGGAACTCGGAGGAGATCTTAGAGGCAGTGGTGAAGGAGTTGGAGTAGGTGGCGGGGGGCGGGGGCTTTGTACGATAGTTAGCTAGCGTGGCGAGGATATCGAGTGATATTCTATGTTTCAAATTGAGATGTGCGTTTTTTATTTCCCTCAGACTACGTTCTGTAGGCTGTTGATTGTTTAAAAGCTGTGTGTATGATATCTGCTGTAATATAGAAGGACAATGTAAAGATCTTGCTCTTCAACGGTTCAACCCAAGATCAAGGAGGTAAATATCCGCCCTACGTAACGTTTACTATCATGGCCATCAGTCACTGTGGTGTTTGGGCTTTTAATCCTAAGGCCTACCACTTGTGCATACAGGGCAGGCCTGCGCCTAGTATTCCCCCCCATTGTTCCAACGCTACATCAGCACTCTCCATGATCTCAACTTTCATGCACAGTGCTCGTCCAGCCACATGGGGCTAGAAATTTTCGTGGAACCAGCTTTCCTTTCTATAACTGCTTGGGCCCCCTTTCTTCCCCGGCCTTCTCGAAGCCCAATAGTGGACCAAGGGGTGAAGTGTTTTCACTGGCTATTTCAGCGCAATACTACCCCCCCACGCCGTGATCTCTGAGATTACCAAATACGAGTACTTTCTTGATCGAGTGATAAATCATGATTACGACCTCCACTATATTTGCACTCCTAGTAAAATAAATAGCAATGTAAAACCTGATAATTTGAATCCATCACCGCCAATCTAGCTAACTAAAAAACTAACCCATCGCCGATCTCAACGACAAGCTCACGGACACCACCTACTAACAAACAGGAACTCGAGTGATACACCATGATCACCTCATAGAAATATGGTCCTCCACACGGGATAGTGATAACACTGATTTAAGATAAGATAAAAGAGAGGGGGGTATTAATGTAAATAAATGAATAAAGAGAACAGTAAAAAATAAGAAACCAAGAGGGGGGAAAGAAATCAACTCCACACACAAAAAACAAAAACAATAACACCCAAAATCAACTTTTCCCTCCGTTTTCCACCTACCAGCCATGGCCCCCCCAAAACTCCAGGTTTTCCAAATGATATTTAGCCTATTAATCTTTCTCTACTTTCTATTTTCCTCTTCATCTCCCGTCTCTCCAGACTCCTTCGAAAACATTGCACTCCATGCTCCAGCTCCAGTCAACACAGCCATCACCCACCACACCCCGCCACCACACAGCGCATAGACACAGGCACCAAACACTGGACCGGCTACCCTTGCCACAGAAACCCCACGAGCACATAAGAGTGCCTCACTAACCTCTACGTTTCTTGCCAACATGACTCCAGCAGCCTGAAGCCCTAGTGCCACCACAGCTCCACTGGCGGACAGGTACGGTAGTACCGGCATGAGGAGGTACGCAAGCGGGACAAGACAGAACGTATAGTGGGGACTAAGGCGCGGGTACTGAAGTATCTGAGTGGCGAATGCGATGAGGCCCATGTATGCTATTGCAAGGCCAACAGTGGAGGCGGGAAGGTCAAGGCCTATTGGGCGCGGGGTGGAGAGGAACACGACGAGCAGGAGAGGGAAGGCTGAGGTGTGGAGTGTCAAGGCAATGAGGGTAAGAGTAGCGTGGAAAGGTGGTGAAGTGGTAGGTTTTGTAAATGACGAAGAGGAGGCGGAAGATGAGGGGAGGGCGGACTCTTCGTCGTCCGGGATGGGGGTGGTGAGGGTTGTGTAGTCGCTCTTGAGATCGTCATTGGACGTTGCAAGGTGCTTTCCTTTACCTTTGAAGCTCCCGTACACCTTTCTGATCCGTCTCTGGACCGTTCTTCTAACCTCAATGCCCCAGTCCTTTCTCGAATTCCTCTTCTTTTGTGTTTCCTTGAGGAACAGAAACACTAGGATCCAACTAACTACTAAAATCCCAGCACTAATCATGTTCGGTAGGGCAAACTTCCACCTCGTTGCCCATCCAATGCCACCCCAAACACCTGGCCACGTCCCCGCCGGATCCGCAAACAGTCCGCCCATAAGTGCTCCAGCAACGATCCCCACATTTTGGGACATTGGAAACATCAATAATGCGCGGCTCTGATACCTGTCCTCGTCAAAAGTCTCCGTAACCATAGTCCTCAGCACACCCACATTACCACTCAGTGCGCCTGCGAGAATGCTCCAGAATACCGCTGCCCCCATACTCTCACTAAAGCCGAACCCGAGAGTTGATATCGTGATCCCGGCGAGGCCGAAGAGGACACATGGCTTGCGGCCGATACGATCTGACATGCGGTTCCAGAAGGTACTAGCAGGGACCTGGAAAAGCAAGAAATTTGAGGCGAGCATACCAGCCTGCGCCGCGATCATTCCCGGGGTGGGAGGGAGACGGTCCGGCGTGTAAATAGAGGAGAGGTAGTAGTAGAGATATGAGATTACAGAACTCTGTACTAATTGTTCTGAGAGTTGACAGAGTGCCAATATTAGGAGCTGCGACCTATGCGGCAGAGACAGCCAGGGAATTTGATTATCGGAGGGATGCATCATATTGTTGCTATCAAGAAAGATGCTGTCGTTCCCCTCGTCGCCTCCAGTGCTGCTACCTGGAGTATCATTGCAGTAGGTGCTGCTACTGCTGAAGGTATTGTAATTAGGACCAAACGTCCCATAGCTACCACCGTCGTCCTCTTCTCCATCAGAGCTCTCGTCGTCGCTACTAGACGTTGTGCTCCATGCCGGCGACACAGGCGCCGTATACTCGGGTAACAAGCGTCGATTCGTCCATGGGAGCGATAGATTCCTCCGCGCAGCGGTGGTACTTGTGGTAATGACGCTCCCGCTCTCGCTGTTACTGTCGCTCGCTACCGCGCTCAGTGGGCTTGCATTCACTGGCCTCGAATCCGAGGTAGTATTCGTATTGATGCGAGGTCTAGCCCGCGAGCACCATCGTAGGACTTCAATCTCCCCGCTACTGCGCCTACGCGCGAGAATCGGGATGCGCTCCTCGACGTATGTTGGCTGCGGCGGGGGCGGCGGCGGCTGGGATTCGGAACTGACCCAATACATAGGCTGCCGTTGGTGGTTGGGGGTTGTTGCTATTATATCACTATTGTTTCGATCCTGCGATAACTAACTAGCTAGCTGTGCCAGTAGAGACAGAGAGTGCGTGATGACGACGGGGTAAGAAGTGTTTAGAATGTGCGAAAGAAGAGATTTTCTTCCTGCCTGCCTGCTTGCTTGCCGAGCGGATGCCGACTTGTGGGGAAATGTGTGTGTATGTGAAGTAGGTAGTGGTGGTAGTTGTAATGGTAATGGCAATTTGCTATTAAAATTACCCAGCGGAACGAGAGTGGGGGGGGAGGGGAAAGAAGGAGGCGATACGTAGTGGTAGTGGTGCTGGTGCTGGTGCTGCTGCTGCTACTCTAGATCGAGGAGGGAGAGAGTAGTCGGTGTGTGGTTTTCCTTTTTATTGACGCCTTCTGATCAATTCTTTACCCTTCTTTTCTCTGTGTTTTTTTCTTTTCTTTTCAGGCCTCGCTGGCTAATGCTATTCGCTGGGACTCACTCCATCCTACCAGCTCATCGTTTTGGCCCTCGTGGTCCGTATTGCTGCTGTTCCCGGGGGACCACCCTGACCACTGGAACCTCAGCCTGGTACGCTCTACTTCAGGTGGGTGTTGTGGGTGCTGTTTCTTCTCTGTCGGGTGAAGTTGGAAGAATTCGAGGAGAAGCGCGGTGCCTGCAGGACGGGTGTGCCGGTTGTGGTAGGGACATGCGGCAAAGTTCTGTTTTTCTTATCGATAGATGGATATATGCTGGCGGATGCGCAGGGAAGGTCTACTTTAAATTTCTACTGGGGGTGGGTATTTGGGAACGGCTGTTTCTATTGATTATAGATGCGCAGGTGGAAGAAAGAAAGTGAAGGAAGAAGCCCTTCTTCGTCTTGTCTCAAGTGTGCACTTCTTTTATTGCGGTGATGATTACTCGACATAATTAAACCGCAGTCTTCTTAATATTATCGCCTCTGTGTCACACTGAATAGATGCAGAGATAGGCCCGCTATTCCCGGTGCCGGAAAGGTTCGGCATAGATTAGCAGCGCTTTTCGCATTTTGAGTCCTTACAGCATGCGAGAGCTCAAGATGAAGCTTAAGCTGTCTAAATTTCTTTGTGTTGTTGATGTGACAAACAAGCTCTCGAGCTAAGCATCGATTGTTTGGTTCAATAGCGCCACTTACATCATCCCTCCGCAATTGCCAGCCGCAGGCCGAGCTCTAAGTTGACGTCTCACCACTACCGCCATCTCCATTGACGTCGTGGTCATCAGCAGCAGCATGTGGGACATGGGAATTGGGGTATCCTGGGTATGTATGCAGCCGCATACATGAACCCTCTAATCTCCCAGCGGCAGAAGGCAAAAATGAAGACTGCGAGTGTGCTTGACGCTAGTACTACATCTTTAACGACTGTTACAACGAGAATTCGAGGTGCGGGCACTGATATTACTTGACAACAACGAACTGAACTCTTTGAATGTGTCTTACTTCTCTCGAAGATATCCACTGATTCAATAAATACTACTCTCTGGAAACCGGATCCATATCCCACTGGGCCGGGGATGTTGCTCTTTTGGGTAAAATAATAAGTAAACTTAAAGCTCAGCTTCTTTCCTGGATGACCACGGGGATGATCCATTAGGCAGTGTATGTAAACCTGTCGTGATATATTCACAAATCTCGGGCTTAGGCGAGAAACATCTCCAGCAGGATTCGGTGAAATCCCCGGGACTAAGACTCTACTAGTAGAGTTTTGGCGAAAGCGATGGTGAAGTGTGGTGTCCTGTGAATTACCAAGGTACTCGCTGTAGCAGTAGCTGAGATTGGTCATAGAAGATGAAGTGTAGGATCGACATCATGATCAACTGGGAAAGACCGCTGAATACTAATCAACAAAAAGTTAAAATAGAGTACCTACTCTACGAGTAGTGTGAGAAAGGCGGAGACTTTAGTTGATCTGCGATACCAAGGCATGGAGTTGAAAGCTCTGGAATACAAAGCTGATATATGTTAAGATGGAGGTTTGGCTGTGGGCGTAGAGGTTGAAGTTGAGGAGTCGATGCATGTTGTTGTTTGGGTTGCATCATGAGAAATAACTCGTTAATTGTTGGTAGTAAAATCCGGCATATCCTTAAAGTTTTAACACGCCACTAGCCTGGCTTACTGTAGAGCCCTAAACCATAAACATCCCCTATCTTTAGGATGCACAAGCAGGAATAACCTTTTCCAGAAATTCGTTACACTGGCGTCGAAGTTACCATCTCAAGGGATGAGGTGTCTTAAACTTTGAACCACCTACTCAGCGTATGTTTCAACTTTAGATCCCGCAAAACACGTGCGGCGGCTAAAGACAGTGTACTGTCTTTAAATTCACCGTACTTTCTCCCTTGCATGGTTCACCATTCTTCGGGACTACTCTACCGTTCCCCGAGAGGAGGTAAAAACGCATGTGCAGAACTGCATGCATATCAACTACAGCCGAACAGAGCGCTCTACACGGTATTATCGTCTCGGTACGTCGAGCAACCTCTAATAGATAAGAGATAACTTTGGAGGAAATGCTGACTAGCTGATGAAAGTCTCATATACACTAGAGCTTGAAACAACTATCAGGATCTACACTGATTCTCGTTGAAAATAATTCGTTGAGAGTCCGAGGACCGCTCCTTCGCTTCAATTGTGATAGAGAGTTGGGAGAATCTCAATACTTGATCCCTTGCCTTTCCACCCGTGGATCCATCTACTGGCCCCTATCCTTCGAGAACGAGGAGATGTTTTACTCTGTTGGTACGTACACTGATCCCGAGAAATCTCTTATTACCAACGCCTGGTATGAGATTATGATGTGCAGAGGCGAGGTAGTTGATCATAGCTTCATGATCCACGTACTGACATGATTCATAATAGAAACTTTAGGCCAACGATCAATTTTGAAAAATGCTATTCGCCACCCAGCCAAATAATCCCTGCAACCATCAATTTTGACCAAAATTGATGCTTGGCCTAAAGTTTCTAATAAAGAGTAGAATGGATATTTCTGGGTTCTTTGTCTGATGGACTTCTGATAACTATATTGGTCACTCGCTTGGATACCTTTTCTCTGATTTGTCCAAATTGCCGCAAACACAGACCTCTCACAACTTGCGCAAATAATGATATTCAGCATCATTAGTCAATCAGAAAGTTCCCGACTATTTGAAAACCCGGTCCTACCATGTTCCTCTCCTACCGGTACGTGGATTTATTATACCTTGAATAATATTGTAACGGAATCATTTGGGTTGATAGTCTAAGCAACCTCGCAATATACTCCCGCTGATCAGGTTATCGATAAAAGTCTCCGAAGATTGTTTAAGACTGATCAGTTGACCAGATCCTCGAAAACCAGGGCTTTTCGAATGAGCTGGTTAGAAACATAAAATATAAGAAGCTTTGAAACAACATGAGGATCATCTGAACTAGTCACTTAATTAAATATTGAGTTGGCAAGTATTCCTTTCAACTAGTACGTAACTTATGGCCCCGCGTGCCGTCTTGCACCGTCATATTTTTCAACAGCCGAATTGGAGCAAAGAATTTGGATTTGTTTCGGTTAAAGAGCACCGCCTCCCTATTCGAGGTTGTGTTCTTGTACTTCACCGAAACCTCATTCGAGGTCGCTCATTGGAAGGATCTACCGTACATATTTAGAGTACATGTACTCGTGCATAATCTACAAGAAGGACCCTTAGTGAAACTGAGTGAGATACGGTACATAAAGTACGGTACGAAGATCTTTCTGCTGTTTCGCCCTTTTTAACGAGCATAGCTCATTGGAAGTTCTTTTAGTCCATATGCAAAACATCTTGGAGCTACCTATCGGACGATCCTATGCTTGATCAGATTTCCTTTTTCAGTCGATCCTACATGTGCTTGGGCGGATTCTTAAAACGGCTGACCGTTTTGGAGCGTTTATCAAATGTGGGCGGATAAAACATTCCTGAATGTTTTATTAATTCGGGGACTTCTTATTTTTCTTTTACGCGTGTTGAAGCTCGCGATAAACTATTATTCTACATACACTTGGTGTTGCTAATTCCGCCCAGCTACCCCACACCCTTCGACCAATGATATGCTGACAGCCCAGCCGCAACAACCACCCCACTACAACTGCACGTACCACCATGGAGGGACGGACACGTCCAATTTTCTGAACTTGCTATGTAGCTAGCGTCGTTCCGTTCCGTCCTTTTTACACCGGCCGTTGATCATGAAAGTCCATTCTTTGCATGCAGCTACGTGCCGGGATGGGATGGGATAAGGCAAGGGCAGTTTGGGACCAAACTTTTTCGGTACGATATGATCTGATAGGTGATTTCGATAAACTTCCCCACTTTCCCACTCGATAGGACCAGTGAACTATTTTTCTACAGAACCCCTCCTCCATCTATCCGCGGAATCTTGGTTCTTTTTGCTTTGCACGGTATGAGTTTGAAACCCAACTAGAAAAAAGGCGTCCCCAACAAAATCGTCTTTCGTTTCGAATCATTCACTGTTCCAAACTCCCCACACTTCAAAAAGTGCCATCTATCCATACGATAAAAAACTTCATCCATACGCCCAAATAAACAGTTAATATGAACCCGCGAGTACTTCTCCGCTCTTCGCAGCATCCTTCATCAGCAACTGGAGCTCATCCATCCCAGCCAGCTCGACAAATATTCCGGTCTTCAGTATCGCAGTCATTAGTGCATCGATTACTACAAAGTGGATCTGGCGGCCGTGGAGGGACTAGTCCGAGTGTACAGTTTCAGAACTCGTTTTTATTTGCAAGTGCTGCTGGACCAAAGGCGAGACGAAAAATAAATCACCCAAGCGCACCGAAACAAAGAGCTGGAGAAAAGAACGATGTTGAATGTAGGATTAAAGATAAAGATGGGGTGGATGGTGGTAGTGGGAAGGTGGTGAAAATAGATGAAAAGAAAGAAGAGAAATCAGCATCAATATTAGTGGAAACTCCTGAAAAAGAGCAGTTGCCGCTATATCCTCAAAAGACCCTAAGTGTGGATGTCAAAGGTACTTTCACCCTCGAGTCCTTACTCACGCCCAGCTCTCTGCTAACTGTCATCTTAGGAGAACTCCTTGCCGCACCCCTCATCACGCTGAAGCTCCCCGTTCACAATAATGAATACGTTGTCCTACTCGTCAACCCCAAGAATACCTTATCGGCTCTTTCGAGACTCATCCAAGCCGAGCTACCACCCCTCGCATCCGACCCATCTAAGGCACCAAGAGTTACATTCAAAGCACCCGAATACAGTCGTATTGGTTCTGTTAGGCATAGATCTACCCGATGGGGCTCATCGATTGAGGTTGGAAATTTCGTAAAAGATGCAGTGAGGGAGAAAGAGTTTATAATAGAAATTGAAGACGCGGAGGATATAGTCATTTCTGTCCCTTCTTTTCTGGAACGCAGTCAGACCACTCGGGATCAGTTGAGAAAAACGACTAAGGAGATTGAGATTATGGGAAGGCTACGAGAGCAGTGCGATAAGGCTTTGAGAAACAGAGTGAATATGGCGATAGTTGGGATGGTGGGGTGGTTGGTGGGCGTTTATTCCCTTATGCTTAACAGTGGCTTCTTGGTGTGTTTTCCTGGTTTCAAGTGTGGTTATGGGATATTGCTAACGCCAGGACAGTGGAGTGTGGCTCCGAATGTGATATTCGCTACTCTTTGGACGACGGTAGCTTCATGGCTATATTTTGGAATGTTCGGACCGACCACAAGCGAGAACCGGCAAAGGAAGTTATATGAAAGCCGCGGATTCAATCAAGAACAATGGGCCAGGCTCGTGGATGCGGGTAGGATTCTGAGTAAAGAGGTATTAGACATTGCAGAGCAGTACGGCGAAAAATGGGACGAAAAGAGGGATTTAATCATGAGCTGATGGGAGATCGGTTATGTGATGCGTGTATGGCAGGGAGTATAGGCGCTGTGGGAGACGAAAAGAGAGGACACGACTTTATTAAAATTCTGGCTGGTAAGGATGGGGCGTACATATGTTTGCTTTGCTTTACGGTGTTTGTAGCGGTGCAAGGGCTTTCATTTGCATTTTTCGTTTGGAAATCGGATGCGTGTTGGATGAATCATTGGGCTCACGGGGTATTTCCTTGGTCTTGGGTTATTTTCGTTTGGATCTTTACGTGATATGAGGATTCCGGTCTTTGTTCATGTGATTATAAGAAAATATATGAATATGAACAATGTTCACTTCCCGGTGGCTCTATACTGTATAACTTGAAGGTCTAATTAATCTGTCATTAGTAGCAGAGGATATCATTATCGAATCAAGGGTTCTATGGGTCATTATTTCTCGGTAATAGCATTTATCATATGTCTATTTAGTTTATACATCTGTTGCACACCTTTCTTTGGTATAAATGCGGAGTCAAATCCCCCTTAGCTTTATGTAGCCAACACGATCAACTACTACAAATTCTTATATGAGCACGTAGATTAACAACCACACAAACATGTTTAATGGAAGCTTAAAAGTGATAAAGTGTACTTGGTAGCTATAGTTGTGTGTGGTTTAGAGTAATAAACTTTCTTTGTGATGTACTTGGTCCGGTCGACCTCGGGCTCATAACCTAGAGAGATACGTGAAGTAATTGATCGTATATTTAGCTTCCATTACAGACCTGTGGGGGGTGCGAATGCCGTGAATGACATATGGGAACATAAATTTGGTCAATCCGGAGCTAGCTAACGAATACTGTACTTGCTAGCTTTAAACGGGATTAGATATCATTTTCCAAAATGAATTTTGACCGGACACAGTGTCAGACCAATAGTACGGTACGAATGGGGATTTTTACCGGCCAGGCACCACTCCCGAGATCTAGATATTTATCCTAAAATTGTTAAAACCAACCCCCCGTAAAGACATCCTCATTTGAACTTAGTACTAAGTACCCAGGCGATTTATTCCTGGCTCTGGTTATTACCAAATCTCTAATCGGGTTAGACCCCAGCAGTTATCCTTGGCACCTGCGGTGGTCTTGGCGTCGTGCCAAGTAACATTGCCAGACAAAAACACACATGGGCGGGTGGTCTAATGGCTATCACTCGCCCCCCGGAACACCGTGTGGTTGTGCCTGGCCTTTGAACGTCTATAGAAGGTCCACGGTTCAATCCAGGGGTGGGAGTAGTAGATTTCGGTCCGGCGAAATCTGCAGTACTTTTTGTTCTTTTTTTTTTGCCTTTTTTTATTTATAGCTGATACAGGAAAACTGTATTTTTCAGTGCCTATTATACAGAGGATACCCCGGTGGTCAGTGTTGGTAAAGACGGGTGCTACAGAGTGGATATCAGGTTGGCCCACGGTTGGAGCAAAATGGACAAAAATCAAGTATGTAGATATTTTACGTTTTATGTATGTAGGTCACGACTTATTACCACTCTACCTTTTAGAGCGTTTGTGTAGGCTCCCTGACACACCGTGTACATTTCATATGTCTCGTAGGCAGACTGCAGTAGTGAGGGCGCGGGGTGTAACTAGAGTCGGGGTTATCGAATTAAAACTTCTGTATTGCTGTGTAGGAAAGATATGATTTCCATTAGATATCTACCTTTCCTCTTACGACTATAACGTCGTTGTTTTTGTTTGGTTGACCGATTGGTATATAATGCAACCCACTCCTAAATTGCCAGCGCCCGACCCTCCCTGAATCTCCAGCATCACAGTACCTCAAGATCTGAGTCCATACGGACATCCGTCCCGGCCCACAAAACCAGTATAGCCAGTAATACAAACATCAAAGCTCGGTTATTTACTCAAATTTCAGGAACGTACCTAGTTTTTTTTTTAATGCTTTCAACCAACCACACCATTAATTGCAATTCCGTGAGATCATGCCCAATCACTCGGTGCCAATAGTTACCCGGAAATGGCGGCTGTTTTAGGCGCGGACGACAGATCTGCGCGCAGACTGGGTGCTGGATGGTTTATAATTTGTGGTGTTGTTGGTGTTTCAATTGGTTTCAATTGGTGTCGCTGTCGGTGTTTGACCTGGAGTTCAGTACGCTGGGGGGGTGGGACACCGAGTAATATTGTGCCTGTCATATTAATTAGGCCTGAGACTTCATTCTGGGATATAATACTTACCGTCCTCTCCCCCGATACTCAACAGGTGCCGATCCCACAAACCTCTACCTCCACCCAATTCCAACCAGCAGCAATGTCCCCCTCACGAGGCCCCCTCCTCCGCCACCGCCACCTCCACCTCCGCACCCCCCACCACTCCCGCCCGCTCAGCACCCTCCGCACCCTCCTCCCCACCACCACCCGCCTCCAAATCTACCTCTCCACCTCCACCACCCCCGCCACCAACCTCTCCCTAGAACACCACCTCCTCACCGCCTCCCACCCGTCCACAACCCTCCTCCTCCTCTACACAAACACCCCCTCCATCATCCTCGGCCGCAACCAGAACCCATGGCTCGAAGCAAACCTGTCCCTCCTTGGCACCTCCACCACAACACCAACCCTACTCCGACGCCGCTCCGGCGGCGGAACAGTCTTCCATGACCTCGGAAACGTAAACTACTCCGTCACCATGCCGACAGCCGTGTTCGACCGCGACCGGCACGCGCTTGTGGTAGTGCGCGCGCTGCGGCGCCTGGGCGCCGCAGAGGCTGCTGTCAACAAGCGGCATGACATTGTGCTGCTTCCTGCTGGCGCCGGGGTTGAGGGTGAGAAGCTGGCCGGGGATGCGCCGGAGGGGACGCGGAAGGTGAGTGGTAGTGCGTACAAGCTGACGCGGGCGCGGAGCTACCATCACGGGACGATGCTGCTGAGCGCGGCGCTGGGGGAGGTGGGTGTGTGGTTGCGGGGTGTTGCGGGGGCGTGGGTGAGTGGGAGGGGGTGGGGAGTGTAAGGAGTGCGGTGGCGAATGTGGGCGTGGGGAGGGAGGCGTTTGTGCGTGGTGTGGTGGAGGAGATGGGGAGGGAGTATTTTGGGGAGCGGGGGGTGGGGTTGGTGAGGAGGGCAATGGAGGGGGAGCTGGCGGGGGAGGTGGGCGTGTGTTATGTGAGTGAGGAAGAGGCGCTGGCGGTGAGCGAGATCAGGAAGGGCGCGGAGGAGCTGAAGGTTTGTTTGCAGCTTCTGTTCGTTCTGTGGGTCGAGGCTGTGCTAACTGTATAATAGTCAGCGCAATGGACATACGGCCAGACCCCGCAGCTCACGTTCTCTGTGCCGGCACCAGAGGGGGCCTCAGAGGTGCCCGAAGGCGCCCCGCAGCCGCCGGAGGGCGTGTGGTTCAGCATCACGGCGAACAAAGGTGTGGTGGAGAAGGTGGAGTCGGACTTGGAGTGCATGCAGGGCTTGGTGGGGCTTCGATTTGACGGCGGGGTGATTAATGACTACATCAGCACGTTCGGGGATGCGCCGGAGGGCCTGGGCGAGTGGGTTGAGGGCGTGTTGGGGAGGACGGAGTGGGGGAAGGGTGCGGAGTAGATGGGTGCGGGAAGATACGGTCATTGACACCGCCCGCAGTAGTAGTAGATAGTGTTTAGAAAGTGGGGGCTAATCATTGACCTCCCCGCTTGAACCAAGCGTAGTAATTACAAGAATTAGAAAAAGGGGGGGGGGGAAGAGTAGATTTATTTTTATCGAATAAGACTATAGAGAAAGAAAGAACTTTTTTGAACAATTAACGCCTTCTCTAACTATGCATATCTTACAGTTCCTCCTGAGCCTGTATCCTCTTGATCGCCTTCTGCAGCCCCTTGTGCCCCTTGTACTTCAGCAGCGCCCTCTCCGCAACCTCGACCGCCGCCGCCGCCTTCCCCCTCATCTTCATAGTCTCCACCCAGCGCATATACAGCTCCACCGAGGCCTCATCCGCCGCCTCCGCCGCCTTAAAGTACTTCACAAGCGTCCCAAACATGACCGTCTTCACACCCTCATCCGCGCCCTCCTCCTCCATCGCACTCTTCAGCAGCCCCACCATGAACGTCGCAAACCTCTCATACAGCACCCCCCTGGGCACGGCCTTCTCCGCCGCCTCCCGCATATTATCCAGCACCGTCCCTAGTCGCGCCGGAAAGATCGGGTTCGCAACCGACACGCCCACAACCGGTAGCTGCACCCCCAGCATCAACATCTCAGCATCTGTCGGCGCAACATCAAGCACATGCACCACCACGCGCTCCAGCAGCGCCCCACGACAATGCAGCGTCTCGAAGCCCATCACCAGGTCCCAAAAGCCCCTCACGAACGCCATGTCCCCGGGAAACTCCTTCACCGCAGCATCAAAGATCGCGCCGACAACCGCGCCATTGAGCGCCGGGTTCGTTGCAATGTCCTCCAGCGCCGCCGCATCAACAAGATGGTCCTTCCGCGGCTTCCCGCTCAGCTCGTCCGCGCTCACAGTCGGCAGCTTGATCTCGTCGTCGTCCAAGTCCATCGCCGCCTCTGCCTCTGCCTCCGCCTGCTTCTGCTCCTCGTCAGATGGCGCCGGCGCACCATCAATCCCCAGCATCCTCCGCCTCGCAAGCACCTTCGCCACAAACACCAACTCCAGCTTCGCATACTCCCACCACAGCTCGCGACTGCCCTTACAAAACCTCAGCCCGCGCTGCATATGCCCCCTCGCCTCCGTCACGTCCGCATTCACCTCGACGGCATGCCTCGCCGCAAAGATCCACAGCTCCGGCTTCGCCGGATGCAGCTTCAGCACGCTCGCAAACACCTTGGCCAGCACCTTGCTGCTGCGCTCCTTGCGCGCGTACGCAATGTACTGCATCCACAGCCCCAGGTCGCCCGGGAAGCGCCGGGTTGCGCGGTCGAGCAGGAAGAAGATGCGGCGCTGCCCGGCGTGGGAGCGCGAATTGACGCCGAGGCGGGTTTGCCGCTTGCGGCGGAGGGAGTCGAGGTTCATTTCGTATTCGGCGTAGCGGGTGAAGTCGGTGGGCTTGGGGGCGGGCGAGTTGATGCGGTGCTCGAACTCGGAGCGCTTTTTGGTGATTGCGGAGATTTCTTCCTGGTGGTGGGTGAGTTGGAGTTAGAGACTGTCTGTGCTGGTGAGGGTAAGAGTGCAATTGGGGGAAGAAGAGGGAAGGGAGAGAGGAAGGTACTTTTGTGAAGATCTTCTTCTTTTCGAGCTCTTGCAGTTCTGGGATGGACTGCTCCAGGTAGAAGCGGGATTTGTCGGCCATTGTTGTAGATTGTGGTGGGTTTGGTGGGGAGAGCTGTGGTGGGGAGGTGTCGATGTTTTGAGGCTCTGGAATCTTTTTTCTTCCAATATGCACGCCGACAGCGCTTGCACAAACAGGGACTAGGCTGGCTGACAGGGCTTATCTTATCAGAAAACCTAACCCTTGCCTTCAATCAGGCACGGTGTCTCACTCGGTCGTGAGATACGTACGCCATCGTCATCGTTCTCAAACCGTTAGAGTGACAATTCCTGAGAGTGTTCTGTCCGTATCAACTCGATCCTACAACGCCCGCTTGAATGACAAAAACCAATCTCTATAGACACCTGCCCTCATTGCACAATAGACATTATACTACGATACCCGAGCACTGACCCTTGTGTGCAGACAGGCGTACACTTAAATACCATTGACCCTCAGCAGCTCTAGCAAAATCGTATGCAGATGGGTACCGCTTGACCACGTTCCCCGGTCTACCATGCTGCAATATGTGTGACGGCAGAGCGTATATGAGCGCACAACTTACCATTTAAACAGTCCCGAAATCGTTCTCCCCTTCTGCCCCACTTTGCCACGTTCTCTCACTTCTCAATCCCCCCCCCTCATCGCAATTCCGCTGCCTCTCACCGGGAAAATTATCGTGCTCAATCAAAGTTCAATCGTGAGTTCTGTCTAATGATTCTCCGGCTTGTCAAAGAAGAATGCCGACTGACTTGATTTGATAGAACATGTCTTCTCGCCTACTCCGCCCCAGAGTGGCGCCCATCTCCTATAAATATCCCCCTGCTTTTCAGAGAAATTCAAGTCTGTTGGCTGCTCAAATAAGGAGTGTTCAGCTCTCCTCCGTAGGTTTTCGCCCCTCCAGTTTTATTTTATCGATGAATTCTGTTGCCCCATGAAGCCTTTCGCTTGACGAGCTTTTCCCCGATGAAATTGCCCCTGATGGTTCAAGTCTACTTCTCTATCGTTTCATCTCTAGGAGTACATCTTCTCCATCAATCCCCTCCCGAGTCCCTTCCTTATAGGATCCCTTTACTTGTGGATCCCTTTCATTGAGGAACCACCCCACTTCCTGATTCAGTACCGGAGGAGTTCTTTCTCCTAGCTCTCCTCCTCCTCCTCAATGAGGGATTTTCTATTAAAAATCTTACTATAGCAGTACGCAATGATAACCACTAACGCCGCTCGTTATTATAGAGAGACGATAAACTCACTTCTCCCACTGCTCCGGACCGCACGATGGCATCCATTGATGATTTTATATCTCCTGAGCTCTCCGGAGCCTCCGAGACTGAGGATCTCGCGTCTTCCGGAAAAGAGGCTCCCCCTCCTAAAAAGGCTAAACTGGCAAAGGAAAAGAAGACGCCCACAAAGAGAGCCAAAAAGGTCAAAGATGATGACCACGATGGCACTGAGGGTAGTACTCTGAAACAAAAATCTCCAAAGAAATTGCAAAGGAAGCCGAAGTCTCTTAAGTTTGTCTCCGGCGAGACTCCTTATCCCGATCTCATCAATCCTACCCCCCAAGAATGTTACGATGTGGCCGCTCTGTTGACTGCCGCTCATGGCCCGGCTAACCAGCCAGAGGAGGTCCCAGAGCCTGATAACGAGGTTTCGGGATGCGGCGAGGTTCCGTCCGTTCTTGACGCTCTCATCAGGACTTTGTTGTCTGCCAACACCACTAATCTCAATTCCTCGAGGGCTTTCAAGGGCCTCATTGATAGATTTGGGTTGGTGACCGATGATCCCGTCGTGATTTCTGAAGATGCCCAAATATCCGAGCATGAAGCCGGCCAGCAGATAATTGCAAAGGCTAAGAAAATCGGTGTTGGTAGTGTCGATTGGGACAAAGTCCGCCTGGCAAGCTTCGAGGATCTTAGGGATTCAATTAAGCAAGGAGGTCTTGCAAACATTAAGGCTAAGCACATCAAGGATGTTCTAGACGATGTCTATGCGGCTAGTCTGGTTAAGATCCGAGCTGACCTCAAAGCTCAAGGTATCGAAGTCGGCGAAGACGAAAAGCTCGAGGGTAACATCTCGCTCGAGCATTTGAAGGACTGTAGTGATGATGAAGCCATGAATACACTCATGGCTTTCAACGGAGTTGGAGTAAAGACTGCGGCTTGCGTTTGTTTGTTCTGTATGTGTCCACCTTCCTCGTAGCCCCCAAAAAACAATTTCTAACATGCCTTGTATAGGCTTACGCAGATCAAAGTTCCCCGTCGATACCCATGTCTGGCGCATCTCCAAGTTTCTTGGGTGGATCCCCAATAGCGCTGGCCGCGAAGAGGCCTACTATCACCTCGATGCTCGTATCCCAGACAACCTCAAATACTCACTGCATAACCTTCTCATTCGCCACGGCCGCATGTGTGCTCACTGCAAGGCTGGCCCTGAGAAGGCCCCCGCCAAAACCCCTGCCAACCCCACCGTTAAGCGTACCAAAAAGAACAAGCCTGAAGTTATTAACGCCGATACTGAGAGCACTGAGATTGAAGTCACCAAGCCTAAGATGCGCACTAAGAAAGTTTGGATTGGGACTGGAATGATGAAGGAGGTCATCGTCGAGGTCCCTATTACCGGTCTTGAGGGTGAAGAGGGCGGCGAGGACCAAGAGCTTGAATCTTGTGTCTTGGAGAATTTGCTCAACCGTGTTCGCAAGCCTAGAGTTCGTGCGGTCAAAACCGAGACTGATGCCGCGGATGAGATTAATACCGGCAACGAGGTTGATTCCGGCAATGAGGTGGGTGCCGAGCATGAGGTTGAGGTTGATGCTGGGTATGAGATTGACGCCGAGCATGAAATTGTGGATGAGGGTGAGGATGTAAAAATGGAGGAATAGATTTGGGTGATGGCGGTAACGGAAACTTTCTTCTTATGTGCTGCCATTTGTCCATTTAGTTACTGCTCTTTCTGTTCTTTTTCTTTTCTTTTCTGTCTATACTGCCATTTAGTAGTCGACATGTTTCAGGGGATTGGGATTTCTTTAGGGATGTTGTAGCTTTTCAATTTTCTGCTAGACTAGTGTTAGCTGCATAGCTGTGTGAGATCTAAGAAGATAGATACTCTACCTTGATGATATGCGGTTTTTTTTGCTTTGCGTGAGTGATGGATCTTGATAGAATGGGCTGATGTAGAAGCTTCGAGGCAAGATGTGAATACGATTTCATGTTCCCGGCTTGTTCGATGGAGTAAAAGGTGGCTCTAAACGAACACACCGAAACATATGGGCATATTACCTTGATTACAAGGTTGCCGCACGCAGCAACAGCTATAACCAGATAGACTCCTATACCACAACACCGGAACAACCGCCTGCAATCGCATAATGTTTCATTTTCACTTTCCTGACTTTGAATGGGAATTCTTCGCTTGTCATACGATTCTAATCCGAATTAAACAAAGGAAGGTGGGGGGGGGGAAACGCGATTCTAATCAAGGATAAGACCAACCGAGTGATTATCCATGATTCAACTGAAAATACCATGAGCATGTGTTAATGTTAAGAGTATACACTGGATACTTAAATTATTGACCTGATTGAACAGACCTCACCACTCTGGATCTATATTCGGGGACGAAGGTTGCAGCACTAGTCCAGACAGCCCGGGATTTTTGACATACTAGCTTAGGCGAAGAGCTATGTACAAAACTACAATTTACCTAAGCTTAGCTAGATCTCCTACTTACTACCGAATTCCTTTCACAGCAAATTTAAAAACTTCTGAGTATCAGTCTCGAAGGTTTACACGTCAACTTTCAATAGATTTGTTTTCGAATGGCAAAATATTGGGACGTCTTAGGGGACAGGGTCGATCAGGTTTGATTACCGAATCTAAGTGAGATTATGAGCAGCATTTCACATGAAGTTTACGGTAGATCTAGAAGAATTCGAAACAAAAGAGCATCCACGCGCTAGCTTATACCAGACCAGAGTTACAATAATATTATATACAGTTAAACAAAGACGACAGCTTCTTTAAACCTATTCAGCGACGATAACACTCGCCATTCCCATTCCTGTCCCAATACACATACTAGTAACTCCGATCTTTCCACCTGTTCTCTTTAACTCCGTTAACAGGGTGCTAACCTGTCTCGCACCTGTACACCCAAGCGGATGTCCGAAAGCGATAGCACCTCCCTTAGGGTTAATCTTCTTCGGGTCCAAACCGAGCTCGTTCGCGCACCACAAACACTGACTCGCGAACGCCTCGTTAATCTCGAAGATATCGACATCTTCCTTCGTGATCCCTGTTTTCGCAAACACCTTCGGGATGGCGGCCCATGGCCCAATTCCCATCAACAGTGGCTCAACACCAGCAATAGAAGCAGCAACGAATTTTCCGATAATCTTCTGTCCAAGCTTCTCGGCAGTCGACCTACGCATCAGAAGGACTGCAGCAGCGCCATCAGTGATTTGCGACGCGTTCCCGGCATGGATGGACCCATCCTTAGCGAACGCGGGGCGGATCTTGGAAAGACCTTCAGCGGTCATACCAGGGCGGATTCCGTCATCGCGGGAGACGGTGATGCGCTTCACTTCGTTGGTCTTGGGGTCCTCGAAGTTGACTTCGAGAGGGTAGATCTCCTCGTCGAAGAGACCGGCCTTTTGGGCAGCTTCGGCTTTCTGGAAAGACTGGGCGGCAAATGCGTCTTGTGCTGTGCGTGGGATTTTACGGTCCTTAGCCATTTGTTCAGAAAGAACTCCCATAGGAACCTTGCAGTTCTTGGCTTCTGGGTGGGATTCGAGGAGCTCCGAGAACTCAGTCACAGCACCAGGGCTATTAAAGGGTTGTCAGTTAATGTTCCACAAAGCTACATGAGAGAGCAGGGAGAAAATACCCATATTGGGTGCTCATAGACTCAACACCTGCACCAACTCCAACTTCAATCATCCCCGACTTGATCGCGTTAACCACATTCACGACCGCCTGTAGTCCACTCGCACACTGTCTGTTTAATCCATACACTGCGGTTTGTACGGGAAACCCTGCCACCAAGCTGGCAGCACGAAACTCAGTCGCACCACCACCAGGTGCGAGAACAGATCCAACATGGATGTCCTCGACGAGGCTCGGATCGATTCCTGAGCGTTCAATCAAGCCCTTGAGGACTCCTGCAAGGAGGTCTTGAGCTGGCGTATCTTTGAAGGATCCTTTCCCTCCTTTGCACAGGGCAGTTCGTAGCGCACATGTTATTACAACGTCATCGGCGTGCTTCTCTGCCAGGCGGTCGCGGGGAGAGGCGGTGCTTGGGAGAATCTGATTGGTGATCTGGGTTAGACGAGCTGTGGCTTCTTGGTATTAGCTATGGAGTGCACCTTGGGTAGAAGCACATGTGATACATACCTGACATGGTTGGATTATAAATCTAAGGTTTCGTGAGAGAGCTGTTACGGGAGGTTCTTTCGGGGGGGGGGGGGTCTTTGTATGTGTATCTTTGAGCAGGAGAGGGATGTGAGATAGAGTGGAGGAGAAAGGCCGAAAGAGGGGAGGAGTGAGTTGAAATAAGAACGAGTGCTGGTCTGGGAGTGTCATTTTGCATGTGATGCCAACGGGCTGAAGCCAGCTCGCCAAGGTCCTTGTACGCATGTGAAGATGTTTAACTCTCGTGATCCCGTGATCATGGACGTGTGAGCCGAGGCCCAAACCGGTGGCCGAGGCCTCGAAACGGAGTAAGCCGATAATCAGGATACTGGATTCCAGCGCGTGTTTCCTGGTTGTGGATCATTGCCCTATGTTGTAGTTCCAAGGTTAGGGCTGGGTATTGGTTTATTCATTAGCTATCACTCGGATTGAGAGACAAAAAAAGAAATCGACAATAGCGGTTTGAAAATCGTTTATTATTCCAGATCTGACTAGAACCTAGGTAACCAATAACAAAATTATCTTGGATCTGCACTAGAAATAACACCAGCCGGACCCAGTATTTTTTATCAGAGGACTGAAATCCCATTCAATCTAGGCAAATGTTGTCTATTCCTGCGGGTAGCTCGCTGCTCGCTGTGCGGACCTCTGGTCTTTTGGGTCAGTTTTGTGTGTGGAAGTTACCCATTTACATTTAGGTCGGGAACCTCACAAGTACGAATTGACAGGGAAAACATGCTTGCAATTGGTTTATATACCGAACTGTGTGCATGTAGCATCACCGCACACGCATATTGAAATTGTAACGCGATAATGCACGCATATAGTATCTTGAATTTTGCATAGTCATACCAGTACTACGTGTATAAACAAGTGTGTTCAATATACGTATCCTCGCGATCCGTGAATGAGTGGGACGTTGGTTGTGTGTATCTGTGTGTTATTTGGCGCGTCCATTATATATATATGGTATACAACTCATGATTTTAAGCCGAAAAGTAAGAAGCTGAAACGATGAAAACGAGCTCTCTGGCCAGTGGTAGCAGATGATGCTCTCTTGCCGTCTAGGATCACTAAACATCACTCGAGTTCTTCCTACAACACATCGGTCATGTAGTTTCGGAACATGTGACTAAATATGTTCTAAATACAGCACCTGGGCCGTGCGTTTGACGTCGTTCAATTAAGGTGTTCCTATCCCTGCAGACCGCCTGATAATACCACCAAGACGCATTCATTTTTCTTTTGGGTTGGTTGCATTCCTATCGTAGGGTTAGGGGTGACCAGATACAAACGTTGTGAACCCCTTGTACACTTGTTCCAATCACAGGCTGTAAGGGGCCTTTTCGTGGTAATTGTTCGGATCTTATCACTCAGTGAACGATGCACGGAGAAGACGATAAGATGAGGATGTTAAGGCAACAGATGATGCGTCAACCAACCACGGAGCCATAAACAAAATAATTGATTTGCAAGAAAGAGGAAAAGAAACCAAACCCAAAACCATGCATACATAACCCATGGTAAAGAATCATCCGAAAAAGTACACAACACCGTAAAAGCAGCAAAGTAATAAGTGTCATGAAAAGAAAAAAAAGAAAAGAAAGAAAAAACGGAAAAAGCACCCCCAACGAAACATGCACCCCAGCCTGTGAGTGGCTGCCCCCATGGCTTAGATCAAGTTACATATAATCACGCAGCAACAGTCTTTGGGAAAAGGATTTCCCGATGAGCTCAGCCTTGGCCGTCCAGTGTCTGTTTCCCATTACTGACGATTCGCTCCCGTCGATCATGCTGGCGTTCCGGCAGCCATCCTGTTGGGACCGGGCTGCTTGCCCTCATTGAGGGAAAAGTTCCGACAAAACAAATAAGCGCGCATCGCGGCAGCTTCGCGTGCAAGGACCTCGGTGTCAAGGACTGATTGCGACTGGTATTCTCGCCCATTGACACGCACAGTGCATGTGAACCCGGTGGGGTACTGGTAGGACTCGTAGTGCGGGTCCGACCAGCGACGACGTCGGCAAAGACCTATGAGAGAAAACAACGTCAATATAAGGCTTTGGGGCTGGAGATTGGTGGGGATAAATAAGCTTTATGCAGCTAACATGCTTGACACCGATGACCTTGAAAGACGAATTCTAAGGAATACAATAAACCTACTTGAGAGATATAGGATGTAGTACATTGCGGCTGTAGAACTAAGGGCTTAACGGCGCTGTTTGCGAGATTCTCTGAACCGACTCAATGTGTGGTAGAGCTCGGAGTGAATCGAATCGAAGGTGCCTGAATAGAAGAGATGCAGACTGCAAATCACAGACACTCCCTTCAAATTGATTTATGAACTCAATTGATGGTAAGGCTGAAACCTCTTGACCTCTTTCTGCCAATCGATGCTTTGGGGGCTTGATGTGTGAGAATTGATCCTTTCGGCTCCGGAACGATTCTGCACAGAGCTGGCGGGGTATTGAAAGAGGCGGGATCTTAGAAAAGATAACTCTTATCGATTCTAGAGGGACCGGGCAGAGTATGACGGGGATGGGTGGTCATTCTACCTCATCCAGGGAGAATACGGCAGCGGTATTATACTGTTCGTATGTGCGGGGGAGAGTCTCTCGTATCCAGCTCAGTCATAGTGGGGAGCTGGATGATGGGAAAAGGGAAGGCAAAAAAATTAATAATTCAAAGACGAATGGGAGTGCGAGATGAGCCGAGTATGTTGATGCGTTGAACGTGTAAGGTATCTCTGATCGAATGATACCTAAGTGTGCCACCATCGTGTCAACAAACCCCCCCATTCCACCCTGGCCTGTGATTTCCTATCATCGATAGCATGCAAATCTCTCTCGTGACGCTTCTTTCCCGTTCGCTTTGCTTTTCTACGTCAGCGGAAGCGGGAGAGGAGGTCTCAGAAAAGGTGAGGTTCTAGGATCTTTTTTTTTTTTTTTTTTGTATGTATGTAACCAAAACCAAAACGAAAACCGCAGAAACTGCTCGGGTGAGATAGCGATATTGAGACTTACTAACCTTCTCATGCCATGCCGGCTACTCAAGGTCGCTCCTAGTACCTCAATATGCAATTTGCTGTTCCGAAAAAAACATTCTGAAGAACTGAAACTGATAGGAAGAGAAGAGCATCCATCTTCCCCCCATGTCTATACTGCAGATGTAGACTTAACAAATCACTATCTTCTTGCCCAGCCGTTGGACGTGTCGCAATTGATACCCCAGAGAGATATGTGTTGAAGCGGGAAACTCAAATATACTGGCGTGGTGATCGATTCGTTCGATTGATGCTTGCCGCATTGCACGTATGAACCGCATCAGCATCAACAACAACCTTCACCTTCGCCTTGAACCAAGCATATTGCATGTGCTCTATGCCACGGCCCATGGATAGCCGAAGGTTTCCTAGAGTAGATGTAGTTCGTGTTGTTATTTCGATAAGTCTCTGTTCTAGAGAACGAGGCTTGAGGACCCCAAAGGGTTGACAGGAACAGAGGATAGCCAGCGTATCCATAAGCTTTCGGAAACGAAATTGAATGTTTTACATATTGGACCCACCGGTTGCCTTACCGAAGCCCTTCTGTGTTCCATGTGGCAGAGCTAAGAAAGATGATTATCGAATCTGAGATGGAAGCTTCCAATTGACAATATAGGCAGAAACAAATTAATAGACGATGATGATGGATGCACTGATGCGCTGGCATGATGGATGACCGTTCGTTTTTTTTTCCTTCCCATACTTAGTTGCCTGCACGAAAAGGAGATGTACAACAAGGCTCTACTCTACGTGGGGAAGAAGCGCGCAGGCAGTGTAGATGATCGACGAAGTCGTCAACATTGCACTAGAACCTAGAAAAATGCTTGCACAACGGGGATTTGCAAATCGAGTCTTACCCAGATTGCTTTTCACATCATTGACCTGATGAAAAGAGCCAGGGGTCGAACGCCAAACGCCACCCTTGCCATTTTTCCGTCCGGAAACGACAACGGAGGCCAGATGGGGGCATTTCACTAAATTCTGTCCAGAGACTATGTCAGAATCACTCGCATACGTGAACGTACCAGATTCGTTGCGCTTGGAGCATGCAGGAGGGCTGATGAACAGGTGTTCGTTTGCAAACTGGACTGGGTCTAAGAGAGATTGTGATATCTTGGGTGTCTTGTCGACGGATACTGGAGAGCAGGAGCTAACGTTGAAGTCTGGAGGAATCCGGGGGTTCCTGGGGTACATATGATTCGTCGTCTGCACGGAAGATGTGCTGCAAGCTAGACGTCTGGATCCATGGAGGGGTATGAGTACTAATGCAATTCGTCCACACTCACTCTAGAATTGACGAATAGATGCATGATAGTGCGGTGTGTGGTGCCTTTAGGGGCAACAAGTGATCTTTGCGATATTTCTAAGAATATCCTGTTAAGGAAAGTCGATTATAAACGTGTAAAATAAAAAATAAAAATACAGGATTGGCTCGTATAATCTACCATGGAATAGTCGAGTATGTAGCAAGTGGGAGAAATAGTCGCAAGTACTTTTGGATCGCGTACCTGTGCCAGTACGCGCAGTGCAGGACGGGGAGAGGATGGTTTTCTGCTATTGGGATAGCGCCGGAAGATAAGTAGCGATCTACCTATTCTATCAAAGGGCATCGGTGAAGTCGGGAGGAAATACATAGAGTGTAAAGTATGTAGTTACAGAGCTAGTACTACGATAGCTATAGAGAGCGTATCTAGAAAATAACTGATATTACATCATGCATCTTGGGGGAATTGGTTTAAGTACTGTAATAATTGGCCCTAAATTTTCTTGTCGCCCTCCTGATCTATCTCATATATGCACGAAGTCTTAAGATAAAATGAAATATGACAAGCTGCTAAGTAAATTACTTCCCTATCCCCCTCCTCTCTTTAACTCTGGAAGCGCCAAAAAAAACAAAAAAAACACTGGAGTATACGTACGCAAAGAAAGAAAAAGGGGCGACTAAGTAAGCATTTAAAGAAAGAGTAAAATAAAAATCGTCACTAAAAGGAAACGAGATAGAAAAAAGGAATGAGAAACAGTAAGTGAAGTGTATAAATATTCGCAACAGGCACGAGACGCATGCTGCCGATTAACCCAAGGGAAAAAGGTAATAGAAAAAGAAAACCAGGTCTCGCACATTAAGATCCGTTCCAATATCCCGTGTTATGCACGGCGAAGAGACCCCTCGCATGCAAGTTGCCATGATTGTCCCTCCTACCCCACAATTCAGCCCTGTCAGCGGAATGGATGGACGTTGGAAACGAGACTCTAGTTCCTGTTCGACCTTCAGGTGTTGTTGTTCAAGGCCTCGAAGGCTTTTTTCGCAGCCCTTTCTTTGGCGTTCTCTTCGGCCTTGTACACATAGCTGGTCTCGTAGTCTGTCTCTCCTACGCTAACAACGCAAGAATACCATGATTGACCAAAGTGCGTTGCTGATGGTGACGCGTTTCCTCCTGCATCTGCACTACTAGGGCTGCGGCCCATGGGTATACTCCCGCCGCTATGCTCAAAGACTTCGTAAGTAGGATTCGGGAGGGATTTGGTTGTGCATAGCTCTGTGGCACCGCAAGCATGTGAGCATAGTTCAAAGAATACGAAAATTCTGGAGATCAAACAAAAGTGTCTTTGGGGATGTGGTAGAACGCCCGGATAATAGTTAGTACGTTGAGGATGAACCCACCTTGCAGATGTGACTGCCAGTATGTTCTCGTGTGTGAAACCGCCATCCTGTACTTGATGTTGCTAAATATCACCAGGTTTATGTGGGCTTGCCGCTCTGATATCCGCAATACAAGCAAAAAAACTAGTTGAACGACTTTTTTTATGTGGGAGATTCAAAGTCTTTTTGGCTTTCACTTGTTTCTGGCTACTGGAAAGAAAATGCCTCTGCTTCTGTGCCGTTCACAATTACAGCAGTTGCGCCCGCAAGAAAAGCCTGTTGAACTAGTGTCGGGGAGAGCGAGGGGGAGAAGGGAGCGAGATGGATCGGCGATCAAAGCAGGTCTGAGTTCGGCTTTTACTCGACGATTAGCTGTACTGTTGATATTTGGCTCAAGACAGATCAATCTTGAATTATCAAAATCGAGAAGAAGCTCGGACACAGCTTCCCAACCTTAAATCACCAAAGACTGGAATGTATCAGACAGTACCTCACATGATCTACTTTGTCAAACGTCCAGAGTCCAACAACTAGAACCCCAACTTATGTTCTGTATGACGCCCCAATAGACAATGGTACGCATTTAGACAGTGAATACTCCGATAAACAAATAGAGGTCGGCAAGATATCCAGGAAACTGGTCCGCAATCATGCGGCGAAGTCTGAGTTTGGCTCGCCCCGCTCTTCGCTAGGCAACTGCAGAAGCCTTGATATTCAGTGATACCACACATTCAAACATAACCAATCATGCAGTATAAATGAACAGAGTCAGGGACATGTTGGCACCAGAGCTCTCATGATATCTAGGCCTGGGGGCTTATCGAAGGGCGAAACGTGTCCTGGATCCCCTGTCTTGGATGCACTCAATGGGCGATCTGCCGTGTGAGAATTATTAAAGATTGGGAAACTGTGTAGGTGCTCAAGACCCCGAAGCTTATGTTATTTGTGTTAATAGGTACTATTATTTCTACTATTCGGAATTTGAATTTGGTTAGCCTATATTTCCATGTAAACGCATGCAAGATTAGTTCAGGCTTGATTACAATCTATTAACAGCACCGTTTTTTTATGATTGAAATCGCAACGGATGGAAGTCTGATCCCCTGGCTATCAGTTACTTCAGTATGTGCACTCTATCACCATGCACGTTTCTTAGTATTCCTCCAATGGTTGGTGCAACATACAAACTGCATAAGAATAAATTAAAGAAAAGCATATCCAAGCGCACACGTTCCGGAAGCTGTCGAATATGAATGTTGCCGGCATGCTCTCGTCTTAATTACCCATCATGGCTATTTTGTGCCACGATATCGCACTTAATTCCTGCGGGTAGGGTATTAATTACTTAGGTACATGCTAGCATTGCGTACCACTGCCTTCAGGGTTGTATGCGGCGTCGAAATGTTCCATAAACACCGCGGATGAAAAAAACAAAAAACAAACATTATATTCGACATCCGAAATCCGAGTGGGATTGGTCGTGGTGAATCTGAATTAATTAATCGGATCAGTGATTTAAGATGATATCTGTATAGACAAACACCATTCATCGTTTACTAGTGAAAGTGAGTGGGGTTATTGAATATGCACGTGAGACGTATATCTGTCGGTATATTCGGTCTCACTCGTGATTCTTTGCATGCGTACTATCTTAGCCAGAGGTAAGGATGGCTAGCTGCAGATAGATTTTTGAGAGTTGATAGAGATGTTTTCCTCCAGGAAATCTGTAGTGGTCTATGATAGAAACTGGAAGGATCGACCTCCCTCAATGGACCTGGTAATGATATTATCGGAGACAGAATTCAATCATGTATGTATGTGATCTCGTGGTCTTCTCATTTTCCAAAGAATATGAGTTAACACGATAGTGACGCAATCTGATTATAGCATTAGACCAACACATGCAAGTAGCCGTTAATGCAACCAGTGACGTAAAAGAATGCAGTGATTGAGCGCGGTGCGTGAGAGAGAGGTAAAGGTTGATGTAGATTATCGTAGAATATGTGACAGGGATATACATTTGTAGGTTTTCGGTCCGATCCAATGCTCTTGTAGCATCAAATAAATATATCGGAAAATACATGTATATGCTCTTATGAATCGCGCAACCGACGGGACCGGCCGACTGCCATGACGAGAATATTGTTGGTAAAGATAAAGTAAATCCACAAAGTTTTGATAATTGGGTACTTGTTGATTGTCATTGATAGGACTTCAACGATTTTCTTGGCCAAGTATATTTAGTCGCTGTGGTTTTCCGCGAGTTCCGATGTAGAGGATGTCGGAATTGTTCAAAATATGCACAATAAGCGGTGAACCAATCAATGGGCGACAGCAGTGGAATCTCGGCTGGGATACCGTGATGTGGTGCTGTCGGAATAATTAGCAACCTCCGAAAACCCTCTTCCAAGACATCGGGATGGATTGAAATTGATGGGCCTGTTCTGCTGCACAACATCGACTAGCTAGAAGCATATGCAATCTTAGTTTTCGGAAAGGCTCTGCGGTACCGTTCGCCCATTCCTTTCAAAGGTATTGTCTCCAGCATATCGGTTATTTGTCGGTAGAAGCGGTTGGCTATGGCTGATATGACAAAACTTTTGTGTAGGGCGTATGATTTGCAATCCATAAATCATTCTGAAAGTGATCATTTTGAAAATGACCGATACGTGCGGGTGGTTTAGTATCGTAATGGAAGCCGTATATGGGAGGAGAGTTGTTGGTTATCAGAAACAGATGTGTATGAACGAACATGTTCTTCGGGTATTGATCGATAGGTACTCTAGCTCTATGAGGTTCGATTATTAACCTTGTTTAGATAGTACCGGTATACTAAAACTTACCAGTATAATGTACCGCGCTGGAGAAAGACTGAGAGTCGGATAATTCACTTTTTGAAACCCAGATACAATATTAGGTCTAAATTTAAGTTCCAATCGTCTGGAATGACCATTTTTCTCTTAATAATGTGGACCGTATCGTGCGCCGAGTCGCGAAAGAAATATCACCGGCTGTAGAAAGGATATCATAGTTGCAGCTAGGAATGATACTTTACTATATTACTCTGATATCAGCATTTTGGTCATATGTAGCACTGGATATATAGTGGCAGAAGCATGTGCGATGGAGTCCAGACATAACATTTGCTGTCTTCTCGGCCCATTCTTTTGTCACCGTTTTGACTCTTGAGTCACTGCCCTCTACCATTTTTCATACCTATGTTGCCATATCCAGACAGTTCCATTCGGCTCGACTGTGCGTGGTAAGTTCGATTCCCTAGGCACTTAAAATGATTAATTGCAATAACAGGGGGGGTTATATGCATATACAACACCTACATTTCCTTCTCAGCTGATGTACAAGAAGTTCTACAGTACTTATATCACCGGTACAAAAAATTGGGGTTTTTTTTTACAAACATTACCTAGTGACGATCTTTCTGAGTCATGCTCAAAGCTGAAATTAATCTTTGAAGGCTGGTAAAACGAGCATGTATCTTGAGAAATTATCAACCGCGACACCTTGGTACTTTCTCGCGGGGAGAAGAGGGCAATTCTCCAGGCTTTACCTTTGCTAGTCTTCTCAAGCGTCACGAAACATTGAATGGCGTGACGAGCACATGTTGAGGACTTAATGTCTCCGTAGCTATGGCTAGATGATCCTAAATTATACTTTAAGTTAATCATCCAACAGCAGCGTCGACGAATCTCGAAAACGACCACGGGTAGACGTCTCTGTTGAACTCCCTCATTTTTCAGAGGTGTATACTAGCCGTACTCGCCTTAGTCCTGAACGAACTCCTAAATGATATCCCAGAAAAAAGTCGTCCCGAAATCTTCTGATTTATACCCTGGATTAGAAGCTCTGCAGTCAGTGGTCTTGTCCTCTCCCTTATATTCCTCACAGGTCCTCCATGGCACATATAACAGAGTGAAAGCGGCACCTTTGCCTCGGGACAAGGCCCACAAAATCTGTACCAACTTTCACCATTAGCCCTTTCAAGCTAATTGGATCGATACTCTAGACCGGAGAGCGCAGATGATTTATGCTGTGGTGCCCAACAAACACTAGTAAGTATTGTTGTGACAGGCCACATTTCCAGCGCAACCTAATAGGGATGGAATAAACCCAAAGATAATAAAATAAAATAACCTTATCTTTCTGGAGCGAAAATATACGTCGCCGACCTTTACGGAAGGGGGTGTCCCACAAACGTGTATTCCTCGGACATCTCTAAATACAACACTGCCAAGATAATAATTTAGACCATGAAATCGAACAGTGGAGATCTTGGAAGTACCGTTCGTGCACTGAAGAAGGTTCCAGGGAGTAGGAGACAAAGGAATGTGGAGAATGGCTAAAAGAGTGGCCTAAAGATCATAGAGATCCTTTTAGAATCCCATAGCATTGAAAACCATGTTGTACTCCATATGGCTTGTGGCGACCTAGTAAATACTAGCTCCCGTAGCTCTTCCAAGCCTGTATTTTATCGAATTGCCATGAATGGCCGCATGCCGTGCCCCATAGGGATCGTAGTCCCGATAGATATCATATATAGAAATTGTAGTATCTGGTCTTTGTCGAGATCAGGTTAATATATTTCTTTTCGGTGATACAAGTGCTCTGTACGCGATCCTTGTAGAGAATCTTGGGTGCTATTCCTTCAGGTTTTCGATAAGAGGACCTTTTCATGCCGAAAAGTAGGACCCTTGGCTTTTGCTGGATAATTCTTTGTTGAGTCGGGGTCTGTATATTTTGGCTTCAAGTGCGGGAAACGGAGGTGGTTATGCCGTGGACACACAAGCATATAAAAACTGTTGTAAATCCTATCAGCGCTCTCACCTATTTCTCGGACCAGTTGCCGGCATGATCAGCACAGCACCCCGCATGAAACTAAGTCACGTGCCGGCGTTTATCTCGTATAATTTTCCAACACAGTTCAACAAGCGCTTGATAAAAGGCATCAGGACGAATCAAAAGATCGAATGCGTCTAAAATTGGTTGAATAACGAGCCGCCAGCCAACCGGGATCAACGCCGTTCCCCGTACGAGTGGACAATTTTTCCTCGTACAAAAAAAGGAATTTTTGACGCTCGGCACATGAAAAGGAAACATGCAGAATCCATACCGAGACCAAGTATGCCGAGACAATGTATAACCAGTGACTGGGTTTCGAGATAGAAAGTTGAACGGCAGAAGTTGTAAATTGGCTCATCGATCGATTTAGTCCTTGGATTGTGAGGATCGGGGATGCAATAAATCATTGTCCCAACTTCTAAAAGCGTTCTTCTTTTTTCACTACTAGCTACAGTACCATACATCAGTGAGGGCGATAATTTCGGGAAGAAGTGGGCTGTTACCTATCAAATATTTGGTGTATATAACTCAATGTTTTCTGTCTGTTATGGATGTCATCAAATCGTCCCTGGTTCAAACGTAGATCCCTATGTTTTGCATATTCGTGATAAGTTCTCAGTAGTTACCACCAAATGTGAGATATGAAGAACCGGGCCATGGTACAAAACTTACCTGAGTGAAAATAGGCCTCATGCATATGTTATCCACAGAAATATGAAAATGTTGGACCCATGCCGAATGATCAAGGTTTGAGATATCTAAAGAGCTCGGAAACAAATGTCTTGCCATCGAGTCAAAGGACCTACGCAGACCTCTCAAAAGATAAAAAAAAAAAATTCTCCCGACAACAAAAAAGCAGACATCACTGTACTTTTCGAGTCGTCGTAAATCTAGGGTAGTCAGGAGCCGTTTTAAGAGCCGTGGTGTCCAGCTACCCCGCTTGAAAGTTTCCTCTTCATATCTGCCCCAAATCGACGATCTTTCGCCGGTTCAAAGGTGTTTAACCACATATAGTATTTCGCTTTACCTATTGACTTAACTTGTAGGTTTGGCCTGAAATGTGTATCTTTATCTGCCGAATTTTTGGTGATCCTGAAGTGTCTCTGCTGGTATTAGTTTCAACACTTGATCTAAAAAAAAATAAAAAAAGATAAAAGAGGTGCACGTGGAGGCATGGAAAAAAAAGTCACATTTTCACCTTTGATCTCAGCTGGAGAGATGAAATTTTTATCCTGACATTGATAGAGTAAGATTGTGGGGAATTTCTTGGGGCATATAGAATTTTCAGAACGCAGATACTTTGATCAATATTTGGTAGGTCGTCGCCCGACCGATGTCACCCATAGGAATTAAAGGCGAATGAGGTCTCTATACGCGGTCAACCATGATTTGGCTTCAGATGATTTGTTCATGTTGGTATTGACCAAGTGTTCGAAGGCTTGTCGTGTACAAGTGGGATGTACTACTGTATCTATGACGGTGCACCTTCTTTAAGGTCATTGGTTTTCGGGTTCCCACAAAGGCATATTCCACGATAGTTTTCTGTACCTTTTTTCTTCCCCTTCTGCATCTAGTACGGGCCGAGAATCCGGGATATCAACCTCTCTGATACTTAGTTTGATTCGGGGGCCCCGCTCTTTGGATCTGCGTCAATATTTGCTTGTTTGTCGATAACAGAAACAAAAGTGCGAGGTCAAGCATATCGATAATTTTAAGCGTCATCTGATACCCGAAACCCTCAGTGTTTTCTGGGGGGAAGGTTCCAAGGCCATGGGCATAGAAATGACGTCTCTGTGCAGGAAGAAAGGCTTGAGGGTGTTAGCCGCAGATTGGGAAGGTGGAACCTCCAAGGCTCCACCGCATATAAGGTTAATGGTGTGGCTGAGGCGGGGAAGATAAGGCGGTCAACCATAGTGAGCGGCGAACAAGTTTACATATTGTACCGCCCCTGCAGTCCTAGTGCGTATGACACATACATGTAGCTATCGCAATAGTGTCTTGTTTCTTTAACCTTGGGCACTCATCACGCTGCCCTGGCTACTGGGGAAGCTTGGGGAAGCTCGGAGAAGCTACATTTCAGCATTTTGAGAGGGCGCAATCAGCCAGTTGTATAATTTGTCAATGGGCGGGTTCAATAGTAGATTAGAAAATAAGTTTAATTGTTGGGTTTGCCGCCTAAAGGTGGCAGTGCAGGGGCGGAATGAGTTGCCTCTCGATCGTTCGCGATTATTCTATGATTCATGTGTAGCTTATTCAGCCAAAAACCTGGGAGTCTATCGTAGAATGGGTCTGAGCCCATAGCCAGCCACCCAACTCTTAAAACCGTCCCATTCCCTCTCTTTCTTCTTTCCTTCCTACATCCCTACATCCCTCATACATCAACCTCTCCACCCCCTCCTCAAAGATCTATCTCATTACAACCATCATCAGCTCCTCATTTCGAAAAGTTCCTTCTACAACCACTACCATGCAGATCTTTGTTAAAACCCGTGAGTTTCTCCCCTTCGTGCCAAAGGGCTGGTGGCGAATATTGAATACTGACGACTTGTAGTCACCGGCAAGACCATTACCCTTGAAGTCGAGTCATCAGACACTATCGACAACGTTAAGAGCAAGATCCAGGACAAGGAGGGAATTCCCCCAGACCAGCAGCGTCTCATCTTTGCAGGCAAACAACTCGAAGATGGTCGGACATTATCCGATTACAATATCCAGAAGGAGTCCACCCTTCACTTGGTTCTTCGCCTGCGTGGAGGAATGCAGATTTTTGTCAAAACTTGTAGGTTCCCATGAAATTCCTGCTTCTAACTTGCCATCACTAACAGTTCACAGTGACCGGAAAGACTATTACTCTTGAGGTTGAGTCTTCGGATACGATCGATAACGTCAAGAGCAAAATCCAAGACAAAGAGGGCATTCCCCCAGATCAACAACGTCTTATCTTTGCCGGTAAGCAGCTTGAGGACGGCCGCACTCTTTCGGATTACAATATTCAGAAAGAATCAACCCTCCACCTTGTTCTCCGCCTCCGTGGTGGTATGCAGATCTTTGTCAAGACTCTCACTGGGAAGACCATTACCTTGGAAGTCGAATCATCGGACACGATCGATAATGTCAAGAGCAAGATCCAAGATAAAGAGGGCATCCCACCGGACCAACAGCGTCTCATTTTCGCTGGTAAGCAGCTTGAAGATGGACGAACCCTCTCCGATTACAACATCCAGAAAGAATCCACCTTACATCTCGTCCTTCGCCTTCGTGGTGGTATGCAGATTTTTGTTAAAACACTTACTGGCAAGACTATCACATTAGAGGTCGAGTCCTCTGATACCATCGATAATGTGAAGTCGAAGATCCAGGACAAAGAGGGAATTCCGCCAGACCAGCAGCGCTTGATCTTTGCCGGTAAGCAGCTTGAAGATGGACGAACCCTCTCCGATTACAACATTCAAAAGGAATCTACCCTTCATTTGGTCCTCCGTCTCCGTGGTGGTATGTAGATCTTTGTCAAGATATTGACTGGAAAGGCCGTTACCTTGGAAGTTGAGAGTTCAGACACAATCGACAACGTGAAGAGCAAAATTCAGGACAACGAAGGAATTCCTCCAGACCAGCAGCACCTTATCTTTGCTGGTAAGCAGCTCGAGGATGGGCGTACTTTGAGCGGCTACAACATTCAGAAAGAATCGACTCTACACTTGGGGTTGTAATGAGATAAGTGTGTTGAATGGGTTTGATGATGGCAAAGTTTTTTCATGTTTCATAAATAGTAGTATCTTTCTTTTGGCTTGGTGTTTGGGCTGTTTCTTTCTTTTTTTCGTAGATGTTTATAGCGGATTAAAGAGCTTCAAGAAGAGCACTCAAAATTTTTCGAATATGAACTTTGTAGCAAATTCTTTGTGGATGCTAGATGTGACATTGAGAGCGCACCCAAGATTATTTTGTGATCTGTTCTTATCGATATGTGCTCGGTAGGGTCCTGTGTACGAACGATTGGATTATGAATCGCACCTTATGACCTTTGCCCCCTTACTCGTAGTTTGAGTCTGCACGTTGCAGGCAACCAGTGCCACCATTCCTATCCTGCCCAAGCCCTGTTACCAATGACAAATGGTTTACCCACAAAAGTGGCGTTCGCCTCTTATCAGTTAGACTAACGTGGGGGTGAGACACTTCTCAAGACGAAACCTAGTTATCATTATCAGATCAAATTTTCTTCCTTTGAATGAGGCATTTTATTGATTATCGTACGATCTGATAAAACTAGTTAGTGGTAATGATACCATCGCCGGTTCCTGAGAAAGAGGCCCTTTGTTTCCCCCCTTCTTTCTTTTCCAACCCGGTTAGTTGGTAGGGAATCCCTGGCGCTATTACGCGATCGGATAATGGTAGAAGGGCGGGGTATTAATATGGGGAGTGTGGACATTGGAAGCTTGCAATTGAGTTTTTAAACTGAGGAAGGACGAGATACTGTCACTGCCAGTGCCTGTAAGTTTCCTGTGCTACGAGAATGAATGACTTAATAATGTTTATATATTATAGACTTACTTACTTACCATATGCCTGTCATCCAGTGAGCCACGCACGACTGCAATGTCGAAAACAAACGCAATGTCCTCCCCAACCGCAGGTTCAAACCTCCGCCTCCCCAATGGCCAAACACTCGTTATCCTTAAAGACGCGTCTTCACATCTAAACTTCTCCGTCGAGGCAACCGGCTCATCAATCGAGTACCCATGGCCAGCAGGCTCCATAGAAGTAACCCACGGCTCGCCAACCGACTTCCCATCTGCCACCTCTGACAAAATTACCCTCTTCTGCCACGACCCTGAGTCGTCTCCAGCGGTCTACAGACTGTGGTTAGCCCTCTACTGGTATTTCTGCCACCCCGCGCCTAAACCTGCCGCAAAAAAGGACCCGAGAAAGCCCTGGGTTGTCAATATCAATACCACCACCGGGCTCTTCTCTGATCCAGTAAACGTGGGACTTGGAGCTGCAATAGGACTACTCTCATACACTTCCCCATCCCCGACTGCGGAGGTCCATGTATATGCTGCCCGTTCGTCGTTCTGGCAAATTCCTTGGGAGGCTGTTCACGAACGCCTCTACTATCCTAAGCCTCTCGAATACATCATCACCAACGGAATCCGCCATCCTCTTCGCCCACGTCCGCAACAAGGCACACTCTACAAGCGGTGGGTTCCTTCCTTGAAGGAATTCATTAGCTTTCGCCTGGCCTCTGCAGAGACTGATGCGGAACTGGTTCACCGGTGGATGAACGATCCGCGGGTCGCCGAGTTCTGGGGCGAGGACGGTGGGGATGTTGAAAAGACACGGGAATTCCTCAAGAAGGGACTGGAAAGTAGTCATTGTTACCCCGTGATTGGGTGCTGGAATGACGAGCCGTTTGGGTATTTTGAGGTGTATTGGGTGAAGGAAGATAACTTGGGCAAATTTGCGACAGGCTGTGGGCCCTGGGAGAGGGGTGTACATTGTTTGGTGGGGGAGCAGAAATTTAGGGGGCCCCATAGGGTGGGCGTCTGGATTTCGAGCTTGGTGCATTGTGAGTGACGTTTGGCTGTGATGATTGGCATGCATGGTGGTGGTGAGGGTTGATACTAATTGATTCTGGTGGTAGATATGTTTCTGGATGATCCAAGGACGCAGACTGTGATGCTGGAACCAAGGGTTGATAATGAAAAGTGAGTCTCTTCCCTTATCTCTACGAATTGTTGATTACTATTATCCCATGAGGGAAATGGGTCGCGCGACCACTCTGTTTCAAGCTGCAGGGCTAAACATCAACCACAGGTTCATCAAATACCTAACCGAAGCGGGTTTCTACAAAGAAAAAGAATTTGCCTTCCCGCACAAGCAAGCGGCGCTTATGAAGCTTGAGCGAGAAGCGTGGGAGACTGGTCCACTACTGTAAAAAGAAAAAAATTGTTGTTGTATGCTTGTATCACAGTAGAAATTTAACTACCGGTGACAGTAGTACAGGAATTAAGTTGTAGTTAGGGGTTGCCAATCGCTGTCTCCGCCAGGCCCCACGTGTGGTCTTGGAAAAGACTTGGCGATAAAGCTGTTACCAAGAGTTAGCGAAGATATATATTTTTTTCCTTCTTGAGATCTGTTCTGTTCTTCTGTTCTTCTGTTCTTCTGCTCTCCTGCTCTCCTGCTCTCCTGCTCTCCTGCTCTCCTGCTCTCCTGCTCCCCTGCTCTCCTACCACTGCTCTGTCAGTTCTTTGCATAAATATCCGTCCCTTGCATCAACTGCAGCTAGTACTACGGTCATACATATCGCAACGATGGACCCCACAACGCTCATCCAGCACCCCATCCCCGTACGCAACATCGTTCTCCAGCTGCCTCAAGCCTATCTCTCTTCCCTCCTCACATTCCACGATGGCGCCTTTCAACCTCTCAATGCTATCGTGACAAGAATCACTCCCAAGTCTATGACCGTCACCTACTCGCAGCCCCTCCGCGAACCTTGGGCTAATCCCCTCCCACGTACCGCCACCATTGCCTTCACCCCTCCGTTGCCCCCGATTCCCTCAGACTCTGCCTCCGAGGAGGCGCAATACGAATGGGAGACCATCTGCGCCGCGCGCATCCGCGAGATGGAGGAAGAGGCCACCCGTCGCAATGAAGGACGCAGCGATATTGTTGTCACTCGCTACCTCCTACCAGATCATTACATGGGATGGCTGTCGATATTACAGTTTGTAGCATTGACTGTGCTGATATTTATGCAAATCAAGTATGCGCCAGAGGTGCTGAAGATACTGTTTGAGCCCGAGTGGAAGTTCAATGCCGCGGTGTTGGTGCATGCCGCGATACTAGTCAAGAAGAGTAGAGATGTCATGAACATGAATGATAAGCTCAGGAAACACCAGGTTGATAAGCTGCCTGGGTGGAAGTACACCGGGCCATGGATGAAGTGGCTGATAACGTGTGCCTTTGAGGGGTGGAGATGCGCGAAGAGGTTTGAAGAGGAGGCGGCGAGGGTGGGGAGGGAGATGGCGGCCAAGGAGAAGAAAGGGAAATAGAAAACAAGCAGTGCTTTCATGTTGGCTTGTTTCATGGGTTGGTTTATAAAATCTAAAATTTGTATGAAGTGTTTAAAATGGTAATAGATGGTGTTGGGGAATAATGTTAGTTAGCCGACATTGTCTATGTACGATCGCGATATATTTAAGAGTAAGAGCAAAAGGTTAGTTATTAAGTTGTACTCCTATCAAAGGGGCATCGTGTTCTTGTATGAAGAATACAATGGAACTATAAATTGAATAAGCGGAGCCGGAGGTGTAAGAAAGCTGAAGGTATATCGATAGCATCACCCAACCAATTAATTGAGTCATAAGTAATCACTCGACCGCTGTCTCTCAACTGCGGCGAACCATTATAAATGAATCAAAGCCCAGAAGGACTAAGGGTTAGGATTTATATAGGATCAAGAGATCACTAGTACGTGGTGGCCCCTATATACAGCGGCCAAGATGAAGTCGTGATTACCGAGCTTGTAAGGCCTGTTACATGTAATTACTATTGCGAGCCCAGCCTGCCATCGGACCAAAACACCTCACCCCCCGAGGATAAGGATTAATGTAAAGGTCAACACGATCTACAGCAAGCCGAGGTGATATGTGCAGAGACGACGGTAGTCCTTAGATTGTAGTATCCGCGAGGTGGGGTTCGGAGTGAGAAAGATTGAATTCCTTCTCCTATTATATGCCGAGTGAGATTTAGTGATTCCTTTCGGTGTTTAATTCACTATTCGGCAGAGATGCCAAAAAAGAGACCGATGATAAGAATGGGCTCATGAAGCTGGAGGGTGAACGAACCGAACGTTTGTAAAAGCCACGTACGCGGGCCTGCATAAGTTGCTCGCATGTTGTAGACACAACAGGCCCTACACTCAGTGGATTGGACTTAGAACAGAACACTCTAATATACCTGTGCCTACATCATACACCAAGCTCTGCGCGTAGTTGCCTTGGCTCACAGCGGTTTGGAGACTTTCTGTCGCGTTAAATTAACGTCGTGTATACTTGATATTTACATATAACCCTATAGCTTTCACCAATCGGCGTCGAAAGCCTTGCGCCTTCGCCAGCCTTACCCTATCCTCAGCATAAAGAAATCCATCTATGAACAGCCCTTGCTGCTTCATTGCTCAACACGTCTTTGATATCTACAATATCTACAAAAGTTCCCGGCTGCCGTTGGATGCAAGAGAGGTTGATCTTTGACGAACTCTTGCAGTCGCTACGAAAGCAAAGCTTAAGGATTACTCAACCAAAGGGGACTACTCAGCTAGTACCTATGGAAAAATTGGTTGTCTCCAATTACGGGTCTCTCCTCTAAACGCAATGAGTACAGGTTCTAACTTGGGTGTAATAGGAATTGATATTAGGTATAAACCACCAAGCCGATTGAAGCCATCTCAACTCGCCAGTTTGAGCTGGAGGTGTGAAAAGTGTACGGGTTGATGAATGAACGATTTGATGGTAGCAGTGATCCCCATAGCTGAGTAAGCTAAATTCTATTCGTATGTTGTAGGCGGTGAATCCGGCCTAATATTGAAAAGTAGTTGATTGTTCTATTTAGCTTTGAGGACGGGAACCAATGCATCTCGGAGTGTCATATTTTAGGGTGCGGGGCGTGTAGAAATATACCCTCGTAGAAACATACAGGCCTGGCGATGATAAAAATTAATTATCTCTTGATATATTGCGGAGAGGATAGTTAAGACCTGTTGATTTATATGAGTGGGATTTTACAAGAGATACCCCAGCAACGCCAATTATTCTTTACTACTCTATGCGAACTCAGAAATTTCCTTTGACATCTAACAAGATCTCGACAGGTGTAGGTACAACCAGCGCCAGCACGGATAAAGTGATTCACTCTGGGCATTTATGCGGCTATCCAGCATATATACCCCTGGATTCTCGACAGTGGGTGATGAGTGTTTCAACGTGCAGCTCAAGTGGTAGAAAGCTACAGGGTAAAACACTCGACACACTCAAGTATCGCCTATCAACGATACATGTAGTTGAGTAGTATGTCAATGATTGAGAAAACACAAAATTTGTACAAATGTCACGGTTCCATGGCTCAGTTGGTTAGCGCGTGGTGCTAATATCATACCTCACAAGGATTGAATGTTAACGCCAAGGTCGAGGGTTCGACCCCCTCTGGAACCATTCGTTCATGAGAGCAAAGCATGTGCCCTGAAAAGCATGTGCCCTGAAAGGCATGTGATGCTCAAACCTCTTTTTCTTTCTTTTCTTTTTTTTTTGCCAGCCTTGTTATGTTACAAAGAATCTGTGGAGGTAAACCCAAGGCCATAAAAGTGCTGAAAGAAAGAACTTAGGCCGTGTTGGCGTCCGATTCCAACTAATCACCCTATAAAAGGTGAACGGCAGATTTGTTCTGCTGTCTGTGAACTAGAAGGATATAAGAGATTAGTTTATGGCTTTTGGTTAAACTTTTACGATGGTTTTGAGCGATTGCTATACATGATTTAGGAGTATGTTGAACGACGGGATACCGGCACTTCGGCGGTTGAAGCCAATGTTCGGGATCCCGCTGGCAGGGATGTCAGTTCTGGAGCCCGAAGGAACATAGCTGGCCATAAAATGCAGGGACCAATGACGCACCGTGCCGAGAATCAAAACTCACACAAAGTACAACATACACACTCTACCTACTCTAATTCTAATCAACACAGGCATTCTGGCGTGATGGTCCCCCAGACCCACGAGGAATCGCGTTAACCCCTGACAGACGTGACGCCCCTTCCAAACACCACGCGCCCGCCGCCCGGAAAGATGACGTTAATATCTCCTATCACCGCCTTCCTAATCCTCCCCGGCCTCCAAATACTCTCATTATGGTCGCCTCCGTTCCCAGGGCGCTCCATTGTGTTTGTCTCTGCCATCGTCGCTTGTGCGGTGATTCTTCACTCCGAAAAGGTCAGCGATGACCCGCAGATTACCTATGGTCTGGGGATGGCGTGGTCATCGTATTTGGCCACTATAGATCGGTTGTTGTTTAGTGTTCCGGAGGCGGCGTTCTGGAGGGTTGGTGAGAAGCCGGGGGAGGCATTGGAATATGGGATGTTTGGGTGGAAGAAGTTGAAGTGGGGTGCTGCCCAAATCTTTAATCCACGTGGTAAGTGAGACCTGCACTCTCTTTCTCTTGGAATGTCTCTAATGGGTGAATTAAAGGGATACATTGGAACTACCAAGTGAAAGGCATCGCACGCACCGAGGGAAAGCGAGAATACCGCTCAAAGAAAGCCTTTGTCAAGAGCCACGTTATCCAGTTCGTTCAACTCTGTCTAGGATATGATATCCTTCATAGTTTCCTGGTTTCCCAACACCGACATGTTGGCTCGATTGGTGGGGATTATACCCCCCTCAGTGATCACCCTTTCATCTGGAGTTTCGCGACTACAGCGGCAGCGGCATATGTCATGTTCTGTGGAATTCAGTTGAATCACTTATTGACCTCCATCACATTTGTGGGTCTGGGTCTAAGTCGCCCGGAGGTGAGTTGAATCCATATCAGCTTATTATTTTCGTGTCACTGACAAGTCTTTATCACAGGACTGGCCACCATTGTATGGGAATATTTGGGACGCTTTCACTGTGAGACGTGTATGGGGTTGCTTCTGGCACAAACTCATCCGTAGGGTAGGGTTCCTCTGGACTTTGTATTAGGAGTCTCAAGGACTGACACAACCCAGACTCTCAGCTCCTATGCCAAATTTGCGGTCCGAACACTTCGGCTCACCGACGAAACCGGTGCAATTGTACACCTTATCCTCACTTTCACCCTCTCCGGAATCTTCCATGCACTCCCATTGCGAGTGATGCTAGGTCCAGACCATCATGGCCTCCCTCTTGGTACCATATTCTTCTTTGCTTCTCAGTCTATCGCAATTTTATTTGAGGAAGCAGTGGTTTCATGGTATGTTCGCGCTACGGGAGGTCTTGCAGAGGTGCGGGTGTGGCACAAGGTCGTAGGGTTTCTGTGGACGACAATGTGGCTGTATTGGAGCTTGCCGTTCTTTTTGGACGATATGTTTGCGTCGGGAATGATGGACGCGTCCACGATCCCTTTCTCGGTGGCAAGGGCGGTAGCGGGCGCATGTGGGTTTACTCTAAAGAGCTGATCTTTGTGGATACATGTATGTCATCGAAAATAATAGAGCATGCCCGAGTTTAATTGTATTTAAATGCGAATGATATTGATAGAGAGTACCTTCTGGATTTTTCAGCAAGTTCAAATACCTATATAAAGTGTCTTGTGCTCCTTTACTATAGTTGAGGTCATCCGGGATTGGCTTTATTTGTATGTTCTTGGTATTTTCAGACCATATTTTACTGCTGCTAGGGAGGGACAAATGTCATAGCCTATGGGCTGCCTACAATAAACACCAATCAATCAATCAGCAGGGAGTCGAGTAGCATGCTCATATTCACACAAGGGTTAGGGTTATTTATTACAAAAATCCGTAAATCATGGTTTACCAGTCCCTCTACTATTCAATTGGATGGGTACGGGTTTCAAACTTCAATTGGCCGGATCGGCAATATCAGCATCTCTGCATTCATCGGAAATCACTCACTCCCTTAAACAAAGGCATTCTTCCGCCCAACAACCCTGAAACCCCCACTAATTTCCAGGATGAGCTCATACATCTCCGAAACATGATTTTCAGACCTACACCATTGCTACGGGCAATCCGGCTCCAAGCAAAGCCCACCTCACTCACCAGCCGAATCCAATGCCGCAATTTGAACTTTTGGGGCCGTAAGGGGATGAAAGAGAATGACGCTGTAATTACCGCGAAAGGTAATTAGGACATCCTCCGGATCCCCCGAGGTATTGAGGGAAATATGGAAGGCTGATTGTGATCTCAGGTCTGGGCGACAAGATTTTGATATACTATGCCGGCCAGAGGATTGTATTTGTGGCGACACTGAAGTTGGCGACACTCTTTGTCGCGGGGTTCTGCACCTTCATTGCTGCCCCGTCGGTAGGTATCGAGACTGAGTATGGCTACTGGGCTCCTGTGGGAAGTAAGTGGTCTTTATGATTTAGAGGCTTGAGTAACGAGAATAACCATTGTAATTGTAGTTATAATTGCTGGCATCATTCCCATAGCATTCATGCAATACACCAGGTACATACTCTCCTCTCATCTTCCCATGGAGCCTTCAACTCACTCCTCATGTGTAGTCCCCCATATGTGACGCACGCTTACCTCCACCTCCCTCCATGGGCCCGAGTTTCTCGCGAGATGGTCGCCCGTTACGTCAAGAAGCTTCCACCTAGTGCCGAGATCTCGCTCGGCACCATCCGTACTCTAGGTCGCCCGCAACTCAGTAAAGTGATCTTAAGCGAGCTGAGGTATAAGCCCAAGAGGTTGGGATGTTCGAATTGGGAGTGGAAGCCGCCGTTTGAGGATAAGAAGATGTATAGGGATTTCTTCGTCGACCAGAGGGGGAGTCCAGCTAAAGTTCCTATGCCGGGGATTATGGACGAGATCATGAACCTGGTTAGGGAACAGACGGTGCTAGAGAAGAAATAGATCTTATAGAGGTTCGTAGAGTAATAGAACGGGGTAGAGTTTTTAGAGACGCTATTAGAGACAAATTTATTGACTCATACCATTCCGAAACCCCAGTCCTTGGTCCTGGAGTCTACTCAGTAGATTTATCGATATCATGTCTCAGTAGAACATGGCACAGGCTAGTATTATTTGAATTTCTCAGAGTGAAATACGGAGATACTGAGCCGTGCATTTTATGTATTCAACTATATATTCCTCCGATTCTTCAAATATCTACATACAATATGGTTGCCAGATATGGGTCTTAGAGGACTTATGTCCGTTTCGATTTCAGTGATAGTACGCACTGTACGCGATAAAAAAATCCCTCTCTACCTCCTCTCCGGGGTATCTCCGTATAAACCGTGGGCAAACCTGTTATTCATTAACTGTCAGCATTCTAAAATCACTATATTATATGTGGTGCTAGAGAGTGGGCGGGCACTGACCCGGCTGGAACTCGCTCGCCAGCTGGCTCGGCAGCTTCGGTGGCTTCACGAATTTCCTTAACTTCCTCCGTAGTCAACTCAACATTCAATGCGCCAACATTCTCTTCCAGGTATTTGGTTTTTTTAGTTCTAAACATTAACAAAAATGTTAGAATCATTTCTTTACTCCAGAGACTAAGAATACATACCCCGGAATCGGAATAATATCTTCCCCTTGGGCCATCAACCATGCCAATGCCAATTGTCCGGGAGTGCACTTCTTTCTGTCGGCTATCTGTCTGAACTTTTCCACCAACTCCAAGTTCTTTGGGAAGTTCTCCTTAGAGTATCTCGGCAGATACTTTCTGAGGTCACCTTCTTCGAAATCGTCGGGACTCTTGTAAGCTCCTGTCAACATTCCACGACCAAGCGGGCTGTACGCAACTGTTGTGATACCAAGCTCGCGGGCGGTGCTTAGGAGGTTGATGGGAGGACCCTCAATTTCGAGGGTGAAGGGGGAATATTCGACTTGTAAGGCAGCAATAGGATGGACAGCGTGTGCACGGCGAAGAGTTGCAGCGCTACATTCTGAGATACCAATGTGTCCAATCTTGCCAGCTCTAAAGATTATTAGCAGATAGCAGTGGAGGGACGAATGAAGAGCTTACTTTACGAGCTCGGCCAGGGCTTCCATTGTTTCTTCGATGGGAACATTTCTGTCTATTCTGTTCACCCACGTTGTCAGTGCCACTCATGCCAGCATTGTTAAGGAACCGTACCTATGAATATAGTAAAGGTCGATATAGTCTACTCCTAGCTTGGCGCTTGAATTTTGATATGCCTCATGCACATATTCTTTGTCGCCCCTCACGCCGTACCTCGCGCCCTCACTTTCCCCTCTTGTATCCGTCTTAACACCCCCCTGCGTCAGCAACACTCTTTCACACAACAAATAAGCAAGCAGGAATTAGTTTACCGTTGCCGCAAATTTGCTGGCGATAAAGATATCCTTTCTTTTTCCAGTCTTCTTAAACCATTTTCCAATAAGCTCCTCGTTATCTCCATAAAAGTCAGAAGTATCCCAGAATCTCTCGCCAAGCTCATGAGCGCGGTCGAGAAATTTAAAGCGCTCCTCATCCGAGTCCACCTTTCCGTAGAAGGCACTCAATCCCTAGTAAATGTCAGCACAATATTGCAGAGCGAACGAAAAAAGTGGTGTTGTGTACGTACCATGAGACCAAGGCCGAGGGCAGTGACCTGCGGACCATTTCTTCCAAGTGGGCGAGTGGGTAGTAATGTCATGATTTTTGTAAATTCAGCTGGTATATTGTTCAATCCGAAGTGTTGATTTGATTGCTATTACGATTGGAACTGAGAACTGACATGAGTTCATGTCGATATATATAAGGGTCGAGCTTCGGAGATTTGGGGGTTGTACAACCAATCCGTAGAAACTACTCTAGAAGATGCAATTCGATTTCCGCTGATGACGTCATCTAATATGGGATAGTCGTTGTCGCGGAGTTAACGGGGCTAGAATGCTGGAGTTTAGCTGTGTTTTACGGATACATGCGGTGTCGAAGAGTTTCGGAATTCCGTACGCACGGCCCGTGCGAAATGTATGTAAATAATCGATTAAACCTTGGCGACCGAAGTTGATGTACACATTGCATACTGTGGAGTTTATAAATGAATATCGATATTGAAGGATTTCGGGATTCCATGCGCGCCATGTTAAATCTACGAGCGCGAGCAAAGGACTTCCATATCATTGTTTATCCCTTTTTGATGGTATCCGGGCTACATGCATGTCTTTGGCAATCTTCGTAGCACGGAAATTCTTTACCCCGAATCTAGACAACCAGTTGATCCCTGATCGCAGCTACATATATGTAGATGTACTGTTTGGAGGTGACAGATCGTGGACTCATAGGCCCTCACTCGGTTATGGGTGACCACAATATATGTATATAATTGGGTTACATATAGTAAGCACCGCTTTGATGGGAGTATCATTACGTTACATTCTCGACACGCTTGTCCAGAAGTTGATTATTGTTACTGCAAGGCGGCTGCACCACGCTTACCCGCTCAGTCAACGACCAATAACATGTTACCACTGGTGCAAGTCTGTATTTGTGAAAGGGCAGAAAACACGTAAAGAGAGGTACAAGGGAGTACTTAAATTCTTATTAGTTTTAGAGCTGCGCTAGTTTAATAGAAAGTAGGACAGGTTGGACAAAAATTCTAGCTGTTTTAGGTAGTGACTTGCATCTCATATATCATATGAGACGGCCACATCCTTAATTGCTTGGATGCATACAAGTATACAAAGTGCGTGACGTCAGTGACAGAACTTCTGAGAATACATGTATCATCGATGCGCGCGCGGTTAAGCTTAAAGCCATGGAGTCAATGATCTTATCCCCGAACACACTCAACTGTAGATTTATGTATATATGGAGCGATTTCCTCCTTAGAGGATCGTGCCAGCACTCCTGGCCCCCACTGATTGACATTGAGCCTGGAGGAATAACCCTTTACTCATACCAACCATGGTTCGGATGAATTATATCCGCAGTTTGAAATCAATGTGCGTGCGAAATAGATGTATGCACATGGAGTGCTGCCTAAGCGAATTAAGGTTAATTTTGCCTACTGTTAATTCTTATATGACTATCAAAGCTGAGGATAAGCACTCCCTCTGATCATCTGCACATAGCTAGACTCACTAGTCACTCGAGTACTCAGCTGAAGCTAAAGAACGCAAGAACTCGGAAACGCCACATTCTTCAAGGCAGATTCGTGGCAGTGACCAAATAACTCTTGTTCACTATATATTTATCTGTATTACTAAAATCAGGACCTGGGGCCGGGAGTTTCACATGATAGATATTTCCTAGGGCCCGGGGCATAATATGTATGTATAACACGTTCATACCCCGTCCTCGAGAGACTAAGTAGGTTATAAACACATATGCCATCTGCTATTATGCAACTCAAGGCAATAAATCAACCAAACGCCCAGACCAAGCAAGGTTTGGTCTACATGTTGTGCCTACTTCTCGCTTATTCTCACCAAAATCACGAAGTATACACCATGTGCACTTGTGACCGTTCATGACCCTATAGCTCTAGTCGCCGGTGTTGATTGGCCACAGCCCTAACTTCGCCTCATTTTATACTTTATGAATATAGGGCAAGCATCCCTTACTTCCTAGTGAAGGCTTCAAAACATCATGCTTTATTTGAGTCCATTCACAGCCTTGTTTGATTAGTTATCTGCTTCAGCGAACCCAGGTGCTTTGTGTTACTGTATGACATAGGACGAGAACTGGTGTAACATTCCGACTCAGATGATAAGAGGCTGCTACTTGGTATAGGTAATGTACTACCATAGCCTACTATGTGCGACCTGATACTTGGTGGAGTTGACTCCTGATATACATATTGTCCCACCAGGACCTTAGGGAGAGTGTCCGGGGAGACGATTGTACGCGTACACTGGCTTTATTTCAGTTGATCAAATGATACCTGTGTGTTTGTTTTGTGACTAGATGACTGGAATTTTGATAAATTGGTTGTCCTAATATATCTATACATACCAATGTTGAAATGCCACTTATCAGTATGACCCATATCAGATATTCTTGAGGATCGGATAAAATGGAGCCTCACTCTATATAACAATATATATAATGAGCAAGAAAGACTACACATATTTCTAGACTCTATCCCAAGCTTGTTACTCCTTACCAGCTTGTTACTTTGGCAATCTAGGCTAAATACATATACAGAGAACTCTAGAAGAGAGCAATTAAGCCCGCTCGACACCATGACGCGTACATTCTCAAACTCTGCGTATATCTGGCCTCTTTTATTATTCGTCCTCCTCGTCTACCTTCCACTTGCGAGTGCAGATATTCAATACGCAGACTTTCATAAGTGCTGTAAAAAGGCCCGAGATCAGTTCTATGACACTGGCAACTCCCAAAATAATAACACGTACACCTGTGGTGCCAGCTTCGATGATGGGAAAGACGCCGCCCTACCCATATATGTCAGCCTGACCTGGTGTCGTGCAGAATGCGGAGGATTCCAACCGTCTCGTGTGTCGAAGAACCATTTGAATGAAATATTGAGCCCACTGGTCGGATTCCTTATCCCGGCCTTGGTGTTTAGTATTTCTATTCCCAGGGGCTGGCAGCTAAGAATTCCCGAGAGGCTTTTCAAAGAGGATTGGTTTACAGCGCGGGGATCCATGAATCTTATTCTCGCAATGGTTATTGTGATGGTGGAGACACTCAGATGGATTACGGTTGTCTTTGTCTGTGCAGGACCAATACTAGTGGGAGGGCTTTATGAAATGCTTTTAGACCATAGACTCTTACGGGAATTGGCACTATTACAAGAGCCCGAAGGTGCTAGTACCAGGGTGGATAGGGAGCTTCGGAGGAGGAGGATACTGGTGGCTTTGTTGTTGGGAAATTTGAATATCAAAGAAGGAAAACCAAAGGAGGGTGCGGAGCAATTTATTGTGAACGCATCAGAGATACAGGCAAAGGCAAGGTTACACTCGTTACTTGAATCCCAGGTATGAAGTCTCACCTTGTCCCTTGGAGAAATGACTATGCTAAGTGCAATTATCTCTAGGGATCCTTCGGAGCTATTGTTGGATCGCCGGTAATTTTTTATGTGGGATCATTCATTTATGCGCTAATCGATGCGCTGAAGAATCTTGGAGACAATGATACCTCCCACGCCATTGCACTCGGTATTTGGTACTCAGTTTTTGTGATAGTAGCAATTGTTTGTGGAGTAAGCCAAGTCCCAGCTCCCATTTTCACCATCGGCTAACTTTATATAAAGTGCCTACTAGGTTGCAATAATCCCGCTGCCCTCGAAGGCATAGTCTCAAAAATCGCTCCGCCAAAAAACCGTGGGGATAGTGCAAGCGAAGTGTTTCTTTCGAGGTACAAGCCCGTATCCATCTGGGATCGTGGTGTAAGTACCTACAAATGGGCCAAAGCCAATGGGTTGGAGGGATACTTAGGGACCAACACATCGATATATCTTACAGGTCTCTCTGCAGCAATCCTTATGTCGGCTCCTTGCTGGCTTGCATTTCTGGTTTCATTCGAGACTCCAGAAATTGGCCTTGGTTGCAGGAGTTTTATGTTCTTTTTATATTGGGTCTCCCAAGTTGAGTTGATTGGGATTTTCGTTATTAGGCAGACAATAGGAAAAAGGCCCGGCTGGCCCAAGTGGGCGAAAAAATTGATAAATATTCTTCGAGGTTTCGCATTCATGTTAGCTTTTCTTTCCGGTGTTGGTGGAACGGTCATGCAGCTTACCGGAGTTTTCCGGAACTGTATATGCAAAGCTGGAGTGAGAAGCTTTATAAATCCCAATGGAAACTACACAGTCCAGTTAGCGACCGATACAGAACTGGACCGGAAGATGGCACGTAGCGTGTGGATGTTAACTGGCGGGTGCAGTTTGGGCGTGCTGGTATTACTGTGCCTTTATGCGTGGTGGTACCAGACAAATATTAGGCAGAAATGCTCTCAGTACATCCATAATCTGTCAAGTCTACCACTTATGGGTGATAAATTGATGTTTTTCAAACTGAGAGCCTCTATGGAGGAGCCACGAAGGCCATACAGGGAATTTATTCAGGCGCCAGGTATGTATATTTTGCACTTCTGTTTTTCACTGCAATCTGCTTACGAACGGGAAATATAGTTCCGAACGGATTCCTCCAGCTGGGACCAGAAAGCTCTTGTGGCGAATTTCAAATTTGTCAAACAACCAACAGTGATATCGCAAGAAGGCACCTAGCTGTCACTGTCTCCGATGACAGTAGGTTATATCTTCATATAGTTGAAAGAGATAGCCCTCTTTTGACTGGAGCACTGGAATTGACATGGGAGACCACTCCTAATAAAAATCCTAGCGGAGACTTTGTGTGGCAGGGAAACAGATTAGCTTGGCGTACTATAGATGAGAGCTATTTGGACGGATTTTTCATTGGCTCAAGTATAGGTGAAGCTGATAGAGTATATTTGAATGCGGTGGCATATGGAATGGTAATATACACCGATCAGAATACTGAAGCAACTGGCTAATGTGACTATAGGATCCTATTACACCGGTGCCAATTCAAGATGTCACTCATTTCACTCTGCATCGGGTCAAAAGTGCGAGATGAGACGCTATAGTAGAAATACCGCTCTGGCCCTATTAGTTGAGGAGAACCAGTGTCTCTCCGCGTGAGAGAAGTAGTGTGATCCTTGCAATAATTCGCTACTCGGTTTTTGAAGATTCTACGATATTAAGTCGGATTAGCGCCTCTTGAGGTCATGGTCGAATAAGCAAAATGAAGGTCAGGGCACCCGTTTTTCCTTCCTCTCCAACGCAATCCTAGCCCTCCCCAATTAATATGAGGGCTTCGGTATTTATTGTTGAGTCTGAGGAATTTTCAGCAGCCGCCAATTCCCGTCAGGCCTAAGATAACTTAATACTATGATGAGAAGATTTCCCTCGTTTAACGTCGTGAAAGAGGTTTCACGGCGTGCAATAATTATAGTATACTTTCTTTGAATGATTTGTTGATTTATATGATTTATTTCATTTTGTGTGTGCTCCATAGCCGTCAGCTTGTATACATAAGATCAATAATATAAAACATGTTTTACTTGTACATGTGCACGTGGCTATGTGTAGGTACAGAGTCTACGAGGCTTGGCTATTTGCTTGACTAGAACACAATAGGGGGTTATTATATACCCGTATAACTGTTGGTATCGTATCAGAATGTTAGAAATTTCTATTATAATTTATGACCAACTTTCAACACGGAGAACAGTGATAGGCCTAAACCAGCATGTACCAATGCGCGAGTGAGAGGCTGTGAACAGTCTGTTAGCGCATAGGTGCGCCAAGCCCGAGTGATACCTGGTGCATACTCGTAGGTACTAGAATTATTATATACGGAATAACTTCTTTTCCCGAGAAAGTCTTTGTATCAATTTAAGGGAATTTGGTACATAGATCTCTAGAGCGCCAAGCCTCTATACTGCATGGATGCGGCTGAAGATTGTCGAACCATACCATTATATAAGCAGCTCAGCCAGCATGTGGTTGGTAAACGTGGCTGCATGTTAAGTAGGACTGAAGCCATAATACTGACTTATCCCCCCCCATCCTACTTCATACATATCTTCAACCGCTGTTTAGCTTTATGTTGGCCTCCATCGCTCGTTTCCTCAACCCAGTCATCAAATCCAGAAATAAAATGGCCTCAAATACTAGCAATAGCGCTAATAATTACCAACCCACCCCGCAAGATGTCCTATCAGTCAAAAAATGTTTTCTCAAAGTGGTCCCAATTGAACTAGTCGACCAGATCATCAGTTATGCCGAGTATTGGCCCCACAATACCATCGAGCTTGCGGAGGGGATTATAGCCCGAAATAACGGGGAGGAACTGTGTTTACAGAGCCAGCCACTGCCGGGAAGATTTATTCCAGAGGGCGAGACAGAAGGGGTAGATATTGGTGGTGTTTGTGTGAGGACTCTCACACCGGCGAGGAAGGTGGTTTTCAGGATTTTGAGCCATGATCAAGGATGGAGCTCGAGTCCCAATAATTCTAGGGGTAGGGTTTTATCGGTAGCTCAGTCTTCCGGTTATCTGCTGATAGTATTTTAGACATCTACGAAGCATCCTTTACCTGGTTCGAGGCGTTTGTGGAGCGTCCAGTCACTATTTCAGCAGCTAGGGGAGCAACGCCACTGACAAACTCCATCAACATCAAGGACAGGGACGTATTGTCCGCGCGTCAATCCGAACTTGGGTGGAAAACTGTTCCTATATCTAAGGGAAATACAGAAGAAACATGCGAGAGATGCCATATTCAATGTAACGTTCGGGCTAGCTCCGAAACGAAGATGCATAAAGTTGTGTGGAGTTGGAATGATCGCCCCGGGTCACAGCTTGCGGGTGGTTCGGGATATGGAGGTGATTTCGTCAGGAGCATGAAGGCGGGAGACAGAGTATCGGTTGTGGCGAGAGCTATGGTAGGTATTCATCAACCAGATTCTAGAATCTTGCTCCAAAGTGCTGATTGTGTTAGTATCCGGGTTGGGCGAATCATGTACAGAAGATGGAGATGGACATTTATTACGTTGTTTAGACAACGTGTATTTATTGTTAGTAGTCAATATTGAAGATAATTTGTTCGGTGTGCCCTTTTCACCCCTCGTTCTGGTTAGAAGCTAGGTTGAATAATTTTAGATTTTTCGTGCATTCCTGGCTTGAAGTGAAAACTTTAGGTTTCAGTATGTAGGAATGTAAATTGAGCGATGATTGTGGGCCAGAATCTTCCAAATTAATTACCTTCCTACGGTAGTACCAATATATAGTCCCGTAAATTTGTTGATTAGGAATTTGGTGAAATCGAGTAGCAAAAACAGATATCAGTTAGTATACAAATTTACCTATCATACTTCTCAAGCCGGCTGTGCGGCAGCGTTTCAAAATTTCGCTGATCGGGAAACAAAGATTGCTTCCTTTTGAGCGCGCCGTAACTAATTGAACGGTACAGATTTGAGTCTAAAGTAACTGTAGGATTGTAATATTACGTAACCACATTTAGACGGTAGTAGACCAAGACATGTAGGTGCCAAGTCTCATTAGGCAGCACACCAATCATTGACGATGCGGTGGGATTGATGACATGACGTGTCTCGTACTCTCTGTAAATATATGAGCCCTCATGTTCTTTAAAAGTATTTATGGATGATATTGCACGCTTTATTTGGTAAGTTTTCGCCTCCTTCATTGTGAACGTAAACTGGTGGAGGTTGGGCCCGGTGAAGGAGGAATAGGGGTAAACCGATGTAGAAGTGATACATGAATAGAGAATAAGCTATAGATTAGTATTTCCCAAGTCTTTGCCTTAGTATGAGATGTGATAAAAACTCTGCGGAAATCCAAGGGGACCTTTCTTTACAAATCTCATGCTCAGCATGTACGCTATGCTACTCTAAAGTATATAGAGTATACGTTCTGCAACATACAACCCATGGCCCGAACCCCCGCTTCTAATTATAGACAAAGTGCCAAGGCTTAAAGGCATTATCTACATATACTAGTACAATACGCCTTGCTATGTACAGCCACTCTGCAAAAGTGTTCGTGATTCCGATTTCAGAGTGAGACATTTCTCCATATGTAACCGCGGCGGACCATCAAGAACACCCCAAGAGAAGACTTTCCCAGTGACCAATGGCACCCAAATTAATGAAGAATAAGACCAATGACCTATCTTCTTTTTATATATAGTCACGAACTATATTATATACTTTTCGTTGTTTTAAATCTCAACTTTAATAACATCAGTATTACGGGTGCGCCACACTGCGCACTGACATTAAAACTGTATCACGAACACTTTTGACGAGTGGCTGTAGATCATGCCGGGGTCTCCGGTCCTTAAGAATTCCCACGAGACGAGCCCGAGAACACCCCGAAGCTCGAAGAGGTCGTTATACGTGGTTACTTATTGAATTCAACCTATATTAAGTATTTACCTGTTGGGCCTGTGGCACCGGAGTTTTGATATCTCATTCGTTTTCGAAACACTCTGTAAATTAAGTCTATCATAGAGATATTGCGGAGGTGATGATGGCTCACCCCGTGTAGCTACAGTTGCACCTCGCTATGGCGGAACTCAATATGCCGGATCCCTTGCTGTCCCGTATAAAATTCCTTGAGAATTAAATTTTTCTACCGCAAAATCAATTTCCTATCCCAGATTTCTTGGGAATATTTACCCTCCCGTACAGGATTTGGTGAATCTTAGTCATCCGGAATAGCGAGGTGCGACTGTATTCCCTTGGTTTTTATGATTAGGACCAAACAAGTCCAGGTAACTCCCACGTTGAGGATATGAACCTTGCACGACATAAAGTTGATTTAAGCTTTCTTCGTTAACGCAGAGTAAGCTGACGATGTAATAGATTACGCTATGCATGGTAGCCGTCGGTAGCATAGACCCTGGTGAGAAATATCTCGATCAAGCTTAAGTTTATCTGCGGATATCTAACACTAGTGAGTATGCATGCAGTGGGCGAATCTGTATATGGTAAATGAAATCTAGGAATGAGGTAATAAACTTAACTTATTGCCTGGTCTTTTTGAGATCGATTAGCTACTTAAGCTGCGCGCGTTGTGAATCGTTGACCATATGATCCTCGAGTAGAAGATTAAGAACTTCGGCTTGCAAGTGGGGTTTGAGTTGGAAGTACATACGTGAGCACTTTTTTATGTAGACTAGTTACCTAACAAATTGCTTTTTCTTTTGAACTCGCGCTTCTAGGCCCGGAGTCACACAATCGGTACTCGGCAATCAAACAAAGACACCGTTGGCTAAAGTCCTCGCATCTCAGCTCTTCTTAAAAATAGTTAAATATAGAACCATGACTAGCTATCCACTAGCACATATCTGTCTTCGTGATGTTGTCTCGAAGGGTTCGGTTCCATTGTTGGCACTGGATGCTCGATTCCTGCGCAATTCGAATCGATCTGAAAGACTTTAATCATATGTGCGTGTAATTATCAAAAGGCGGGCGAGTTCCTTATAGGCATGGGCAATTTTAATTCTCGATCTTCAACCTCCTGAGTCACCTCCGGTGAGAGGTGCATCATGAAACATTTTCAAAGAAACTGAAAATATCCACAGGCTATTCCCCATTCGTGAATTAACCGCGATATCAAGAATTAGCCAATCTGCTGCCCACGCTGCCAATGCCCGATAGCTTGAACAGGGATAGGTATTCACTGTATTACTAACCCGAATAGTATATGATCGGCATACAGTGATTGTTATTGAAGCAGATATGATTTGGGATGTACCAAAGCGTGTATTCCCGGGTTAGGTAGGTTGCCTAGGCATAGAGTCGACGTTGGTGATATAGTGGGTAATCCCCTTGTGCCCTTAACTAGAAAATATATATCTCCAATACAACTCAAACGCAGAATACGATGAGCGAACAAAAGCTAAACGCCGGCCCCGAAGTAGAGGAGGTCAAAAGACTCCAAGAAAAGGTTTTAGGATTTGAACAGCTACTCCAGGCCTTTCAGAAGAGCCAGTTAGAACAAACCCAAGCACTTGCAGCTTTCGCATCGCATGTTGGTGATAAAAAAATCAATACCTCTGCTGCGAATATTGACACCAATATCAGCACTAATGTCAAAGCCAATACCAGCACTGATACCGGTCCCAACAAAGATACCGGCTCGCCTGCCAGTACAATGTTCAATACGAATATCGGCCCTAATACAGGGGCCATTATGGGCCGGAAAAGCTCAGCAAGCTCACAGTATCTCCAAGTTCAGAGGAAAGCACTTAAATCTGCACAGCAACCGCAAAATTCTCAGACTCTTGCTCGCGGCAAAACGGTCAGTAAAGCAGCGCCTTACTTAGGAAATGTTAGCAGTACTCTACAAACCTTTGACCAAGATATCAGTATATGGGCAGAATTAAGCGGGATTGATGAAGATGCCTTGAAATCAAATAGTATGTAGTAATCAACATCCTTGACTACTGACCAGAAATTTAAGTTCAACTAACCTCAATTAGTGAAAATGCTCGAGGAGAGATTCACCAATACACCGATTCCCGATCCTAAAGCTGCCAGTGACGAACTAAGACGGGCAGGATTCAATTTCTCTTGGGTTCCAAAGGAAGGGTATGAAGAGGAGGAGAAACCGGATGACTTACGGCTCCCCGAATTCCTGAGTCTTGTTGGCGGCGGCCATCAACCGGTCGGTGTACACTTACGGGATTTTACGGATAGGTCCTGTGAGAAAGTGTTGTACTATGAAGCCACGGAATTTGAAGGTTTATGGCAGGCTCTTGCCAGACCAGTAAGACATGTCCTGGTTTCTATATCCGGGATTAGTCCAAATGCTTATCCAAGTACTACTTTGCCGGCAGAGAAAACTGGGGATGAAGATCAAAAATACCAGGATACGTCATGGCTGGGATAAAGTACGTATATGTACTTCTCTTTAGATCTGCATTAACCTATCAGTATAGACATACGCTAACCATGACAAAGATTTCTGCTTATGAGGCAATAAATGAAGATGGAGAGAATAATCTCACATATGGACGTGAAATGTTTGTATCTCCCTGAAGATATATATATCTGAACTGGTTCACTTATTAACCTTTGGTCGTGTAGAGTAGTCCGACAGCTCACTCCGAACGTCGCAATTGCTCTATTAATTTCCTGCGCCTATAGTGGTTTGAGGTTGGAGTATGTAGAGCCTCTGGATTCTCTTCTAACTGCAATGACAATTGCCCTTTCTCCAGAGCCACATTCGCTTCAAGACTTTGTGGTATGACGCCCCAAGTGGTCCCTCGTGGCTAAGGAGCAATTTACTAAGATGAGTTTCAGGGATATATGAACCATGATACCTTCGCATTCAACGCCGTATTTTTCGAACTTTTCGACGAAGCAAACCCTAATCAACGCAAAGCCACGGTTTTCGCTCCTAACTCGTACGGAGGTAAGAAGTTTGGATCTAAATGGGAGGGCGTCTTTGCGCCCAAAAACATAAATCGGCATTCCAAGCCTAAGAATATCCGCCAGACAACGCTTTCCCTTGTATTTGATTCCATGGCCACGGAAACCGGGACGAACTGGACAGTGACATCGATAGGCGAGTATTCTGATGACAAGGCCTTCGAAAAGCCTCGTAATGTGAAGGATGTGGAGAAATACACAGCACCGGAGGAAGTGTTTCTGGATAAGTTGGCGAGAGTGATTGATTGGGCTGTTGATGATGGGATGTGGAAGGTCTTGGACCAACTTGAGAGGGAACTAGGAGATCGGGTAACTATATCTATTCTGAACATGAACATTAGACTTACAACCTTTTATCTTGTATAGGCCGACGCACTATTTTTTACAGAGGAGAACGAGAAACTTCTCTTTGACGATCACCAATTTTCGAGGACAAAGAGGTACCACTGGGCTCTACAATGGCTTAAGAAGATGTCCGACGGTATCAATGAATTTGTTACGGCCATTGAAGAGTTCGAGAAGATATCTCTCCCCAATCTACGCAGAAACGCGCAAGCACATAGAATACGGTCCAGAGTGAGAATGGCGAAAGCTGAACTCAGTTCTGAAAAGGTGTTCGAAAGGAAGGTTGAGAGGGCAAGGAAGCTTAGGGCAAAGATCGAGGCAAAATATTCCGAGATCAAAGACATGGTGAGTAACAAGGTTGAAACATACAAGAAGAAAACTAAAGATCAAAAGAACTAACCTTTATACCTTCAGAGAGACGCATTGGTCAGCGCTTCTGGTGTGCTAGAATCACGGGCAGCGGTTTCTCAGGTATATATATATCTAGGTTTGGCCGCTAGTTGTATAGTAACCACTTGACTAATCCACACATTTCAGGCTGAAAGCATGCACACGCTCACAGTATTGATGATTATATTTCTTCCGCTTACTGTCGTGATCGTATGTATCTATGCTCAACGACTGTCTGCGGGATCCTAATCTAACGCATGTATGATGCTCGTTCTAGGCATTATATAGCATGCCGTTTATGCCCGAAACATATCAGACTCTCAGCGCCTTTGGAGTAACGATGGGGCTAGTCATCATGACTACTTTGATCCTGGGACTCAACCTCGGAAGTATCATCTTGATATTTGCGAATAAATCGCAGAGATTCGGCACGTACCTACAGTCGTCAATGCTCGTGGTCGGAGACTCCTGGGCAGAAAAAGGAAAGCTTTTACAAGATACGGATGAGGCGGAGAATCTTGTAAGGAGAGGAAAACGTGTTCCCGCTGAGCTTTGGTACACATGGTATTGCATGGTGTGGATTTTATTCCTCCTCCCCGCGACCGAACTCTATAAGATTGGTGGCTTGAGGTGCCTCGTGAACACTGGATATGTCAAAATGACAGCCAACTCTCAGTCTAATCCCCAAAACCGTTCCGAGCCGCTTTGGGCTATCGCAATAATCCCATTAAGGATTGCATTGCTACCACTACACTTTCTAACTATCATTGCCGATTATTTCCTGTTGCTGATTTTTTCCAAAACACTTGTTGGGTGGGATTGCTCATCTAGAGGTTTCATGCCCACCCCCGCAAAACCGATGAGTCCGAGACAGGGCACGATTAAAGGGGATATCGATTTAGACGAAAATATCAGACCGCAATGGAAGCAACGGTTGTGGGATCCCATCGCCATTTTGAAAGAAATACCAACCCGTGGCATTGGTAAATATCGACAACCTGAGAATCAAATACAAAACAAGTCGATACCCGTGGATTATTCGGGGAATGGAGAATATGCGCATAGCTCAATGGACCTACTCCTCAAAGATATTGTGAAGCATGAGAAGGATATTGGTCTAAGAACAAGCGTTTTTAGTGGATCAGGAACCACCTTTGGCGGTATAAAAAGATCAGGGCCTGTTGAAATAGTGTTTTCGAGTGGAGATGTGTCTGACAACATGAGTATTCGATCGGGTCTTATCAGTCCGGCGCTGTCAGAGCGACCACCACAATCAACATCAGATCCAGAGCAAGGTTCATACACTCTTCCACCTGTATCACCAGAATCAGCCACATCACCAACTTTACCAATGATGTCCGCCTTAACATCGAATAACTCATGGGAATTGCCGCACTTGGGAAATCTTGGTCGCACAATGAGTAGGAACCGAGGGCAAGAGGTTGATCCTGAGAGAGGGGAGAGACAAACTCTTATTATCCCCGAGTGATGCCCGCTTTTTCTTCCTTAGCTTGTTGTAGTAAGGAAGCGATAATTGGAAACAGTTAGGATTCGTGCTTTCATATTTATAAACCGTAGGTACTTCACATACGATATTTGCTGGGTCTCAGGAGCAAAAGAGTTGGAGAGAGCCGGTAAAAAAAATTTATACCTGTAATATATACAAATAACTCCAAGTGTGGCATCATGCAGTTAGTTTTATGAGTACCATGGTGAAGTTTATCTAAGTACGTTCGCAAGTTCGAGCATACCATATTTGTTTCATTAATTACAACGCCGAAAGCGCCAGCTTAGGATGTTCGCGCCTGATGTTACTGCGTAATGGCCGCAATCGAATTAAAAACCAGGTTTATAGTAAGTTGTTTGTGTCGTAGGGTGCTGGCAGCCTTGTTTTAAGATGGGCCTGGGTGGAATAGCTTGGCTACATGGAGCTAGGTGTTCCGTGCAGCTATCGAGTGATAAGACATGCTGCTATTACCCGGCTTGCCCCACGCGGAAAATTCCGTCCCCACATCTCGACTCCCCCACCATGGAAGAAATTCGAAAAGATATTCATCTCTATTGTAATTGTGCCTGATAGAACAGCTCATCGACTCATCAAAAGTATCTTAAATAGCGACAGACTGTTGGATGTTTAAGCGAGTGTGTCGACTTCCTTTAACTTCTGTTTCAGCTACTGGACCAGTGACTCACATCTACCGTCAAAACCCTTCATTCCTCCCCAACCGTTTCCAACCCATCCGTGATCTCAAAGTTGCCCCGCTCCAGTCCCACCTTCTACCCCGCTACAACCACCAGCAAGCAACTACAAAAGCCGGAGAATCGATACCAGCTGCAAACACTTTCGAAAAAATGAACGGTTTCCCTACCCCCCCGTCCATCGAGTCGCTCCAGGAGCAGCTAAGCTCGCTAGGAGTCTCTGATTCCCTCCCAGTGTTCCCATATTCCAACCCTACCACAAACCCCGTCGATATCTTCAGATGCTACATTTCCGAGACTCTGGCAGGCATTTCCGGCGTTGACTCGAAATTGATTTACGATGCGCTGGAATGGACTCAAAGCTTTGAGAAAGGAGACCTAATTCTTGCAATCCCAAGGCTGAGGCTCAAGGGGCAAAAGCCAGACGTCATTGCAAAAGAGTGGGCTGAGAAGGTGGGCACCTTACCTTTCTTGAAAGAAAAAAAACCGATTCTTCCCGGAGTAGCCGGAACATCAGAAAGGTTTCTTTCTAGCGCGCAGTAATAACTTTTGGTCCTCTACAGTTTCCGGAGAACCCGTACACAGAACCTATCAAGGCCGCTGGAACATTTCTCCAGTTTTTCTTCAAGACCGAGATCTTGAAACAGCTCGTTATTCCAACAATCCTCAAGAGGAAGTCGGCATATGGCCCCGTCAACACCGGCAAGGGCAAGCGTGTCATTGTGGAATTTTCGAGTCCTAATATTGCGAAGCCTTTCCATGCTGGCCATCTCAGAAGTACCATCATCGGTGGTTTCTTGTCTAACCTCCACGAGAGCTGCGGATGGGACGTTGTTAGAATGAACTATCTGGGAGATTGGGGAAAACAATTCGGTATGTCCCCTTCTAGTTCCGCCGCAACTATCACTTGGAGGGGCGATTTATGTACCTTTTAGGTGGTCTCTATCTGACTATGCTTTCCTTCAGGTATTCTTGGTGTTGGATTCAAGCGCTTTGGATCAGAGGAGAAGCTCTTGGCTGATCCAATTCACCACTTGTTTGAGGTCTATGTCCAGATCAACAGAATAATTGAGGAGGAGAAGGAGGTCGAGAAAAAGGCTGCCGAGGCCGCTGGGGTGAAGCAGGTAAGTCTTTGATTCCCCACAACCAGAATACCTAGGGATTCGGAGATGCCCCGTCCGGTGGAGGTGCTGATTTTCCGACTTCATAGACACACAATGGGCCTACCGATGAGGAAGCCAAGAACTTTTTCGTCAGGATGGAGAACGGTATTTCCCGGGAGCTTTGATACAATTTAGAGTCTTGGGACTGATAACCTACAGGTGACGAGGAGGCTGTTGCTCTATGGAAGAGGTTCAGGGAGCTCAGCATCGAGAAATACATCGCCACATATGCCCGTCTCAACATCCAATACGACGTCTACTCTGGCGAATCCCAAGTTTCGAAAGAAACCATGCAAAAGGTCTCTCAAATGCTCAAGGAGAAGAACATCTCCGAGGAGTCCGAGGGAGCTGTTATTGTAGATCTCACAAAACACAGCAAGAAGCTCGGAAAGGCCATTGTCCAGAAGAAAGATGGCACGACTCTATATCTTACTAGGGATATCGGTGCGGCCATGGAGCGTTATGAACAGTACAAGTTTGACAAGATGATCTATGTTGTTGCTTCACAGCAGGACTTGCATCTGCAGCAGCTATTCAAAATCTTGAGCTTATTGGAATTTGATTGGGCGGACAGGGTTCAGCACATCAACTTTGGGATGGTCTTGGGAATGAGCACCAGGAAGGGAACAGTAGTGTTTTTGGACGACATTCTCGCCGAGGCGAAGGATCGAATGCATGAGGTGATGAAGAAGAACGAGGAGAAGTACAAGCAGGTTGAGAACCCTGATGCTATCGCCGATACTGTCGGTAGAACCGGTGTCATGATTCAAGATATGTCCGGAAAGAGGTTCGTAGGGTGTCCAAATAAGTCGCCGTTCTTATAATTGACATTATTAGGATCAACAATTACAACTTTGATCTGGACCGTATGACCTCTTTCGAGGGTGACACTGGCCCATACCTACAATACGCCCACTCCCGTCTCTGCTCGATCTCCCGCAAGGCTGCGATTCCCGAGGAAGATATCCTGAACGCCGACCTATCCCTGCTGACCGAGACTCACGCCACCAACCTTCTCCGTTGCCTCGCACAATACCCAGATGTATTGCAGAACACCCTCAGGACCTTGGAGCCCACCACAGTTGTCACCTGGTTATTCAAGATGACTCATCTTTTGAGTTCCAGCTATGATGTTCTCAGGGTTATCGGAGAGGACCCGAAGAAGGCTGCGGCCAGGCTTGCCCTCTACGAGAGTGCCAGACAAGTACTCAATAACGGCATGAAGCTGCTGGGGTTGTCGCCGGTTGAGAGGATGTAAGCTGAGATACAGCCATCATGTTCACTGGAGCACCCATAGATAGTGCGTCAATTAGAGAGAGTGTTTTTTCTTCTTTTCTTTTATTTCTTTCAGAGCTTTAGTTTGCCGACCTTAACTGTATATATGAATACCATCCTGTGTTTACCGTGTTTATAAGAATTCTAGGAGACCATTCACTTGCCAATAGTAGTAGTAGTTAACCTTTGTGTGAGTACTTCAGGCCGCAGCGTTACACAGGACACAGGTCTTGGCACTGCCGCCCCACAACTTTCCTTGAATTAGCAACCATGAAGCTCTAGCTAGGTCTACAATAGAGCAGAGAGTAGACATCATAATATCAACCATGAAGGACCAAATCCCAACAGGCTCATATGTCATCCGCAACAGGCAAACCTCCACAGTCATCCACGTCGACAACCCCAACACCACCAATGCCTCGCTGAACAAGAAATGGAGCGTTGTAGCCTGCGAGCAGAACGAGTCCAGGTATCCCGAGCAGCAGGTCTGGTGGATCGAGCCCATCCCAACCAGCGGTGACGATGATGGAGAGGCTGTGACATATTCCATCACGAACTGCGCGACGGGGAGGTGCCTGGATGCGAATCTGGGGGGTGCGAATGCTTATTTCATGCCGAGACATGGTGCGTTTGAGAAGTGCACCCCGGGGGAGCTTATGAGCTATAGAGATCATATGGGTAACTGTTGCTAATTGTGTACGTATAATAGAAGTTACGAAGGGTGAATGGCGGCTTGTGGCCTACCAGAACAGCGGAGCGCCATGGCAGAAATGGAGGATTGAGAATGTGTCGGATGATAAGGACGAGTAGGTTTCTATCTATCTATCCCACCAGGCAGCCAACCAGCTACCTAGCTAGCCACTATACAGGAACATATCCACGCCAAGCACCACTGCTAACCTGTGCTGCCTAGGCCCTACTACCGCATCGTCAACGTCTGGAACAACGAGCTCCTCTCCATCGCCCGCTCAGGCGCCGAAGCCGGCGAATCCGGGCCCCGCTGCAACATCGGCAAGGCCGAAGCCACGCCCATCAAGACCTGGGAACTCATCGTGCCCATCGTCGCCTTCCCGCCCGGCTGGTGCCGCATTCAGAACTGCGAGACCCTCGACCTCCTCAGCCAGTCGTATCTCTCGGGCCCGCCCGTGCTGCTCAAACCCTCGGCCGCCATCCCGCCACCGCAGCCGCAGTCCCGCGAGAGCTGGACAGACCAGTGGGTCCTTGCGCACACGAGCTACCTGTTCCCGGACTTCAAGATCACCACGGGGGCCAACACGTGGTGCGTGCGTAACCGCCTCACCGGCGGGTATCTGGGGTGCGTGTATGCCGACAGGTATCCGTTCATTGGCGGGCAGTGTAGTGTGTCGGCGAATGACTGGGACCTGACGGAGGACGATATCGCGGCCCATACGTGGAAGCTGGAGATTGATCCGGGCTGCACGATGAATTGGAAGCTGATACACCATAAGACGGGGTGTCTGCTGGAGAAGGGAGTGGCGGTGGTGAGTGGTGGGGTGGAGGTGCTGTGTAGGGATAGGAAGTTTACGAGGGGGAATAGGCATAAGACGTGGATGTTGATGTGAGTATCGAGAGTTCCAAACTGCAAATTAGGCAATGGAAACTGAATAGATAGATCGCCGGTTGTTGAGAGCGATGAAGCGGAGGTAAGTGAAGATGCAGACATGGCGGGTTTCGAAGCTAACTCACGGGATTCTAAATACAAGGCACCACCGGAATATGAAATCCAGGCCCATCAACCTGTGAGGGCGCCATAATCTAGAGAATAGCGAGATACATCATTAAGCGGTTAGCTGCAGGAGCAAGAGAGGTCTTATTTTGTTTCCTTGTTTGGTAGAATGGGTAAAATGTTATTTTTTTTCCCTATCTAAGCTATTCTAAGAATCTTTTTTCCCGTACGTTTCTTCGTTACAAAGCTGCAAGCAAATCTATCCCTTTTTGATACCCCACCCCCACGCCAAAAGCCCAAACCAGACTCCAAATGTAATGCAATGTCAACAAATGAAAGAAAAATGTGCAAAAAAAAGTTATTCACAGAGAAAAGAAAAAAAGGTGTGTTGTTCCTCTACTGAGGCTGTAAGACGCAGCCTCCACAAATGTTTTTGGTACAAAGCCAGAGTCTCCTAAACGACTACTTTGATTCGCTGTCGAGCACTTCGTCCAGCTGGTAGTACGTCGGGGTCTGTCTGCTTGACCGGCAGCTGGTCTGGCCGCTAGATGGCGACCGTCAGATCCTAAAGCCACCTTTGGTGGGGGTGTTTTCCCGGGAATGGCAAGATTGATATATACTGATGGGAGTTATTATGCTATTCTCTGCCAGCTATATGTTGTAGTGATTGATGATGATGATATGGTCCAGGAAGGAGGTCCTAGAGGGCCTTTGGATAAAGATATACGACGAATGCCATGGTGTTTGGCCATTTATCGGCAGGCAGTCTTCTCCGAGACAAGCTTGAGGTAGTACTGCCCCACCATGTGGAGGGCAGACTTGCCAGAGGCATCCTGCTCCATGATCTTTGCGCCCTGCTTGAGCAGGAAGTTTGACACGACTCTCGCACCCTGACTGGCCGCCAGATGCAGCGGAGTCTTCCCGTACTTGTCCTTTGCCTCGACGTCGGCGCCGGCCTCGAGCAGCAGCTGCGTAACGGCGATCATGTCCCTCCTGGCGGCATAGTGCAGCGCCGTGGATCTCGAGTAGTCCCTCACACTGACGCTCGCCCCCCTCTTGACCAGCATATCCACAATCTTTGCATCCCCCTCTCTCGCCGCATAGTGGATGGCAGCCCTTCCCGCCCCATCGCGCGAGTTCACGTCAATGTCCTCCTGCTCTAGCAGAGAGCGCACAAGCTCCACATGCCCATAGATGGCCGCCAGATGTAGCACATTGCGGCCATACTGGTCCTGGTAGGAGCGCGGGTCCTCGGCCTCCAGCAGTAGCCGCGCAACATTCTTGGCGCCGTGTCGCTCTGCCTCCAGCATGGGCGTGAAGCCGTACGCGTCCACAATGCCGGTTTCGCCGCCGTACTGGAGCAGCAGGCGCACGCCCGCGACGTGGTCCTTGGTCGCGGCGATGTGAAGCGGCGTGAGGCTGCGGTGGCTGCGGACGTTGGGCGAGACCCCGCGCTTGAGAAGCAGCCGCATGGTGTCGCCGTCGCGGCGGCGGGCAGCCTCGTGCAGCGCGGTGGGGCCAGAGACAATGTGCATGCTGTAGCGGGCGTCGAGGTCGGCGCCCATGTCGAGCAGTAGGCGGATCATAGCGCGGCGCGAGTTGTGGATGGCCCAATGCAGGGCGGGGATGGCGTGGCCGGAGCCGTCGTTCTTGTGCAGGATGAGGTTTGCGCCCTTAGACAGCACGTGGGCTAGGAGCTCCTCGGGGTCTGTGGGGATCACTTCTGTGGGGGTTGAGCCGGCGACGGTGAGTTCGGGGCTGTTTGCGAGGAGGTAGCGCGCCATGGGGGCGTTGTGGTTGGCGGCCGCACAGAAGAGGGCGCCGAGGGAGTGGCGGGGGTGCAGGGCGGTGGTGCGGATGAGGGGGGAGAGGGTGAGGTAGAGCTGGACGGAGGTGCGGGCAAGGGAGCTGATGTCCGCCAGCGGGAGAGAGTCGGTGAGCATGTAGAGAAGCTCAGTGGGGAGGGTTGTGAGCGACATTGTGGGGGGGGGGGATATTATATTGTCGTGGTGCTCAGATGGACGGATGATGGATGGTGATGAAGATGATGATGGAGAAGAAGAAGAAGAAGAAGAAGGGAGAGTCTGTGATGGGAGGTTAGTCGTAAAGACAGATATATGACAGGATGGGGTTATGTGTATATACCTTTTCAGTCTGTTCTTTGTCTGTGTGTATATGTGTATGATCTGTATATATCCGTGTCTGTATATCTAAAGTCCTTTTAAAATAAAAAAAACACGTACCGCAATGAAGATATATATATAATAACAAACAACAACACTGAATAGCCAGAACAAGAAGCACAGACAGACAGACAAGACGCACTCTTTATGTATCGCGCATTCCCACCACCACCTTCCTTACCTGCTTGCCTGCCTGCCTGCCTTGCCCATGCTTGGTGCTCGGTCTCCTTCGGCCATCGTCACCGCCCAAAGCGGAAAGGACACAGAATGTTCCACAGACGGTACCGGACTTGGGGCTTACCGGCAATGCGGTACAGGTGCATGGGTTGGGGTGGCCGGAGAGGCGAATGGGGGAGGGATGGTGGGTAGGGTGATGGGGGCCAGCCATTGTTTGTGGTGGGTTTGTTTGTCTGATGCAAGGACTATAGGGCACTCACTGGTAGTGGCATGTAGGCAGGTACTCTACATACTCTACATACTCTATGGCATGGGATGATGCAGGCTGTGACCTTCCCTGGGGCCTGTGCACGGGTTTGAGGTCAGGGGTGGGCACGGGCTGTGGGAGAGGTGTGCTAAAGCGATCGTCGCCAGGGTCTACACATTAGGGGGAAGGGGAGAGGAGAGGAGCTAGCTAGCGAGTAGTGATTCAGATATTAATATCTTTAGTAGATGTCTACTCTCGGAAGCTACTATTCTTGATATTCGAGGGATGGACAAGAAGAAGTGCAGTCCTCACTCAGAGTTATTTGCGGATAGAGAGTGAGTGATGGTGCAGTGCAGTGCAGTGTGGGAGGGGAAAGACTGACAGCTACGTGGTGCCAACGCAACAGCGACAATACCTCGCAAAATAGAGCTTTGAAGAGCATCTTCTTTTTCCTTCTTTCCTAGCTACAGACAAGGCAGGAGAGGTAGCGATCTCAGCAAAAGAATGATATTCTGGGCGTGGCTCAATGGATTTAATTACTATAGATACACCACCGCTTCTAAGAATACCGGAATGTGGGGGGGGGGGGGGGTTGTAGAGCAGAGGGAGGGAGAGAGAGAGAAGTGTCTGTTGCTATTATCATCCTACCCGGCGTGTCTTTTGTGAGCCCGGTCGAACAAGCGCCCGTGGTAAAAATAGATACGCGAGGGGAGGAGAGAGAGAGACAACAATCCACAGCATACAAGAGAGGCTCAAGCCACGCGAGATATCCCCATCACCTTCCCATCCATCACGTCTTTTTCCCCGCAGACAATAACGTGCTCGCCCGCTCGGGTAAAGATAAGGATTCACAAAAATTGCATATTGATTGAGTGCTCTTCTCTGTTCTTGATGTCCGTCATGGCTGTGTCTTGGCGCCTTGCGCCATCCTTGCGAGTCCAGACACTGAGACATGAATCCATCCAGACAGCCGGGTCGATGCGAGACACACACACACACTCACACCAAAAATAGAAGACACCCCTCCCCCCCCCCCCCCCGCACCGACAATCCCTCACACGTGGTGCTCGTGCGCTGTCGATGGAGATGAGGGGGATTTGAGACTTGTTGATACTTTGATCGCGAGATGATCTACTCTACTTAGCGAGGGAGGCAGGTGGGTATGTAGGTATTCCGGGTCTTTGGTTTGCTACGGTTTGCGCTTTGCTATATATAGTTCTTTACCCCCTTTTTCGATGTTTACTTGCATGGATAGATGGACAATATCGTCTTGGGTTTAATTTCGCGTGTTGATATTTACAGCAGAACATCGATCGCGAGCCGTCACATCTAGCTAGGTATGTAGGTAGCGAGATGCAAGTAGGTATTATATTCCGATTCCGGGTCTAGTGATGTTATATATAGGAGCGCGCGCGGCGTGCCTGACTCTCTGTTTCCCGTTGATAGAGATAAGGGTAGAGATATTCGTGGTAACAATCAAGCAGATGCCGTATATAGCACGTATATAGGGGGGTTGAGACTCTACTCTATTTTCGCATGTTGGCGCTTCTTGTAGAAGGGGATGGAGGATTATATTTAGTCTGTGTAGAGCTCTGATAACCCCATGGTATCGACACTGTAATCACGTCGTAGGATATCAACTATTGAAGCTGTCCCCAGGGCTCATGAGCTTCCTGTACTCTAGTCTATCTCGCCATGAGCACGCCAGCTTCAACATATTCCCAACATATTACTCCAGCCAAGTTATGTATGTAGTCTACTCCACCGACAGCATCCCACCCCGCTGCAGCCTTCCCAAGTATGCGCCCCCAGGGCTACTCCCACCCCAGTGTAGGTACTCTACCCTACGCCGAGAACGCACCGGCTGCGACCATGTGCGCCCGGCGTAACATACTCTACTCTACAGCTGGGCCGGACGCACCCACAAGCATCCGGTAACGGCAAGGCACGTGCAGTGCCCTGGGGTGCTGGAATGTGGTCACAGTGACCCGGGTCGGGTTTGGTTGGTGGGGCACGGGTCGGGTTGGGATGTGTCGGTTGTCGCTGACCTGGCCGGCGCGGGTTGTGGTGGTGGTAGGGTTGTCTTCGGCCCGGTGGAGGGGCGCCAAGGCTGGAGTTGTGAACACAGCTGCGGATGAAGTGGCTTGGACCTGTTAGACTCTGTTGTGGTATAATAATTGCGATTTTGCGCGGTTTTAAATAACCTGCCCGGAATTAATACTAGAACTTGTGTTTGGTATACTGAGGGCATACAAAGTACTCGCTGTCACGCTCTGATTGTATTACTTATGTGTACTGACGGATATTGAACGAAAACGTACAGTATGTAGTTTATACATTATCCGTAGGAGATATTGAAATGTAAATACATATGTAGCTAACTACCATGACCTTAGAAACTCAACACCATATAGTCCTAGAGCACGACTCAGTATAAAATGCTGTTTTCTACGTATACTAGAGGCTCCAGCCGACTTGCGC